GCTAAAAATATAACATATGCACGCAAAATGGTGATGAAACTGTTGTGAAAACTTGTTTTAATTTTCCAGTCGACACTAGTTCTCTTGGCTTTAATATTGACATAGGGGTTCTTTTGGCTTTAATATCATCGTAGGGTACGATAGAAAAACCAAAAAAAAAAAACATTGTAAGTTCTCATGACTCGAATTGGTTGTTGGAAAATGCATTTCAAGTCAAAAGTCTAGATTGTCTTACAAGCCCAAAGACACATTGGAAGGAATTGTCCGGTAGGCTTAATTTACGTCTTAGCTATACAATGCTTTCAATTTTTTGATTCATATGAATTCGTTTAGATTTTAAAACTTTGCAATCGCATATACTACGACAACCTCTTCATGTACACCAATGGGCTACCATGTGGTGTGCTTTTTGCCTCCCCACATCGACACTCTCATGTGGGGTTACATTTGAATGCAACATACCAAATATATTACAAAAATTCTCAAATCTAATTATGTTTTTTCATGATGACATATATAGTTTGATAGCATCAACTGTTACATGTTTGGAGATGGTTAATCAATCACAAAATAATGATTTCGTCGTAATGATAGTTTTTTTTTGTTCATAACCAAAAAGTTACGGACTTTATCTACAACTAAATTAAGACCCGCGTATACGCGGGTTTATTTTAAGATTTTGTAATAAAATCATGGAAAAGTATTAAACCAAATTTGATCATTTTAAAGTAAACAGAATAATATTAAAAACCCGATAAAAATATTTAAATAAAATAAGATCGGTAACCTTTTTACGTTTTTATTGTAATTGATATTTTTTTGAATTCATGATATAAAAAATGAATTAATTTGTTTTATTTTTATTTTTATCCAATATAGAAAGACTTATATATGTCTAAATATGATCAACTGATTAATTAATTCAACAAAACTTTATTATTCCATTCAAGAGATTTCAATTGATGAAATCTTTATTTAATAATTTTTTACCTAACAATATTGAAAATATATTAAACTATTTAAAATTAGAATATCGGTTCATTATATTTTCTTAATATTAGTTAGTTGCTTGATAATTAATTTGTTAGTTTTCTATTTATATTGTTTCTTTCTCAATTTTGTTTTTGACTCAGACCATTATAAATTTTCATTTTCATTATTAGTTAGTTTTTTATTATCATTATTTTATTACACATATCGCAATTTTGTGAGTTATAAAAATCATATATTGCTATCATGTTGTTTGCTTTGATGAGTTTGTGAATGAAAAAAAAAGACTACTTTAACTCTCTTTTTATAGGGGTTCATGTAACTTATTCCATGCAGTTATAGGAAATTTAGTTTACCTAACCTATTTCATGTACTAATAGGATTTTATTTATTTCATTAATTTGAATCTTATATGTGTTTGGATAATATAAATTTGATGAATGAGAAACCTTTTTCTATTAGGATATGACAAATATAATTTTTTTTTCTTTTAACTATAAAAGATTAACTAAACCTAACCTATTTCATGTACTAATAGGATTTTATTTATTTCATTAATTTGAATCTTATATGTGTTTGGATAATATAAATTTGATGAATGAGAAACCTTTTTCTATTAGGATATGACAAATATTTTTTTTTCTTTTAACTATAAAAGATTAAAATTTCGTTTTTTTTCCTTTATCTAATTTTTTTAATTATTATTTTTTTTTTTTTTCTAAGACACATGTCACGATCTTAACGGACATAACATTAAAAGTGACACATGTCGCAATCCTAAATTTTATAAAAATCCTACGTGTCGCAACCACGTCGTGCGCATCCAGCTTTATATAATAAGATATAATCTCCTCGAATTGGAAAATATGTTGTTTTAGCTCTCGTCCCGTTTTTCGTGTTTTAACTGGGAACCTTTCTGACTCTTACTTTTTGTTAGATTAGGTGATACATTAGTTGAGTAACCGAAATCAGATAATAACGATAGTATTGTTTTGAGTTTTGACCTAAGATTCCTGAACATCAATAATATTCACTAATGATTTTATAGTAAAGGTAAATTCATTTTTTAGTGTATATATTCTGATATTTATTACTATAATTTATCATGTAAATATTTACAAGCATGTCTATGGAATAGATAGGTGTATAATGAATGATAAAGAGAGCAAAAAAGGAAAAAGGTGAGTGTTAGCCCCAAATTCACGTTGCCCCCTCGTGGGCTTAAGGATTCCAAATTAATTGTGTGTCCTTATGGTACGATCTCTGGACTGATAGCAACATGCCTTGATGTGATCACTAGCCGGCTTTTATTTTCATCGTCTCCAACTCTCCATTATGTCTTCTTTGAGATTTTCTCTTACACACATAATTCTAAATATATATATAAATTACTACTTCCGTTTATTTTTACTAAGAACCGGTATTAAGCCTAAATCAAGTTTCTCCAAAGTTGATACGTAGGATTATTTGAATTTTGTATATTGCAATTTTCTTTGATATGGAGAACAAAACTACCGACTATTATTAGATGACACCAAAAAGATAACTGGTTTCATAATGTAGCACAATACATTGGTTTCAAGTCACTTGGTTTTTCATTATACATGAGGTTACGTAATTTGTATCAAACTACTGTAATATGGGTGATGGTTGGGTCGTCCTAAACGAGTAAATGCGTAGGTCTTTAACATACAATCCCTCCCTCTCGTAGGTTTAATTTGACTATGGGCTGAGACAAATAACATGAAGAGTTTCTATAGAATCTTTATGGGCAATGAACGGCCCATCCTATATTACTAAAGAAATCCTACATTCTTTTGTTTTTCTTAACGAATGTCAATGGAGAGAAACTAAGAAAAACGTAAGGGCCAATTTGGTTTATTGGGCTTGTTTTTGTATGTCTTAGAAGGGATTTTGTAAACCAATAAACATTACTCTCATGGAATTTAAGAACACTTTCTCAAGCAAAGACACCGTTTGGACTTTGGCGTTTGCTATAGCTACTAACTTCTGACCCTTTTCTAAATACAGTATGTGCTTCCTTGAGCAACTTTATGTCATTATAAAACCAAAAAAAAAAAAAAAAACTTTATGTCATTACTCCACATTTAGACTCTATCGTTCACAATTTTCTTATTCTGCTACTAAATTAATCTTCTATGATAGTTATGCATCATCATACATACTCTTTGATTCTGGGCCTGTGGTGATGCGTCTTTGCGCTCTGCCGCTCTCCATAACTTTTCTAACTGTTTTAGAAAGGAAGCATTAATTCATTGGTTTACGGTAGTTTCCTGCTATCGCTATATATTCTCTTTGAGAAGAGCTTTCTTCAAATTACAACGTACACTTCATGTTTTTGTTATTGCTAGCCTATCAAAATGACATTTTCTCATCTAAAAGTTAATGATATTTTAACATGATTCCTTTATTAATGTTAGTAACCAGAGTTCGACCCAGACAAATTATTTTTTTTAAACAATTTTTAACATGGCGGCGATATGTTATCACTTAACACTTCTTGTTAGTTAGAGTTTTTATCTTCGATAACACCGAAGAAGACAATGACAAAATAGTTAAAATTATCCGTTAATAATTATACTTCTTTAGATAGAGTTGAAAAAAGTTTTTTTTTTAATTACTTTGATTATTTGACACATCATCATGATATATATATATTTTTTCTGAAATTACAAAATAATTTTAACGAATAATTTAACTATTTTACAAAAGATCTAATCATAAATGGACACATCATGAACATCTATTCTTGCACGGTTTTATAATTTTTTTCTTGCACGTTTGTGGCAGAAATCGCATTTTTCGCCGATCAAAATCCTCGATGTAGAAATTATTAATGAACATTTTTCCAACTATTAAATTAAAGGGTTTCCAGTCATGATATACCGTATGATTATTTTAATAAAAAAATACATAAATATATAAGAGAGATGTTTAATTTACTAAGAAACCAAAATCGTTTATTCTTTATTCAAACTTTCATTTATTGTTCATTTCCAAAATATATTATATAAAAATACACAGCTTGAATTTCAGGTTGTGAAAAGCTAAGATTGGGTTGGTACCTTCCATAGATGTCCAATCCAAATCCAAATATAAAGACATTCTAAAAAAGCTTCAGATTTCTTACCAAAAGGGGCCGAGGCCCCTGACACATGTCGTACTTCATCGATATTCCCAAAATTCGAATTTGAAGACTGTGAATAAATTAATTGCACCAACCAAAATTGCAGAGGACTATATATATACATTCGTAAGTCATCTCCTTCTTCCTACGTGTAGTCTTTCTTCAATCTCTCCGCTCTTTTCCTCATTCGCGTCTAAGCTTAGATTTCCCTTTCCTCTCTCGCTCTCTAAATCCTCGAATCTTTCTCAATTCTTATCTATTCTCGATTCCTTCTTCCCTCAATTTCATTCGATCGCCCTTCTTCTCCGATCTCCGACGGTCTCGTCGGGTTTCTTCTGTTCGAATTCTGGGTCTGTTCTGTTTTTAAAAACCAAACGAGGGTTTTGTCCTTTTCCTATAAAGTTACAAAATTTATTTGCTTCTCTTACCGAGAGTGTCGAAATCAGAAACAGAGCTTTTTGAGGATTGCAGGATCTATCATTCGGGTACTGTTTCATTATTTTTACGTTCTTTAGTTGATCATATTTATGCGTATGGTTTTTGCTTATTTTGTTTGTGTGTGTGTGTCTGTGTTAATGTGATCAATGCATCTCTGGTTCGATTTTGGTTTAGTTCTCTAGTCTTATCTTCCCAGTAAATACACTTACAAGTTGTTTAATTGTAATGCCAATTCAAAAAATTGATGCTTTAAGGTCACTAGCTCTACTTTTTAATTCATATTAATTTTTTTTTAATGACAATTGTGAAGACTGAGGATTATTGTGATTCGATTTTATCTGGATACTAAACAAGTTGAAAATACTTTATTGTGTGTTTCTAGTTGAGTATTGTCTCTGATCGTTTCTTGTTTCTGTAGAACACAATGGAGGGAGATCCTAATTGGAAGCCTAACGAACAAGGCGGAGAGCCAAGTGGGAACAATGCTGCTAATGATTGGAGATCCAAGCATGAGCCTGATCTACGGAGAAGGGTTCTTAACGTCATGTAAGTCCTTCTTTTCTAAATACCAAAACCACAGGAGTGAGTGTTTACGTTTCATTGTCATGTTTCTTTTGTTGATCCCCTTTGTTCTTATTTGATTATTGATTCCCAATTGACGACATTCATGAACTAGAGTAAGGTTTGAAACCAAAAAAACAAAAGTCATGTTTTTGATGTGATCTTGTTTCTTGAGCCTGAGTCAGTTAAAGCATAAGAATTGTGCATAGAAGTTATTATAATTCCTTTCTTGAAAGTGACAAAACCTAACTTCAACCTGAAAAAATCTAGTGATTGATTCTGTTATGTTTTTTGTTTTTGTTGTTCCGTATCTATTGTTTCCTAATTGTTCAAACTGTCTCACTGATTATTTGTTCACATGAATATGTAGAATTGAGAAACTGAAGAAAATCTTTCCTAATCATAAAGAAGATGATATTAGCGATTGCGCTGGCAGAGTTGAGAACAAGGTCTATGGCACGGCCACATCTAAGGTTTGTTTTTTTATCTTATTACAATACCTTCAGAATCTGCATCTTAATACTTTGCCTGATGATCTTTTTCCCTTTGTTTCAGGATGATTACTTGCGGAAACTCGCCCACAAGACGCGTGCGATTGAAGAAAAAATGCAATCTCGTTCTGCAGATCCAGCTCAAGTTGTGAACCAAGGGCAATCACTTCCAACAAGCCAACAATGGTTACCACAAAACGTCCAGAGCAATCTCAACATGCCTGGCTCTTCTGATTTGCCAAGTCAGGTCCCTGCTCAGAACGCAAACATTCAGATGGGTGAAGGAGGTCACTCAAATCTTCTCCCCGGCGGCGGCTCTCAAAGCCAGATTCAGGGAAGGCAGCAGCAACAGCTTCTTCCTCAGCAGCAGCCAGAGCTTATTCCTCAGCAGCAGCCACAGAGTTCTAACTACATGTACCAGCAACAAGTGAATCAACAGATTCTCATAGAGAAAATCCGTCACGCGAACATGCAACCTCCTTACATGCAGCAGTATCACCAGCAGAGTATGATGACACAACCTATTCATCAGCAGTTGTCGGCTCTTCATCAGTCCTTTATTCAATCTCCCGCTCTTACTACTCTACCGTCATCATCGTACCAACAAAACTCTCAGCTCTTGCCAAGACCTCAGTTTCCAACACACCTGGTCCAGTCTACTCATCAGCAGCAGATGGCTGCGCCGTCCAAACAACAAGAGCAAGAGCCACTCATTAATCAACTGAGAAATGTTACAGACGCACACCAAGGAGCTTTCATGGTGTCGTCGTCACAGCATAGCAATATGGCTGGCTTTCAAGCAATGGCACAACAGAATAACAACAACAACTTCCAAAATATGCACCAGCATCAACAACACCTTCCAGCATTTTCCTCACAGCAGCAATACATGATGAACGGCGTTCAATCTGGTAACTTTAACGTGCCTGGATCAAGTTTCTTGGGTACTCAAGGCCAAGAGATGGGACAATCTCAACCAATGATGTTACAACAATACCATCCGCAGCAGCCTCAGAACGGAAGCTTTCAGCAACATTTTGATGATACTCAAAGGTATCAAGCAGCAGGCTCTTTTCACCAAACGCAAAACATAGCAGAGCAACAGAATCAGGCTTATCATTCACAGAGAGCCCCTCCTGCAAATCCATCTAGTATGTTTTCTTTCTTATGTTATTTATCATACATCAATGAATACATTCTTTTCATTAGCTATGATTTTAATTCCAGTATTGTTTTAATGTTTACAATTTTTGCTTTTTTCTGTAGCATCTCAAGATTCTACAGGCAAGACTGTGAATGGCAGTGGTGGGGACTGGAAGGAGGAGACCTATCAGAAGGTATATTGGCTTGCCTTTGTTCTTCACATACATTAACATCACAAACACTTATCTTATGAAAAATAAAAACTATTATCTAGTATAATTCTCAAACTGAAAATACCCCTTTTCGTTATGTTATTGCAGATAACAGCCATGAAGGATGTGTATTTACCTGTTATGGCTACCTTGTTCGACAAAGTCACGGAAAAATTGCAGCTGGTACTTCACTCATAACCTAATTGTTTCCATCTGATATTTCTTGTCTTTGAAGTAAACAATAATAACTAAACCATTTTTTTTTTCCAGCTTGGATCTGTCCCTCCACAAGACATGCTAAATGAGCCGACTGCAAAGCTAAGAAACGGCGAGAAGACGTTGAAATTTATTATCAACTACTTAAATACTCCCAAGAACATGATAACAACGACGCACAGAGCCAATTTTAGTCGGTGTGAGAAAGAAATATATAAGTTGGCCAAGAGGACCTGGCCTCAAAAGCTAATGCAGCAACAGCAGCAGCAGCAACAACAACAACAACAACAACAACAACAACAAGGGCAATCCCAAGGTGGTCAAGTCCATGGCTCGCAGTCGCAGCCTATTGACAACGATCAAATGACTTCACGGTTGATACCAAGTCACCAGCAATACATGGCGTCGTCTTCTTCAGCCTCTGGCCTTACGACATCACAGACCGCAATGCCTCATTCGTTTCAGACAAGGCCTAAGATGGAACCAAAACATGAGAACAACAACATCATGGCCTCCTCAGGAAATGTCTTGTTACCTCCTCCGAATCAGCAGCAGCAGCAGCAATTTCATCATCCCCAGATGCCGCCACAACAACAGCCAGTGCAGAGGCAGAAGCATCAGCAGCAGCTTCAAATACCGACTTCACATCAGACAAATGAGATGAGGCAGAGGAAAATCAACAAAAAAGCTGCTCGCCCGCAAGCTTCTCCTCCTATATTTTCGCCATCAGCTTCATCCACTCAGATACAGAGTAACTCTACTCCTCTGTTGGTGAACCAGCAGATTCTTCCATCCTCATCTTCTCCAGTCCCCGGGGATCCCGAAATGCCTATCTCCGTTGAGTCTCCTCCTCCTCCTAGCTATGACGTTGCGGTAAAAGAAACCTTAGATTGTCCTGTTCAAGTCTTCACTCAAGAACAACCTCTGTCTACTCTGCCTCCCGAGCCAATCGAAGATCTGTCTACTCTGCCTCCCGAGCCAACCGAAGAGCAGCGGCCTATTGATCGACTAATCAAAGCGGTGAGTTAAAGAAGTCTTAAAAACTTATTCAGGTTTTAGTTTCTCCATCTTCTCCAATGTTACTGATCCATTTGTTTAACGTTTGTGTTTTGCTCTCTAGATTCAATCATCAACACCGAAGTCCTTGGAAGAATCTGTAAGTGAGATGAAGTCCGTGATCAGTTTGTCTGACAGGATGGCGGGATCGGTCCACTCTAATAGAGGATCTAGAGCTTGTGTAGCCGAGGATCTGACTGCGAGGACTAAGCACCGTTTGGAGCAAGAAGAAGAAACAACAAGTCCGAATAAGAGATTCAAGCGCATGATCAGCACTGTGCCTCAAGAGATTGCACCACAAACTGAAACTAATCAACAGTTTACTAGCCCTGAATCTGAAGTTGATTCCACAGCATCGTCTGGCTCCAAAAATGGAAAGATTGAGGTAAGATCTTCAGCCTGTAAATACCTTTAGGTTTAACTAACCGTGAAAGTAAATGCAGTGTTGAAATAAGGCCATATTTTTTCGATCTTGCAGCCTGGTTTTGCTCTCATGCAAGAAATCAAAGAAATAAATGGGGGACTTGTTGAGACCGTGGTAGAGATTTGCGGTGAAGATGCTTATGATCCAAGTGACGTAACTTCAGGAACAATCGTTACGTGTTCTTATGTTCCTGTGGCTCTCTGTGCCGCATTCCAAGCTCATTACAACTCTGGAGAAATCGTAAGCTCTCAAAGCTTTTCTTCTTTTCCTAGTTTCCAGTCTTCTTGTCTTCTTCCTTTGCTTAGCTTTTTGTGTTTCCGATGTTTGATGCAGTCACAGATTCAGCCGTTACGTGTACTAGTTCCTGCGATTTACCCATATGGTCCCCCATTACTTGCTGATAATATCCCATTTGAAGCAAGGTGTGAAACTTTTTTTATTAGAAATTGATTACTAGAGGAAACTAAACGTGTATGATCTTATGGATTTATTGATTCCTCGTGTTTCAGTGTTGAAAGCAATGAGGATTTGTCAGCGAGAACCAGATCGAGGTTCAGTTTGTGCATTAAGGAGCTTTCAGAACCAATGTCTTTGAAAGACATAGCTCAAACTTGGGATGATTGTGCGAGAGCGACAATGGCTGAGTATGCAGAGCGGCATGGTGGAGGCACTTTCAGCTCCAAGTACGGTCATTGGGAGAATGGTTCAAAATCCTCATGAGACTTTTCGCGCACAACTCACTCGCCTCTCTGGAGATCGTGGACGGAGGTGGGAAGCTTTTAGCTCAAGTTAGGTTTTATTCTTAGCCTTGCGGTAGAAGAAACATTGTTATGTTATTTTTTTTGTAAGTGCTTAATGTTTCCGAGTGAGTGTGGGTCTCGTGTCTTCTTGTTGTATTATTATTTTAATTTTTTTAAGAACCGGTAGAATTTTTAAGTATGGAGTACTATTTTTTTGTTTTTTTAATCATTTTTCTTGTCTTTTTGATATCATAATCCCCGATCTCTCAATTGTAGGCCATTTATGATAAGCTAAAATAATTTAGTTGTCTTCTTGAGAGAAGAAACGGTTGAGAGAAGGCATAACTTGAGGCTGACGGGTCCTCAAATACTTGCGAAGAAAGTGTTGTGCATATTTTTCTCCTTCGTCTTCATTTTCCAGAATTCCCATTTTCCTGTTCGCTTTATTTATCCTACAGTTTTTATATAGACGAAGACAAAAATTAGTATAGTATTAACCCAAAAAAACAAAAACAAAAATACTTTTAGTTATAAATTCATTAAGGGATTTTTAAACTATATAACCCAAGGCCAAAGGCCAAAGAGTTCTATATAATATGCTTTTTTCACCAAGAGTTCTAATACTGTGATTATACAAAACTATTGACCACATATAACGAGTAGCTCAGTCAATAACTGAAATGGTTCATTTATCCATTTTAGATAATTGATTAACTCTTCTGAAAAACGATGCATTTATGCATATTACTTGACATCCGCTAGGTTTTACTGTTTTAATTACCAAGAAATAATCTATTGCATTTATACTAGATTTTACTAGAGCATGAAGACTAACCTGCAGTCAGGGTTTAACACTGCATTTCTTGTTAGTTGAAACACAACCATAGATGTCACAAATCCCATAGCTCCAAGAAGAGGATACACCTGATATTTTAATATAAATTAAAATAAAATTAATGTATCAGTATTTTTCTTTTCTCATCCTCAAACCAAACTCAATGATTTGATTCTGTTTTATTGATACAAAATTATACGATAAGCTCATATATAAATCTGTTATATTTTGAATACAAAAACTTAAATCATATTTGTTTGCTTCCTTACCTCAGGTCTCACCCAACGCCCCATTGCAATTGACACTTTTTTTCTCTAGATATACAGTCTTTGAGGATAATAATCAAATACAAACTTGTTCTACCGTCAGATTTTGTATATAATTTTTTTAACTATATGGTGTGACCGTGTGAGAAATGAGAATCATCAATACGTATATATAGTGGAGAGCTTTGACTAGCAATACGAAAGTCCATGCCCTCAAAATTGAAATTTAAAACCCACGGACTTGTTTCTGTGGGCTGATCTTGATAACTATGGTTATTAATTCAAATCTTAATGATTATTATCATACAGTATTTTTTTTTTTTTTTTTGACATCAAAACTCCATTGAAAAGCTAAAGATGTATGTGGGATTGCCTAGGCGGCTATCCAACTAGGCATCACATTATTTACAACAGAGTAAAAAGAACCTCGTGCACGAGCCTCTTTAGAGAGTGGAGAAGTGTAACTATTTTCAATAACAATATGTTTTATAGTTTCTTGTTGCGCCGAGCTGTTTACAAATTACATCACATTTAACCCCTATTTATTAAAAGAAAACTCAGGAGAGAAAGTTTCATGTGTCATATTTATAACACTTTGAGGAAGACATAAACGTGTCAAATTTGTTTTTGCACATAACGTGGACAACACCTTTAGACGAGTGAAATGTTACAACATACTATCCTATAATCCCTAAACATATATTTTTGAAAAGAGTGCTCAGGAAAAAACGAATACCACCAATATCCCAAACACAATATCAATTGTTTTCTCAAAATCTTCGTGGCTACAAGTCTATACGAAGCAATAAACATGGGACACGTTTTTTGTGGTCAAACTAAAATTCGATCGTTTCGTGCACCGCTTTCCAAATGGTCCCGTTTCAAATTTCTCCACTCACGTCTCCATAATGGCCTCAGACTAATTTCTAATGTGGGAGTCAATAGTTTTGAATTCTAATCTCCTCCTATAGTTACAATAATTAATTATATATGTTTAATTTAGGACCATATTATAAGGAAACTAAATCTACAACAACACTGATCTTTGTTATATTTCAAGATACAACAAATATAAATGTTTTGCATTCAATTAGCCCATATAGTTGAGGTAGCTTCATAATAACACTCATATTAAATCACTTGCAATTAATGATCTAAACATCACACACTAGATAATCCTAACCGGATCCGGTACGGTCTCAGAAGTATGAACCGGTTCAGAAGAGCCATTTTTTTCGATGTGATCCCATTTACATAAGAATCAAAACAGATAAGAAAGTGATGAGAAGTATCATGAATGGAGAAGTTCCAAGGTTTTGAGCAGCGTTAGGAAGCCATGGATATAAGTCTGGAGGTGGCATAACGCAGTTATCTCCGTTGAAGTAAATGCGTCTAGGAAACGCCCATCCTTTGTCGAATGTGAACTTTGACGGATTCTTTCGGAAGAGAAGCTCCGACTGAACATTGCCTAGTGGACCTGCTTGGCTCAACATATCGTTGTAGAACTTGATTCCCCACAGCATGGCCGTGTCATCTGCAAATGTTTGATCCAAAACGTGAAATTAGTTTATGACCTAACCCTAACCCTACCAAGAAGAGAAAGAAATGGGAGAAAATCAAGCAGCTATGGACTTACTTATGTCAGCGTAAGGATTAAGAGGTTTGTAGTTAAAGCTGAAAAGCTGAGTGAGATTGTCGAAGTTTGGATGCTGAGCGACCAAGTTCCACTGAGTGTAATTCATATTGAAGTTGAAGTTTGTGATTGTGACCTTCACTCGCCAGTACTCTTTGTAGCTGGTTTTAACATGCCAATGAACTCTGATGGGACACATATGTTGCGTACATTGCAAGAGCGGCTCGAGGTTGTTCTTCCCTGAAGTACCTCGTACTACCGAAGCTATCTTTGGGCTGTTACAAGAAAAATGATTCAGAAAATGTAAACAAACAAAACCAAGATTGAGTTTCCTAAAGAGAATAGTAACTACTTACTCAACACATGTACCAGCTAGAGAACTGTTTTGACATCCACAAGAACAAGTTGGGCATGGTACTATAGTTTGATTGTAGAAAGATGAGAGTGAGACACAACAAGTTGGAGTTTTCCGAGCTAGAAACTGCGAGTATGTGCACGTCATGTTCCATGTCACTAATTAACAACAAGAAAATGTGAAATTATCAGCAAGAAAAACGTTAAACCTTCTCTAGTAGATGCTAAGCAAAAACCCTAAAACTTACTCAAAGCCTGAGTCTTTCTTAGTTTATCCGTAGTAATGAATTTAGTCGGTGCAACGTTCTTTGCTGGTCCACAACTGTAACCTGGCCCAGGTGCCTTCAAAGTGACATTCCTAGGTGCCCTTACCGTCTTATTAGTCGTTCCAGATTGGCCAACGCTAATCTGAAACGAAGAAATAGCATTTGCGGGGTCTTGAGCCCACGAGTTTATCACGCCGCCTCTGCAGCAGTTGTTAAACTGTTTGTTGTAAGGAGTTCCCGGTAACAAGTCAACGACGGTCGGGGTTTTCTTGCAGCAGTGAGGAAGGTTGCTTTTGAACTTAGAACAATCTCCTTGTTCTGTGGCTTGCGCACCAACCATGTCCCAGATCACTTCCTTCTTAAGCCAAGTCCATCCTAATTGCCACCCTGGGGACTGAATGTGACGGTATTGTTGGAAATTGTGGATTGTTACAGTTGCCTGCATTCAAGAAACATTTGAAACAAGATTTGATTGTATATATATGACAAGTGGAATTTTCAAAAGATTGTGATTTTGGGGGTGAAGTGATAAGTTTTGTTACCACATAGCCATCAGCAGTCCAGCTAATTATGTCCCATTTTATGGTAATGTTTCCGTTTGGATCAAGTGCATCATATGCTTCTGTAAAAAATGATAATATCAAATAGATGAGCTCATAACCAAAAACAGAACCAAACCCCACAAGTTTAAAAAAATTGTTTTTTTTCTTATGAATTGGTTAAGAAAATATAAAAGACCAAAGCTTATGCATTCATCAAGCGTAGAATAAGGATGATTTATCAAATCAAAACCCAAACCATCAGCATAAACCCATGGAGATGGAGGTTCGAAAAGTCAATTATCATCTCTGTTTCTTCACTTTTCATTTTTTTCTATAACTCAATTTCAAGGGATTTTTCAGAATAAACAACACTAATTATCACAGAATGCAAAGGAGCCAAAAGTGTAAGAATCCGGTCAAAGCATTGAGCCAAACCTGTTGTGATGAACCTGTTACAAGAAAGGAGAAACAGAACAAAAACCAAGAATCTGGAGAAGGGAATGTCCATTTCCCTGATCTTTGATCAACCTCCGTTTCTTGATCTCCCGCCGGCGGAAACTTCTCGACGATGTGTGAGAGAAAAAAAGGGAGTGGAGAGAGATAGAGAGAGAACAGAGCCGGCTTAGTTTAACCATTAAGACTTCGGAGCACTTAAAGCCAAAAGTTCCTAGTTTTAATCGGTCTTTTACTCGTTCACGTTTTATACATTTCTAGATAATAATAAATATAGACCTTGAACAAGAAGATAATTCTAATTCAAAACCATCCGAAGAAATATATAATTATTTTAAATACTTTGACGAAGCATCACTGTTTTATATATATCACAGTAATCTTTGAAAGAAGAAACATAACAATAATCTTGCTGTTTCGCACATAAAATAATTCAGAAATATGTATCTTTAAAAATAAAATTGACGGTAACTAGAGCAGGCCATAGATATGCTTAAAATATTGATGATATGATACGTTAGTTTTTTTATAATAAAGGATATGGATACATTGGTTATAGGAAAAAAAAATCTACTGGTTGCCACTTGCCAGCTACATTCGATTACAATTCTCATTAATGATGTAAAACTGTATAAAAAAAATAGTATCATGTGTAAACTGTGAAGGTGGTTTTTGGCAGATACCAATTAAAAGTTATCTCATCAGAAATTGCAATGTAGTTCTTTAGCAAAAGAAATTGTTATGCAGTTTATATTTGTGTAGACTTGGAAAATTAAAACAAAGCCTAACTTTTCCAATCGAAAATTTAATTCAATTTAACAAAAAAACTCAAGTGGCTTTCATCTACAGCTAACTCCTATGTAATTCCATTTGCAAAGTACAGTTGTTTCAAGAAAAGGACGGCATGTTTGTCTATTCCTTGGGTCCATCCGAATCTAGAATCCAGTTTTGATTCGTCTGTCACGCAGAAAAAGCGTCACCACGTATAGTTACAGAACTGCCCTCGTCACAAGCCGCGTCACCTTTTTGTCGGTTTGTGTTTCTTTTCCTCAAGATTTTGATCATGTCTTCAACAGTAGTGTTACAAAACTGTGTGCAAGTAAAACAGATATGGGCTTGGATTGATGAAATTGGGCCAAACAGATTTGGATCATTTATCTTTTTGTTCTTGATATATAATGATATCGATCGAAGTGTTTGTTTTTTCTTACTTGATTCTTACTTGGACAAAGAGAAATTGAATTTTTATTTATTTTATCATTTCTGTTGCCATAAAAATGAAATACTTGTCTAACTATCCAATCTTTGTACGTCAGTCTCTATTGCAAAATAAATATCATATCATTTGCTGGTATATCTACCGATCAATGAGGCACAGTGGATTACTATTGTGCAATGGTGTTCTAGTACCGCCTAATTATTTCATTGTTTTCTCACTTTCTGTATAGTTATCTTTCTCATTTTATTAACTAGTTACGTGTAATCGTACCGTTTATAAAATCGGCAAACTCTACATACAGTGGGTTGAAGTTTCATGGATTCGAATTTTCTACAAAAAAACAATTTGGTATTGTATGCATTTAATTCTATCGCCATAATCTATCCAACCAAACTGTCTCTTTCTTACTGTTACATTAAATTATGTTCTTTCTCTTATTTTGTAAAACCAGAATATTATACAATATCAATATGTAATTTAAGAAGAAAAAAAGAGAGCAGCATATATATAAAAAAAAATACAATGAAAATTTAAAGGGAAAACAAAAAGTACGTAGCTAAGTGGATCTGGTGTGGCTAAGGGCTAACGTTTGCATCTGGTGTGGTAAGTGCAAGTAGCGGCTCGCTGATTAACTTGTGCGATGCAATTACCGTAGATCTTACTATTACAACCCGGTCCCTTCTGCAGAGTCTTGTAGCCTAATGTCTTCGTCGGTCGCTGTATCCGTCGCACCACCGCCTCAACTCCCTCCTCCTCCTCTTCCTCCTTCTCCTCAATTGCCGCAGTTATGCACTCTCCGACGGTGTCTCCGGGAGCACACCCGCCATATCTCAACCCACTTGTGGCATTCCCTGTTGCTGAAGCCGTCGCGGGAAGAAGCAGAAGTGAGATGGTGAAGAAAAAGAAGAAGAAGATGGAGAGAACTGGTTTGGTCATATCTCAAGCTAAAAGATAGGAGATGTGGAATTGTGGATTGAGAGGACGGAGATAGTACTCTCTCGTCTTATATCTTTAGGCACACTCACAAATTATTGTATTTTTACGTTTATCTTCTTCTTCTTTGTTGTGTGGACAGTATATAGGAAGGACCCTACAAGCCTACAAGGCAACACTAATATTCACTGCTCAAGTTCTTGTCTATATTTTTTATCTTCTCTGTCGGTCAACTTTTATTCTGTATATTTGCGAGAACATGCTCAGTTGCAAACGCCCTTGGCCACACAATTTCTTCTTTTATTAATATAAATATCTACACACAAAGGTTATATGTTACGAATGTATTATGAGTCAAACCATTTGCTTTTGTCGGCCAACTCTTAACTCATCATATTAGATTCAGAAATTAACTTATCTATGGGTACGACTATCTCACTAAGAAAAGTGATAAACTCATTTTAGAGTAACAAACCAACCTTAAGCATAAGGTAATAGACACTCTTCGAAAATAGATGGAAGTGGACATCTTATTCTTTCGATAAAAAACCAGCTCGGGATATTAATGAACAATTTTCTTTTCTTTCTAATTTCATCTTTGTACGTCAGATGATAGCAATAATTCCTCATCACTTATTGAGCAAATCATTTCATTCTCGGATATGATCTATCGAACAACGAGGCACAACATTCTCGCTTGTTTCACACGGACATTTTTATCCCATGAAATGTTTTTATATTGTCAACGAATAATTATTATGACTTTTTTTAACTGCTACGTACTTCCATAAAAAAAACAAAAAAAGTCATGCTTTTTTCTGATTTAAATAATTTTGATAACTAATTTATCATAGGAGACGCTTAAAAGTGGACAACTATTGTGCAATTGTGTTATAGTACGTCCAATCATCCATAATATTCTTTACCTGACATGATTTTCGAACATTACATAGGTTCGTCACCTTCACAAATAACTAACCTCATTTCGTATTTTGTTCGTCGTTGTAGTCTTTTCTCAGTTTGGCTTGGCAAGCGTACATTACTTAGTTAGTCATGCGAATTCGTACTGTTCATAAAATTGGCAAACTCTAAATAGATTGAAGTTTCAATGAATTCACATTTTCTACAAAAACATTGTATTGTATGCATTTAATTCGATCACCATTTCCTTTCCAACCAACCGACTTTCTTATCGTTATTACATTTAATTTGTTTTTTATTAACCAGAATATCATACAATACACAATTGTAAATGTTATTAAGAAAAAAAAAAAGGAACAGCATAGAAATTTGAAGGGAAAACAAAAGTTAGGCACGTTTGCATCTGTTAAAGTAAGTGCAAGTAGAGGCTCGCCCATTAGCTTGTCCGATGCAATTACTGTAGATCTTAGGATTACAAGGCGCCCCCTTCTGCAGAGCTTCGTAGCTTAATTGCCTCCTCTGTTGCAAGATCCGCCGCACCACCTGCTCCTCAACTCCTTCCTCCTCCTCCTTCTCCTCATTTGCCGCCGTTATGCATTCTCCAACGGTGTCTCCGGGAGCACATCCGCCATATATCAACTCACTTGTGGCATTCCCTGCTGATGCGCTTGTCAGAGTCGCCGCGAGAAGTAGAAGAAGAGAGACGGTGAAGAAAAAGAAGAAGAAGATGGAGAAAACTGATTTGGTCATGTCTCAAGCTGAAAGCTAGGAGTTGTGGAATTGTGGATTGAGAGGATTAACACAGTACCATCTCATCTTATATCTCTAATCTTTATGCACACATTAATGTACTCTTCTTCTTCTTCTTTTGTCATTATTAAAACCATGAATTATTGTCTTGCTGGTCCAATAAGTGCGGTTGGCAAATGGCAATTAACTCCAACTATACACACACACATATATATATATATATATATATATATATATATATATATAATTCAACGAACTTACAAATGATTGTCTTCTAACGTTTATCTTTCTTTTTGGACCCAACAAGGCAACAACTATATTCACTCCCCAAGTTCTTGTCTAGTTTTTATCCTCTTTGTCGGTCAACTTTTACTCAGTATATTTTTCCCAACAAAAATTGCGAGGGAAAAGTTAAACTACAAACATATAATGTGAGTTTTAATGTCAGTAGTATATATAAAAGATAAGATATGGCAGTTATTCTAAGTTTTGTTTTACACAATGATTCACTAGACTAAAGCTTTTTGAAAGAATGATTTCCATGAATAACTCTACAAACATTTAGTGGCCTCAACATTATTGTGGGAGTTGAATGTCACATATCTTACACCAACTGCTTTCGCTTTCTGATTAAAGTTGCAATCTGCATTCACTCTTTAAAAAGATAAAGGAGTGAAAGTAAGTTTGTTGCACATTTTCAGAAAGAGAACAAAGTCACTAAAACCCTGTAGATGAACAGGAAGGTCCAGGTTTGATGATCTAGATCATCTGGTTAAACTAAAACACATTTGTTGCAGCCTATGAGGGTTTTCTATGAACATATTATTTCTTGTAAAAAACAGAACAACAAGAAGAAAGAAATACAGATATAACCTCAAAAAGGCAACAAAAGAAAGAGAAACAAAACAACAAAATGAAACCAAAAAAAATTACAAAGGAATAGAGATCTGATGAGCAACTTTTGAAACACCAGTTAGTAAATATGATAATGATGATAAAGATACTTGTAAGAGACGTTAAGAAGTAGGGCTAATCCTGGCGATCTCAAGCAGAAGTTTATGCAAAGCTTGTGGCTTGGAGAAGAAAGGAGCATGGTCAGCGCCTTTTAACCGGTAAACTTTTTCAGGTGGACTACTATTGATCATGTTTTCTTGGAGAGTCACTGGTATGGCACTGTCTTCTAGCGTCTCTATATAGTACCGTCTAACCGATCCATACTTAGTATCTGAGAGAGAGAGTTTCTCAAGAACCGGTGCAAATGGAATCGACCTCATTGATACAGAAGCCAATGCAATGTCCTTTGAAGGGCTTTGATTGAACAAAAGATCTCTAAGAAGAGACTTGTCTAGATCAATGGCTGTTGGAGGCTGTTCATTGCCATTTGTGTAGATAAAAATCTGAGCTTTTCTCATCAAATCGTTCTGACCTGCCTGCAAAGTGTTTCATTATGGCACGGAACAAAGCTTTTTGAAACAGGAGAATAGATCAGCAAGAAAGCAAACCTGCAAGGAGAACATATCGAGTGTACTTTGACCATTCATCAACATCGCTGCAGCGAGGAAGACAGCTTTTGAAATCTTTGTAGGAAACAGGTCCATAGCATAAGATATACATGCTCCACCAAAATCATGACCAACCAAGATCACCTACAATTTCTTTAACATATAACATTGTCTAGTTTTTCAAAGATGACATTAGAGGGAAATGTGTGGAAATAGAAGGCAAACAAAGAAACAGAACCTTCTCTCCTGTGGGAAGCTTTTCAAGAATATCAGTAAGTGGCTTCACATATTGTGACAAACTGGCGATGCCATTTATGTTGAAGGAGTTAATACCGCAACCAGCTAAGTCTACGGCGGTAACTTTGAAACCATCTTCTTCGAGAAGTGCAATGGTTTTGTACCAACACCAAGCACCAAAACCTCCTCCATGGATGAGAACAAAATGGTTTGTTTCCAAATCATCTAGCTTCATACCCTAATCAAAAAATTTAAGTTCCATATAAAAAAAATTGATCTCAAGACTATGATAAAAAAAATTAGCGGCAACAGATCTCTATTACTGATTTAATACTATGCTTAAAAGACTCACATTGGTTTGTAACCACTAAATCAGTTGAGCTAACACGAATTAAAGAAACTACAGAATATTAGAATCCAAGATTCAATATTAAATGCTTATCACGTTTTGAGCACAACACATTTCAATTCCAAATATAAAAAACGTCTCTATTCAAATAGCATTGATAACTTCATGATTCTCTTTATCGTTTTTCATGTTCAATTTCGAATTTAAGACCCAAATTTGACGATTTTTTTTACATTTAGAACAGCCAAATTTGACGAGTTTATGTTGAAAACATTAAGAGATTTGACTTTAATCAATGAAGTATATTCAAAGTCAAAAACCTGGTTAAGGAACTGATGAGGCTGTAACAGAGGATCCGTCGAGGACCTTGACCTCGTGCTCGAGCTCCGAGGCAGCTGATTCTTCTTCGACCCAGAAACCGGATAACGTTGCGACGCGGACCGATCAAACGGCAGCGATCCGCCGTCTCCGCCACCGCCGTTCTGCTGTCTGAACAAAATTGCAGCAGCGGCAAGAGCGTGTTCCTGAATCACGGCATCCTCGAACTTGCTGTCCCTCCTAGTGGAAGACGATCTGACCCGGTTCCAACGGTTGCTGGTAGGACCCGACCCGGCGTTGGATGATTGTCGCTTCGTGACGGGTCGTCTCTTCTTCACGGGCTTTGGCGGAGCAAACAAAGAACAGAGATTTCCCATGAAGAGAATTAAAAGGCTCGAGCTTGTGAGAGAGAGAGAGAGTAAAAGAAAAGGTTTGGGCTTTATGGAGTTAGGGAGAGAGAGAGTGACGTGTGGATTCAGGTGAAAGTGGTGGCGAGAAAGTGGAATGGAGAAGCTGGCAACTTTTCAATGGCCTTCCTTCTTCTTCCTCTGTAAGTCGTAACCGTGAGGCAGAGAGGGACCAATGCTAAAAGGGAAAGTGCCTATAAAAAAACAATTATAATTAATTACTTTACCGTTTTTAAAATTTTCTTTTTGTAACGTAGGAATTTTTTTTTATTGAATAACGATTTGATATGATGAGGACAACTTATGTGTAAATTAAAATTATCCTTTTTCGAAAAATAATAACTTATGTGTAAAAACAGAAAAAACAACTTCACATGAACAATATCAATTTAAAACGATTAATCAATAATCAATAATAAATTTAGACATGAATTAAGTCACAAACTTCATTCTACTACTTCCGGCTTTCGAATTCTTCTAGATCTTCGAAAATGGTGGTAAAAAAACTAAAAATTGAACCGAAAAAGCTAACAATATATGGGAAATATAACTAACAAGCTTTTATAAATTGCGAGTGTAACTTTCTCGTGGCTATCCACTTACAAACACAAAGCAGTCTTCCACATTGAGCTTCATTAAGAAATAGAAAAAGACTCGTTAATCACTCTTTTATTCAAAATATGATCATCACAAGATCAAGTTTTTGTTTGGACCACTACTATATAATATAAGAAAGTAATTTGAAGTTATGAGAATCAGATCCCGAGGCATAAGTAAAATATATGTCAAGATATGTAGTTGCTAAGCTATCATCATCACATAGCATGTGAAATCTTTCGCAATGCAATATGTATTCAATCATATGATAAGTAAAGAGTCTTGTTAAATTACATCAGTCAATTCTTTTGAAATTTTATTTTCCCATTAGTAAGAAGCGACGAGGTTTTGGTAACTAACCATTGTATCAATTTTGTTCAGGTGAGAGTTTAGTTGGAGAAAATGTTTTGAACATTTGCTAGCTACACAGAATGTAGAGAGACCCATAAAGAAGTTAAGAGTTTTCTGACGTAATGTGTAGTATCGGAGCCATGAAGTTGGTTACTGATTAGATGAAACCGAGTTTTACCATACATATTTCATATCTGGCCTTCACTTTGAAGTCGTCCTAAATAACATTTTTTTTTTTTGCTAAATTGTAAATATTTCATTATTACAATGAAAAGTTTGGTTTTACAAATTGTGTGAACAAAAGGCAAAACCTTATACACGGTCCCATGACAAAAAAAGTTTAAAAAACATGGAAGCATAATCAATCGATAACAAGTTTAGCACTAAGCCAACACAAAGTAGCGATACAGAGCTTGCTAACTCGAGGAGTAATTGGAGAAGGCATTTACCCGAAGACAGATTTGCAGCTTGAAATAAGGTAGATCTCGCCATCTTAACTAAGTGGAAACTATTTCACAAACAGTCCGAACAAAGAGCTATTACTCCAAAGGGCTAGAGGAGGCTCGAACAAAGACTCTCCTCAACATCTCGGTATCGACGCTCAACCAGAACAACCTGGTAAATCCATTTGAATCAAAGGTTTTCAGTAAAAAGATATACACATTCTTATATCATTATAGTATTAATTTTCTAACTCGAGGAGTTAATTGGAGAAGGCATTTACCCGAAGACAGATTTGCAGCTTGAAATAAGGTAGATCTCGCCATCTTAACTAAGTGGAAACTATTTCACAAACAGTCCGAACAAAGAGCTATTACTCCAAAGGGCTAGAGGAGGCTCGAACAAAGACTCTCCTCAACATCTCGGTATCGACGCTCAACCAGAACAACCTGGTAAATCCATTTGAATCAAAGGTTTTCAGTAAAAAGATATACACATTCTTATATCATTATAGTATTAATTTTCTGGGAACATCATATGATTATAGTAATTGCGTAGCCTTTAAGAATTTATCTTATCAAAACTAGATGAAATATAATGCTAGAGAGAATTTGCACAATGCTAGAGAGAATTTGCACAGGAATATGGAGAAGATTTTGCACACATGCATAGAAATTAAGTCTTAGCTTCACTAAATGCTTTGACATTAGGTGACAAATTTCATGGACAAGTTCTGGTCATTGTATCTTACTTGTGACATTAAATCACTATGATTTTCTTTATGTCCGATATGAACATTTAAAAAAAAAAAACAGAATGTTCAATGTCCGAGCGGACCGGTATGACGACCCGACCCGAAACTGACAACGCGGATCTAAGAGGACCCCACAAAGGCACGTCCGAGCCACTTAACTCTTTCCTGTCGCTGAAAAATTCCTTTCTCTCTCATACATGGGCATGGGGAAGACCAAACGGCATCGAAAAGCCGTCGTTTCATCTTCCAGACTTGAGATCCTTAAATTCTCATCTCCCAATCTAAATCAATCAAATCTACGGAAGACTTTACTCCTCTTCCCTCCAGCTTCTCCACAAAGGTCAACTCTCGAATTCGCTCTCCCAATTTCTTCTTTTCGCCTTCTCAGATTTCAATTAGTGTTGAATTCTGGTACGTAGACTCTTTAATTTGTTGCTAGCAAGTCGCAACAAGATGAAATTTGACGGAATCGACTCTGTTTTTCTTGCTCGATTGATTCGTTTATCTTGTTCTCAGCAATGCTATAAATCTAGAGAATGTTCGATTGCGTAATGGATATAATTTTTGCTGTTTTTGATTTCAGATCATCGTAAACTTGAATTTGCGATTGCAAAGATTCATAATTTCTGCTGGTGAAACTGTTTTGTAGTTGCAAATTGTGGTTTTTTCATGATTTTTTTGTTTTAAATTATATTTCCGACTTGTTCATGAAGTTATTTTTTTCTCTTTGTATTTGTTCCATTGTCCTCTTAAACAGCTTATCTTGAAGTAACTACTGATGCAAAAACCTGAGTTTCTCGGAGAGGAGGCTATAGCATGAGACCGATCGAACATTGTGTGGAAGAGGAACCTGTGATTAAGAAAGCGAGAATGATCAATACTGTAGAACAAGCTCCTTTGTTAGATATGGAAGTCAAGGACGAGACTTGTGTTGCATCGATAGCTGTTGAAGAAGGGAAAGACAGTTGCGTTGAAGAAAATGAATCAAATGAGAGAAAGATAGAGGAAGTTTCTGCACTTAGCTTGGCAGATCCAAAACATGTTGACTTAGAGATGGAAGTGAAAGAAGTTGATGTTGTCTCAGGTGATGCAAACGTAGTAAAGCTTCCGTTTTTAGAGCTGGAAAAGGAAAATGCAGCTTGTGTTACAAGCAGAGATGAAACTCCTCCTGTGATAGATTCTTGTGTTGCTTCTGGTGGAATGAAAGAAGAGACTGGATCAATTCCATCCGTCTTGAAGAAAAAACTTCTTGTTCTTGATCTGAATGGGTTGCTTGCAGCTATAGTTTCTCCTGTCGCAGATTGTAAAGCTGACATTAATATTGGACGAAGGGCAAGTGAGTTTCAAGATCTTATAGTCATTTTAACAGAAGCTATTTGACAGTGATTTAACCACTCTGCAATTTTTTCTTGTTTCTGGCAGTTTTTAAGAGACCTTTCTGTGAAGACTTTCTCAACTTCTGTTTTGACAAATTTGAAGTTGGTATCTGGTCGTCAAGAAAGAAGTAAGCGTTACTCGTATATATATAAGTTACAAATCAGTTGCTTCCATCTCCGTTTGTATAATGTTCTAACTTTTGTTTACTTACAGGAATAACGTTGACAGAATCACTGAGTTCTTGCTCGGCGATATGAAGAAAAAACTCTTGTTTTGCTGGGTAGGTGGTTCTTGCTATATGCCCTCTCCTGTTTTTAAGAAAACGAGCTGTCTAATTTTCATCCGTTTTTTGTTGTTGCAGGACATGGCTTACTGTTCTACGACGACTGTTGGCTCTCTTGAAAATAGGCACAAATTTGTGGTGTTCAAGGATCTAAACCAGCTCTGGCAGAAACATGACCCAACACTTCCGTGGCAAAAGGGTGATTACAACGAAACTAATACGGTGTTGCTTGACGATTCTCCTTATAAGGCTTTGCTCAACCCGGTAAGCTTTTTCTGAATATTCGCTTGTATTCTTTTTGGATCATTATATACAACAATCCATGTTTTAACTTGTTAAAGAACCCTCTGAATTTCTATTACAGCCATATACAGCGATATTCCCTCAGTCATACAATCATCTGGACAAGACAGACGCATCCTTAGGTAAACGTCTTTATATTTGTTTTGTGTCTAGTTTGGAGGGTTTTGGTAAACAGAGAGAATCAGCACTTTCGGTTATGTGTATTCAAATTTCTAGATCTTGAAACTCTTTTCTTCTTCAATGGGATTCAGGTAGTGGTGGTGATCTGAGACTTCATTTGGAGAAGTTAGAAGAAGCCGAAAACGTGCAAGATTTCATAAAGAAGAACCCGTTTGGGCAAGAAGCTATAACGGAAGCAAGTGAATCTTGGGAGTTTTATAGACAGGCCATTGGTAATGTTCGTGAAAGAAGGATTTAACTGAAACGATTCTTGTGTTGTTTGTTATAGATTTTCTTTTCTTGTAAGAAATTGGAAACCTCAAGTAGCTTGCTTACTTAGATCTGGTCTAGTATGCTTTTGGTTTAATTTTTTTAAAAAAGAATCTCATTTCTCATACAGAATTTTGCTTTCAGTTTGTAACTTTAGACATCTAAAGTTTGTTATGGTTTATATGTTTCGGTGAGTAATTTGCCAGTGTTTGTGCCTTTGTGGAATGTAAATACTGTAAAACCGGTCTGTGCTTAACAAATTAAAGTGGATGATCCGGTCGTCGTAGCCAAGCCAATCTCACGTATGACGTATCATCTATCTCCAACCGGATAATAACCTTAACTCGGTATCGGTCAGATGGTTAACGATTTTAGAGCAAACATTAGTTTTACTTTTTTGTCGTCTTCACCAAAAGCCCCGCCGCGACTTCTCTTCTTCTCCGAAGAGCTTCTCTCGCCTTCTAGGTAACCAGTTTTGATTTTCGTCGCATTGTTTCTGGGTTCTCTGGTCGTATTGAAATCACTTGATTGTGTCCTTTTATCTTCTCGGGTTTATGAACCTTTCGATTTACATTTGTCAAATTTTCGCTCTTTAAATTGGATCTGTAAGTTCTCAAATTGTTGATGCTAATGTGTATAGTGTGATCTTAATATCAGTCATTGTTAATCGATCCAGCTTGAAATCTAATCATCTGCTCTTAGACACTGATTCGTTTTCCATCTAGCTCTACAAGTCAAACTCTTGTTGAATTCCTCTGTCTCGATTATTTCTCTCTCTCTCTCTCTCTTTTCCTTTTCAGTTTCAAGTTATCTGTCAGTGAAAATGTGATTACAAAGACACGATTTTGATGAGACGTTTACTTTTGTTTCCATTTCCAGTTTCTTCATATATACTATGAACTTGTTCTGCATATTTTGAAATTGTTCCACAGCTTAGTTTGTAGCAAATGGAAACAATTGAGCATTAGTAGAAGACAAAGAATCCACGATTAAGAAAGATAAAATCTTGTTAATGGAGCTAATGATATAGAAAATAGTTATGAGATTTTCTGTTTTTTGTTTCTCAGGAAGGTGGGGGTAAATTATGGTTCATGCCTTAGATTTGCAGAGCTTTATTCTCCGAGCTCGAGTGCTTAAACTTTACAGGCAAGCATTGAAGATAGCTCAGAGAGCTCCTCCTGATGTCAGAGGTTTGTGTTTTCATTACTCTGGAACATCATCTTTACATTCATATTGTCATCAGTTTTTGTAGTCATTGGTCAAATTTCCCAGATGATAGTAAGCTTGGTGTTTATGTTGTAGGAGAACTAAAACAGAGTATTAGGCAAGAGATGGAATTGAACAGTGAGTGTAATGACAAGCAAAAGATCCGGTATCTGATTAGTGAAGGATTAGAGAAGGTTAAAAGACTCGATGAGATGTTGGACATGCAAGGCCATTAAAAATTGCTTCAAAAATTTTGCTGCTACTGGTATTTATGTACTATAATGTATGTGTTGACACTTGAAAGCATCTAAGCTAATAGCTTTACTACTACAGAACAAAATTTTGTCTGATTATTGTATCAGAATAGAGTATAAGGAACAACACTTGTTGAGTATGTTGCTTCAACATTTGATGCTGGAATAATAGGTTTAACAGTGATGAATCATCTCTGTCGTATAAATCACTCTATTGGGCTCACACAATGATGATGATCTATGTTATTGGAATCAGTTCATGAAATGTTTTTCTTTACCTAACAAAAGCATCTTTACCTACCAAAAACAACTTTCATATGTTACAAACTTATAATCATATTTTACGTTACCATAAAAAATAAGTCTTGCCTCCAAGAGAGTCCAAGTGAGATTACATTGGACCTTGGTTAACAATGGCGTTAAGCGTGATCAAGATCTCCCGACTTTGGTACATACGGGTCGGATTTTGGGTGGGGACGACCGGTGAAGACAGAAGTCATGTCTATTTATCGTAACGATGAGTTCTCTTATGTTGACCGGTGAAGTGGAGATCGGCATCAAATACTATAACGTTTTCGATGAGTACTATATAGTATTCGATGGATCATGAGAAATCCAAAACTCCAAGCAAAAGGATTTTATTATTACAGTACTTTGATTCCTGAATACAAAGATCAAAATTTGGTGTGTTGTTGTTTCAAATGACAATAACGGAGCTAGAGCTTTAGGTTTGAGTTTTGTAGACCATTGTTGAAAAAAGAAAGGACGATGTCCATTTCAGTCTTCTTCAGGCACATTCCGATCTCGATGCCACCAGATTGGTCACGTCTCTCAGCCATTGAGAAGGCCTCTGCTTGATCAATAGAGACGACCTCGACCTTAACGGGTCTTCCCCACCCGAAATCCGACTCGTAAACTCCCAACCGGGTCGACCCGGCTACCGCCCCGCACTGTGTCCCTTTCTCCTGATTGAAATAGTCTGCCAACTCCGTCTCCATCTTTCGTGAGCTCAATCCTTTGACAAAATCGCTTAGGATCTTCGCTGCCGTTGAGAATCCCTTCACGTCCGCAAATTCACCCGCCTTGCGGTTGTAACTACCCGCCGGAAACATGCAGTTTCCGAAGTACGTCGCCGGGAGCGGCGGATCTAACCGCTCTCTGAAATCTCCCACGAAAGTGAGACCGACGGATCTTTCCTCGCTTCCTCCACGCGCCTTCACGAAGCAGGTCCACGCGTAGGCGTAGGCGATGACGAAAGTCGACAAGTGAAGAAGGTCCCGATCTGGACTCGGTGACTCGCTCTTGACTCGCTCCCTGAGTCTCTCGATGTCATCGCGTGAGAGCACGAGCGTGGCGAGAACGACGTCGTCTCCGAGCTTTCTGGCGGGAAACGGAGTGAGGCTTCTGCTGGTGTTGGTTTTGTCCCCTTTGAGAGATCTCAGAATCTCGATCACCTTTTCGTCGATTCCGGTCAGATCTTTGATCAGCGACCGATCATAAGACGGAGTTAGATTCGCCGGCAGCGATACTCTGTTATCTTTGCAGATGTGAGCCCAAGCTTTAACAAACATGCTTGACGTTTTACCGTCCATAACCGCGTGGTGTGCTGCGACGCCGATGGAGAATCCATGGTTTGGGAACAACGTGATTTGCAGAGAGAAGGTAGACGCTGAGTCATCTGAAACGGGTAACTCGGGCAGCAAGTTGTGTAATTCGGAAACTGGACGTTGACCATAGCCGGAGAGATGAGAAAAATCAGCGTCGGTCTCGGCTATTGTCACCGAAACAGCATCGTTTTGAAAGACGACTATGCTCGGCTTGGGCTCGTTTGGATCCCAGGTGAGGCGGCCGGTGAGAGGGAGATAGTTTCGGAGGACTAGGGAGAGGGATAGCTTGAGCTTAGGGAGGATGAAGGAGTTAAAATGCTCATGAGTCGAGTGGGTGAGTCTGTAGAAGAAGACTCGCTTGACCGGACTGAACAGTAGCGACGGTAGGTCGAAGAAAGTTAAAGGGATTGTGAGCGAGTTGAGGACCGAGTCCGAGTCGGCTGCGGGGATGACTCGGGCAACGTGAATGACGTGAAGTGTCATACTGGCGAAGAGTATGTAGGAGTTTAATAGGATACCGTGGCGAAGAATGTCATTACGCACATTCTTTGTATATACTGCTAACAATTTGAATCGTGGAAAGTTATGTTTGAAATTTGAATCTAGATTGAAATCTTTACTTTTATGTATTAACGACAAAACTATACAGCTAGTTTGAATCAAGAGTTGTAAAGTATAAGTTATTCAATTTGATGAAATAAAAAAAAATTGATCGTGCAGGAAGCATGAATCTCGCGTGCTCTTATAATGGGACTATTAACATGAATACTAGAAATCTTATTTACTAAAATTAGAATTAGGTACACAATTGTTGACTCGCTCCCTGAGTCTCTCGATGTCAATATGTGTCAAGTGTCGTAGCGAGTGAGAACGAGAGTGGAGAAAACGACGTCGTCTCGCAATAAAATTAAAGAGATGCCTCTATATTCAAGCCTTAGGGGAAATTACCAATTCTAGACCACAATTTGATTTTTTCTAGTCAACTAGACCACAATTTGAATCAAATGCAAAACTAACCTCTTTGGGTAGTAAAATTACCCCACAAGCCCTCATGACCAAACAAAAAAACGCATGCCTCGATTACGATTATAACCTCCGGATAAGTAGATCTACTGGTAGACAATGTTAGAGGTCTACCTCGTAATAACATCTTAAATTTTAATTAACAATTAAATAAAAAATATTTTTATACAAAACAAGTATGAATAATTCTAATATAGACATTATCATATACAAAAAATATGAATGCATACAAATGAATGATTTATAGATAAGCAAAGACATATATTATATAAAAATGTGTGAGGTCTACCGAGTAAGTCTACTATATCATTAAATTTAATTTTTATTATAAAAATTGAAAAAATATTTTGATGAAAATTATTTATACATAAATACAATACAGACAACTTGCATCTATCTAAAATATAATTTCATAGATTTGAACCAACTGAACTATAAAAAAAAAAATTAGGTTAAAAGCCTATAAAACCATGAGAGGTCTACCAAGTAAGTCTACTAAATAATCAAATCTTAAATTTAAATTAAGAAAATTTAAAAAATAATTTGAAATATTTGTTTCACAAATAACGAAATAATAGACATTTAACATATATTAAAAATAAAATTTCATAAAAATCATGAATCTATAAATATCATATGTAAATAGTTCATAAGGATAAGAGTTTGAGTAGATTGTTTAGGGTTAATGGGGAGAGTTGTAGGGTTTTGAAAAAATTTTAGATGAAGAATTGTTTTTGGTTGGTTTTACGATTCAATGTTTGTTTATTTGTGATATACACTGTAAATTGACAATATGGCAAGCAAATCGTTGCAAAATTGTATCTAAATTATTCGATTTAGGGTTTAGGGTAAAGTAGACCTAACAAGTAGACGGATCGAGTAGACCGAAGTGGAGGTCTACCGACCGCGGGAATCCCAAAATTTCAAAATAAAGCGGCGGGAATCGGAAATTACCTGCTGAAATTGAAACGTTTCAGTAATTTTGCGGTAGACTGCAGCTATAGACCGTAGCTGTAGACCGGATCTGTAGACCTTAGGTTAAAATTAATAAAAAAAATTCTTAACCGATAATTAATCAAATTGAATAATTTACTCCACTTAACCAATATTTAACCATATTTTATTTTTGATCTAACCAAAATTTTGGACCCCATATAAATATGTTTTTTTTTTCTTTAGAACTCTCCTCTCTCTCTCTCAAACACGGCGGCGCTCCCATTTCTCTCTGGTGGGAGAGAAAAACAAATCTAGATCTGTGCCCCAGCAATATCTTCGATGTATCTCCGCCGTATTCTCTCGTCGGAACGGAGATCTTCTCCTCTACAGCTAACGCGGCGTGTTCGCTCCGCCTTCTCCTCTTAGTCGGAGCTTCCAGATCCCGCCGTGGACCTCCGCAAAATCTCTCACCTGTTTTCGTTGTGGTAAGCCGTCGTTCTTCTTCTTCGTTCTTTGTGTTCATCTCTCTAAACCCATCTTCACTTTCTCAGTCTTCATTTCTTTTGGTTGTGTTCATGTTGGATTTTCCAATGCCCGTGATTAATTATATAGCCCATGTTTCTATGCTATTCCTTCATTCTCTGACGATTTAAGAGCTTTTTTCAAGGAATGCAGTCACAGACTTTTTACTTTCTGCTTGATGAAGAAAGGTCAGAATGGAAAAATTTACATCACTAATCTTGATTTCACCCCTACTGAATATATCTACTAACAGCTACATCATCACTCTATTTTTCCTCCAAGATTCATATATTTGAGATTTAAGTTTCATGTTCTGATTTTTTTTTTTTTTTTTGCGTGTTTGAGAGAAAGATCTGGTGTCTGTCTCACAGGGGTTTGGTGTCTCCTCTGTCACCTCTTGTTCAAGAAGGATTAGTAGACAGAAGGCGTAGACCGACAAGGTAGACCCACAATTTGGTCTACCAGAAAAATTAAGCTAGATACCTAATTCAAAAGAAAACCGAATATAGCCTTAATTACGCCGAAAGAACATTTCAAACTCACACAGAAGCAAGTAAACAAATAAAAACAACTAATTGTTCGAGAAAATTTCAAAATATTTGATATATTGAAAGGAAAACGACATTTTAAAAAACACATAATAATAGACCTAAAACGTAGACGTTCGGAGTAGACGTTCACGGTAGACCTCCACTTAGGTCTACGTCCACGTGGAGGGTTAGTTTTGCAATTGATCGAGAAAAATGTTTTTTTGGAGGTCTACCTTGTCGGTCTACTACACGTGGAGGGTTAGTTTTGCAATTGACCAAACGTTGACTTTTACACGAGGTCTACCGTATACGTCTACCAGAAAACGTAGACCTCTCAATCGGTCTACCAAAAAAAGTAGACCTCTGAATTAGTCTACGCCTTAGGTCTACCTACCGAAAACAGTTTGTTTTGCCGTTGACTCAAGTTTGACTTTCCTGGGTAGACTTCCGTGGTAGACCTCAGTTTTTTGCGTTGACCAGTAGACCTCACTTGCGGTCTACCGGATGGTAGACCTACACGGTAGACCTCAATGTCGCAAAATCTCTCCTTTTTGAGGAAAGTCAAACTTGAGTCAACGGCAAAACCAACTTTTTTTTTTAGGTAGACCTAAGAGGTAGACCTCCGAAAAACATTTTTCCTCTATCAATTGCAAAACTAACCCTCCACGTGGAGTAGACCGACAAGGTAGACCTCAAAAAAAACATTTTTCTCAATCAATTGCAAAACTAACCCTCCACGTGGAGTAGACCTAAGTGTAGGTCTACCACTCATTTTTTTTGTTTGCAAAGGAAATGGCACAGTCAACTCTGCGTTGACCAGTAGACCTAAACTGAGGTCTACTATGTAATGGTAGACCTACATTCAGTCTACCTTCGCAGACCAAAACTGAAATTCTTAGAATTTTGAAAGAAAAGTTACTGGCCGTCGGAGAAAGCTCTTCGAGGGCTGATAACTTCAATTTAGGTCTTCAATTACGAGTTCCGGTCATCACTGTAAGCTAAACAATTGGAAATGCCAAGACCCAAGATTTGAGTTTTCTTTTAAGTTTTTGGGATGAAAATGGAGAGAAAATGGAAGAATAAGAGTTTGTGAGATGAAAGAAGGAGAAATGCTAGCTCCAAAGTGAGTTTTCAGAGCATTAACAGCTCCAAATTGGGTAAAAATGGTGGTTGTCAACATTGATGAAATGGCATTTTGGCAATTAAGTGTAGAAGATGAGGGGTGTTTGGTCTTTCAGCAGATCTGGTAGACCTAAATATCGGTCTACCAATCGAAAAAGTAATGGCATTTGTAATTAATTGGAAAAAACTGGACAAACTTAAAATGAAAAAACAGGAGGTTACTTTTGCATTTGACCACAATTTTGGGTCTAGAAGTGAAACAACCCCAACATCTTATATATAATTAGGAGTTACTCTCTCATCTAAAATGTCCACATAGCACCAAAAATTCATTAAATTATTTTTAAGATATTTAATATATGACTTTCATATTTCTTTACATATATTTATATTTTAAATATAAATAAAACTAAGAAAAATACACAACTAAATTACTTAATTAATATAAAATATGTGATAACTTGATGTTAAAATTTATCAAAAAGTTTGAATATAAGTAAAAATATATGTAACTTGAAATGGTATATATTTACCTTTTTATTAAAAGAATTTATCCTATTTCAAAATGTTATAATGTGTTTACAAGTTAAAAAGTTGAATATAAATTAATTAAGATAATAAAAAGCCAATGAGAAATTAGAGTTAGAGTTTGTTTTTTAAAAAAAATAGAAGTCGAGTTTTTATATGTAAATTTAATTGCAGTGAAAAACATGAAAATTTTAAGGATTGTGATATGTTTGTCTCAAAATATAATTAATATTTACAAAACTAACATAATAGAAAATAATCAATGGTTATGAGGCTCATATGCTACCACAACAAAGTAGATATGTAAAAAAGTATATATATTATTTTTTTCATCTTATTTCGGGTCCAAATGCTATTTTACATTATGCTTACAAATTTTAACGTTGAGTCAAATGCATATGCATGTTTATAGTCTAACAGAAGTAAACAAACATAATATTTATAACATGCTAAAATTTTAGAAATAGAAAACTCGAGATAAAGTGGGAGTGTTAACATCCTAATAAAATAAAATAAAAGACAAATTGTTCATATTTTTAATGTTAGTGATTGGGTTAACTCAAAACATAAAAAAAAACATCAAAATTAATACAAAACTATCATAAAGTGTTGTATGATGGTTAATACTCTTTCTGTTTCACAAAGTGTCGTTTACTCTTTTGCAAATTATTCTCTTTCTAATTAATATAAATTAATTATTTTAATTAATGGTGACAACATTATTATATAGCCAAATTATGACAAATTTAAGAATCAAAGTTCGGTGATGAATTGGCTTTATATAAATAGACACATATTTAATAAATATATATAACTACGAGTAAAGGAACAAATGATTTTCAATATCTCCCCAAACAGAAGGAGTACTATCTTAATTAATGGTAACAACATTATTGTATAGCCAAATTAAATTAAACTGATGAAGATTTTCCCCACCAACCTTTTCTTGGACTCACGAAGATTTTCCCACCAGTTATGGTTGTTGATACTTGATACCAAATCTCATGACCTAACTTTAATTAATATCTTAATTAATGGTAACAACATTATTGTATAGCCAAATTAAATTAAACTGATGAAGATTTTCCCCACCAACCTTTTCTTGGACTCACGAAGATTTTCCCACCAGTTATGGTTGTTGATACTTGATACCAAATCTCATGACCTAACTTTAATTAATATCTTAATTAATGGTGACAATATTATCGTATAGACAAATTAAATTCCACGGAACTTTGATTCTTCTATATAAAATTATTTGTTTCTTTACTCGTAGTTATATATATTTATTAAAATCATTTTAAAATAAGTTATCGAATCTTTTTATATTATTGATAAGGGTTACGTAATCATGAGTTTTCAAATGAAACTAATTGACAATCAATGGACTGATCTATGTATAACTTATACTAGTACACTACTTCAAATTCCTTCTTAATCATTTCACTGTATCATCGTAACATTGACGCAATTTTACCCCAAAAAACAAAAAATCTTTTTCTTTTCTTTTTTTGGTAAAAAAATCTTGAGACCTACACTTCACCATTTTCTCATTTTCTTAAAGTGCCGCAAGCTTGTTCTTTTTAGATATTCTTTTAAGGGTGTTATTAGATGTTGTATTTAAAATGAACTGAAATAGGTTTTATAATCCATTAGATTTAAAAAATTTGTGCTATTTTAAGAATCCATTTCAGTTGATTCTAAAATCTAGAGATATCTTATGGATTATGTTTTGTATAATTTACTCATAGAAATCTATTGGAAGTTATTTTAAATGACTCAATAAACAAATGATTTAAAATGTCAATTTAGATTTGAATAACAGTGGATTTTAAATATGAATTTGAAATCTTGATTGAATAACACTAGATTTGAAACTCTATTAATGAAAGATTATAAATCAGATATCTAATAACACTGGATTTTAAATCTGGATTTGAAATCTTAATTAAATTACACTGATTGTAATTCAATTTCAGTTTATTTCAAATACAACATCCAATAATACAGTGGCATATAGAGATCATTATTTATACACACTTTTGTCCCGCCCAACGAAAAAGTAATTATATAAGTGGGTCCAATAACTTAATGTACCATGCAGGATGCAACAATATTAATGAAATCGAAAACCCGTGGTATGATGGTGAATCATTTTGAATTCTCTACAACCGAACACACACACATGTAAAAATCTTCATGGATCATCATATTTCGGGAGAAAATCAAAATAATGTAGACAAAAACAATTATCAACTACAATAGTGATGATATGAAGTAGCCCTGGGCATAATCACCCAGCTCGAAATACCCAACACGAACTGAACCAAACCAAACTGAAAATTTTAAAATACTCGATTGGGTTAAAATTTTTAAAATCGAAAGACTCGATATCCGAAATACCCGACTCGAACTGAACCGATACCCGAAGTAGACCCGAAGTAACCCAATTTTTTTGATATTTATACTTATAATACATATATTATTTATTTTTATACATTGTAAACCTCTGATTTTTGGATAATATAATTATTTTCGGTTATTTTTACAAATTTTGGATATTTTCTGATAGGTTTAGATATTAAATGACCGATCAAAAGTGCACCCAAAAAGAGTTCGGATATATTTCGGTTCTTTTGTTTAAGAACCGATAAACCCAAACCCAAACCAAACCGAACAAAAAATTGAAAAATACCCGATGGGGCCTAAATTTTTTAAACCGAAAGACCCGATACCATACCCGAAATACCCGACCTGACCCGAACCGAATACCAGTACGCCCAGGGCTATGAATTATTAATTGTGTTGGTAAGTTGTGACTTGTGACCATATGCATATGCATTTTGTTACTAAATATAGAGCCTCAGTTTAGCACGAGGCATATGTATTTAACAATGTTTAATTTCTTTCTATAAGTAACATCTTTAAGTGCTAATCAATAACGCACCATCTCTTCAAACTCCCAAACACAGACCTTAGATCCGAAAAAACAATGGCGATCTTGATCTATCTTTTCTGGTTTTCTTTCCTCACATTCTTCTCCTTTATCTTTCTTAAAAAGAACAGAAACCCTAAATCGAAATTGCAACCTCCTCCGGGCCCTCCGAGTTTTCCGATCATCGGAAACTTGCACCTGCTCCAGGGATTGCCTTACAGATGCTTTCACCAGCTCTCGCTCAAGTATGGTCCCGTGATGCTTCTCCGTCTAGGGTTTGTCCCAACGGTTGTGGTCTCCTCCCGAGAAGCAGCCGAAGAAGTTCTCAAGACGAATGATCTTGAGACATGTAGCCGACCAACGTTCGCAGGGCCAGACAAACTATTGAATGGCAGTATAGACATCACTTTTGCACAGTACAATGAGTCGTGGAAAGAGAATCGTAAAGTCGCAATGATGGAGCTTTTAAACATTAAGAAGGTACAATCTTTCCGCTACATCAGAGAAGAGGAGATGGATTTCTTGGTGAAGAAAGTATCGGAATCGGCTTTGCAACAATCTCCTGTGGATCTAACCAAAACCTTTTTCTTCATCACCGCAAGCATCATGTGCAGATCAGCTTTAGGACAAAACTTGCACGAGAGGGAGGACAAGATCGAAGAACTCGTTATTGAGACCGCTTTAACTTTAGATTGTTTTCGTTTTTCGGACTCTTTTCCTTGCAGACTAGGATGGTTCCTAGACTGGTTGTTTCAAATGAACAAGAGGCTAAACAAAGTGTGTAAGAAGCTTGATGCTTTTTGCCAGCTAGTGATCGACGAGCACTTGAAGCCAGATGGAAAGAAAACTAGAGATCCTCCTGCACATATTGTTGCCGGATTGTTCAACATGATCGAGAAGCATGGTCATCGAGATTCTTCCAAACGCAATATGGATCAAATCAAGGCCGTACTCGTGGTCAAACCTTATATCATTATCTACGTATATATATATATATATATATATATATATATATATATATATTTTTCTTTTCGTGGAATTTGCCTTAAGTAAGTTAAATATTTTATTCAGCCTAATGACTTAATTAGGTAAATTCTAACGTGGTCAAGTTGGTATATTAAGTTATTAACTAAGAATTAATCATTAATATTGACTATTAAACTACCTACCTTTTGTTTTGCATGTTTGCCAGGATTTATTTCTTGGAGGAATAGATAACGGTGCCATAACCTTGATTTGGGTGATGGCGGAGCTCATGAGAAACCCTAGAGTGATGAGAAAGGCACAAGATGAGATCCGAACCATCCTAGGGAGCAAGAGGGAGAGAATCACCGAAGAAGACATAGACAAAGTTGAATACGTGAAGCTCATAATCAAAGAATCATTCAGACTACATCCACCACTTCCACTTTTGGTTAGAAAAACTAGGTCTCACGTCAAGATCCAAGGCTACGACATTCCACCAGATACAAGCATCATGATTAATATATGGAAGATCGCACGAGATCCCAAGCATTGGGAAAGCCCTGAAGATTTCATTCCCGAACGGTTCATCGACAGTTCTATATATTACAAAGGACAAAACTTTGAGCTCTTGCCTTTTGGTTCTGGTCGGAGGATCTGTCCAGGAATTGCAATGGCTATTCCTATCTTAGAATTGGGACTCTTGAATCTGCTTTACTTTTTCGATTGGAGATTGCCAGATGGGATGATCGATCAAGGCGTTGATATGGAAGAAAACGGCACTATCTCTGTTGGCAAGAAACGACCTCTCCTCCTTGTGCCAAGTCGACACTATTGACGAAAGTGTCACAAAAGCTTCGAAAGTTTGGAAGATTCTAAGATTGTTTGAATTTGCACACTTTACTCTGTCTCAGTCAATAATGTAAGTGAGGCTGTTCATGTCTACTGTCGTAATATTCTATTATCTACGTGCATGTGTTTTTGTATTTACTCGTATGTCGTGTGTTACAAGCTTTCTAATTAAAATTGAACGATTATTTTTTCAAGGACGAAATAGGGATTTCCGAAGATGTTTTAGCTAAAAAAACCTAAAATCATGAAGATTAAGACATATTTAACAAAAAATAACCGATCTTGAATATATTTTCATGATCACAATCTTAAATTAATCTAACCACTACAACAAGTAAGAGAGTCGTGTGGGTTATTTTATTTCAATCGATCACATAGGAATTTGGACCATTATCCAAGGCTATGATGTTCCCGCCAAAACCCAGATCTTTATCAACGCTTACGCGATTGCACGCGATCCAAAATACTGGGAAAAACCGGATGAGTTTAACCCGGACAGGTTTCTGGACTGTTCCATAGATTACAAAGGACTAAAATTTGAGCTTATACCGTTTGGTTCCGGTAGGAGAATCTGTCCAGGGATGGCGACGGCGATCTCCATTATGGAACTGGGTTTGTTGAATTTGCTTTACTTCTTCGACTGGGGTTTGCCGGAGAAGGACGAAGGTGAAGAGATCCTCACCGGAAATGAAGATGCTCTTTAATTTAATATGCTAACGACCAAACTTAGAATATTCTTTACCAAACATATCCATCTGTTAACAGTTTGAATCGGGACTTATAAAATGTAAACAATATTTTACTCGACTTATTAATTTGTAAACAAATAAAGTTTGGGATCTTGCAAGAAGCATCAATCTCACATTGTAAACTAATCGAGATCTACCAACTTTTAAACTTCTTAAAACCTTTAAAGTTGTAACGCTAACCAACTTTTAAGTTTTAAATTATTTCTAGACTAACAAAGCTTACATGACACGATCTCGGAGGGTATAATAACGGGGTCTATGAACTAATTAAGTGCTAATAACTTCTTCATCAATGTCGCTAAAGGTAACCAAGATATCCCGAGTCAAACCAGCAACAAACTCCTCTCAGGATTCAGTCGACTCGCTCGTTCTTCCACTCACTTTCTTCGACTTACGCTGGTTGAGATTACATCCGACCGAGAGAGTCCTCTTCTACGAACTCCATGCAGACTCATCTCGAGAGTCCTTTCACTCCGTGGTCCTCCCCAAGCTTGAGCGCTCTCTCTCCGTCGTCCTCTGTCACTACCTCCCGCTCGTAGGTCGCCTCACGTGGGATCCACAGGATCCTAAGCCATGCATCGTCGTCTCACCCAACGACTTTGTCTCATTGACAGTTGCGGAGAGCGACGCTGATTTTTCACGTGTTTCAGGAAAAGGGATACTTCCCCAGACGGAGGTACGTTCTTTGGTGCCTGAGCTTCCGTTTTCTTGCGACTCGCCGTCTGTTCTTGCGCTACAGGTCACGTTGTTCCCGAACCAAGGGTTATCCATCGGCATCGCAGCTCATCATTCCGGTATGGACGGCAAAACAATGGCTAGGTTTATCAAATCATGGGCTCACGTCTGTAAACACGGAACCATTGCCTTACCTGTAGACTTAACTCCGTTATTTGATCGTACGATCATCAATGTTTCTGAAAGTCTAGAAGCAAAAATTTTGGAATTTTCGTTACATTTCTTAGGGGAGAAAGACAGCCTAAGATCGCTGAAGCCGCCTCCTACCGTGAAGCCCAGCCTAGACTTAGTCCGCGTCACGCTTGAGTTGACTCGGAAGAACATAGAGAAGCTTAGGGAGCGAGCCAAGAGTGAGTCAACTCGCTCTCAGCTTGAGCTTCAGTTGTCAACGTTTGTTCTTGCTTACGCCTATCTATGGTCATGCTTGGTGAAGACGCGTGGAGGTGACGTGGATAGACCCGTGCGCGTTGTGTATCTTGCTGATTTCAGGAACCGGTTAGATCCACCGGTTCCTGAGAATTACTTTGGGAACTGCGTGTTCATGATCGGTTGCTTTGGACACAAAGCGAAGACATTCTTGGGGAAAGATGGATTCGTCAACATGGTAGAAATTCTTAGCGATTCGGTCAAAGGTATTGGTTCACAAGATATTGAAGCACTTTGCGAGTCGTACGTTGAAAGAACCAAGAGCGTGAAACCGGGTACGCAAAGTGGGTTCATTGTTGGGTCGAACTGGTTTGGGCTATATGGGTCAGATTTCGGTTGGGGAAAACCAGCAAATAGTGCGACTGTGTCTATTGACGGGATGGAGGCGTTTGCCATGTCAGAGAGGAAGGATGAGTTAGGTGGCGTTGAGGTTGGCTTGTGTCTGAAGAAACGTGAGATGGATGTTTTTGTTTCTCTATTTCAAAATGGTTTGGAAAACTAAAAACTTTTTTTTTTATTGTTTGCTTTTGTGTATCTGATTAGGGGACTTTCTCTTTGTCAGTGATCGATTTGTGATCTCAAGTTTATTTCCTGTTCTTTTTTTGTTTGTGTGTAAAATGTTATCTTGACTCCTTCCTCAAGGTAACATTTCAAGTGTAATCTCAAGTTATGTTAAATTGGACTCCTTCCTCAAGGTATCATTGTAAATGTAATTTTGATTTCCCATGGAGTCAAACGTCATTTTGTGTGTGTTGCGGCATCAATATTAAGAGATTTGGACCAAATTATTTGGTGTATGATTAAATTTATTTTGGCATGTTATTATTTTTTCTTTTACCAAATTGTTTCGTTCATTAACATCTACTAAGATCCGATTGTTTATTTGCGTTTATGTTCGTGTTTCTGTATTATTATCATTATCAAACCGAGAAACAGAAAACGAAAAGAAAGAAACGGGCGGGACATTACCTAATTATCATCATCTATGTGTGATGTTCTTCGGTTTACTACATTCAGAGAGCATGTTTCAAAAATTCGAGGGAGTGGAAGTTATGGGTGTTGAATCTCAATGTCACACAATAATATCTGATATTAGATGGGTGTAGGAGAAAACTCTTTTATTAGATTAACCAAAACTCAAGAAGATAAAAGGGGTGATTAAACTGGGTGACAAGATTTACCGAGACGATCGAAGAGACTAAGAATAAAAGTAAGCTAGGGTTTCGTATTTTTCTCCTCTGCTCTCTAGGATTTTTTTTATGGTCTTCAAGGAATGAGGGGTTTTGTATTTACAAGGAGAGGAGTTCGGCTTCATCAACATACTCTTCATTATTTCTTTTGAAAATATTTTTTTTTGTGTTGAATTTTTCCATTTTTCTTCGAAGTAGTTTTTTCTCTAAGTACTTCATTTTCTTTAAAGAGGTTGAAGTAGAAAGGACCGAGCTTGCACAATGTTATTAATTGTGACAGGCTGAAGAGAATGTGCTCATTCTAGCTCTAACAATAAGACCGCAGTAGTTTGGCGAATTAAACAATTTCCATGGAGATATTTTAAAAAAATTGTAACCAGTTGCCAATATCTAATGCAGTAGATTTGTATCTTGTGGATTGTTGTAGGAGTACAGTTTATAAAATGTGGTGAAAAACGGAGTTGGAAGATGACAATTACTGCAAATCGTGGGAATATGCTTGAATCGAGATTGATACAGAAGCATCTCTTTAATTTTATATGCTAAGTTGCTAACGACAAAACTTATAATATTATTTACCAAACATATCCACCTGTTAATAGTTTGAATCAAGAGTTTTATAAACTGTAAACAATATTTTACTCCACTTATTAATTTGTAAACAAATAAAGTTTGGATCTTGCAAGAAGCATCAATCTCACATTGTAAACTAATCGAGATCTACCAACTTTAAAACTCCTTACAAACTTCAAAGTTGCATTTTTAAACTCCTTAAAACCTTTAAAGTTGTAACGCTAACCAACTTTTAAGTTTTTAATTATTTCTAGACTAACAAATCTTACATGAACATAACGGGGTCAATGAACTAAGTGCTGATCGAGCTGCTAAGTGCTAATAACATCTTCATCATGGCGCTAAAGGTAACCAAGATCTCCCGAGTCAAACCAGCAACAAACTTCTCTCAGGATTCAGTCGACTCGCTCGTTCTTCCACTCACTTTCTTCGACTTACGGTGGTTAAAATTCCATCCGACCGAGAGAGTCGTCTTCTACAAACTCCATACCGACTCATCTCGCGAGTCCTTTCACTCCGTGATCCTCCCCAAGCTTGAGCGCTCTCTCTCCGTCGTCCTCCGTCACTACCTCCCGCTAGTAGGTCGCCTCACGTGGGATCCACAAGATCCTAAGCCATGCATCGTCGTCTCACCCGACGACTCTCTCTCGTTCACAGTAGCGGAGAGCGACGCTGATTTTTCACGTGTTTCAGGAAAAGGGATACGTCCCGAGACGGAGGTACGTTCTTTGGTGCCTGAGTTTACGTTTTCTTGCGACTCGCCGTCCGTTCTTGCTCTACAGGTCACGTTGTTCCCGAACCAAGGGTTCTCCATCGGCATCGCAGCTCATCATTCGAGTATGGACGGCAAAACGATGGCTATGTTTGTCAAATCATGGGCTCACATCTGTAAACACGGAACCATTGCTTTACCAGTGGACTTAACTCCGATATTGGATCGTACCAGAATCAATGTCTCTGGAAGTCTAGAAGCAAAAATCTTGGAACTTTCGTTACATTTCTTAGAGGAGAAAGACAGCCAAAGGTCACTGAAGCTGCCTCCTACCGTGAAGCTCAGCCTAGACTTAGTCCGCGTCACGCTTGAATTGACTCGGAAGAATATAGAGAAGCTTAGGGAGCGAGCCAAGCGTGAGTCAACTCGCTCTCAGCTTGAGCTTCAGTTGTCAACGTTTGTTCTTGCTAATGCCTATCTATGGACATGCTTGGTGAAGACGCGTGGAGGTGACGTGGAGAGACCGGTGCGGTTTATGTATGCTGCTGATTTCAAGAACCGGTTAGATCGGCCGGTTCCCGAGACTTACTTTGGTAACTGCGTGTTCCCGATCGGTTGTTTTGGACACAAAGCGAAGATGTTTTTAGGGGAAGATGGTTTTGTCAACATGGTCGAAATTCTAAGCGATTCGGTCAAAGGTATTGGTTCACAGGATATTGAAGCACTTTGCGAGGTGTACGTTGAAGGAACCAAGAGCGTGAAACCGGGTACGCAAAGTGGGTCCGTTACGGGGTCGAACCGGTTTGGGCTATATGGGTTAGATTTCGGTTGGGGAAGACCAGCAAACAGTGAAACTGTGTCTATTGACCGGAACGAGGCGTTTTCCATGTCAGAAAGGAGGGATGAGTTAGGTGGCGTTGAGGTTGGCTTGTGTCTGAAGAAACGTGAGATGGATGTTTTTGTTTCTCTATTTCAAAATGGTTTGGAAAACTAAAAACCTTTCTTTCTTTCTTTTTCCTTTTGTGTATCTCTGATCGGGTGACTATCTCTTTGTCAATGATCGATTCGTGATCTCAAGTCTGTTTTATTTTTTTGTGTGTGTAAATGTTATCTTGACTCCTTCCTCAAGGTATCATTTCAAGTCTAATCTCAAGTCATGCTAAATTGGACTCCTTCCTTCTTCCTCGAGACAATAGATGTTTGTGTTTCTATATTATGCTCCATTATGCTTTGTATGTGTTGTGCATGTTATGGCCCTACGAAGATGAGCACATATCATGTGTTTCTCACTTAAAGTTTGTAATAATATTGGTACATAATTTTCTCGTTACAAGTCTAACTACTATTTAACGGATTCTTTATTTATCTTGGTTTAGTTCTCCTGGATATCAAACTGGTTCTCATACTTTGGGTTTGCAAAGATCGTACTTTCTTCAAATTAGAGTTTCTTCCGTTAAATATGGAAGAAGGTATAAAAATGGCGTTAAGAGTGTCCATCATGATCCTTGGTTTGTGTTCTTGGTTACAACTCCGTACATACTCTCGCTTCAGTTTGGCTCTTAATGGTTTAAGCCGATCTATTTGTTTCAACTAAAGATATTATCACTCATCTAATTCGTTTCACCTAAATAGATTTTTAGCACCAATCATTTTGGTTGTATCTAAATAATGAGTTATATATGCATAATATCAAACATTTTAAAAAATTTGTTGACCAAACCATTTTAACCCTAAATTTTTGTTGACCAAGCTGTTTTAGTCTCAGCATTAGTCAATAGTCAACAGTAAAAAAATACAGAAAACAGTTTTCTACCATCTAAGTATATTTCATTCTTATTTTTCTGCAGACAATAATATTTATAAGGAAACATAGACTTGAAGAATAGACCTGTAAATTACAAAAAAAAAAGAGAACTGGATAAAACTTATGACCCTGATACCATAAGGGAACAATTTAAACCATCATATAATCTACAAAGATAGAAGTGCTATTACATATTCTGTACAATATCAAACAACAGGTACACAACTGTATTTTGAAATCCAAGTCTGAGAAAAAAAATATGGCGCAAAAAGTGTTTATGACTATGCTTATGATGACATTGATAATGATGGGATGTCGTTTAAACGCATGCAATGGGATGAGTTTTAATGAAAACTCTCACGCACCAGCATCTCCCCCACCGTACGTATCTTACTCTAAGATCTCTACTTCCAGATTATACTTTATTACTTATACATGATATATATTAATCTTTTTGTATCATTCCAATTTTGTTGGATGTCATTAAAAAAAACCTTCCATTTTTTTTAGTTTTTTATAAAGTACCTTACATCCGTACTATGTTAATTTTAAATAACTAAAATGTGCATGTATGTCTACGTTGAAATTCTACTTTTTGGTTGTATGCAGAATGCAACCAGCAATGCCAGAGCAAGATATCGTCCAAGAATGCATAAAGTATTGTTATTCACTTCCAGAATGCCAAAGAGGAAGAGGAGGAAACCCAAAAAAGTGCAGACTGTGTTTCTCAAGTTGTATCAGAGCATAATGTTCTATGTCGATGTATTAAGGGTATTTACATCTATACTTAATTATACAATGTATGCATGTATCACAAATCTAATAAAACAAGTTTAAGTGTTTAACTATCGATGTTTGGATGAAGCCAAAAAAAAAATTACTGATTTTAAGTTTTGTCGCTTAAACATAGTATTAAGAAAAAGTTCATTGAGTGAGCTGTATCACTATCATGAGAGAAAATTAACTATCACGGAGACACGAATCTCATAAAGGTTTTCACCAACCGACACAAACAAAGAAATCGCAGCTTTGCCAGAGAAACAAAAACAAGGAGTCAAATGCGTTTTATTGAGATATACAGAGGTTAATGGACCATAAGTCCTTAATCTCTAGAGAGTGTATAAGCTAAGTCCCACATCATAAGTGGGAATGGACTTTGAGCGATATAAGGGACTGAGACCCTCCACCTATTGCCAATTGGTTTTAGGTTGGATGTAAAGAAAACTTAACATGATATATTAAGATATGTAGAGATTAATGGCCTATAAAGCCTTAATCTCTATAGAGTGTGCAAGATAAATCTTACATTGGAAGTGGAAAGGGACCTTGAGTGATATATAAATGACTGAAGCCTCTCCACCTATTGGCAATTAGTTTTAGGTTGAATGCCAAGAAAACTTAACATTTGCTTTTGTGTATCTCTGATCGGGTGACTATATCGTGATCTCAATCTGTTTTCTTTTTTTGTGTGTGTAAATGTTATCTCGACTCCTTCCTCAAGGTATTATTTCAAGTCTAATCTCAAGAATGCTAAATTGGACTCCTTCCTTCTTCCTCGAGACAATAGATGTTTGTGTTTCTATATTATGCTCCATTATCAAACCGAGAAACAAAAAAACAAAAAGAAACAAACGGGACATTTCCTAATTATCAGCATCTATCATCATCTATGTGATGGTTTTTCGGTTGACTACATTTAGAGAGCATGTATCAAAAATTGGAGGGTGGAATTAATGGGCTATTATGGCTATCGCCAATTTATGTTAGTAACAAGCTGAAGCCCAATATATGGAAGTATCTCCCGCTTGGACCAAAAGCAATGGGAGTCTACCTAAATCTTCATTTTTTTACCTTTATAATATGTAATTAGGTTAGTGTTTTGCTGGACATGCAATGCATTATTGATACTTTTGGACTATTGTCTTTCCCTTTGTTGGTATTTCACAATGGACCAAAATTTACAAAGAAGACAATTTGTATTGAACTTAATTAGACATAAAGCCATATTTCTTTTTTTCATAAACAAATATTCGTCAGAATATAACTTGTATAGTTTGGTATAGTTTTAAAAACAAGTGTAACTTGTATAAGAATATAACTAAAATTCAAATTGTAAATTAGAGTAAATGATTAGTTGAGTACCCCCTCATAAACTGAATAAATCGCTTTCTCGTTCTTTTTTTCTCAGCACTTTATAATTTGGTTGATTGCATTGCTTAGCTGTAGTAAGGCAATGAGAGATAGACACGTGTGTGATTGTCGAGAGTGTAAACGTGTCAAACACCCAGAGGAATGACGACGCCGATAAGCGGGGGATGATATATTGCAACTTGCAGTTGGGTTAAAAGAGAAAAAATGATTGTGGGCTCCACCATCTGATCTCCTGTCGATCTCTTGCGTGTCCTCTGGAGATTCTCTTCCTCCGTAAAATTCACAAATTTTCTTTTGTTGTTGTCAAATTTCACACGTATCTTTCACATGCTTTGTCCTCCTTTATTTTTTTCATTTTTTTTTGTTGTGTTAGTCGTTTTGCCCCATTATTTACATTTACAATATTTTTATGTTTTAAGAGTTTGAATGGTGGATTGGTCCGTGTGTTCGATCGGCATAATCTGAGATGGTGATTTTTTTATTACTTCAATGTAAATCCATAACAAAGGAAAAATAATGGAAGATGTTGATAATGATATACATAATTTAGAGTCTCCCCCATGTTCATTCTATATGATTATAATTCCACCGTCCCACTATCAAAAAGTTAAAAAATGTTATACCAAGATATTTATCATACGATGTTAATTGTTGACTATAAAACGTTTGAAAAAAAGAAGAGAAATACTCACTTACAGATCTAAGACTTTTTTTGTCAAAAATATTCGTGTTTTCGTGCTTTTCATTTAAATAAATTTGAGTTTGTCAAGTTGCGTTTACTTATATGATAGAGAAGAAAAAAACTTCTACCAAAGCACAAAATGAATAAAAAGTGACAGATAGGAACAACCCCCAGACAAATTTCCACGTGTCAACTTATCTCCGAGAGAAAAGAGAGAGAACCAGTGGAACACGTGGCGTTAGAAAGATAATGTGACTGAAGTAAACAAAAAACAAGGACACGTGACGACCTGACGCTGCGACATCCCATTCCGCAACGTGACAACCACTGAACATAACACACGTGTACGGTTTCGGCTACGAGTCTGGTCTTTGTTTCTCGAATTTTTGAATTTTGGAAAACCACGTGGGTGATCTTAAGTCCTGAGCAGAGTCTTCGACGAATCCACGTGTCGTTAATGCACCTCCTAATGAGGGGTACTTTCGGTATTACAAATCTCGCAAATAGACAGACAGCTTTTTTTTTTTTTCTGATTGATTTTCTCTCTCTCGTATCATCATCATCATCATCTCCTCTTATCTCTCTCAATCTAAATTCTCTCGGGGCTCTTATTTTTTTGGATTTATATTTTTTTTGTTCGTTCGAGATTTGTCGGAGAAATTTTCGGTAAATGTTGAAATTCGCGAGAATTTATTTGATAAAGGAGAGGTCGTCATCTTTTTCTACTCTGCAAAATTGGTAGAAATGGAATCTTCGAAAATTTGATATTTACTCCTTTCTTGGGATTTGAATGCTCTTTTTTTTTCTGGCATCAAGAATCTGCTGAAAATTCTCCAAATAAAATTTCTTCTAATCTTAATAAATTAACATGTCGGAAACTGAGAAAAGGGAAAACGGAGAGATCTTGTCCCGAAATATTCCGAGAGATCTGTTGCAGAGGTTCATGTCGAAAAACCAGAAGTCGTCGGTTGAAGGAGATGGAGAGGTAGAGATTGAGCTAGACTTGGGTCTTTCTCTCAATGGAAGGTTCGGTGTGGACCCACTCGCGAAGACGAGGCTCACGCGGTCTTCTTCGATTCCCGATTTCATGGTGGTCAACGATAGATCGGAGCTGAGCAGGACTTGCTCGTTGCCGGTGGAGACGGAGGAGTGGAGGAAGAGGAAGGAGTTGCAGAGCTTGAGGAGGCTCGAGGCTAAGAGGAAGAGGTCGGAGAAGCAGAGAAACGTGAGGGTACTTAAGGAGAAGAAACAGAAAGCTGGAGTAGGAGGAGAAGAGAAGCTTGTTGAAGAAGGATCTATTGGTTCTTCAGGAAGTGGTTCCTCTGGTTTGTCGGAACTCGACACCCCTCCTCCTGTTCAAGGTACCACAAAACTGGATTAAGACATGATTCCTCTTTAATAGCTAATACTTTATATGATCTTCTAAGATTGAGTATTGGTGTGGTTTTGTTTGACTTGTTTAGATCTTTGATTCTCTAAGACGTTTAGGTTACAAAATCTTGAATCTTCTTCTGGAATTAATGATATATTAGGTTCTACATTTTTGTCTGGATCAATTGTGAAAAACTTATTTATTACCACATTGTAGTAAAAAACACATGCGGATTTCGATATCCTAATTTGTGTGTTTAATCACCAAAATAGCAAATCTTTTAGGTTTTGTGACTTTTCTTTTGATTATGTTTGTGTTTCGTCTTTGATTTGGAGTTTTGATTGAGATATGTTTGCTTGTGTTTGAAGCAACGACAAACAAACCAATGGAAACAACAACAAGTCCTTCAAGTGGCCAATCTCAGGCCGAGAATCAGGCGGGGGCGGCCCGAAACATGATAGAAGACATGCCGTGCGTGTCGACAACAGGGGATGGACCGAACGGGAAAAAGATCGACGGCTTTCTGTATCGGTACAGGAAAGGTGAGGAGGTGAAGATAGTGTGCGTGTGCCATGGAAGCTTCCTCTCGCCGGCAGAGTTCGTTAAGCATGCTGGTGGTAGTGACGTGGCACATCCTTTGAAGCACATTGTTGTAAATCCAACTCCTTTCTTGTGACCATTGTGGTCTGTTTCTTTGGTGATAGTTTCTCTCTTTTACCAAATTGTTGTACCGGGATTATGTTACAAATTTCTCATATATCTCGAGGTGTATAAACAGAATTTTATCGCGATTTACATAAGAAAGAATAATCTAATTCGGTCTTGTTTAGTTGGTTATGGTTTTTGGGAGATTAATTGTTCAGCTTTCAGGATAAGTATATATCTACTGGTCAGAGGTTTATATCCCGGCTAGTCTAATTTCTTTAAGATGCTAGTCGGAGTAAATACCAACGGTGAATTGGATCAGAGAGGCGTTTACTGCTTTTACTAAGGGAAAAGAATCAAGATTTTCAAGATTACTGAAATCTCATTTCCTATTTCGTAAAACTATTTGTTTCTATTAAATTTGATTTGTGGGATTAGTTGTTGATTCATTTGTTTCCTTTTGTGCATTTACAGACAGCACAATGTTGTCTAGGACCTTGGAATGACTTGTTTCCATTCTTTAGAGCATTTGCAAAATATTTGTTTCTTTACGGATTCTAATCCTTTTTACAATTTAGTAGGGTTTTGGTTTGATAGGTTCATGAATTGAATACTTGAACAAACTTCTTACGTTAGTTGAGACTTCTATCCAGTCAAGTTTGGCCCTTTAATGGGCCATCAGGGCTTTTTATATGTTTAATCCAGTTCTACGTTATTTGAATTGAGTATTCAATACGGTAGTGATGGACACATTGTCAACATAACTAAATTGAAACACGTAAATAATTACAAACAGACACACAGTATTTATGTGGCCATAGTGTGGAAGTTTATACAAAGCATTACTTCATACACCGACTTCTTCTCCATGTTTTTCTTCTTCTTCATTTTCATACTTTCTCTTTTACTCCATTTGGCCATTTTTGCCATTTGCTTGTTCATTTCTATTTTCTTCTTCTCATTTAGTATTTTGTATATCTACGTAACTTGTGTTGTATGGTCAACATGTGCAATCAAAAGGTGAAACTTTGTTGCTGATCAAGAAAATTGAGGTAGATTAGTTGGTTTTGGAATCTTCTACTACTTTTAAGGAGCTAAAAACGATAGTTTTAATTTAATCGACTTGTGTTAATAAAAATAAAAGTACTAAATTTCTTTAACTTTTCTGATATATATTACTAAAATTAGTTTTCGAAGGATAAAACTGGATTTAAATACATTATTATAAAGATGAAGTGGACAATAACAAATAAAAAAATATTAGAAAGACCTTTTATTAAAAAGAAAAGCATATCATCACTTCCTTTTCCAATCAAGTGCTCTTGCTATCGGTTCGATACCATTTTTCCTAAAATAAATTCCATCAGTCTTGGCAAACCATTCACGTGTCTCTCCACATCGTCTCTTACGAGCTATTGAGTATATAGTCCGGTTAATGTTTCGGTTAATTATTATTGGGTTGATTAGTTTTCTTTAGCTAATAATCCTTGTATATAAACAACATTGTATTCACTTTTACAAATTAATGAGAAATGTTAATCACATATTTAATATGGTATCAGAGCCCAAAGTTAAGCCCAACAAGCGATTTCCCACAAAGAAAAACGGTTTCTCACATTGAAAGTGGCCCGTATAAGTGGCCCATCTTGTTGTGGTATTTCCGAGATGATGTGCGTTGTCCCGCCCTCATTACGAGGTGGCCTATTATAGTGAGAAAGTCCCACATCGAAAGTGGGAGCATTTCTTCACTAATATATATAGTATGTGGCAATCCTTCACTCATAAGCTAGCTTTTGGGTGTGAGTTAGGTCATTTACTAATATGAATAAAGGATTGCCACATACTATATATATTAGTGAAGAAAGGCTCCCACTTTTGATGTGGGACTTTTTCACTTTAATACGAGCTCTTCTGTATACTTGAATGTCATAATAATTCGTATATCTAGGCCCCCACTGCAGCGCACATTTGTACACTCTCCTTCCTTCATGCTTCTGCTCAGTAAAATCGATGACAAGTCGGTCCTTACCTTTTTCATTTTGTAAATATTTTTCGCGTAAAGGTAATCTTCCGAAAAGACGATGTACGTAAAGTTCTGTAGAGGGCACAAGTGCATTGTATATTGTTACTATATTCGGCTTGCATGCTTCTGCTTCGTTTACTCGAAAATATATAACAGTAATTACCGTAAAAATGATAAAATAGTTCATTTTGTTTTTGATTTAAGATAAATGGTTGGAGTAATAAGAGCATCAAGTTTAGTATTCATAATTCTTTTGTACTGACATTTTTTTCTTTTAATAGACATAGCTAAATTTAATCACAAACCTGAATCAATCAAATTACTGGCCATAAGAGATTTTAGCACAGAAAATAATGGTTGGCTGATAAAATAAACCAAAATAGTTTCTCTTATCTATATGAAATCGAAACATCGAAAAGTATGGTTTGCCAAACAAAATACGAAAATAAGTATAGCTGACAACAAAAACCAAACCAAACAACAAAACTTGAAGATGTACCTTTTTAATGATATTATCAATTTATGCATTCAAGTATTAAGTTTATGCATTCAATTTATAAAAGTATTTCATGAATATTTAATTATTTTCATATTCTCAAGTTTAAATTAAAATTCAAAAGAAAATAAAAATAATTAAATATTCATGAAATCTTTTACAAATTTTGCTAATAAAATTTTGTTCGTTTGTTTATATATAGAAATATGCGAGAATAGTATTATAGCGTGTAAAACCGCGCATTTTGCGTACCGCCTCTAATATATAGGATTACAACATAAAGTTTCCAAGAAAAGAGAAAGTAAAACTTAAGTGAGCCTATAACGGGCTTCTACAATCTACCCTTAACAATATCTTATATATGAGAATTTTCTCTCATTTAACCTATCTACATAAAAAAAAAAATAATACTAAATTATATTTAAAATATTAATTTAACATTTTAAACATATAATTAAATTAAAAAATAAAAAATGATAATAAAATTAAAATATGTGATAGATTGATGAAAAAATAGATATAAAATTAAATAAAAAGAAAGTAATGAAATAGTATACCAAAAAATGATCATTTTAACCAGAAAAAATGATCAATTAACAAAAAAAAAAATCTTATAATGAAGTTTTTAAATTAACCAAAAAAATTTGACTAAAAATAAAATTAGCAAAGAACAAAAACTCTCAGATTTATAAAATAAATGATACATTTAATTATAATATCCTATTTCATGCTTATTCAAATCATTACATCCAAACATTCAGTAATTGTTGGTAAATAGTTCAAACTAATCACAAGATTATACCACAAGACTTTCCCCCAAATCTTTTTTCCTTCGCGTTTTTTCAATGCAATCTCTGTGTACCAAATCTCTGTTAGATTGACATAACGCTTAAAGTACAAAATCGCAAGCTTTCCGCCATGATTCGCCATTCTGGATCCATCATAACTTATCATATTAGGTAGATCTTCAACACCCATCATGAATGTCCAAGACTTAGCTTTCGGATCATAAACTTTTATATTATTCTGATAATCTAAAGTGAACAACATATTGTCAATAACGCACGAACAACATCCCCATTCTTCATCCAGCAAGTAGTCCTTGTCCCACTCACCTGTCTTAGGATCGTAAACAAAGCTGTGGAAAGCATCCATTATGTAGATCTTCTCATTCATCACAACACTCTTCATTGTGATTTCCCACATCTCTTCACTACAAAAACCCAAAGAACACTCCCATGTTTGCGCCTTGACGTCCAAAACCTCGATATCCAATGAAACCACCTTTTCACACCCTCCGATCACGTAAATCTTTCCATCTACAACACCGACTGCAGCATAGCTACGAGCCACACGCATGCTAGGAAGAAAGCGAGACGTGCAAAATCGGGAGTCAATAACAAACACGTTAGAGGTGACCTCACCGTTGATGAATCCACCGAAAACGTAGATCTCGTTGCCTACAGCAATAACAGAAGCTCCCCGACAAGGGAGAGAAGGGAAAGAGGGAAATGGAACCAACTTATGGTTACGAGGGTTTGATCCTTCTCTCTGAGGCTTTTGATTGAGAGTATACCAAACATTTAGTCCTATTGTTTTCGCGTTCCATGGATTTTTATTGAGGGTTTGATAGATTCCCAATGCAACATAAAGAACGTTTTCAGTGGATTGAGAGAGTGAACGTACAAGATTTATCTCAGGAGAGGCAATGAGACGACTGAAAGGTTTGGAGACGAGAGATAGTGAAGGGTAGTCAGATCTTGGAACCTTTGCGAAGCAGCTCACAATGAGTTCATCTTGGATCGGGAGAGAAGAAGAGGTTGAACTCACCGGTAAAGACATGATTGCCAAAAAGAGTATGAGCTATGAAGGAGATGATTGTGACTAGATATATAACTTTGATAAGGAGATAAAATTTGGTCGGTACAAATGAAAGTTTAGCATTCATGCATATCTGTTTACTGTGAGTTGGTGAAAGACTCATGCTTGTAAATTCACTAATTTATTCATATTAGTGAATTATTCTCCGTGTTACACGTGGTTTTTTCAATAATATTTTATTTTATTTCTATCTTTTATATATTTTTGTTTCCTATTTGGTGTTTTTTTTTTCAAAAAATGAAATTTCTGAGAAATGTGTATACTATTTATATATTTTATTTCCCGTTCGGCATTTTGTTTCTTTTTCAAAAATTGAAATTGCCAAGAAATTTTTTTTTTGTTTTTAAAAGCTATTATGAGATTTGTTTCCATTTTTTTTATAGATTATGTGTGGAGATGTAAGTTAGTCATTAAAATTGTTTAATTTTAATAATTTTGTATATGGTGAGATTTTTTTGTTTTCACTTGATGGTAAGAAAAATGAAACCATGATCAGATCATATATTTTATTAACAAATATTGTACTCAATGTTTTGGTATAGTTTACACATGTGAGCTGAGCCATTAGACATAGTTGAAGGTAAATTAGGCAAATGAGTCTATTGGAATGTAATAATTCAGTATCTTTCAATTTTCGTCGATAATCGTAAAATATTTTATTTATCAAATACCCAAATAACACACAACCATGGGCATGATTGGTAAGTGTTTTGAGTGCTCTGCAGAGTAATAATTTTTTCTAGAATACTAGTGTTAAACCAATCAAGCTTTGATTTCATTTTTTATATTCAAGAGCCATAATTTTAAATATGGAAATATTTTGTCTCTGCAGAGCAGATTTTCCAAAGCACAAATTTAAAGACTGAGAATTCTCTCTCTTCTCATAAAGAAACACCAACAATTGTTACACTGTAATTTTGTAAGGATGAATTTTTTTTCCACCCAAGCATAATGTATCGAATTAACTGTTTTATATATATATTTGAGAGTTTTTTTTTCCGGTAATTTCACTCTCCCATCACTTAAATTAGACTTCATAAATTCATAACAAAATTATAAAACTGATGGAAATCTGCATGCTTGTTAAGAGTGTGTTATTCGAAAGCTTAGGATAATGTTTTAATAAAAACCTCTATGGTTTCTTGATTTTTTTTTTTCTTTTGTTAAAAGGTCTTCAACTCTATGCTTACTTGATAATATATGAAATATGAAGGATTTAGGGGACTTTTTGAAGGGATGCCTCCCGATAATTCTCCTCCATGCTCCTATAACAGTAATCAGTTGGTCCACTTACGAGGCAGCCAAGTATTTATTTGTTGACCTCAATGCAATGCTTATTCAAGCACGGTCTGAAAAATATCCAATAATGTTCGATATAGGGGAAATTTCAAAACTACATCTTTTGAGGTGTAAATTTTCAAAAATACACCTTTTTGGTGCAAATTTTCAAAACTACACTTTTTTCATTTAGTAAAAGAACTCTAAATCTTAAAATATAAATCCAAAACCCTAAAATCTAACATTGAACCCTTAAATCTAAATCCTAAACCCCAAAATCTAAACCCTAATATAGGATTAGTGAACCCAAACATATATATTAAAATTGGGGAAAAGTGTATTTTTGAAAATTTTCACACTATAGATGTAGTTTTGAAAATTTACACCTCAAAAGGTGTATTTTATAAAATTTCTCTTCGATATATGAACTACAAAGTCTTAGGCTTTGTATATATGATATGTTCACATGTAATTACTTTGGATTCCTGATTCCAGTGTATAGGGTAAGCTCAAATATCCATACCACTTGAAAACTTGGCTAGTACTACTAATCAGTCAACTTCAATCACCTTAACTCCCACAGTTTGTTTTCTACAAGATAACAAATTACAACCATAAGATTCTTCCTCTTGGCAACGGTGCGGTGATGGCTCCAAAGCCACAATAATTTTGACTTCTAGGATTTTGCTCCAAACCTAGAAGTCACATCATTACATTTATTTTTCACCGGTTTTCCTTAATTTTAACTTCTAGGATTTTTGTCGAACCATTTGATATTTCAAACAAACATAAGCAAAGCAAACTATGTCCTCACCATGATTGGATCAGGAAGGTACCTTTTCCACAACAAATTAATGATATAGGAGCATAGCTACTCATGGTGGTGTTGTCTAGCAAATTAAAGTCTCCTGATATAGCAAAATCTAAAGAACCACATGCTGAACAATCTACAGCTTCCTGTGTGCCAACAAAAAAGTTGGTAAAGTCAGAGATTACAATGTTAGCTCCAAAAACTTAAAAAGTCAAAAAAAAAATCTTACACTCTACCAGAAATGATTTATGAAGCTATCCTTGTTGTAAACCAGCATGACAACATAAACGGATTAGCTTAATCTAGTAATCTACAACGTCGTTGTAACAACGATCAAGTAGTAAGATTAGGCTTGACCCTTGGACCACAAAATAATGGTTGTTTTTCCCCTCAACTTGCGTATCTCCATTTGAATCTGCACGATTACATAATTACACCACTAATGTTGCATTATCACTCATACGGTCAAATATACTATAATGATTATATTTTCTTAATATAATCTTCTTCTTTTCTTTTCCCATAGAAACACTCTCTTTTTCATTTAAATTAATAAATTCAGTTGAACGATCTAATATAACCAGCATACAATTTAGTAATAGTGCCAGTTGTTTTGTGTTTTTTTTTTGGGTGCACTTGTTAACGAAGTGTGTTTAGGAACGTAATTAATAATGGGTTAATGACTCTATTAATTAATTGATTGTGGATATAAAAGAATATTAGAAATGCAGCGACTACATTTCTTCCGTTGAATCTTCTTCCTGTGTTGTGGTTGTGGTGGTCGTCGTCTTATAGAGAAGAACAAAACAAAAAAAAACAAAGAAAGAAAAAAAGGCAACTTTGAAGAGCAGATAACAAAAAAATTGGGAGAGAAACAGAGATTTTTTCCGGGAAATTTTGTTCCCCAAGAAAACTTACATTTTTTTTCAATCAGAGTTAGGCAGCGACCGATCTTAAAAGAGAGCTCGTTGTGGTTTCCGTTATACCTAATCCTCCGTACGTTCCTTTTCTTACTTAATCTGTTTCTTCACCAATCTCACTCTCTGTCTCTCCTCAGATTTCCTAAAAGATCTCTCCTTTACGAATCTTTCCAAGTGAAAGTTATCATTTTTTTCACTCCAAAGCCTCAACCTTTCAGTCGAGTTTACCTTATGATTCTTCCATTTTCTGGGTTTTTGAATGGTTTCTGAGAATTAGGGTTTAGAGCTTGTTTGATTTAGGCTTAAGTTTAAGTTTTGGATAAGATTTTTCTTTTATTGCTGTGAGAAATTGGTGAATTGTGTGGAGATGGGAGAGTTTGAGGCAGATGGAGAAGAGAAGTTGATTGTTGCTGCAAACTATCTCGTCAAGGAGCTTAGATCTGGAAAGAGCCTCACTAGAAACGCTAAGAATGTTTTGGGAAATCTCTTATCAGAGCTGTCTCGTATAACAATCTCTGAGGATAATAGAGAAGAAGATCAGGAAGATGATATAGATGAGATTGAGCAAAGGCTTAATCTTGTCAGCGAGAAGATCACGACTCGAGATGTCGATGAATCAATGATCTGGGACTTAGGTTCAGAAGAAGGCAATGCGTTTCTCGATTCCGTGAATGAGCTGAGATCTTTGATTGATCGGTTAGACGCAGGAAAGACTGGAACAGAGGAGCAATCTCTGAGAAAAGCTCATGACGTTCTTCAAACGGCAATGGCAAGGCTAGAGGATGAGTTTAAGCATCTTCTTGTTGAGAACAGATTGCCTTTCGAGCTCGAACACGCTTCTTTTCGTTCTAACGAAGCGGATCTTGCTGCGGAAGAAGGATCCATGGCTTCTTTTGGCGCTGCTTCCACTGAGGATTTGAATCTTGGAAGCAGCAACAGTAGGAGAAACTCAGCTGAGATCATTGTTGATTTGATTAACCCTGAGGTTGTTTCAGATCTCAAGAACATTGCAAACACTATGGTTGCTTCAGGGTATGATCGTGAGTGTATCCAGGTGTGTACAGTGGTGAGAAAAGACTCTCTCGACGAGTTTCTTTATAACCATGAGGTGGAGAAGCTGAGCATTGAAGACGTTCTGAAGATGGATTGGTCTACGTTGAACACGAACATCAAGAAATGGGTTCGTGTGATGAGGAACATCGTGCAGGTCTATCTCCTGAGCGAGAAGTCTCTTGACAATCAGATCTTTGGGGACGTGAACGAGATCGGTCTAACGTGTTTTGTTGATACAGTGAAGGCTCCGATGATGCAGCTGCTGAACTTCGGCGAAGCTGTGTCTCTTGGTCCGAGACAGCCGGAGAAGCTGCTGAGGATTCTTGAAATGTACGAGCTTGCTTCCGAGCTTTTACCGGAGATCGACGCGCTCTTCTCGGATCATCCTGGCTCCATTGTGAGAGCAGAGTACAGAGAAGTGATGAGGAGGCTCGGCGACTGCGCGAGAACGACGTTTCTTGAGTTCAAGAGCGCGATCGCTGCGGATGTCTCGTCGCATCCTTTCCCTGGAGGAGCTGTGCATCCGCTGACGAACTACGTTATGAATTACCTCATGGCGTTGACGGACTTCAGCCAGACGCTTGACTCGCTTCTCATGGAGCAAGACGATGCGGAGGATCTCACGATTCCTCCATCGCCGGATATTCTTAATCCGGTGATGGTGGAAGAAGAGTCTACCTATGAAAACTCTTCTTCGCCGGAGAAGTTTCTTGTGATGACGAGGCATTTCTACTCTATTACATCGGTTCTTGAAGCTAACCTTCAAGAGAAGTCGAAGCTGTATCGAGATGTGTCTCTGAGACATATTTTTCTGCTCAACAACATACATTACATGACCAGGAAAGTGCTAAACTCAGAGCTGAAACATATCTTTGGAGATAAATGGATCAGAAAACATACATGGAAGTTTCAGCAGCAAGCAACGGAGTACGAACGTGCCACTTGGCTCCCTGTCCTGTCTTTCCTCAAGGACGACGGTACAGGCTCAGGCTCAGGCTCTGGCAATGGCAATGGTTCTGGTTCTGGTTCTGGTTCGAGAAACTTGCGTCCGAGGGAGAGGTTTCAAGGATTCAACACAGCGTTTGAGGAAGTGTACAAGACGCAGACGGCTTGGCTGATATCGGATGAGAGGCTGAGAGAAGATGTGAGGACGAAGGCGTCCATGTGGGTGATTCAAGCGTACTGGACGTTTTACAGTAGGCACAAGAACAGTGTGAGTGAGAGGTATATCAAGTACACTACTGATGATCTTGAGACTCTCTTGTTGGATCTCTTTGCTGGTTCTCCTAAATCCTTGAACAATTCTTACAGAAGGTGATCAAACTGATTGTAGCAATTGTGTAATAGTTTGGTGGTTCATGTGGAAGTGAATCGGATGGTGATATTTCATGTTGTTATTAGTATAGACACACACATGTTTGTATTGAATTTATTTGTTCTTGTAATCTTTGTATTCATCATTTCATGAATATGTTTAGTGAAATAAAAAGTTTGAGAAGTACTTTTTTTTCCTTTGTTGGTTGGTCTTTAAGAAATACAATTAGATTTGGAATTCTTGTAATCAGAAGAAATGAATTGAGTTGGTGAATTCTTGTAGCAGAAGAGACAAGTCAAAAGAAATAGACTTGACCATATTGATATCGCAATTTGTAGTGGGTCTATGGTCAACTCCACGACGCTTCATGGAGTCACCATACAACTTGATAATATTTTACAACTTTGGAATTTTTCGTTGACGAAAAAATTAACACCCACTTGGAATTTCTCATTCTTCTTCCTACTGTATAATTGTCGGTCCAGAATTTTAATTATCTTTCTGCAAAACTGCAACCAACCTAATTTCAGAATTGTTATTTAGCCAACTGGAATACCATTATTTCATACTTATAATATGAATTTATTCACATTTGAATATGATCTTGACTCATTGGTGTATTATATGGACAATCTACAAAAAGCCAAATTTCATATTCAATCAAGACGTTACTGTTCTTTGGAAAAAGTAACCAAAGCCATCTTAATAGAATTTGCAAGACGTTATCTAAAGGTCAAAATCTAATTATATAGAGAAAAGATGTATGACCAAGAAAGGCTTCTATTAATGGTACAACAAAAGGGCATTAAAAAGTCGGACAGTAATTTCTTGCAAGACAAGTAACTATGGCTTAAAGATTTAACTTTGAAAGCATTAAGCATGAGTTCCAAAACAACATTCTATTGTTACAAACATAAATTGGCATTTTGTTGCCATTGTCATGATCTGACTATCAATGTCTCATCAGGATCATCATCATCATCTTCTTCATCATCTCCATACTCCATCAGCTTTATCAAAGTATCTGCAACATCAGGGAGTGATTGATCAAAAATCTGATGCTAGGTTATGCTAAATTACTGTTAACCCCAAGATTAGTATCAAATCAGCAAATAATTGGAAGCAAATCAACAGGGATAAAACACGGGAACAGAGTTGGTTGGTTCTAATCAATACCTGGAACTGGATTTGGTTTCTTTACAGTGATGTGGTCTTCCTGTGATCTTGGAGGTCGTGTTGAGGGTGTACGCGGTGGTGGAGGAAGCATGCTTCTTGATGATAGAGGAGACACAGTCTTAGAAGGCGGAGGTGGTATGGTCTTTGGTGAAGGAGGAGGCATCATAGATCTTGGTGAAGGTGGCGACCCAACTTTATTTGCCGATGGCTCAACTACATTCTTTGGAGCAACTTCACCTGCCGTTGCGAACTCCAACTGCTGCAACAAATGATAGGGATAGAGCATTCGAGACCATTTACACAAAAACAGTTAGATAAATGGCTTGGCAGATAAAAAGAGATCATGCAAATATATAAAGAGATGGTATTCCTTTAAAGAGTAGAGAGTAAAGAAAATGCTTTCAAATCCATGAAACAATGTATCGGAAAGCTAAACAATGTAACGATTTGTAAAAACCGTTATCCTTGACGACCCACTTGATATGAGACAACATTTTCATTCAAACAGTCCTAACATCCTAAAAGACACATGTTAAAGATCAGAAGATGATGTAGCTCTTTGGTTCCAAGGACAGCCTAATATATGTTTATACTGGTCAATTTCATGATACTTTTTGCTAAACTTCATGCATCAAGAAACATTTGACTGGAGATACAATCTTTAAATCAAGCGCATATTTCCATAAACTATTTATGTAGGATGAGCCTATTCTACCATGGAAAAGAGCCTTGGTAAATGTCTTAAATGCAAGGTACTACAGTGTAGATGCATTGGATTATGCAAAATGGCATGCAGGTCAACATGCACACAAGGCATACATGTGACATCTGTTAAAAGGCCTTAAAAAAGTCTTGATAAGGTTCTCATTCTGGTAGCCAAGTTGAAGCAAGAATGACTGCAACCACATGGTGCCTCCAATATTAAGAAAACCCTGTTAAACATGCAAACCAATGGCCCACGGGTCCAGAATCAGCTAGTTAGCTTCTTAGAAGTTCAGAAAATTACCTGGAATATTAATGGAAAATAGTCAGCACAGGATAAAATCATCACAGAGATAAAAAGAATGCATTAGAAACCATGAACTTTCATGATCCTAAGATAAATCTTATGATAGGTTGAAATTGCCCAATAACTTGTAATTTCATAAGCTGGTTTGAAACCTTTAGAAACAGTTTAATATGCAAACACGTGAGCATAGTACATGCTTACGAATATAAATCCTATTTAAACCCTACCCAATATATCCAACCATTTGTGTCCATGTAAAACACTTACCTGATCGTTTCATTCAATAACTAATGCTTACAAGTACCCAATACTCGCAACCATTGTTAATTCTTTCAAACAAACACAAGCACAGCTTCTCTCATGTTAACTTAGATATGGAAGACAACAAGGGTTTCGAGTTTCCACCCATCCATTTCTCCGTAAAAAAAAACCGCCGTGAATCTAGAAAATCTGTTACCTGTTTGGCATTTGGTGGGACTTTACAATCAGCCGGTAGCTCCTGAAACTTTCGCTTTCGGGGTGGATGCCTTTCCTTTTCGTGGCTTGAAATATCACTTGTCTTTGGTAAGGACGTAGCTGTCAACACAGTAGGGGGCAGAGTGGAGATAGCAGGAGAGATTGATTGCCTAAGGACCTGAGCAACTTGTTGCAGTGGAGTGGCTTGAGGGTATATTCCGGCATACCCACTATAGCTAGTTCCCCCAGCCACGGGCTGCAAGTAACTGACTGGAATTGGTGGCAAGTGTCCACCATTTGATATCCCTGGAGGCTGCAATACTGGAAACTGAGGATAAAGTGTTGTTGCTGGAGGAACTGGAAATGGAATGACAGCGTTTGGTGGTGATACGTTTTCAGAACCAAGAGCTCCAGAAAGCAGTTGCTGTGGTGGTGGTACTGCACCATACACCTTGCTTGAGGAAACCCTGAAACATTTTGTAGGACAACCAAATACAATTACAGCTCGCCAAATGAAATGACACAAATGAAACAGGAGCATGCTTCTTCTCAGAAAATGGAAGACCTAGAAGGTAAAATTAGCCTTCGAAAACAAAGTGATTTGAAATCTATGGGCAAGACATAATGAAAATATTTAATGATGGAAACAGACAGAACGCCGATCATATCTGCAAAGTTTGAAGATAAAATGAACCTTGAAGCCCCGAATTCTACACTGATTGTATCCATCAGATTCTCAGCTAAACGTTTTGCATCGTCAATGCTCTTTGGGTTGCTGCTAGACAATAATAGATGCAATGGTTCCTGTGCTTCTGCAATAATGCGTAAAAACATGTCGCTACACTACATTCACAATGTAATTCAGATATATCCACCCTCATAAGTTCTTAAGTAGATAAAAGACAAACACTAATGAAGCAAATATTACCTTCCCCATGTTGGTTCTCAAGGCTCCCTGAACCACGCCCTCTTAGTACAACGGTTGCTCCTGTTTCATTCATAATGTGATTTATATACTGATCCTGCATGTAGGAAAAGCCAACCACCACCAACAAAAAAAAGGTCTCTCCCGATTGCATGGAGATGTCGGAGAGAGCTTCAACATTAGAATCTCTCAAATTCATGGAGTGAGAAACAAAAATTGAATATGTAAATCAAAGATGAAAATCTAGACCAATTGGCAAACACTTCTATTGATACTTTAATACAGCTTAAGTTATAAAATAAGAAAGGTGATTCAGCTTCTTATCAAAGGGGAAGAGATTGAAGGAAGTCTCACATTAGGCCCACGAATACGAGCAGCAACATTGGAAGATGGGAGAGCTTCAAACCCCAAATACACGCATGTGCTCAGCATCTGGAAACATGGTTCAGTTTATTGCTACCCCAATTTCATAACTATGAAAAGAGAAGTATCACACTATCTACCTTGACCGTCTGAAAACCAACCAGCCCAACCTGCGAGTTTGATTTCTGTTTCATCATCTCTTCAATCATAGCTGCAGCACGATCAACCGCTAAAATACGTTCTGCAGTCTCTTTTAACTGCAATTGTAACAACAAACATAAAAACCAGGCCATAAACTTTAGCCTAGTCCTTTCTATTCCTCTTGACTAGTGTTCTGTAAAGCTCGAAAGGAGAAAGGATAACATACATGGGCAGCAGCAGATATATGAAGATATAATGGCTTTTCACCATCAGGAGGTGCATTTGGAGGACGATACTTGCCCCTAAGAACAGTTTATCAAATTAATTAGAAAAGGTTATTGTACAACTTCCTTTTTTATGACTCAGATATCGGACAAACCTAGTAATCACCACAGCACCAGTAGACCTCTGAATCTGCTAGACAAAATAAACGCTTAAAAATAGAGAGAGAAAAATTGTATCTTATACGCACATGATATGACAATTCACACATACTTCTTCTTGAGTTGAGCGTTTAGTAAGCTTGTGCCTAAGAGAAGCCTCGGCATCGTTGATAACAATCTCTCGCGCTATGATCAGCTCATCCTGGATCTTAGGCTAGATGGAAAGGAAAAAATACAATGAATCACCATGTTCAAGTTACAGGATAAAAGAAGAAAAAATCCAAAAAGAACAGCTCTTTCAGTATACATGCAATAATATAAAATTCACAAATATAGCCACCATGATTCATGCGCTTGTAGAATCTTATACATAAAACAGTGGTAACTGGACCAACACATGGTAAAGCTAATCAAATTATCAAAAGATTCAAGTGGTGTGTCAGTTTTAAGGAGTTCACTAATAACATAAAACCAGACCACCAAGAAATCATTCAGATCACAAAAAGGTTTGACCACCTAAAGAGTGTGAGAGTTTTTACCTGATTAACTTTTGGAACTGACGCAATTTGTTGAGGCACAGAAAGTGTTTGGAACAATGGCGACACAGTTGAGGAAGCATTCATAGTATTGCTTAAAGGTAGTAACTGAGGAAGTGCAATTCCAGCTGCAACAAGCTGCTCCGCAGGCTGATCCCACTTTCTCTTTCTCCTGCCACACAATGATCGAAATAGTTGAAGCAGCAATCCAGGGGAGGGCACACAAAATCAATCAGGCTCGAATGATTTAGAGGACGAATTACAATTGGGAAGGGGAGCAACAAAAAAACCCGCATTGATTTCACGAAACGATGCATCAGAGTGAAGATGATCTAAAGCTGTAATTAGCTGAAATTCGAATGGTTAAACAAGGGAAATAGGTAACCTTTGCCTCGTCCGAGAAGCATCGTTCGCTGCAACGGAGTCGCTCGGAGAAATCTTAGTCTCGTCGCGTTCCTCTGTCATCTTACAGTCGCTTTTCGACGATACAAAAGTTGGGTTTTTTAGGATTTCACGGCTACGAAGAAAACAATTAGATGGAAGAAGAAGAAGAAGAAACTCCAGTAAATTGCAGAATCAAGGATTCATGGAATGCAAATCGGACGGCCTAAACTTTTCCCTTTTTGTTTATTGTTTTGGCCTAATAAAAGTTGAAACTGGTGGTGGTGGGTCCCATTTAAAAGGTTTGGGCCCTCAAATTTTTAGTTGGAAAAGGTTTACATTTTATCGGAAACATAAACAAAATTGGAGGACCATGTGTAAAATAAATGCTCATCCCCCCCACTTTTAAATTGCAGAGGAAGTGAGACTTTCTCATTCATTTTCCCGGAAAAAAAAAATGAGGGCGAAATAGACTGTTTAATGTCTCCTTGCTCTTCATAGGTAAATTTCCACAGCCTTTTTTTTTTCTGAATACTGATTCAGCTTTAAGGAATGAGAAGCTTTCTTTCTTCTTGTTATTTTCTTTGTTTATTCAGCTTCAATTTTTGTTTACTTTTTAGAGTCTTTAATTTCCCTCAATTTTGATCCGTTGTTTTTTTTTCTGTAGAAATTTGTCATTTACCAGACTCTGTTGTCTGTTTTCAGATGTTCAAGTGCTTTGCATGTTCATATAAATGATATTCCGAACTTCATAATTTTTTGCATGCAGACTCAAATGCTTTTAATTGTTTTATAGCTTTTTAAAAACTCATTCATGTGCTTGTCTTCCCAGCTTTGGCTAATTGATCAGAAACAGAGTATTCTTTGAATCTAGTTGTTTGGGTTTAAATTTTTTAAATAATCTCGTAAATGATCATAAGGAAGTAAGGAACCATCAAAAGGTGGATTACGAAAGATTAATATGTTATATGTTGCTAAATATTGGTAATGCAGGTTCTGAAATCTTTTAAAAGTTAAGAAGGTTTAGAGTCTGGTGACTTAGAGATGCAAAATATGTATACTTGTTGAAGATCATAAAGCCATAGCTTCAATTCTGAGCCAAAAATAGTAATCCTAACTCCTAAGTGGTGGAGAAGACATGCTAGAGGCAAAGATTCTGTATCGTTCTAGTGATGATAACGTTAAGGATTCTTCTTCTGGTGGAAGAAAATTCAGCAGCATCAGCTACATTTCAAACCCTTCCAACAAGATCCGCCAAGATTCTGGAATTGTTGGACAGTCAACGTGTAATGCAGGGTATTCGGAAGTTGACAATGATTCAAATTCAAACACTCTGAACCTAAACACGGTTGCTTCAAGGCCGAAGAAGCGTAAAGATTCAACCTTTTCACAATCACCATGGCACAAAATCTACATGCAAGGTTCAGAATTATGTCACAGCATGAGGTTATTTTCTCAACCCTGTCTTCTATATATCAATCTTAATACACCATATTTTGACGTTTTAATCATTTGCTCTCTAGCTATAGTATCTCAGAACAAGAATGGGCCCTTGCGACACATACACTATCTGAGAAGGTATTATTAATACTCCTATATTTATCACATTACTAATTTTCATCTCCATCTTCAAATAAATATCATTTTTGTTTATTTTCTTGTTGGTACCGTATGATGATAAGGTTGATACAAATGAGGCGATGACCCCTTCAAAGAGGAGGCTTCTTTTATCTACAAACCTTATGCAACAGCTTTTCAAACCAGCACCAGCGTTTGTTTTCTCGGGCAACAACGCAGCTTACAACTACGAGACCGTGCTTTACTTTGTGTCAAGAATCGCTCTTGCTAATGCATGCTCTCTCCAATGCCTTTCTGATTTCAGTAAGAGCACAAAGTGAGTTACATTATGAGTTAAGACTTCAGTTTATCTTAGTTTCTTATGTTTTGTTCATTTCACTAAAAACATAGTTTTTGTGTAGTCGTCAAATTGTAAAGACTGCTAGTGATCAAGATCAACATTATTCTTCACTCATCAAAGATTTCATGGAGAAAAAACAGAAGCTTGAAAGTGACTTGCAATGGTATGGATTAAGCTGTAATGGCTGAGTATTCATTGTCTTTGAAAAGATAATGTTTCTTTTGGTCTACGTTATTTTTCATTCTTTCAAATTTGTCTATGCAGCTTGGAGAGGACCACATCGATATTAGACATCAGCTTAGAAATCCAAGATCTCGAAAAATTCTCTGTGATAAACCATCTCGCCAAGTTTCATTTCCCAGCAACGACCTTTACAAGATCATTGCCGCAGAGATACGCTGTTGAAATACAAATGCCAAGGAACCTACCCGAGCCAGTACTAGACTGTCTTTCTCTGTAATAATCAGTTTTTTTTTGGGAGAACTAAGTGTAGGTTTGATGTGTATATCATCCGAAGTTCTTTAGGGAATCATAAAACCAGCTTAGTATCTAGTTGTCACTGTATAAATAAATCTCTATCACGTGTACTATGTCATCTGTATAAATCTAGTTGATGTATTATGTAACTCTTTGACACATATATAAAGGAGACTTTTGTAGGCATTAAACATACAATATTCCCCCCCCCCCCCCGGTTAGCCTTATCTTTAAGTAGCTTTGCCTCCAAGTAAGTGAGTGGCTTTATCCCCAAGTTTGTGAAGCCTTGTCTCCAAGTTTTCTTCTTTATAAATAGATATCATTAGTTCTTGTAAGATGTAAGTTTTCATACACATACTGTATTTGTGTGATCTTAGTTTACAACAATTTACAAAAAAAATCAGAAAACATTTGGAAATTGGGGCGACCGTGACAAAAAAACCAAAAAAGGAAAAAGAGAGATTTCCTTTTTGTTTGGGATTTCGAACATAATATATTTGCTTTAGATAACAAAAACTAAAAAGGAAACAAACAGAGAAGGACAATTTGCTTTTGTGTGGCGTCTCCATCCTCTATAAATCCTTGGATATCAAATTAACCCTCAAGTTTTCAATCCCAAACAACAAAGAGCGAAGAAAGAAAGAGAGAAAGAAACCCTAAAATCAGAGAATGGAGACTTGCTTAGAGTGCAAGATACCGACGGAAACGGTGATTGACCACAGAACCGGCGACACAATCTGCACAGAGTGTGGCATCGTCATCGACCATCACTTCATCGATCTCTCCGAGGAATGGAGAACTTTCTCCAACGACGATAGCAGTGACCAAGACCCAAATCGCGTCGGAGCTCCCTCCAATCCTCTTCTCAAATCCGGCGGTCTCATCACCGTCATCGAAAAACCTAAAGATCAACCTTCCTCCGTTTCCAAGAACGAGCTATACGAGCTGTGTCGCGCGCAGAATCTCGTCAAGAATCCGGAGGAAGATCTGATCGTGAAAGCCTGCCAGGAAATCAAGAGAATGACGGACGATCTCGGGCTGATAAACGGCGTCGAGTTTAGGGCTTGCGAGATTATCTCGAAATTCGACGGTGACAACAACAAGAGGTTACGCAGAAAGAAAAACTTGATCGCTCTCTGCGCGGCCTCTGTTTCAACGGCTTGCCGTGAGCTGAAGCTCTCGAGGACGTTGAAAGAGATTGCAACGGCGGCGATCGGTGTGGATTTGAAGGACATAAGCAAAGCGAGTATGGAGATCAAGCGTCTTCTCGTGGCAGATGAAGCGCAGGCTGCTTTTTCTGCTCCTCCGGTTATTTTAAACACAACGGAGCTTGTTCAACGCTTCTGTTCCAAACTCGATATAAGCCAGAGAGAGGCGATGGCGATTCGAGAAGCGGTCGAGAAAGCTGAGAATTACGATATCCGGAGAAACCCTAAGTCGGTTCTTGCTGCTATTATATTCATGATCTCTCAGCTATCTCGGACCAGAACCAGACCTATTCGAGGTGATTGGAAACTTTCTTCTTTGGCTTTTACTTATAAAACCCAAGATTTAGCTAGGTGACTTCCACTATAAGTTAGGGTTTTTCTAGCTGACCGGAAAGCAATCGATTTCTAATCTCTTTAATTAATTGAGCTGACGATTGTTTGTTTTGGATGCAGAAATTGGGATCGTTGCGGAAGTGGTGGAGAATACGATAAAGAGGTCCGTCAAGGATATGTACCCTTACGCCGTGAAGATTATACCCAAATGGTATGCTTCTGAAGAAGACATTATCAAGAGGTTAGGAGGTATCGCAAGTTCTTGGGATTCTTTAAAACGTACAGCATAAGGAAGCTCCACCTGAGAAACCAAGGATTTAATTATGTGGAGGAAGAAGAAGAAGAAAAGATAGTTAAGCAACCTTTTGTTTAGTTAGGCAACCTTAGACTCGATCGAGAGTTTATTAGGGATTTGTGCCTCTCTCTCAAAAGACACCAAGAGGAAGATTTGTTTTGTATCAAACTTTGTTGATAAATGGATGAATAGAGATAACTTTTTGTGAAAACGGTTGAATAATTGAATACATTTTTGTTATTGGCCAAACTAACTGAGATCCACATCCTATATTTTAATTTCATTGTCAACATGTATTCGAACAACATACTGATATATTATATGAAAGAGAATGAAGATATTTGAAATTAATAGATTGATTTTATTCCATGCCAATACAAAGCCACTCTCTACTCTATGGTGACGATTGACGACAATTTATCCATCGAAAGAAGGATCATAAAAGCTTCCAACTAAAAAACTTAGAAACTAATGTAAACTAATAAAATGAAAAACCTAAAAATTCGATTTTGCTTCGAAAGTTTGACCGAATCCCCAATTGTGCGGAGACACATTAAAGAACGTCATGCTCCTACCATCACTGGTCCGAACCATAAACGAGAGGCTTTGTCCAACCAAACCAACACCGGTATCCCAGTTTTGCCCCCAGTTTCTCTGCATGGCAGTCCAATTACTCTTGTCTCCTTTAATTGCCACGCTAGTCACATCTCCTGCACCTCCAACGTTATACACCAAAACCATGATAAAGTAAGGGTTTCCTTTGACCTCAAACCTCACGCCACCACTCTTCTGACACCTCACTCTCCGGTACTTCACCCGAACTATCCCTCCTCTGTACTCGGCCATCGAAGTGAACATTTTCATGGACAGGTCGAAGTGTTTGTGAGGAGGGTTGCACCAACGGATATTAATCGGCTCGGCGTAATTCGGTGGGCAGAAATTAGTGGCTGTGATTTTGATTGAACCGGCGTTCGGTTTGCACCATTGTGAGTTCACACACATGAGCTCGAAACAAGCACCACAAGTCTGGCCGTTGTTGAAGAGCGCCGTGCTTAGCGCCGCCGTCTTTAAGCCGTAACCTTGTTTGAATAAATCTCCGTAACCACATGCTCCTTCTGTCACACCAAATATCATAAAACATTACATAAGATAATATTTTGTAAAAAAGCCGATGATTACAAAAACAGATTTATAAAAGGCTAATGATTGGGACTTGTTGTTTATCAACATGTTTGATCAACCAAACTTTATAACATAACTTACATAAACGAAGTTCGAAATCACATGAACAAGTCATCACACTACGAGTTAAAGAGTCAATATTTCAAAAATAAAAATAAAAATTAAAAAGCTTGTGGAATGAAATTGGAACATAAAGAGACAAATGTTCATGTATCTAAATGCATAATTACTGAATGTTTTTTTTGTTTCATCATAAAGATTATGGAAGCATTCAATTGTAAAAAAAACCTAAAACGTGTTTTAGAAGAAAAAGTATGCTAGGCCTTCGAAATCGTATGAACTTGTCATTCTCCATAATACTAAATTTGAAATTTTTAAAAAAATTGCTGAGTATGCACTATAACCATTAAAAAAAAAAAAAAAAAAAAAAAAAAAAAAAAAAAAAACACTAACGCATGGTTTCTCCGCCGTTAATGTCGCCGTAAAACGTCGCGTGTGCATCAGACCACTGAGGGCCGACGTTACTAAAACTGGCATCAGCCAATGCAAGGTTTGTCACCGCCATAAGCATCGCCAGTAACGCCACAAGAGCCATTGATCTTTTTATGATTTGTTTTTTCTCCGACTTAATTATAATTGTACGGACTACGGAGAATGACGAATGATAATTTATAGATGAATATGAAACGTCGGTGTAGTTGATTAAGGGAAGTTATGGAAATCAGCAGAAAAAATAGTTTGCCTTATTAGCCTTGAGATTGATTGCAGAATTGAAGTGTCCGGTCATTAACCAATAGTAGCAAATTAAGGCGTTATGTTATCGAAATTGCGTATCCACCGTAGTTATTTACTTCCTTACTGAGTATGAGAGATTTGATACGGTTCTTATAAAAAACAAATGTCAAACGTAGCTATTAATAAATGTTAATTACTGAATTTCATGAAATATTTCGGAAAATATTGAAAATAGCATGTGATCCTTAAATATACAAAATATCTTTGAATTCACTTTTGGTATGTATATGTATCATGAACTTGGTGAAGGTTTTCAGCAATAGTTCATCAATTCGTAATAGACTCATACTCCATATCTCAATTTTGGAAGTCTTAGTGTCTTACAATAATTAAAAAGGTTCAAATGTACTATACTATTTTTTCTCATTAACATTTTGAATAAATATTAGAGTTTTTTAAAAAAAAATTAAAATAACAAAAATTTATAAACGGTGCTTGGTACACATACCATAACCGCTTCACAAAGTTAAAGAAAGTGTTAATATAAGTACGTACGAAGATATATCGTGAAAGTCATGGAGCCCAAAAGAAGATGTATTTTGATTAGTCTCAACTCTCAATAGGGTAAATGTTTTTAGCACCAGCGATATGTATTTCTCCTAGCTATATAGGTTTGTAGCAAAGAAAGTCCGAAAACTTGTGAAAACTTTCTTAAAACATGTGACAGCTTCCAAAAGTTGTTAAAATTTATCAAAATTCCGAAACAGACAAACTTTTACAAGTTTTCGACAATGTCAAAAACATTTTGTTTTGAGTCACCGACACCATCACACGCACGTGGTTAACAATATGTTAACCGATTTTTTGTAGCGTACGAATAGTGAATGTTTACCAACTTATAATATTTCCGTCAAAGATATATAAAAATGTTATTCATTAAATGGAAAAATAGATGAGGCTGTTGGTCCAATTGGAAGATGGAATTATATTAGTTTGTGTTATCAAACTCATCGTTTATAGAATTGATTTGATCTTAAGTTTTGCCAATTCGAGTCAATCATAAAATGACACTTCATCATCGTTAGTAGTGACATTTTGGACTAGTTTTTTTTTTCTGTTTTGGTTCTTACTCCACCGTTTTCAATAGCCGTGAAAAACACTCATATGAAGGTAGTAATAATTAAAAAAAAAGATTCTCTAATTCTTAAGCAATCCCACATTCTTGCTTTCGAAGTTTTGCTAGAAAATGAACTCATGTTTTGTTTGCCGTACCTTCCACAAACCTTTTTGTTTTTGTTTTCTTTCTTTTGATCAAAATCGAAAAAATGAAACAATCCTTCTATTCACTAAAGCAAAACATTTCGAGATTTCAAGTATCACGATTTATTCATTTCAATCTGTCTTGGTTTGTAATTCGGGAAATAAATAAAACACCTACAATAGTTTATTTTCATTCACCGACAATTGTACGACTGTGCAGTCTACTAGAATATAAAGTATTATTGTCCGTATTTACTCTCTTTAAATTGAACGGTGGCTACACCTACACCATAGCCGACCGAACCTGTAGGTCCGTTTGAGTCTCTCTGGTCGGTGTCAGGGGTAAAATGGGAAATCCGAGTCTTTATAAAAAGACAGCATCAGCTTCGTCTTGGTCTGACCAATGTCCTCGCCATTTCACTCGCTAATTCGTGTCTGAAAGTCTCCTCTCTCTCTCACTCTCTAAGAGAATTTCTTAAACTGGAAAATCTACAGAGGTAATAATAATATTGGTTAATGCAAATCTCTATACTATTTCTCTATCATTCTTGAATTTCTCGCAAAATTACCCGCCATTTTCTAATATCATAATTCTGTTGAGGTTCATCAAAAGGAATAGATGCTCTGTTTTGTCTCTGATTATGCTTCTCTAAATTTTGATTATATGTGGCTCAGAAAGTGAAAATGGTGAAGATCTGTTGCATCGGAGCCGGTTACGTCGGTGGACCAACCATGGCAGTGATTGCTCTGAAATGTCCCGACATTGAAGTAGCGGTCGTTGATATCTCCGTGCCACGTATCACCGCATGGAACAGCGACCAGCTTCCAATCTACGAGCCAGGTCTCGACGACGTCGTCAAGCAGTGCCGCGGCAAGAACCTCTTCTTCAGCACCGACGTCGAGAAACACGTGAGAGAAGCAGATATCGTCTTCGTCTCCGTCAACACGCCGACAAAAACCAGAGGTCTCGGAGCTGGCAAAGCCGCGGATCTCACTTACTGGGAAAGCGCCGCACGTATGATCGCCGACGTCTCTGTATCCGACAAGATCGTCGTCGAGAAATCCACAGTCCCGGTCAAAACAGCTGAAGCCATCGAGAAGATCCTGACGCATAACAGCAAAGGAATCAAGTTCCAGATTCTTTCGAATCCGGAGTTTCTTGCTGAAGGAACAGCGATCAAAGACCTTTTTAACCCTGACCGTGTTCTCATCGGAGGGCGTGAGACACCGGAAGGGTTTAAAGCGGTGCAGACGCTAAAGGACGTGTACGCGCATTGGGTTCCTGAGACTCAAATCATAACCACCAATCTCTGGTCAGCAGAGCTTTCGAAGCTTGCGGCGAACGCTTTCTTGGCGCAACGGATTTCATCTGTTAACGCTATGTCAGCTCTATGTGAAGCCACTGGCGCAGACGTCACGCAAGTGTCTTACGCGGTTGGGACAGACTCGAGGATTGGTTCCAAGTTCTTGAACTCGAGCGTCGGATTCGGTGGTTCTTGTTTTCAGAAGGATATTTTGAATCTTGTGTACATCTGTGAGTGCAATGGACTTCCGGAAGTGGCTGAGTATTGGAAGCAAGTGATCAAGATCAATGACTACCAGAAGAGCCGGTTCGTGAACAGGGTTGTTTCCTCCATGTTCAACACCGTGTCGAACAAGAAGATTGCGGTTCTTGGTTTCGCGTTCAAGAAAGACACCGGAGACACGAGGGAGACTCCGGCGATAGATGTGTGTAAAGGTCTTTTAGGAGACAAAGCGAGGTTGAGCATTTATGATCCGCAGGTGACGGAGGAACAGATCCAGAGGGATTTGTCGATGAACAAGTTTGATTGGGACCATCCGCTGCATTTGCAGCCGATGAGTCCAGCGAGTGTGAAGCAAGTGAGTGTGACTTGGGACGCGTATGAGGCAACTAAGGACGCGCATGGTATCTGTGTGTTGACGGAGTGGGATGAGTTCAAGAACTTGGATTATCAGAAGATCTTTGACAACATGCAGAAACCGGCTTTTGTGTTTGATGGAAGAAACATTATGGATCTTGTGAAGCTGAGGGAGATTGGTTTCATTGTTTACTCCATTGGTAAGCCATTAGACTCGTGGCTCAAGGACATGCCTGCCGTTGCCTAATGATCATTTTGTGGTTATTTTTTTTGGGGTTTCACTTGTGATAATTGTTTAGTCTTTGAGACTTGTTACTGTTTTTTTTCTACATGTTTGTAGTTATGTAAGCTATTGTAGTATATGATCATTCATTTGGTGTGTGTTTGTTTTTTTTTTATGGAAGAGGACTTGTATTCGACTTGAGTCCATGGAAGTAGCTTCAGTTTTGTTGTCTGTCTGTATGTGTTGGTCTGGTGAATAATTGAGTTATGTCGACTGTCAAGAGTTGACATTTGTTTTCTTTCTTACAAAAGAATATTCGCACGTTGTTAATGAGAAGGAGAATCACATGATATCTAATCTCTCGTGGTTGAGAAACTAAACCCATCCAATTGGAAGTTTCCAGCTTGGAGATTCTGAGTGTCGGATTTGACACCTAACGATTCAAGGAAATCAAAGATGATTTTGTGGATTTGTAACTTCAATTTTTTAACAAGTGTTGTTAGTCCGTTCAACGCACTTAGGTGTAAATGGTGTTGGAGTAATTGTGTAATTTACAGCTAAATTTTCAATTATGTACTAGCTGAATTCCAACACAAAAAGAAGAATAGCTACAGAAAAAGACAAAAGTTGCTGATTTTTTTTTGTTTTTTCACTCCACACACAGACACACTTATTCAGTTATTAGTTATTACATTAAAAACAAAAATTATTGAATTTCTATTACTAAAACCAGATAGTTTAACTAATTGATTTCTTTTTAACATATCTACACAGATTTCAACATAATTTGTTCATTTATAATTGATTTCAATTGTCATATTAAAAAAAAAATTAAAATAGTTTTATTACCATACTTTGCTTTTTTTAAAAACATATAAATTTTTTTTTTATCATATAATATTTCCGTTTCTTTGTAATTGTCGTTTTAGATATAACTATTGTTTCGAGTTAGTTGTCGTTTTGTTATTTAATGTAAATGGAAAAATAAACAAGAAATCTGCACAAATGAACATACTTACAAATTAGTAATCAAAATGCATTTTGTCAACAACATTTTTTAGATATGTTTTAGTTTTTACTATTTATATATAGTTGTCCAAAATAAAACACGAGATGCAGCGTTTTAATTCGAGACAAAAAAAAAAGGTTTGTCCTTGGGATTGGCCATTTGCAGAAATTCCAAGTCAAAAACAAGTCCAAAGATAACGACGAATTGCTCCTCTCTCGATCTCCGCATCTTTTGCTTCACTCTCTCTACCCATGGACGCTCTCGTTGCTCAGCTGCAGATGCAATTTCGTGATTACACCATTTCTCTCTACCAGCAGGTTTGATTCTGATTCTCGAACCCCAATTCTCTCGAGCAGATGTATGTGTGTTGGATACAGATCATCGAATTATCACTAAATCTAACGATGGTAGATTTTCTCCTATTATGGAGAGAAGATTCGCGATTAAAGCGAAGAAAAGCGTGAATCTTAGGTTTGGGAAATTGTGGATGACTTTAGAACGTGTCTTGTAGAATTTTTTGTTTCTTACAATTTATGATTCTGGGATTGGAGTTTTTCTTCACAGTTTTCAGGGCTTTTCTTGGGAAATTTAGAATTTGTTTTTTTTTTCGTTTCAAAATGTGAACTTGGATTCGAGGGTTTGTTGGTTAGATCATTTGCTTCTTTGTGTTGTGTTGTGAAGGGCTTTCTGGATGATCAGTTTACTGAGTTGAAAAAGCTGCAAGACGAAGGAAGTCCTGATTTTGTGGCTGAGGTTCTCTCTCTTTTCTTTGAAGATTGTGTGAAGCTTATTGGTAACATGGCTAGAGCTCTGTAAGTTTTTTATTTTCTCTCACTCTCTCTCACTCACTAGTATCCACTTTTCATCATAACTCTGCCTTTGTTCTCTTAAAACTTTCTCAAAACCGTATATGGGCTACATCTGATTTCAGGGACCAGACAGGAACTGTAGATTATAGTCAGGTAGGAGCGAGTGTGCATCAATTGAAGGGTAGTAGCTCAAGGTAAAGTTTCGTTCGTGGCTTTTGTCCTCATTTTTAGTATCAGAAGTACCAGTGTGCGCTTGATAGTGAAGCTTTGTCTTGTTTCTTATGCAGTGTTGGTGCCAAAAGAGTTAAAGGATTGTGTGTGACCTTCAAGGAATATTGTGAGGCTAAGAACTACGAAGGGTAAGCTTAACTCGAGCTTGAGGAGTTGTCATTTTCTTTTTGGAACTCATTTGGTTGAGAGTTGCGGAATAATCTCTGTTATGTTGCAGGTGTGTGAGATGTCTGCAGCAGGTGGATATCGAGTACAAGACGTTAAAGACAAAGCTTCAAGACATGTTCAATGTAAGTGACTTCTGTTTCGGCTTGATCTTATGAATCATTTTGATGAAAAATGATTATAATTTTCATGTCATTGATTTTTTGCAGCTTGAGAAACAAATCATCCAAGCTGGTGGAATAGTTCCTCAAGTGGATATTAACTAAAAGACTAGTCCAGACTTCAGACAGACTTCAAACTTTGTGGATGAACAGAAGAACAAGATGATGACTCAAATTGCATTCTTCAATTTCTCTTCTTTTTTTATAAATTTATTTTGGATTTTCGTTTGCTCAGAAGAAACTCAACTGAATGTGTGCAAAAACAGAGAAGTGATTCTTGTTGATATCAGTACTTTATTTTAACAAATGTGGACCAATTCCAATGTACTGTACTACTGTATGATATTTGTGTGCTTCTGGTTCCATTCTTAACCCGGTTCGGTTTTGTGTAAGCAACAGCGATAATAGAGAGAGTACGAAGTTAACTGTAGACGCGAGCGTAGGAGATAACAATCCTCTTCAAAAAGCATCATACCTTCCACAACAAGTAATTTTTGCCGTCGGTGTCGTCGTCTGTGAGTACGGTGATGAAGAGCGAAGACTGATCCAGACTCTGCGAAAACTGTCGTCTTTCGTCTAGGGTTCTAAGCTCTGCGATTCAGGTCCTGATTCCTGAAATCAAGACAGCATTTTGCTTCTGGTAAGCTGATCAAAGCGATTTCTTCTGTTTTTGTTCTGCTTCTTCCATTTTCTTCCCCATTTTCCCGAGAAAAAAGCTAAACGGAAAAGCTACGCCCTTTTCTCGATTTCTCGCATTTTTCTAGCGAAAAGTTTCCGGATTTTGCCGATAATGTGGTTTGATTATTGTGGGTTTACTTTACTTCGTCTTTTAACGTATCGGTGATCGAATAGGTTTTACAGGCAGAGAAGTTTCATCTTCGTCTCTTCTTAAGGCTTTGTATAAGGGAAAAGTCAAAATGTCTCCGAGTCTTCACGCTTGCAGAATTTGCGGGAAAAAATTCGCAACCCCAAAAGGTGTGTATGGTCACCAGAGGATTCATTATGTTTCGCAACGGATTTGGGGTTTTAAGGAGTCTAGGGTTTGCTCGATTTCGACTTCTGCTAAATCGACCTCCTTCGAATCAGAATCTCATGATCCATCACGGAGACGATACAAAGCCACCTCTTCGTTGTCACTCAAAAAAGCTTCTTCTTTTATGACTGAGACTGAGCAACATGAGATGAATGAAGCTGCAATGAGCTTAGTTATGCTTTCTGAACGACTTGTTGTTATGAAGAATTTGCCTCCTGGTGATGATGTTTCCATGGATTTGGAGGTGAAACCTATGCAAGAGACGATCATAGGTTGCGCGGAGTCGAAACAAGAGGCCATTGAAGTGTTGGGTTTTGAGAAGTCTGCGACTTGCAGTGGTGTTGCCATGGATTTAGAGCTTAAACCTATGCAAGAGACGCACATAGGTTGTGTGGAGTCGAAACAAGAGGCCAGTGAAGTGTTGGGTTTTGAAAAGTCTGCTACTTGCAGTGATGTTGTTGCTCAAGCATTACCTTCCCCTGTGAGGAGTAGTTTGCAGACAAAACCTCAGAGTAACTGTAGCTATAGATTCAAAATATGTGGCAAGAGTTTTCGACGTTCTCAAGCTCTAAGTGGTCACCAAACACTTCAAGGATCGGTAAGAGAGCTATTAGCGCGTAAAAGGACATTTGAACATGGTGATTCTATGTCTGGCTCACCTGAAGCTAAGAAGGTTGTTCTGCAACCATCATGCTCTGAATTCTATCAGGAGGATTTGACTGGAGTTGGAGTTACTAATGTGAAGGGACATTGCGTTGAGCCGAGACAAGAGTTCAGTGAAGTGTTTTCTCACTCGGGTTTGGAAAAGTCTAGTACTTGGAGTGATGATATTGCTCAACCATTACCTTCTCCTCTGAGATGTAATTTGCAGAAGAAAACAGAGAGTGCCTCCAGATATAAATGCAAAATATGTGGCGAGAGTTTTAAGTTTTTTCAAGCTTTAGGTGGTCACCAAAGGGTTCACAGATCGATTAGAGGCCAATTAGCGCGTGGAAAGGAGAATTTCGAAGGTGGTAAGTCACTGTTTGTGTTGACTGACTCAGGAGCCAAGAAGCTTGTTCCAAAGCCATCATCATGCTTTGAAGTCTCTCGGGAGGAGTTGACTGAACTTAGAGATACAAATGTAAAGGAACATTGTCTTGAGACGAAACACGAGTTCAGTGAGGTGTTTTCTCACTCGGGTTTTGAAAAGTCTGGTACTTGCAGTGATGTTGCTGGTCAAGCATTACTTTCTCCTCTAAAAAGCAAATTGCAGACAAAACCACAGAGTAACTCCAGCTATAACTGCAAAATATGTGGCAAGAGTTTTGTGTGTTTTCAAGCTCTAGGTGGACACCAGAAACTTCACAGATCGATGAGATACAAATTAGCGCATAAAAAGAGGACAACTGAAGGTGTTATTCACTGTCTGGCTCATCAACCTTTGAAGACTCGCAGGGAACATTAAGTGCTGGATTTGTCTTTAGTGTTTCCAAGTCATCTGGCCAAAGCTTTTGAGGTTCACATGAGCTCAACGACACAGAATCTTCAGATTAGTTGAACAGTAAGGGATGTGTTAGAAATAATTGGGGATTCAAACTTTGGAGTGTTGATACTTTTTCTCTCTTCTTTAAAGTGCAGATGTATAGTTGACATTTTCCCCTTTGTAAAAAACAAGAAGAATTTCTAATGTTTTGCTGGAGTTACAAACATGATATAAAGAAGAAAGAATGATGCTTTTGCTTGTCAGGAAGTTTCTTGTAGCTATGGCTCAAATCTCTGGTTTCACTGTTTGTAATAGCGACAAGGTTTACAGTGATCATTTAGCCCGGTCAGAAGCACGCTGCTAAGGCAGAGAAAGCCCCTGTGAATGCATAGACTCTTCAATCTTATTTCTTGTTTTGCATCATTACATGATTTCCTTATTATCTGGATACACTGAGTACTTAGGAAGTTTAGCTGAGACATACAAAAGAGTTCTTCAGGTAGACTGGTCAAGGCTCATGGAAGTTCGACTTGCTTAATATTCCATATGTCTTTGGCATATTCGTGGATCGTTCGGTCACTACTAAACTTGGACGAACCTGCTGTGTTCAAGATTGACATCCTCGTCCATCTCTGTATTCATTAATAAATAGCAAATTCAAGGTTGGATCATGAGGAAGTTTCATACAGAGTGAGTCATAAGCTTGATGATTAAAGTAAATGGGATGACTACTCACTTTCTGGTCTCGGTATGCCTCGTCGACTTTCTCTTGGCATTCAACGTAACTAGGAAAGTCTTTGCCAACGAGGAAGTAATCTGCTCTTCCAAAGCCTTCATTTCCTTCCAAAGAGCCAATTAGTTCATCATAGCTGTTTGAGCCAAAGACACCGCTTCTTACGAACTTCTTGACTTCTTCAAATATAGGATCCGGAACAAACTGGAACGCGAAGAGCAGACAAGTCAAAATCAAGTTCTGTTTGATGTTAAAAAGGACACTGAGAAGAAGACAGAAGCATGTCGAGTTTAACTCTTCAAATCACATACCTTTCCCTCTGCTCTCTCCTTCCTGAGGTTTGCAATCTCATGAGCTTCGGCACCAAAGAGGAAGAAATTTTCTTCGCCAACTTCTTCTCTAATCTCGACATTGGCCCCATCCAAGGTTCCAATCAAAATGCAGCCGTTCATCGAAAACTTCATGTTGCTTGTCCCACTCGCTTCCATCCCAGCGGTACTGTAGAGAGAACTCTTAGTCTTCAAAAAAATGGCAGAGTACCATTGATTATAACTTTTTCTTAAGGTTCTCATGACAAACAGAGGAACTAGTCCAGTCATCTATAATTTCAGCATTTCAGCCTCATGGAGTTGGGACCAGAAACTAGAACGTGACTAAGCCAAAGAAGTTGTTACCTGATGTGCTGAGAAAGCTCACTTGCTGGAATGAGCAATTCAGCAACACTGACATTGTAATCAGGAACAAAGATAACCTACAAGGTAGTTAACACTTCTGCTCAGTATAATATAACTTCCACAATTTTGCAGGTTGTCTGCTCTAAGGTTGAGAATATGATTAATACAAGCAAGTAAAAGTGTATATAATAAAATGTTACGTACCTTAAGCAGGTCACCTATCTCTGGATCATGGTTAATTGTAGACCCAACATCTGTGATGAATTTCACAATCCTCTTAGCTTGCACATATGTGGCAAATGCTTTTCCCCCAAATATGCATACTCTTGGAACAAATGCCTTCTCCCTCTCACTGGCACTCATTTCCTTCATCTTTTTGTACCGGTAAACAATCCCCAAGATGTTAAGCAGTTGTCGCTTGTACTCGTGGATACGCTTGATCTGCAATAAATATATAGCTTGATGAGATGATAAGAAATCTTATCAGAATTGCGTTCTACAGGAGTCATTGCGTTAAAATGCCTGCATCCAAGAAAATAACTCAACAATCTACAAGTAAACAAGATCCTCTGAAACTGACCTGAATGTCGAACATTGCATCTGGATTGACAGTATATCCGGTTCTTTCCTTGATAAGTGATACAACCTTCAACTTGTTCTTCTTCTTTGCAGCCCTCCACTCAGATTGAAGATCTTCATTATCTGCAAACTGGAGAAAGACCGAACAATTGTAACCAGTGTTTTACTATAAAGATAACAACATGTGAAACAACATGAATCTCATATAGCACACACCTTTCGTAGTTCCGCAAGCTTTTCAGTATTTAAGACCCAGTCTTCTGTGCCTATCCAGTTAGTTAATATATCACTTAGATACGGGTTGCAAAAGCGAATCCATCGCCTTGGTGTTACTCCATTGGTTTTATTCTGAAATTTCTCAGGCCACAGCTGCAACAAATATAGAATTTTCGAAAATGAGTTGTTGTCCTTCCAGGTATTAGATATTATAGCATTACGCTTCACTAAGTAGAATATTTACCTTAACGAAATCATTAAACACATCCTTCTTCACAATTTCACTGTGTATCTCTGCAACTCCATTTACAGCATGACCACCAACAACAGCGAGGTTGGCCATACGGACCATCTTTGGTGTTTTTACTGTCGGTTCTGGGATGACTTCCCCTTCCTCGCCTGCAGTTTCTTCCTCTTCTTGTTCCTTTTTCACCACAGTTTGGTCATCTTCAAACTGGCCTATGGGGTTTTTCTCAACAAGTGGATTCACAATCACATCTGCAAAGGCAGAAGGCAACTCGACGTTTTCTAAGACCCTCATTGCCTTCAGTTTTTCCTCGAGTAAGTCAGGATCCGCGGTGCCATACTCAGAAACAATTGTGCGAACTAGCTGAAATACATGAAAATGCAAAATTAGACCAGAAATGGAATAAAATTAGAAGAGACATTTGATGTTGTTCAGTGAGGACCTCCTCATCAATCATTTCTATAATCTCCACATGACGAGGGAGCAATTGCTCCATAAGTTCTAAACTCCACTTCTCCAGTGCCTCAGGCAACACTGTATGGTTTGTGTATGCCACAGTCCTGGAGACATTTTGGGACAAGAAAAACAACTAAGAACAAGAGACTAGAGAAATAGAAACAAAAAGACATGTGTAGCGTGACCCAGTTCTACAATTAGTTCAGTTATTTCAAGAAGTACCTTTGTGTGATTTTCCAAGCGTCCTCCCAGCTCAGTCCTTTCAGATCCATCAGGATTCTCATAAGCTCAGGAATGCATAGCGTAGGGTGAGTATCATTCATCTGCACTGCAACCTTCTCTGGAAATTCTTCCCAGTTGACGCTGCCTCCAGACCTTGTCTCAAAACGTGCTATGATATCTTGGAGCGAGGCAGAGCACAGAGTGTACTGTTGCTTTAGACGAAGAGTCTTTCCTTCAATTGACTCATCTCCGGGATAAAGCACGTAGCAGATCTAATTTCAGTAAGTACAGAGCAAAAGCTCGTTGTAAGATAAACAAAATGAGTGAAGCAAAACTAAATCTCCAGAACTAAGAGAACCGTAGAACGATACAGACCTTTTCAGCGTTAAATAGAGCTTCTGCTGCCTCAGTATGCTTCCCAGAGTTATATGAAGATAAATCAAAATCTTCTGAAGAGGCTTTTGTTGACCAGAGTCGTAGATTGATAGTAGTCTTAGTTTTATAGCCAGGTATAGGAACATCATAAGCAACAGCCACTATGTCTTCTCCACCAATCCACTTTTTCTTACCATCTGATCCAAAAACCACTTTTCCATAGAACTTTACAGGATATGAGACATCATTTCTGACTATTTCCCAAGGATTGCTTAGCTGAAAGAAACAGGTAAGTCAATCAACATGTCCACTTCTCAGCATTGTTCTGAGGGAGTGCAAATTAGGATATACACTATGGGAAAAGAATAAGAGAAGAAGACCTCAAGCCAATCTTCTGCAGCTTCCTCCTGTCCATCTTTTGTGATTCTCTGTTTGAACAAGCCATACTTGTATCTAAGTCCATAACCCCATGCTGGATAATTCAAAGTTGCCAGGGAATCCAAAAAGCACGAGGCAAGTCTCCCGAGTCCACCATTTCCAAGTGCAGGATCTGGCTCCTACAAATTAGAACTTAGCACCTCAGCACATATTTAGAAGATAAAGACTCTGTGATACCAAACCAACAGCTCATAGATTTTGTAGTGAATCTAAGATCATCTCCAATAATCAACATGCTTAACAACTCACCTGAGTAGCTACGCTTTCCAAATCAAAGCCTAGACTCTTCAAAGCGTCAGCATAAGCGCCAGTAAGCTCAAGATTACCCACTGCATTTGATAGGGCTCTACCCTACAAATGGGAGAGATGGTCAAATATTAACCAAGCGTACAAGATTTTGCTGAGAGTCAAACAACAAGAAAAGGAGAATTCAAAAGCAAACCTGCAAAAACTCCATCGACAAATAGTACGCTTGTTTCGCATTCACCCTGTTGTAATACTCATATGTTGCGTTCCAGTTTATGATTAGAGCGTCCCTAACACTTTGTGCGGTGGCAAAGAAAGCCTTTGGCAACTCAAACTTTTCCGGTGAAAATAGAGGCGTGAACTCCGCGTGGTACTTGATGCTTGAGGCTACGGAAGCAGCATCTGGAGCAAACGGGCTCAACGAGCTAAAGGCTTCTGATTCAATCAAAGATACATTAAAAGTGAACTTTTTCAGCAACACGAATGATCTAAGAGATGAATATTCAATATATTAGTGACTTCACACACCCAACATTCACTATAAGTTCGAAATTTCAGATCCTAATTACTGCAAGTAGAAACATTTACAAACCAACTATTCGAATGAGAATACTGGACCTTGTTCGGAATCGGTAACTGCATCGGCGACCTTCTCTTTCGGCTCACTAGAGACAGATTTTACCGATGAAAAGCGCCTTCTCGTCGCCGCCGGTAACCAGGTTCTGCTTCTCGCCGGAAACATCCTCGTTCTCCATCTTCCATTGTCGAAACGACGACCAACGAGGCTCGACAAGGAATTGCATTGCATAGAAATCTCAGCTCCGGTCGATACTCCGGAGATTCGCATCGCATCCATCACTCTCAGAGTTGGTAAGAGTAGAGAACACTGCGAGTGCTCGCTCAGTCTTTTCAGTTTCACGAGGCAAATCTTATCAGTGATCACTGAAATTGACTATGCCACGTCGCGTATATCTCCACGTGTCGCTGTATTATTGGATTCGGAACTGAGCTACCTGTGACAGATCACGTTTTTTATGAGTGGGTTTTAGAGCTGATATTTCTGGGAGAAGGCGACAAGGCGAATTAGTCGAGAAGTAACGTGCACCGTCCACGTGTATGGTGTCTTCATCGTCAATTTAGTGGCCTCTTTTTGTCAATATTCTACAGACTAGTGTGAACTGGTGAAAGTACATCTTGTACTGAACGAACGATCCTTCTGATTATAAGAGCAAGAAAGCGTATTATAGTACACACTCCAGAGTAATGAAAGAAACAGAAACCATCTTATTGAGTTTCAAGGAGAGATACAAAAACAAGGTTACATTCCAATTGATATACTACCTAAGCAAAGCTGATCTCCACACGTAACTGAGGAAACTAGCATTTCTCTATGACGAAAAAGGTCAACCTCGAGAATACAAACAGAGCAACCAGCAATGAGCAGACCGAGTAAACACTCTCACAGATCTTCCCAGAGGAAACTGAAGCAACCTAATCTAAACCATCTGGTTATGTTACAATTTCTACATCAAAAAATAAGTTTTTCTTATTGGGTTCACATTACCAAAACGCAGGCCAGATGGTTTACGATTCCTACATCAAAACTCATCGCTTATATTCTTTCGCGAGCGGTCAAGGTTCCATCTTTAGTGGCAATGGAGCAAGGAACATTGAGCTATCTTCTTGAAGCCGGATCTCCTTCTTGTGTTCATTACTTCGAGAACTTCCTCGCCATCATCAACTGAATCATCCTCCTCTGCACTCGAAGTTACCTGATACAAATTCCTGTTCTTGTCAAATACCATAGCTTTCCTAACAAGAGGCTTCACTACATTGCCTTTCACAAAGGCCCCAGTTCCAGACTTGGAGCTACCAATCTTTCTCTTATCAGCAGATTTCACCGGCACTTCCTCACTATCATCACTCATAAAGTCCAGCTCTTCATTGTTATCTTCATCCTCACTGGAAGTAACTATGACTTTACCCATTCGATTCCTCAGTTTCTCGGTTGTCCTGTCTTCTGCTAAACCAAAAAGCCTGAGGCTTTTTTGCCATCAGAGGCTCTGCGTTTGCTAAAGCTCACACTTATTGCAAACTTGGCAACAAAATCACACCTTTTAACAGCACAATCATCAACATACTCCAAAAACCTCACCAAATCTCTGCTCAACGATCTCTTACTAGCTCGTATCATTGGATCAATCCTACTCTGATATTGGCATTACTAAATCAAAGATCTGGGAAACTAAAAAGAGACAAACTTTCGAGGAAATCACAAAAGGGTTTACTGAACAAAATAACTGAATCGAATCAAGTCTGTAGCTTTCCGAGAAACAGACCTGAAAGGGAAATTGGGTTTCCCAGAAACCGAAGATTTGAGAGACATGAAGCTCGATTTGATCGTTGCGAGTTCCTTGAGATGCCTAAAGGCTATGGATTTGAATGACACGCGCCGCGGAATATCTCAGTGTAGAGTGGCGATTGCTGGCGCTGGTCATAAAAATCTCCCAACGGCTATAATACGAAATATCGGATCCTTCGACGAAGCACACACTTGCACTCTAAAAAAAGGAAACTCATAAACTTCTAGAACCCGAACCAAAAAAGGAAATTAAAGATCATGGACCAAAAAAGGAAATTAAACGTCGAGAACACCTGAACCATAAAGTATATATAAGCAACCCTCGACCATTATTGTGTTCACTATTCATTCTTCACTCTAATCACAATTCTCTTTTTTTGACCCAAAGCGTTTCTCTTCTCTTCCGATCCGAAACCCTAGAAGCTTTTTTTTGCGTAAACAATGGAGAAATCCAAATTGTCTGTGAGAAACCCGACCCGTTTCAAGAAATCGTCCGTCTCTTCCACGATTCCCGCTGCCAAAAAGAACCCCAACTTGTCTTGAGAGAACAGACTCTCCTCAAGAAAGCGTACGAGCTTTCTACTCTATGCGACGTCCAAGTCTTGTACTCTATTACAGTCGTGACGGAGAGCTCATCAAGACGTGGCCGGAGGATCAATCAAAAGTTAGAGACATGGCGGAGAGATTTAGCAGACTAAGCGAGGTAGAAAAAAGAAAGAAAAACATCAATCTTTCTCTGTTCCTAAACAAGAAGATGAACGACGACAGGAAGAAGTCTCTCGAGAAAAACGACAACAAATTCTCGCAGAAAATCTCGGAGATGGAGGATTCCTTGGTCAAACGTCTACAGATGTTTCAAGACAAGCTTCGGCTTCTTCGACTAAACCCTCATGATCATCAGACCGAGATGTGTGCGGTTTCAACGGATCATCAGACCGATCGGTATCCATTCTTGAAGATTTAATTGTTGTTTGGGACAAGCTTAAGCGAGGAACAAATTATGTGTGGCACTTATGATGTTAGTGTAAGACTTGTATGATGTTATGTAAGACTTAGTTTTGAATGCCACACATAATTATGTGTGGCACTGATGATGTTAGTGTAACACTTGTATGATAATTTGTTTACTCAACTGATTTATCGGAGTTTAAGTTGTACACAAGTTAAGAAGCTTTAATATGGTTTGATGATAAAGATAGTAAACACTTCAATCTTGTCCTACTCTTGTAATTTGCAAAAAAAAAGAATTGAAAAGAAAGTAACAGTATGTATGAAGAACAAATCAAACATGAAAGGTACGAGTTGGATCTCATTGATACTCGGCAGTCTTGGTCCTGAATTCTTCAAGCAAATCCTCAATGCTTTTCAACGCGTGAGCTTGACTGTCTCTTATCCGAACACTCACCTGAAAATGCCGAGTCAAACGAAACAAAATGGTCTTTAAAAATGTTCATACAAAGCTAGTTAATTAAGCCCCAAGAGACTATATGCCAATAAGGCAATAACTAACCTGTCCTGTAGCAGCTTCATCGAATAAAAGATTTGATCCTTCTGATTATATAAGCAAAGAAAGCATAGTACACGCTCAAGTGTAATGAAAGAAACAGAAACCATCTTATTGAGTTTCAAGGAGAGATACAAAAACAACGTTACATTCCAATTGATATACTACTACCTAAGCAAAGCTGATCTCCACACGTTACTGAGGAAACCGGAACACAAAGAATAGCATTTCTCTATGAAGAAAAAGCTTAACCTCAGAACACGGCCTAGAGAATACAAACAGAGTAACAGACGGAAACAGAAACGAGCAAACCAAGAAAACACTCTCACAGATCTTCCCAGAGGAAACTGAAGCAACCTAATCTAAACCATCTGGTTATGTTACAATTCCTACATCAAAAAAAGTTTTTCTTATTGGGTTCACATTACCAAAACGCAGGTTTCAGAATTAAACTAGTCTCATAACCAAAAAAAGTCATCGCTTAGATTCTTTCGTGAGCGGTCAAGGTTCCATTTTAAGTGGCAATGGAGGAGAGAACATTAAGCTTCCTTTCTGAAGCTGGATCTCCTTCTTGTGCTCACTACTTCCAGGGCTATTAGCATTTCTTGTAACTATTGCGTCCCTTTCACTGCCCTCTGACGAAGAGCCTTCATTTTCAGATTGAGTTTCTTCTTCTTCTACTTCAAAGCCCTCGTTTTCCTTGGGCACATGTTTGATGTCCTCAACCTCATTTCTATTCCCTTTCTTGTCTTCATTTCCATCATTTGATCCATCTGTCGAGTCATCTTCTTCGCTTATGCTTGACTCTGGCATATCTCCATAAACCTTTCTCCGTAAACCATTCTCTTTCCCTTTCCCTTCTTCATTTCCATTGTTGGATCCGCTTGTCGAGTCATCTTCCTCGGTTATGCTTGACTCTGGCGTATCTCCATAAACCTTATATATATTCCCATTCTCATCAAAGCTCACAGTTTTCACCACCCGGTTTTTCCCTCCATTCTCTTTCACCAAAACAGTGTTCCTAGTCTTCGAACCTTGCTTCCTTCCCTTGTCCCTCGACATCACGAGAACTTCCTCGCCATCATCAACTGAATCATCCTCCTCTGCACTCGAAGTTACCTGATACAAATTCCTGTTCTTGTCAAATACCATGGCTTTCCTAACCGGAGGCTTCACTACATTGCCTTTCACAAAGGCCCCAGTTCTAGACTTGGAGCTACCAATCTTCACTGGCACTTCCTCACTATCATCAGTCATAAAGTCCAGCTCTTCTACCTCTTCGTTGTTATCTTCATCCTCACTGGACGTAACTATGACTTTCCCCATTCGGTTCCTCAGTTTCTCGGTTGTCCTGCCTTCTGCTAAACCAAAACCCTGAGGCTTTTTGCCATCAGAGCCTCTACGTTTGCTAAAGCTCACACTTACTGCAGACTTAGCAATAAATTCACACCTTTTAACAGCACAATCATCAACATACTGCAAAAACCTCACCAAATCTCTGCTCAATGATCTCTTACTAGCTCGTATCATTGGATCAACCCTACCCTGATATTGGCATTACTAAATCAAAGATCTGGGAAACTAAAAAGAGACAAACTTTCGAAGAAATCACAAAAGAGTTTACTGAACAAAATACCTGAATCGAATCAAGTTGCAGAAGCAAGTCTGTAGCTTTCCGAGAAACAGCCTTGAATGGGAAACTGGGTTTACCACAAACCGAAGATTTGAGAGACAAGAAACTCGATTTGATCATTGCGAGCTCCTTGAGATGCCTAAAGGATATGGATCTGCGAACCAGGTAAGACCGGAAATGGGTTTGAATGACACGCGCCGCGGAATCTCTCAGTGTAGAGTGGCGATTGCGACGTTGGTCATAAGAAGCTGCGAACTCGTTGAGTGACGACTCGAGATCATCGATTTTCCGGAGAAGACAGGATAAGACAATGTGGTCGTTTTCTCGTGGAACGTTCTTCTGCTGGCCGTGCTGACGTCTACCACCGTTGAATCTCGGAGACGGGGTTTCGCAGGAGCAGGTCTGGTCATGGCATTTCCTTTCTTGTTGCTGCTGAGTTTGGAGGTAAGAAGCGACGAGGTGAAGAAGATTATCCGGCGGCGGCGAAGGGTGGCTGGATTGGGTGCAGCAGTGAGTTGAGTCTCCGTAGGTGCAGCAGAGTGATGACGTGGCGACTAGAGGGATGTAATCGTGGTGGCTCTGGAGCCGTGAGCAGGCGTGGTGGTGGCGGCGGGATGCCATGGGAATCGACGGCGGAGTTAACTAGATCGAGGGCATCAAATGGCGTTTGACCAAATCGATCCCGTGACTGATGATGACAAAGAGAAGAAGAAGAGAGAGTAAACAGCTTGAGAACGTCACGCAGTCCTTATCATCTATTATAATCCGGCACGCATTTCATTTTGTTGACCGGTCGAACCAAACCGGATGGGTTTTGCATCATCCTCTAATGCAACAACATATCTTTAGCAAGATTTGAACCGGATGGGATGATATGCATTTTATTGTTGTTTGTCTCACATCTTTTTGCAGTTTTTGCATCTTGTTTGTCACACACACTATAATCTTTTTGATGTTTTTGTTCAATTTAAGTTACTACTAAACCAGAGAAAATACAGAACACCCATCAAATAATATAAGGATTATGTGCAATTTACAGAACCAAGGAATTAGTAAGAGGAATAGTTGAGTTACTCAATTCAAGTCTGACCATTTAAAATAAAACACTAAAAATTAACAGTTGTGTAAAGTTTGAAGCTTTATCCTACTTTGGAGTCATTATAAAATTATTGAACAGCTTTTTCTTCCGGAACACAGAAAACGACATATGAAGGAAACTCTGGTAAAAACAAGCGTGGCTTGGGTTATCGAGCCATGTCCAAAACTCTGTTACCCACAACAACCATACACATTCCAAGACAGTCCAAAAATTAAATGGAAAAGACAAAAAAAAAAAATTAGAAAACAATAGCTGAATTAATACATCATATACTCTACCACGACGGAGAAGTATACGACGGCGAACCAGACGATGAAGACGACTCACCGTTGTTGTTGTTGTTGTTGTTGTTACCGTTGGATTCACTAGGAGAAGTTTCCAACGACTTCATATTTTTTAGCGAAACAGAGCATGCCTTTTCAGGAAGATCCTTCATAGGAGTCAACGTCGGCGTCGAATCTTCGACAATGTCGCTGTCTTCCTCGCCGGAAGAACATGAAGCAGACGAGTCGCCGGTTTCGAGCCGTGACGGTGACGACTCAGGGGTTTCGAAAGGCGTGGTTGGTCTACTTGCTGCTTCGTTTGAGTACATTGGGTTCGAAATGTAGATGAAACTATCCAAACAATCGTTATCAATGGGTACCTGGATCTCGCGAATCAGATCAGGAGAAGAAGCTGGTAAGGATGAGTCATGTCGGAAATGGGTTTTGGTTTTGTAAAATGTTTTGTTGGGAGTTTGAAGAACGCCTGTGGTGAGAGGATTGTGTGATAAAGAATCCATGTTAGATGGTGAAGGGTCGTCGGTTGTGGAAATGGTTTGTGCGAGGCTTGTGGCGGTTGCAGCGGCGGCGGGGACAGTGGTGGTGGGGAGGGTTTGGGAGTGACGGCGGCGGCGGCCAAGTAAGAGAGAGCAGTAGAGTTCGGCTAGTAGTACTAATACTAAGCTTAGTACCATGACCAAGCTCACTACCATAACCATAGTGGCCGCCATTATCACCTTCGACGAGCTATTCATCTTTATCTCTCTCTCTTTCTCTGGTCTCTTCGTGTTTCTCTCTCTGTCTTTGTGGAGCTGTGTCTGTGAGTGCAGAACATAGAGGAAGAGAAGAGAGGTGAGTGGTAAGAAACAGCTTTGTGTTTTTGGCGGGAAATGAGGGGTTACTTTGCTTTTTCAGGGACTGTGGGCCTGTGGTAGAAAGAGGGAGGATTGGGTACGAGGAGCACGAGGTTCTCTGTTTTACGAGCTTTGTAAATTAATTAGTAAAAGCAAAGAAGAAGAGATTTACCCAGCGTGGGAGGACTGAGGAGGGTACTATTGTAATTTGAAATGTGAGCAGCATGTGAATTGCAGATGAGAAGAGAGAGAGGGGTGAAGGAATCTCAAAGCTTGCAACTTGCAAGTGAGTTTGATGCTTCCTCGATGAAGTTAGGACTCGAGGTTTGTGTGGTTTCCTTGTGACAAAAGTAACAGTCTGCTCTTAAGAAACATCCAAAAGACAGGTTAACGTCTTTTTAACATTACGATAAGAATTTTCACTTACTTGAAACCATCCATATACTGATATACAGATAAACAAAACAACTGATTCACATTTTGTTGTGTTACAAAATCCCGAAAGTGCGCGTGAATATGAGATCTAGTTTTTTTTTTTTTGTAGCCTTTATATTCCAGATGCAAACATCTGTGTCCAATAACGTTAGAAACTTGGCACGAGCCTACTTCATCGCCAACATTAGCTCTCTGTCCAAACTGGAGACCTAGAGCTTGCGGTTTAAAATGGAAAAGTTGATCTTCATTTCTTAGAGCTATCTCGAGTTTGGCTTATGGCACTGACCATTACTAAGAAGAAGCATGAGTAGATAAAAGCATGATCACCTTAACTTTTTCAGCGTTTCTTCAAGTTCTGTAACATCATAGCTCGGGTTTTGCCGTCCGGTTCCAAGCCCATCTCTCTCATTTTGACATACAGCTCCTTTGCAAACTTGAACTCGCGTCTTAAACACATCCCATGTATAGCTGCGTTGTAAAGCGACACATCAGGTTCCACTTTCTGTTCCAAGAAACAAACAAACATTACATAACTCTCTTCAAACTCCACATTTGACTAACAAACATACTCAAAACTCATTACCTTTAGGATATCCATAACCTCGTCCCACAGAGAACCCCAAATGCAACTCCTTACAAGCGACAGATACGTAAACGTGTCAGCCTCACAACTCCTTTGACCCATGTGCTCATACACTCGCAACGCAACTCTCGACTCCCTCGCTTTCTCGCAAGCGCTTATCACCAGATTATACGACGAAGTCGAAACCGTTAACCCCGAACCTTCCATCTCATACAAAAGCTTCACAGCCTTCTCCCAAGAACCAAGCTTTTGGCATGACACCAAAACTGTGTTGTACAGATACTCATTCATACAACAAAGCTTCTCGCTTCTCACCATATCAAACAGCTGAAGCACATCTTCATACCGGTTCGCTTTGTATAACGCCGTGAGCAGCGCGTTCCACGTGTACTCGTCAGGCTTATGCCCTAGAGACTTCGCAACACTGTAAACCTTAAACACCAAACCAACTTTCCCCGCCTTCCCAAGCGAGTTTATCAGAGTGTTGCACGCTACAAGATTAGGCTTCACACCTTTCTTTAACATACTCTGAAATATCTTTAAAGCCAAATCCCATTTCTCTTCCTTTGTACACGCGCTTATCATCGCGTACATTGCATCCTCTCTCGGAGATACTTTGTTCTTAACCATCTCATCGTACGCATCAAGCGCCAGTTCGCTTCTCCCACACCGAACAAAGATGCTAACAAGCAGAGAATATGTAATCTCTGTTCCGATCTCACCATCTCCTCTCATCACTCTCCATATCCTCTCTGTCTCACACACGTTGTTTATCCGTCCACATAGAGAAATCACTGTGTTGTACAGAACCACGTCGAAACAAGTCTTATGCTTTGGATCTCTTTCTAGCTCTCTGAACATTCTCACCGCGGAATCACAACCTTTAACCTCTGCAACAGCTTTCAACAGCAAGCTATACGTGTGCCCTGTGACGTTGCTCTCCTTCGTCCTCGTCATGAACTCAAAGACGGTAAAGACTTTCTGAAGATCTCCATTCCTCAAGAGGCACGAGAGGAAAGAGTTGCAGGCGTGAGGATTGGGGTGTAAACCTGAAACTCTCATAGAATCAAAGAGCTCCAAAGCGCTTCTGACTTTATTCAACCTGCTGAGTTTCAAAAGCCTCTTTGATAACATCTCTTCGTTCCTCTCCTCTAGAAAATGTATCCTATTCCTATCATCACTCCCAAGCTTCTCTTCTAACTTATTTTCAACGAAGAAGTCGCTAAGAGGAAAAATTATGTCTTTCCCTCTTTCTCTCAATCCATCTTCAGCCTCCAATTCACTACTCACCTTCTTGAAACACAGTCCTGGTGTTGTTGACAAAGCAAAAGACTTCATTTTGACACTACCATGTACCAAACGCCTTCGTTTCAGCTTCATGGTCAATGCAAAGTCCAACGAGGACCATTGACAAGTTCCCCAGAAACAACTGCTCTTCTTAAAGGAATAACATCCACAATTCGATGTAGCAGAGACGGAAACAGGACAAAACCATACATCTCCCATAATTTTACGGAATCGGGAAATGAAAATGAACAGCAAAATTCAGCAATCCACAACTCCAATTTTAATACATGGGCAAAGAGAATAATACTCTTTCGGCATAATGCGATGAACAAAGCTGAGAAATCGTTTCCTGTTCAGCAAAAAAGTTGAGAACTTTAGCAGTAACAACGGAAGCAATCACCTAAACAGGCATACCCACTTCAATTCTAAGCAAGCAAATCCTAAAATTTCCTTAATCAAATAACAGAAGCTGTGTAACAACGTACCCAGGACAATAAGCAGGCATAAAACCAAGCCAAAACCTACTCTTCAAGCAGAATTGATGAATCAAGCTTGTTCTGAGGCTGAGTGTGTAGAAGGAGAAGAAGACGAAGAAGAAGAAGATAGTAAAAGGAAACGACGTCGTTTGGAACCTAAAAACGTCGCCGTTTTAAAAGTAATTAAAAACATTCCAAAAATCATTTCGTTTGGATTTGAAAGCTTGTCAAGTTTTGGATTTTCTAAAAAGTTTGCCGAAACCCTAATTTAACTGCCGTGAAAATGGCGACTCCGACTGATCCTCGGCCTCTCAATTCCCATTTTGTGGTTCGTCATTCCTGTTTCTCCTTCTTTGTAAATTACATGCTTCACAGAAACTGTTTTGATTTTTGTTTTTCCGTTGGTGCTCTCTAGCTACATTATGGGTCGTTTGTGGTTTGTGCAGATGGAGAAATCCTCTCCTCCGCCTATGGATGAAAATTTCATCAGAACCTGTTATATGATGAAGAATAAGTATCCTTTCCATTTTTTCTTTTCTTGCAGTCAAAAGTATTAAGAAATCTGCTGCTAGGTATTGAGTCATTTTTTTAATATGAAGGGAGGAGTTCTTCAAGCAGAGACCCAAGAAGGAGTCTATTAGTGCTGCTCTACGAAGTTTTGGAAACAGCTGGAAATCTCTGTCTGATGCCGATAAGGCTCCTTACATTGAAGAGGCTAGCAAGCACAACGTTCTCATGGACGCATACAACAAGTGGAAATCCATGTCACGCACTGTAAATGTAACTTTTGATTTTGTAATTGTGTTATTAGAGATTTTGTTTAGTATCTCTGGCAAATACGTGATTTTTTATTGTCTAGGAGAAAGCTCCTTTCCTTGCCAAGGCCAAGGCTCCTCACAGTGCAAAGCTTGCTATGCATAAGAGGATGATGAAAGATAAGAATTGGGACGAGGACAAAGAATTCGACTCGTTTGGATTCTTCATTTTCTGGTAATATGAGTGTTTACTGTTTAGTAGCTTTAAAGTATTATTATTTAAATATTTTATTTTGTGTTCATTGACTTGCAAATGGTTTTATTTTCAGGGAGGAATCTGAGAAGGCACATTTTTGCCTTTTCTGGTACATCACACTCTCAATCTCTCTAGTATAATTGGTTAATAGTTTTGAATCTAATGGAATCTGTGTTGACTTGTAGTGAGTGGTTCATTGAAGAATATAAGAAGAACCACCCGGAGGACCAGCGTTTGTGTAATGTCAATGTTAAGGACGAGGAATGGTGGACTTCAGTTCCCGAAGAAGTTCTACAGAAGGCGATGGAGGCTTGGAATGACATGTCTGATTCTGACAAAGCTCCCTACGCTCTCCTTGCTGAGCAAAGGCGCAATGAAGCTCTGCATGCATACTATGCATTGACCATCTTTAGGTAAACTATTGATCAATTATTCAATTATAAATGTCTTTATTAGTACACAACTTTACAATAAAATGTTGTATTATCTAAATGCAGAAACGAATACAAGAACAAGAAGATCAACTTGGAAGACGGATCCGACAACAAGGCATGGGAAACCATGAGCGCTGAGCAGAAGTCACCATACTTTGCTATGGCAAAGACCGTCCTAGACAGTGTGAAGAAATGAAGAATCATATTTGAGAGTATGTTTTTGATCATTCTTCAATTTTTTGTTGTTCTTCTTCTTGTCTTGTAGTGTTATTCTACTTGCACATATTTACCAACATTGTTGTGTCTGTGCTTCAAGGAGGATGAGGAAAGAGGAGAAAGAGAAAGGTAATGGTGAAGAGAAAGACAGGAATGTACCGAGGACTAGGAATAATTCTAGCAATCAATCTCTCAATCGTTTGTTAATGGTAAAGTAATAACATATATAGACTCTGTTTAGACGTTGACTAAGAGATTTGCAGCAGCTCTAATTTTGGTTTTTGTTTTCCCCTCTGAATGCAATTGTTAGTCTCAATACTATCATGTTTTACTTTGTAAGATTTCTTATAGAATCTGGTCTTTTATCATAATGTTTCAAATAAGAAGTTAGCAGCAGTTGACATTCTCTCACGCTCAACAAGCAGAGAATATGTAACCTCTGTGCCATGCTTATAGACCATGCTTTATTGCTGGATGGGTTTTAAGAGAATATGTAACCTCTCTACTGGTTATAATGTTGCGAGAAAATATAATAGATCAGAACTCAACCAAGTGGATGTGCAAGAAGAGAACCAAAAAGAGAAGATGAAGTGGTCAAATATTGCATACAATCAGAACTTACATTATTTTGATTGTATGCAGTTAAAAAAAAAAAATTGTTGGAGTAACACAATTTCTATATAGCGTGTATTAACTTAAGGGCTGATTTCCCTTCTTTTTTTTTTGTACAGCTAGGGTTTTAAAAGCCACAAAGAAAATATCATGGTTTGTTTTATGTTTTTGGAAAAAAGTCATGGTCTTTTTACTCATTTTCTCGGTTTATGCTATTAGAATTTATAAACGATGGTTTAGGGTTTTCCGTTTTCTTATCAAGTCATATAACATAAAGTTTAACTTCAAATCTGCCTCCTTTCAAAAATGCTCACTTCTTCTGCCTTCTGCAAAACGATACAAGTTAGGACATTTTAATTAATGTAAAAATAGCTATTTTGAATGCTAAAGATTTAACACTAAACGATAACTAACCGTTTTCAACCGTTCATAAATTGTGCTGAAAATGACTGATCCACCTAAATATGACATTTTTTTGGTTTTTGATTTAATTGACTCACTGGCTTTGATAAACTGAGCCGGTAGAGCATCACCCGTCTTCAACATCAATGTGATTGACGAGAATTGGTATCAATGTGACTGACGAGAATTGGTGGGATCCAACTCCTCAAGATGTTCTCGAGAGGCGTTGGATGCTTGGAAGAAGATGTCGGATTATGACAGAGCTCCATATGCTCTTCAAGCTGAACAGAGGGGTAACGAGGCTTTGTCTGGACAGTATGCATTGGCAATTTACAGGTAAACTTGTTATATGTCTTTATTAGTGCATAAGTTTGTTATATAATGTTTAACCATACAATGGCATGAACTAGTGCGAGAAGAAGAACTTGGCAGACGTTGATAATGCATGGGAAGCAATGGGTGTTGAGGAGAAGGCCCAATACTTTGCGATGGCAAAGGTTGTCTTAGATAGTCTGAAGAAGCAGCAAATCTGAGGTATTCTTTTTTATCATTCTTAAGAGTTTGACCAACAGCTTCTTATTGTGCCAACTCATTACATTATTGTTTCTTGTTTCATTGGATCACCATAATCTGAGTGACTGCACTGATTTGTGATTTTTGCAGTTAACACTGGACCAATGAAGATCTCTGGCTTGATTTTGCTTCGTGTGGAAGAGGAACACGCAAACTAAGACAGCTTAAATCTTTCGTTTGTTTCATATCGCATAAAACAATTTATAGTTTGTTACATCCCGAATTAGAGAAGGTACTTGTTACGTTTTTTAATGAGCAACTTAAGGTTCTTGAGGTTAAGAATGGTTACTATTACGTAGGATTCACTCACTTCTGAATGTTTACATAATACTCATATAGAGATTTCTCATATTCCAAGTAAATGTAACAAAAGATGCATACCTCCCGCTAAAAATGGCTTCCGTTTTCTCCTCTTGGGTTTCTTGAGGACATATGGCTTGGAAGAGGGTTCCAGCTTTGGCCTTCATCACAAGATCATAATCTTTTTGGTCGTTCTTCTTCATGAAAAATTTCCAATATCACACTAGCATAGACTAGAGTCACTAGACGTCTTCGTTTTGGCTTCATAGTCAATACAAAGTCCAACGAGGACCAATGACAAATTCTCCATACAACACTGCTCCTCTTAACGGAATTTAACATCATTAACCCAATTGATTTGATGTAAGAAGAACTTTAGTGAAATTTTGAAGTAACCAGAGGAAGGAATTACCCACTTCAAATCCTAAAATGTCTAATCAAACAACCGAAATAACCCATTAATCTGTTCCAATTGGCATTTCTTAATCAAAACGCAACACAAGGAGAGAGAAAATAGCGAAATTTCGAACACTGGCCGCAGTAGCGAACATCTTTCGAATCGATTTCTCTCTGTCAACACAATGGGTAAAGTTTCTGTCTTTACTTCGGCTACTGTTTTCCGTGTCGTTTTTTCTAGAGTATTGATAGTGGGATTTGCAGATGAGGGAAGAGAAGGAGAGATAGAGAAGAAGGAAGAAGGACAAGTGAAGGAAGGAGTAGCGTCGATAGCTTTATTGCCATGTGGGTCTCTCTCTGGCCATTTCATTCACATGCCTCTCTCCATCTGTTATGGCCTCCATGGCACTGGTACTCTTTCACTGCCCTTTTTGCTAGAGAGCAAACAAAAAATTGGTCTTTTTTAGTTTGAGTTGTTTGATTTTGTTCTCTGGAATTTTGTATGCTTCTCAATCAATTCCCACAGAAAAGGTGCTTGATTTGTCCATATCAATTTACCTTCGATTTGATGAATTTTTTTGGTCCGAAGAGTCTGTTGAAAACCAAGATTATCAGATTCATTACTTAATCTTGCACAAAGTACATCTTTTGATACTATTGTTTGAGCATGATATATAAATTTTGTATGTTAATTAGCTTATGAACATAGAGGAAGGTGAACTAGTCTGGCTATTTTAACATTTTAATCGCCTGGTTTCATTTGCATACAATTGAACCTTGTTGCGTTGTGCTGTATCATTATTGATAATTTGATATGTTCTTTGTTTTCCCAAAGAACTGGCTTGTGAGACTGAGTGCAGCCGCGGTGAGGATTACCGGTTGATCAAACTCACCATCATTGACTACAATGTATGAATCTTCTCAATTCAATCTTCTAACCAACTTCCCTCATTTACTCTTCATCTCCAAAACCATTGGATTGAAATTCTTCCTGTGCCATTTCATGAAACAGAGTAAGAAGGAGCAAACAGTTGTAGTGGAGTGCAAAGGCCACGATGCTGCTCGGATTAATGATGTCGAGCATGCTCACGGGTATGTCTCTCCTTGTCTAGCATCTTTTATGCATGAACAAATCTATCTGGATTGGGAAATTCATAAACTTTAGAGCTTTAGAGATAACAACATGTGAATGAGTTGATTACAAAACCCTTTTGTGTGAGTCTTGTACTGTTCTTATGCTTAATGAAATATGAGTGATATAAGGTTACTTTGTTCTTGTAAAGTTGGGAGGAAGATGTGATAGGATTAGTCGAAGAAAAGCACGGGAAGAAGAAAGTATCTGTTTCGTTCGAGTGCGAGACATTGAAGGCAGATGAAGCAGCAGAGGACCACATCAGACAGTTTATGCCCAAATTAGCTGGACTTGATGCTGTTAGTACGTGAAAAGTTTCTTTCTTCTTGTGCCATCTCATTACATTATAGTTTCTTGTTTTGTTGGATCACCACTGATTTGTGATTTTTGCAGTTAACATAGGACCAATGAAGATCACTGGGCTTGATTTTGCTGCGGTGGAAGGGGAACACGCAAACTAAGACAACTTAACTCTTTCGTTTTGTTTCATATCGTAGAAATTTCACAATTATAATTTTGTTACATCCCAACTTAGAGAAGGTACTTCTTGCATCTTTAATGCGCTCATCTTTAGGTTCTTGAGGTTAAGAATCATTTATTATTGTTTAGGTTCTTGTATGTTACAGATGTTGAAACAACCAAAACACTAAACTACTATAAACCCTTAGATTACATGTCTTAAGTAAGTGAGCTAAGCGTATATGTACATGAATCTCTTTCATGGCTATTCAACTACCGGTTTTAACTTTTAACCAATTCAAATCCTATTCCAACCAGGGTCGGTCATTTGTGGTATCATTTTGAGGTCAGCATATGATTCCGTGGGCTATGTAGGCCCAGAGTTAAATGGGCCAGGATCGTGAAATCAAAACTCGACCAAAGCGGCTTAGGGTTTAAAAGCTCGCATAAATATTCAATTTCTTCTCACTTCTCACAGAGGATTAGGGTTTTAGCTTCTCTCTCTACAATTCCAATGGTTACGAATCTTCTTTTCGAAGCACCCAACGGCTACGCCCTGTGCGAGGTTCACGGCGTCGATGAGATCGGTCAGAACACTGAGGCGGTTCGAGCCTCTGTTTCGGACCTTAGTCGGTTTGGTCGGGTCGTCAAGCTCATTGCTTTTCAGCCCTTAGAGTCTGCACTTGATGCTCTCAACCAAATCAACGCCGTCTCTGAAGGTACCAATCTTGTCTAACTTTAGCTCAGAAATCAATAGGAAACAATGTAAATTACTTTAATTTCGTTTTTTGGTTTTTTTTTGTGTGTGAAGGGTATATGACTGACGAGCTGAGAAGTTTTCTGGAATTGAATCTCCCGAAAGTCAAAGAAGGCAAAAAACCCAATTTTAGCTTGGGAGTGTCCGAGCCTAAAATCGGTTCTTGCATCTTTGAAGCCACGAAGATTCCTTGCGAGAGCAATGATTTCGTACACGAGCTTCTTAGAGGTGTTCGTCAGCACTTTGATCGATTCATCAAGGACCTCAAGGTGATTTTCATTGATTGATTGATTTTACTGTTTTTTGTTAAATTAATTCGTCCACGAGCTTCTTACTAAACAAAATCTTCTTCATATATTGTATATATAAAGCCTGGTGATCTTGAAAAGGCTCAACTTGGATTAGCTCATAGCTACAGCAGAGCAAAGGTCAAGTTCAATGTTAACAGAGTGGATAATATGGTTATCCAAGCTATTTTCCTGATCGATACTCTTGATAAAGATATCAATTCTTTTGCTATGAGAGTCAGGTTTGTTTTTTTTATTTGATTTTTTTTTTTTTGTTATGGTCTCAGATTAATATCTTACGAAAATTGGTTAAGCTTTTGTAATGTTATCTTTTCAGAGAATGGTACTCGTGGCACTTCCCTGAGCTAGTGAAGATAGTAAACGACAACTACCTTTACGCTCGAGTTTCAAAGATTATAGAGGACAAGTCAAAGCTCTCTGAAGAGCATGTTCCAATGCTTACTGAAGTTCTTGGTGATGAAGACAAAGCAAGAGAGGTCGTTGAGGCTGGAAAAGCATCTATGGGTGAGTAATACATTTGATGCCTCCTTTTTCAGAGAGAAGATTCATGATTTTGTTTGTTCTGATGTAGGCCAGGACTTGTCACCGATTGATTTGATGAATGTCCAGACCTTTGCACAGAGAGTCATGGACCTTGCTGATTACAGAAAGAAGCTGTATGATTACCTCGTTGCTAAAATGGTCGACATTGCTCCGAATTTGGCTGCCTTGATTGGGGACATGGTTGCAGCGAGGCTGATTTCACACGCGGGAAGTCTGACAAATCTTGCAAAGTGCCCGTCTTCGACTGTCCAGATTCTTGGAGCCGAGAAGGCGCTCTTCAGGGCTTTGAAGACACGTGGAAACACGCCAAAGTACGGTCTGATATTCCATTCTTCCTTCATTGGCCGTGCGTCTTCTAAGAACAAGGGCCGTATTGCTCGTTACCTAGCCAACAAGTGTTCTATTGCTTCCCGGATTGATTGTTTTGCTGGTAAATGATCTTTTTGATGTTCCTTTGTGTTAGTAACTAGTAAGTGTGATTTGTTTGTGGATTGTTGTGTAAGTTATATACCATCGTCTCCTGTTGCAGATACTAGCACCACAGCTTTTGGTGAGAAGCTTCGTGAACAAGTAGAGGAAAGGCTCGACTTTTATGATAAAGGTGTTGCTCCACGTAAGAATGTCGATGTGATGAAAGAAGTGATTGAAAATCTTGAGAAGAAAGGTATTGTATAAGTATAATAAGCTCTCTCTGTTCTTGTCACAACAAAAGCTTGGAGGTTTGGTTTGTTTTATGGGTGTGTTTCTTTATTGTCTCTCTTTCAGATGAAGCAATGACTGATGATGCCTCAGAAGACAAAAAGGAGAAGAAAGAGAAGAGGAAGATAGAGGAGACCGTAGACAATGAGAAATCAGAGAAGAAGAAGAAGAAGAAGAAGAAAAGCAAAGCAACTGATGAGTCTCAAACCAAGAAGAAAAAGAAGAAAACTAAGACAGAAGATGATGAATGAAGAAAATGAATTAAGATTTTTGATTTGTGTAACGATAGGTAGTTTTGGGTTTTGAGTTCTGACTTTCGCATTAGCTCGGCTTTTTCTTCGTTTTTTTGGTATTGAAAACAATTTAGGCACATTAGTTATCTGATTTGTCTCTCTTCTTTAAACAAAAGTAAAAGCTTCAGATTGTGTGAAATAGTATCAAACAAACTTCAAGATCAAATTTGGTATCACTCAATGGTGTTGATGCAATGAAGAAAAATCAAGAATAATTCTACTGTAAAGAAAATTAAGTGGTAGAGTAATTTATACACAAATCTTATCAAGAAAAACCTCAAAGCAATCAGACGCATATCCTCAAACAGTACAATACTAGAAGTTCCTACAAGAAGAGCCCTTTACAAGACAAGCAATTGGACCTTTTCTAAACTCCATAGGGCAACAATGCAAACCAAAACTAGAGCTATATATATAAAAGAAGACAATTACCAAATCATTATTACTTACATGAAAGACAGACTGATCTTGAGGCTAAGTAGTTGAGGAAATGTCGTCGAATAATAACCGGTGTGGAGTTTCAAGTGACAATCTCTCTGACGAGCCAGTCAAGACAAGGATAAGCGAAGTAGAGGACGAGAAACGACGGTAGAGCCAGCAAGAGAGTGACCAGAATGTACATCGCCAATATGGCTGCACTGGCCGGTATCGCATAGAGTATGATCAGCAGAAATATGACAACCAATGGGAACTTTGCTGTCAGCTGAACAAAGAAAACCAGAGACTTCCTCAGCGAAGTCTGTATGTTATCCCTCGGATTGCCGCGACGATGACGATGATGATGATGATCAGACCTTGATGATGGTTCAAGCAGAGTGCGATGATGATGGCGATGGTGGACACACGGAGACTCCCTTGCACTGTCATTGTTCCCATCGGTTTGATCTCTGCCCGGCGAATTACGTCTCTCGCCATTCATCCTCTCAACCATCCAGAGGACAAAGTAGTTCTTGCGAGGGAACCTGAGAGTTCCTCTGAAGACAAGACGGAAGGACAAAAGGTTGCACCAGGGGCATGAGATGAAGAGAGGAAGCTGGACCGGGTGTGTTGGTAACGTCACTATCGCCCATTGAAGTCCCAAGATGCAGTTTTTGCACATCGTGTGGCCACACCATAGCACGTAAGGAACGTTTTCGACAATGTTGAATGATTCGAAGCAGATAGGACACTCGAGGCCTTCGTCTTTGCTGCCTACGGATGACGCGTCGTCGTCTGAACACTCCGCGTGAGCGTGGACTGGTTTTCTTGGTTCGGTTTTCGGTCCGACGTTTCCGGTTAGATAACTCGACGCTAGGTTCCACATTTTGGTGTTGGGGATTGATAACATGAATGCCTGCCGATTTCTGCTGCTAATACACAGCTTTGACCTTCATGGAGCTCCAATGTTGGAAGCCAAAACTGATCCGAAAATTCATACTGAAAAGAACATTTATGCATAAAAAAGAAAAATCAAAAGGCTGCATAATAAGAACACACACATGCAATTCTGTTTCAGTTTCAGCTAAAAAGGATCCAGATTTAATGATACATTGAGAAACTAGGGCAGCACAAATGATTCAACAGGATTAGATGAAACATTTGACCCAAAATTGAATCAAATTATATCTGAGATCTGATATAGCAACCCTCTCTATATAATTCTTATGTTTAGAATCGATATCACTGTTTGAATTGAATTAGAACTCAAGCTTGATCAAATCTTTGAGCTAAATTTTGAAATTCTATTCAGATTCATTATTGTAACAACATCGTCCAAACATCCAATCCAAAAGGCAAGATCCCAATATCCGGAAATGCGCGAAAATCAACATCAGTAATAAGATTATCGATCACACAGCATAAGCAGCTAATGAAGAAATTAAACGAGGCTCGAAATCGCTAAGGTGATAGCATATTGAGACCGAAGATAAAAACAAAATTGAAAAGGAATGAGAAAAATAAAAGAGAGCAATCGAATGGCCACTGATGAAGACAAAGATCGTACCGATTCTCTCCGACGAGATTCCGCGCCTAGAAAACCTCTCTCTCTCTCGGATTCGCCGTGAAAGAATATGCTCAATTTTTCCGTCTGTGTCGAAACTTTTTCTCTCGTCAAAAGTTTGGGTTGCTCAGAAAACGACGCTGTCGTTTCAATTGTGTGTGGACCCAATTTTCTTTTTTCATCATTTTAATATTTTCCTACATAAAATTTTATCAAACTGTTGAAAAAATTTGGAAATTTTGGTGGACTGTAAATAAAGTTCATTTTATTAGATAGGATTTAGAACATGATATAAAAAAAGCTGCCATAATTTTTCTAAGCTAAACAATGATTCCACTTCACTCTTGTTGTTCACTTAGTGTGCGGGTGAGTTTGGAACGATGTGGGCACAATTGTCCTTAAGAAGAGGAGGGAAGAAAGGGTTTAAAGGGAACATATGAGGCCAACAGTTAGCATCAATGGTCGAATACGCCTTGCAACACGAGACTCCAACATTTCCAAACTTGCCTGAGAAAACTGATTTGAAGAGTTCGAGTACACATCCTTCGACGTTGAAGAGAGATGACCAACATTTCTCTATGTCAACAGGAAAACTTGGTGGTTTATCATTAGCTGCTCCTGGAGTGATTAGAACGGCAACACATAAGGCTACAACTACGACTAATGCTCTTGATGTGTTTTCCATGTCTCTGATTAATGAGTTTTGTATATATTTTTTTTTCCCTCTTTAGATAGATGCTTGGATGGTTTGGATGAGATGTGATAACAAAAGTTTGAATTTATAGGGTGAGACATTAAAAACAACAAGGTGTTATATATTTACTTCATTTATTGGAGAAAAGTTTCTTTTTTAACTAACGTAAGAAAAACAGTTAAGTTGTTCAAAGTAACTCAAGCTAAGTTGAATTAACTTCTTTTCTTGAAACATTTTTTGGACTTGAATTTTGAGTTGATTAGCGATCTTCACTCTAGCAACGGAAAAAAACATATGTTCTTTTTGTTAACTATTACGAAGGTATGATACAAACACATCTTCAGTGATTTATTTCCACCTTGATCAACAAACTAGTTAGAAAAATGATCTTATTTGTTTATTTCTTCTAGTTTTATATATAAATTTTCCGACAATGTTTATTTTTTAAAAACAACAATATTCAAACAATTTGTTGGTCACGTTGGTTTCATTTTCATAAGCGTGAAGGTTTTAGTAGATAAACAAGATCGAACACTCACAATTCACAAACAAAGTGCAAAATAAAATAAACTGAAAACCACAACAAGTAACCAAAACTTATCTTGTAACACAGTCAGGTACTCATGTAGTAAGTTTTGAAATATTGGTTTAAGAAGATGGGCTATTCAACGAGAAAAACTCATACTCATAAATTAGAGATGAATCCTGAATACTATACAAATTGATAAACATACACAATATAGTCATAACTCGTTGATCATCAAACCACAAACCATTAGGGAAAATCCATTTCAAAAACAAGGGTTTTAGATAACTTTGAACAGCCGAACCAAGCTCTACAATACCCTCCAAGCCACAAGCAGCCACAGTCCAATACCCTCCCAAGATCTCTGCTTTCAACTGCTCTTTCTCCCAACCACAATATCCATCAAAGAATCGAAAGCTCACTTCTTCCCACCAAATTCCTCTTCACCATTTGTGCAGCCAATCCCACACTCTCTCTCGTCCCGTTGTACAATTCTTTCATCAGTTGTCTGAACACTCCGCTCGTACCAAACCTCACTTGATATTTTCCAACATAGGTTTTGATGTTTTGATATCTTCCGACATAAATTTTGATATTTGCCAACATAAATTTTGATATTTTGATAATTTCAGGCATAAATTTTATTAACTGTGTTGAAAATTTGAAAATTTTGGATACACATGGACTGTAGAAAAAATAATTTTATTAGCTAGCACTTAGAACATGAATAGAGAAACTTCCATAATTTTCTAAGCTAAACAATGATAGTCCACTTCACTCTCACTAATTTCACTTAGTGTGCTGGTAAGTTTGGTACGATGTGGGCACAATTGTCTTTAAGAAGAGGTGGGAAGAAAGGGTTCAAGGGAAACATATGAGGCCAACAGTTAGCATCAATGGTCGAATACGCCTTGCAACATGCGACTCCAACATTTCCAAACTTGCCTGAGAAAACTGATTTGAAGAGTTCGAGTACACATCCTTCGACGTTGAAAAGAGATGACCAACATTTCTCTATGTCGATAGGAGAAGTGAGTGGAGATTTTGACGATGAGTTTGGTGGTTGATCATTAGCCGCTCCTGGAGTGATCAGAACCGCAACACATAAGGCTACAACTAAGACTAGTGCTCTTGATGTGTTTTCCATGTCTCGGACTCTGAGTAAGTTTTTTGTATCTTTCGTTCTTCTTTTTCTCTTGAGATTCTTGGATGGTTTGGAATATGATGTGGTGACAAGGTTAGTATATATAGGGAATAGGGTGAGTAAAAACAAGAATGTTAAAAAAACTTACGTAACTTATTGTGAAAAGTTTATTTTTTTACCAACGGAAGAAAAACATTTAAGTTGTTCAATAGTAACTCATGCTACGTAAATTCTATTTTTTTCTTGAAACATTTGTTGGACTTTACTTTGAGTTGATTAAACAACATTTCTCTAGCAACGGAAATGAAAAAAAAAATATCTCAATTGTTTCATCTCCTGCTCACATTCATTGGTCACATTGTTTTCATTTGGAATCACCCAACAAGTAACCAAAAGAATTAGACATACAAATTAGCGTGCAACAGAAATACTTGATCTTCTAGAAAGTTGAAATGTTGATTTAAAAAGATATATAGGTAACGAGAAACACCCATACTCATAAATTAGTGTTAAATCCTGAATACATATACATTGATAAATAAGCATACACAATATAATCATAACTCTTTGATCATCACCATTAGTGAGAAGCCATGACTCACTGATCATTAATATATATGGAATATATCCTAAAACAAACCATTAGTGAGCAATCCAATGACCACTCATTGTAGATAAAGATCGCACCGATTCTCTCCGACGAGATTATGCGCCTAGAAAACATCTCTCTCTCGCGAATTTTTCGCCGTGAAAGAATATACTCAATTTTTCCGGCTGTGTCGATTTTTTTTTTTCTTGTTCTTTTTCTTGTTAAAGGTTTTGGAAGGTTTGAGCTGCTCAGAAAACGAGGTCGTGTTTTCAATCTTGTACGGTGTACCCAAGTTACTTTTTTCATCGAGAGATAATTTGATATTTTTTTCAATCATAATTAATTTTTTGCTAACTGTGTTGACAATTTGGACTCTGTAAAAAAGTTCATTTTTATTAGAAATGAATCATATGATCGATATGAGACAAATAATAATATGACTTAGAACATGAATAGAAAAGCTTCAATATTGTTTTCTAAGCTAAACAATTAGTCAATTATGGTCCACTTCGCTCTCGCTAATTTCACTTGTGTGCGGGTAACTTTGGTACGATGTGGGCACAACTGTCTTTAATAAGAGGTGGGAAGAAAGGGTTTAAGGGGAACATATAAGGCCAGCAGTTAGCATCAATGGTGGAAAACGCTTTGCAACACGCGACTCCAACTTTTCCATACTTGCCTGAGAAAACTGATTGGATGAGTTCGAGTACACATCCTTCGACGTTGAAAAGAGACATCCAGCATTTCTCTAGGTCGACAGGAGAAGTCAGTGGAGATTTTGACCATGAGCTCGGTGGTTGATCATTAGCCGCTCCTGGAGTGATGAGAACCGCAACGCATAAAACTACAACTAAAACTAGTGCTCTTGATGTGTTTTCCATCTTTCTGATTTATAATTAGTTTGAATCTTTCTTTCTTTTCTTCTCTTGAGATGCTTGATATTGGTTTTGAGTTGGTTTGTATATGATGTGATAACAAAGGTTACTATTTATAGAGTGGTGCATTTAAAAGAAGACGATATTAAATTACTTAATTTATTGGAGAATAGTTTCTTTTGAACCAACGGCAAAACAATTAAGTTGTTCAAATCGAAAAGTAACTCATGCTAATGTAAAACTCTTCCTTCTTTTCTGAAACATTTTTTGTGCTTAAATTTGGGTTGACTAACAGTATTTAATTTGTCAACGGAAAAGTATGGCTTTGCATTACTACGCATCGAATCGATATTCCAAGAAAAAATGTCTAGGTTTCAAAATTGCCAAGAAAGTTATTCTGAAAAGTGAAAACATATATTATTGTACAGCGATTGGAATAAAATTACATGTATACGAGCGAATCGTTAAAAATTAACCAAACAAAAACATTTGTTCTTGTTTCACGAAGAAGTTTTAGGCGCTAGGTTTCGAGGATGGCATCCAGTATTATGGCTCTCTCTAACAATGATGGGGAATCAAGGTGACAACAATGCAAATTTCTGAGTTTCGACTTGGAATTTCCAGTGTGGTTACAATGTGTGTCTGTTTAAGCAAAGTTATGACAGTTTTTCTATTCCCATTTAGTAACTTTGTCTGTTGTAAATTTTGGTCTTTTTATTCTCTTAGTTTATGCTCTCAAAAATTTGGTATAAAATCTTCACATTTTACCAACAAAAAAAGTACAAATTTCACACACTACAAAATTACAAGTAAAACACGCATCATGCATTCGATGAATGGGAAAAACAAAACAAAACGTCACAAAACTATAGCTTTCACAAATTAACAAATAAAGATATCATGATACCTATGTTAAATTTGCTTTTTGGAACATGTTTTAACCCAGCACAAGGCTACTAAACGAGAAACACTCATGCTCATAAATTAGTGATGAATCCTGAATACATATACATTGATAAACAATAAACATACATAATATAGTCATAACTCACTGACAATCAAACCATAACAAACCCACATTAGTGAAGAACTATAAGGTTTAGATAACAGAGCCCGTTTGAGGACCAATAAGCCCAAGCACCTCATCCCAGAGCCCATGGCTTTGAACAGCCGAGCCAAGCTCAACAACACTTGAGCTACAAGCAGCCACAGTCCAATACCCTCCCAAGATCTCTGCTTTCAACTGCTCTTTCTCCCAACCACAATACCCATCAAAGAATCTAAGCTCACTTCTTCCCACCAAATTCCTCTTCACCATCTCTGCAGCCAATCCCACACTCTCTCTCGTCCCATAGTACAATCCTTTCATCACTTGTCTGAACACTCCGCTCTTCCCAACCTCATTGTCCCCGCCACTCCTCGGACTCACCAAGAACAGCCCTTCTTCCAAAGGTCCACCAAAGAAGAGTCTTTTGTCTGAAAACGTCCCTGCCATGTCTAAAACCGTTGACTTGGTCTCCTTGATCGACATCAGCGATGGACGGTTTAGGATGACTCCTATAGGACCGGAAGGTCCAACGGAGAGGAGGAGAACCACCGTCTTTTCGAAGATGTGGACTCCATCTAGCTTCTCTGTGGCGATCAGAAGACACCCTGTCTCTGGCTCGTGGATCTTGTGTGCCCATTTGTTTCCAATTGTGATCGGTGAAGACGATGATGGTGATGATGATGACGGATAGTCCACCACTATGTCCGGGTTAGACCACGAGGACTGGTCTACCTCGGAGGTTGCAGCTTGTTCTCCAGCTACGAGCCTTGCCCTGAACTCTCTCCAGTCAGCATGAGCATCTGCTGTAGAATTGTTGTTGACACACTCCTTGAAGAGATCAGCATCATCGTCCAGTGGCTTCCATGAATCCGAAAGGGAACCTGCTCAAGCAAAACGGTCTCATCAGGACTGAAACATATACACAAATTTCACTTCTCATAAAGACAGACAAATTTTCCAAACCCAGACTTGTGAAAACAAAATTCTCATAGATGAAAATGAGCATTAAGTAGATCTTACTTACAATTTACAGAGATCGGAGAAGCAACCTTCCTGGTGAGAAATTGGCCGGAATTTCTTTTGGGGCAAGAAAAGATTCTGGCTTTGATGACCGGGACAAGCTCTTTGATACCAGAGATTGATCTTGCGGTAAGAAAACAAGCATCCATGTTAGTCTCTCTTTCTCTCTCTCTCTGTCTCGCTTTATCTTGCTCTTTTTCTCTGACTCAATTCACTTTAGATCCTATGAATAGAAAACAAAGGATAAAAGTAACATCTACATATAAGAGTGGACAGATGAGAACCAGAGGCTGAATGTGCTTTTGTTTCCAAGGGTCCTAATCAGAGAGATGGGCAGTGGATATTCTTTAAACTTTAAGGTGTTGATGTATTTAAAGATAGACATTTGCATATGCCTTTGGATATCGGATAAGAGACAAATCTTCTATCATTTTTTAAGATGATGTGTAGGCCTAGTTGCCACTCATCTTTTGCCTCTCTTATTTACCCATTCATATGGAAAAACAGGGACATGCATTTACTATATCCACCAACAATCTCTCACCCTCCATCTCTATCTCTCTTAATCTTCACTTTAAGACAAAACAGCTACAAAGGGTGATTATTTATATGCAAAGCAGTAAAATCTTGGATCATTCATGAAGAAGTGAAATACAATAATCTAATGAGTTTTCAGTCTTTTTTGCATGTTCAAAGTCCATCTACTACAACCGCATAAACTATATCGTATTGGAACAGATCAGAACAGATCAGAGGCGGCACTATTGGTGGTCCTCTTTTTCTCCTTTATTTTATTACTATTTCAATGGACATCATTTCGAAAAGGAGATTAAGATCAACTCAAAATCATTTAGACATTTGTTTACTGTAATAAAATAATCCCCACGAGTTTGTTGTAATTTGACTATCTAAACACCAATTCCAACAACTATTTAGTTCGTCGAAAGGTAAAACATCACCAACTATACGTCATCATACTGACGTCTAATTTAGGTGACATCATTTCATATATGATCATCAATGAAACTGATGTTAGACTTTTACAAATCAAGGTTCTAAGGATCACACCAAACCATACGTTTCCTTTAATATATTTCCACAAAGTTGGATTTATTACTCACAGTGACGTTCCATGCGAGTTTCAATGTCTGTTTTTCTGCATGATCTTCTCTCTTCTTATTGGTTGATCACGAGAACCTGCTGTGAGACTAAGAAGCAAAACCTCAAGTCTCTAGAATTAGTATTGCAAAAGTCAAATTGATCTCAAGATTAATAAATCATGATGTATATATACATTCCCAAACTCCTCCATTTCTGTGAATTACAAGAATAAAACCATCTTTGTGTTCCTTTGGAAAATGAACTACAAAATAAATAGCCTAGGGAACACTTCTGATATATTACCTAACGATCTCGACAACGTGGCTTTAACCAAATTCTCTTGTATTATCATCCCGCAGCAACCAGCTCACCAGTATCTGGAGGTTCAATTAGACTACCAAGCATCTGATAAATTTGATCAGATTCTGGGTGTGATTTGTCAAACACTGTAAACTCGTGTACCCCATCCTCCAATTCAATCGAACTAGCTCCAGATGGCTTCTCCACTCCCATACTCTTCATCTTCGACCTTATGTTAGCAACACCTTCCCAATCCTCTGCTGCTGCGTAGATATTCGACAGCAGCGAATAGTTTCCCGGATCAGAAGGGTCTAGTCTAACCAAATGATCCAGGACTTCCTTTGCAATATCAACCTCGTTATGCATCCTGCACGCTCCAAGAAGAGCACCCCAAATAACAACATTGGCCTCCATAGGCATCGTTTGGACAACCTTAATCGCTTCCTTTAACCGTCCCCCTCGACCTAACAGGTCAACAAGACAACCATAGTGTTCAACTTGTGGAACCAGCTTATACACTTTCTCCATTGAGTAGAAGTACTCTATGCCTTCATCAACGAGACCCGCGTGGTTGCAGGAACATAAAACCGCAATAAACGTGACCTTATCTGGCCGAATCCCTTCGCTTCTCATCCTCGAAAACAGCTCAAGCGCTTCCTTTCCGTGGCCATGAACGCCAAGACCCTGAAGCATAGTGTTCCAGGAGACAAGATCCTTCTTAGGTATGTTTTTGAACACATCAAACGCTTTCTCCAAGCTACCACATTTCGCATACATATCAAGCAGTGCATTCAACACATAAGAATTAGAAACGAGCTTAGTCCCTTTTATTCTTGAGTGAACTCTCATTCCTAAACTGAGCAAACCAGACTCAGCACAAGCAGCCAAGATACTAATCGCAGCTGCAGCATCAAACCTCAGCCCTGCATTCACCATTTGGTCGACTAATTTATCAGCCTCCTTCACAAGCCCCTTCTCCGCATATCCAGCAATGATTATGGTCCAAGTTACCACGTTTTTCACCGGCATCTTATCAAACATAACCCTAGCCATCTCCATGTCTCCGGCTTTGCTATAGCCCATAACCAACGTCGACCAAGATACAGTGTTTCTCTCCGGCATTTGCTTGAACAGCTCAAAGGCACTAGTCATGCCTCTGCATCTCGCGTACCCATCCAACATTGTGTTCCAGCTTATCAAATCCTTCTGAGGCATTTCATCGAACATTTGGCGCGCATCTCTCAATTCCCCTGCTTTCACCAATCCACCGAGCATCGAGTTCCAGGACACTGTATCTTTCTCACCCATCGTCGCGAACAACCTCATCGCCGATTTAACACCCAGAGCACCGCATCTGGAGTAGCAATCGATGAGTGCATTCGGAACATAGATATCAGACGAAAGCCCTAATTTTTCGATATGGTTATGAATCATTTTCACCACAGGCAACCACGATTGACCTGAGCAAGCTTTTAGAAGAAACGGGTATGTGAAGTTATCGGCGATAAGGCCAATTCTCTGCATTTCGGAGAAAACGGAGAAAGCTTGATAGGGATGCGAGTTCTGGGCATGAGCTCTGATCAGAGAATTGCAGAGATGGACGTTCGGTTGCTGGACCTGATTGAAAACCCGAACAGCTAAGGTCATTTGGCGGCAGAGAGAGAGAGCGGAGATTAGTTTCGGCGCGATGTGTAGATCCTGATGAAGGTTCCGCCGGATAATCTGGGCGTGAAGCTGCTTCACCTGGGCTAAATTGGCGCACTTGGGAAGTTCGTGGAGCTTCTCCTCGAAGATTCTCCGGGAGGAAACCCACGAGGGGGCTCGGACCGGTAGCGACGTCATCAATGTCGGCGGCGATGGTGATCTTAGGGACAGTGACGTCATCCACTTGTGGATATTATCCGCGGCATACGTTCGAACGGATCAGAACTCGGCTCTAAAAGCGTAACACTATTGGCGAGTGTTTGTTATTGAAGCGTCGTAACACACTATTGACGAGTGTTTGGTATTACGGTGAAAATCTTTTATTTTTCTTCTTGAGCAAAGTTTTTTGAAATGATAAATCTTTTAGATAGGAAAATTTCTTATAACAAAAAAATAAACAGTTAGCTTTAAGAACCACAGTGTATTTGATTTTCTTGAAAAGGAGATTTTTGTAATCATAGATAATCTATGATTCATAACACTCTACCATATTGTGGCCTATGATGAGCCAAATGAGGATTCAATGGGACTTGTCTATAACTCTATATAGGATCATTTCTAAAACGTTGAATTTATGAAACTCTTCAAAAATATTATAGTATTTGGCATACATATCCCGTTTTCTTATGAAATTTCATTTATCTCATCCTCACGCACATGATATGTATGCATTGTAGAACTCTGTAGCTGTCTTCCGGTTCCACCAAAGCTTGTTGGCCAGATAACCTTTAATTTGTCTGAGACGTGTTTTTGTCAAAGACATCTTTTTAATTCTGCTATTTATACAACTATGTAAGCTCATTGATAATAAAAGAAAGAGAATTTTACATTTAAAAGCACTTTTACACTTCCAAATATCAAACAAAGGCACTTTGAGCTCTAGAGGGACTTTCCACAAAAATGGGTAGTGAAAATCCACACATACCTTGCTTTAATTTTGTAATTACATCTACAGATTTTTTTTACCATCCGCGACACAGTAACTTCCTGTTCTTTTACAGCTGGAGAATTCGCCAAATAACTGAAGAATGGTTATGGATCTGGGATTTTTAGCCAATGAATTCAACAGAACAAACGAATAATGTTTGTTGGATCTGGGAGAGATTTGTTTTTATAATTGAAAGCAAGTATACTATGAGATTTCGTGTCGAATTCGATATCAATAATCAATTTAGAAGATTTCGTCGTCGAATTCGTTGAAAAAAATTCTGCTGGTTTTTAGATCTGGAAAATTTCCAGTCTCCTTGAAGTTTGGAGAAGATGAATCTATGTTAACTCGCGATCATGTCCACATCTACATATCCACGCAGTCGTGTACATGCGCCCATCTGGACGCCTTTGTTCGGATAATTAAATATTTGGAGTTTGAATGAGATGTGTGTGGACATGTAGATGTGTACATAATTTTGTGAATACAAAGATAATTAACAACTGAATAAGTGTTTTTCGAGTTATTGTTATCGCCTAGACTGTTTCATAGAACGTATCCATATACTTGTATCCATACTTGGGGATGTACACACACAAAAATGGATGCATGCACACACACAACAATGGGGCAGAGCCATATGGATGGGTCCGTTTGGATGTAAAAACGAATTAACTAATCTTAATACAATAGGTCTATGAGATCCATTAAAACTACTAAGATCACAAGAGATCCATGACTTCGTGTCCACAAAGTTATGTACACGCAGACATGTCTTAATAACCATTTTAAATGTCAGAATTAACTAATCTTAATGCAATAGGTTTATGAGATCCATTAAAACTACTAAGATCGCAAGAGATCCATGATTTCGTGTACACAAAGTCATGTACACGCAGACATATCTTAATAGCTATGTTAACTGTCAATACAAATATATGTGTAGACAGTTTTGAAGAGTTTTTTTTGTCCATATCTTATATCCACAGTATTCTTGGATACAAACTATTGTTTGTCCATGCTTATTTATCCAACAATTAGTATTTGTTTGCTAGTTTGCTATCTTGGTTCAATCAACTCATTTCTTCATAAACGTATCTTTTATGCTAGTTGTGTCCATGCAGCCGCATCCATGTGGATAGTTATTCATTTCTTAGTATAGTACACTGTTTTCATCCACGACTGCGTGGACATCTAGATGTGGATATGATCGAGAGCTAACCCAGATTCATCTACTCCGAATTTCAGCGAATCTGAAATCAGCTATATTCATCTTCTCCTCACTCCAAGAAAAGAAATCCAAGAAAAAGGTGAGAGAAACTGAACTCAATTTGTCAATACAAATATAAAAATGTGAAATTGAACTCAATTTATCAATTTGTTCAAAGGTGAAATTGAACTCAATTTGTCAAATACAAACTGAAATCAAGAAAAAAAACCCAGAAAAAGGTGTTCAGATTCAGTTGATTTTGGGTAAGATGAAAAAAATGAGATGAAAAGAAAGTGAAACAAATGTTGGGTAAAAGAAAAAGAGAACTCAAATTTAGAAGAGAGGGTTTTTTGGTCATTCAAACACTCCAAAGTCCCTTAGGAGCACAAAGTGCCTTTGAGTGTAAAAAATAACTCAAAAGTGTCTTTAAATGTAAATGACTCTAAAAGAAAACGACTCCCTCGGCCCTTAATGAAAAGTTGAGACTTAAGGAGGAAACCAAAGTCATCTTCTCTTACAAAAGAGAGCATGAAGCTGACCAGCTTTAATTCTAATCATTGCTAAACCTGTATAGGAATATTCTAATCTTTAATATTTTTTTTCTAATTTCTAATATAGGAATAAAAACTTCAATATTATTACCCTACCAAAATATCAATTTTGTTTTGAACACTTGCTTTTATATGAAGAGAGCATGAAGCACACCAGCTTTAGTTCTAATCATTGCTAAACCTGTATAATGAATGTTATATACAAAAAAAAGAAAGAAAAAGAACAAATGATAGCACTTTTGAAATAAAAATACTTTACAATTTCAATAATAAAAATAATAATACTTTAGTCACAATTTTCAGATTATTACATAAGTAAAGTTGTAAATAACTGTAAAAGAACTCTTAAAATAGATATATGATTTGAAACCAGTTGACTATCTTTAGTATATTTTTTCTAAACTTCTAGTATAGAAATAAAAAGAATAAAAACTCCAATATTACTATGCAAATGATCATTGTTTTTTTTTTAAAAACACTTGCTTTTATTAATAAGAAAGAATTACAAATTTAAAGGAACACAAAACACACCATAGATGATGAAAAGATCTTAGTTTTAGTCTGTATTAAAAAAAAATGAAAAAATAAAAGTGAGCATAAATATCCAAGGAAAATTAAATGAAAATACAAAAAGCCGTAACATGAAAATACAAGTGTTTGGGTGGATTCCGTGTCCTAAAGACGTGGACGCAGACACAACCCTACCTCCCTCCTTGCCTCTTCTCCTCTCCACGACGAACTGTCTTTTTCCTCACCCACCGCACCTACCCCCAAAACACCCTTAAACTCCCTTAAACGCCTCTCCTTACTCTTTCTCTCGGCAGATGCTTCTCTCTCTCTCTAGTCCCTTGCTCTGATTTTTTATTCTCTCTGTTTTCTCCGTCTCTTCTGTGTTCCATCAATGGAGGCGTCATTGCTCATGAGATCGTCTTGTTGTTCCCCTGCGATTGGGTTCCTCGACCATCGACGCTTATTATCCACCTCCACACCCATTTCCACTCTTCTCTCACCTCCGTGTTCCAAATCTTCCTTCTCTGTTCGTTGCTCTTTTCCGCCTTCAAAGCCACGCTCCGGAACCAGCTCCGTTCAGGCCATTATGACTCTCGCCGGGTATGAAATAATGAAATCGATTCAACAATTTTTCTCCATCTACTTTAAATTTTAAAATTCCCATCGTGAAATTAACCAAACCCGTTGTTCAAATTAGAAACCTTTTTGACCAAAAAAAGATAAATTAGAAACCTTTTTCGTTGTTCTTGTTGTTGAACCAAACTTTGATTGTTGTTTGATACAGATCGTTGACAGGAAAGAGACGAGTGGATGAGAGCGAGAGCTTGACACTGGAAGGTATCCGAAACTCTTTGATCCGTCAAGAGGACAGCATTATATTTGGCTTGTTGGAGAGAGCCAAGTACTGTTACAATGCTGATACCTATGATCCCACTGCTTTTGACATGGATGGTTTCCACGGCTCTTTGGTTGAGTACATGGTCAAAGGCACTGAGACTCTTCACGCTAAGGTAAAAACATCACATAACGTCATAACCTATAAAAGCTTTTGCAAGATTATAGAACCTCACTGAAAAAAGATTGAAACTTGATGATTAGGTTGGTAGGTTCAAGAGCCCTGATGAACATCCCTTCTTCCCTGACGATCTTCCAGAGCCTATGTTGCCGCCTCTGCAGTACCCAAAGGTGTTTATATTATATCTCAGTTCACAAGTTTGACCTGGATGAGATGAAAAATGAGATTTAAAGGTCGAGTCTTTTGTGGTCTTTTCATGGCTTACTCAGTGTTTAGCAAAACAATGCATTGTCTTGATTTTGTTTCCTGGATAAAATCTTGTTTGAGCTATGTTTTCTACTTTTGTGCTCCGTATGCTTAGGCTTCTCTTCTCTTTTTGTTGTCTTATAGGTTTTGCATTTTGCTGCTGATTCGATAAACATAAACAAGAAGATATGGAACATGTACTTCAGGGACCTTGTCCCAAGACTAGTCAAGAAAGGCGATGATGGTAATTACGGATCTACAGCTGTCTGTGACGCTATCTGCCTTCAGGTTCGTTTTTTTTTTCTTCCTTACTGAAGTTCCCTGCACATTTTGGTACCGATGAGTTTCTCATTTAGTTTTTGATGTCCATTGCAGTCTCTCTCAAAGAGGATCCATTACGGTAAATTTGTTGCAGAGGCCAAATTCCAAGCCTCACCTGAGGCATACGAGTCCGCCATCAAAGCACAAGTACTTATCCACTTCTCCACAGTTTTCACACACATACACAAAACCTAATGTTTATGAAATCTTTGTTGTTGGCTCTAACGCATGCGTTGCAGGATAAGGAGGCACTGATGGATATGCTGACATTCCCGACGGTGGAGGAGGCGATAAAGAAGAGAGTGGAGATGAAAACCAGAACATACGGGCAAGAAGTGAAAGTGGGAATGGAGGAGAAAGAAGTAGGAGAGCGGAATGGGTCTCAGGTTTACAAAATCAGCCCGATCTTGGTGGGGGACTTGTATGGAGATTGGATCATGCCTTTGACAAAAGAGGTTCAAGTGGCCTACTTGCTCAGAAGACTAGACTGAATCAAGAAATGGCTTTGGCCTTCGTAGTAAAGTAGTAATGTTTTTTGGTTTCTTAGCTTTAAAAAAATCTAAATGTGATATTTACGCTATATTTCCATGTTTTTGTTCCACTGTACAAAAAGCTTGCCAGTGGCCTTGAAGAAGGTTTGATTGCTACACTGTTCAAACGGTGTTTTATGTACATACTCTTTCTTGTGGAATCAAAAGGATGAGCTAGTCGCTCATCCTTGTTTTGGTATTGTATTTTTCGATTGACTGTTAATTGTTAGTTGTATTTTGTGGCAATCCTCACGCCTCTAAATTAGGAGTCACAAAATATTCGTAATATATTTGATTTAATCTGGAAATGAGAAGACCAAATATTATGATAAAGACGTTTTTCACTAATATCCTTGAAGTTGTGTGCATAGCAAATAGCAAACCAAATACGAAGTCTTTAGCTAAAGCTTTGGCTAAACTTAAAAAAAAAAAAAACTATATTTATCCATGAATATGTTTTTTTTTATAAAGGTCTTTTTAAGTTTTAAATAATGTACCAACCAAACTATTCAGATAAAACTCTGAATCTCTCAAATACACGTTAGATACTTCAGATATCTGAACATTGGATCTCTTACATCAGACTTTTCAGTTAGTTTCAGAGCAGATACGGTCGTCCGTACGGATAAGAAATTATTGATACGAAAAAGAGAGAAGTCCATAGATGAATAAATAAATAATATCAGCTCAGTCTCCATTTAATAAAATAGAACTACACGCTGTCTTCAGAGATTTTAAATTAGACGAAAACCTATAAAACGGCACGCAGTGCGATTGTGTAATCGCTCGTTTCGAGATAAGATAACCTCAACAAAATCGAATCACTCACACACTCGTTTCCTCCTCCTTCCATGGCTGCTGCTTCGTTTATTTGCTCGCTTCGTTTCTCTTCGCTAACTGAACCACTCAGACCCACCCGATTCAAGCTCTTCAACCAGAATCCGATTCTGCGCTCGGCCAATGGAGCCAGGAGCGTTGTGATCAGGTCCTTGGCGGTCCAAGAAGATGACAAGAGGACGAGCGATGAATCAATGAGCATTGACAATTTACGCGGATTCGTCGATCTTAACGTCGGCAAATGGACTGGCTCCTTTCATGTATGACAAGACCATAACCTTTGATTCTGGATTTTTGCTTCTTCTTTTAAATTAAATTGAAGTTACAAGCTAGCTCATGTTTTCGTTGTTTTGCAGCAATTTGATGGTAATGGGAATTTGCTGCATAAGATTGATACTCGTCTTTCTGCTAGTTCATATGGAGAAGATGAGCTCATTAGCCTTAATCAATCGTATGTTATGTTTCTCCTTTTGCTTGATTTCTGATTTTCTGAGATTAGAGAAATTTATATCCTTTTGTTTCCGCTTTGATGGAAAGAAGTGTTTTTGTCTGTAATTAATGGTTTAATTATCTTAGGAATCAATTGAGGGCAAATGATGTTTTGATGGAATGATCTGTGATTAGAGAAAAATCTGTGCTTGTGCTTCTGCTTTGATGGAAAGAAGTGTTTTTGTTTGTAATTAAGGTTTTTATTATCTTAGGAATCAAATTTGGCAATAGAAACTGTAGAAAGTTCTGAACTGAAAATGATGTTTGAAATATTCGAGCTAAGTAATTTTATGTCATCACAAAGTTTTTTCAAACATTTGTTGGTGTTATGCTATGAATTAAGATGGAATCTGAAGTTGTTCTTGTATTTTATATAGTCCAGTTTCTTAGTCTTCGTTATGTTTGTACTTTATAGATTATATATAAAGCAGCCAACGTCGGCCACATCAGTTGCTGAAGAGGAAGAAGAGGAACCGGAATGGGTAGAATACAAAATCAAAGAAACCAATATGTTCACTGTCGACAAATATCAGCAGGTGAGAGTATATTCTGTTAAACTCAATCAGGATACTGAAGTTTTGAGTATGTGGTTGGTTTGTTCGTCTCTTAGGAATTTGATTTAGTATCTTGACTATCTCATTTTTATCTCTTGATACCCATCATCAGTAGTCTGCAGATTGGATTCTTCCCCAAGGAGAGAGCATTTTCACTGAGGTATCAAACTGCTGGAATGTTGGATATGACCTTGAGGCAAGGCGTTCTCGGAGAAGATGACACTGGAGAAGAATCACCAAGGTTCGTTCTGTTCTTGTATTATAACATTTTTTATGCTCTATGAAGCATGGATGAGTGTAGATTGTAATAAGTTTATATAATAACATTTTTTCAGATTTCTAAAACTACCATCTCGGCGTCCTTCTTTAGTGTGTGAGAACTGCTTGTATTCTACGAAGATGGATAGAAGAGCTAGAGCCTTTCACATCATGGATCCCAAAGGTGTTCTTGAGATGTTTATTGTTTTCCTCGAGGAAAGAGGGGCAGAGAGTCTCACTCATCCAGTCCTCGAAACTTCTTCTCAGGTAATTTCTTGTCTCAGCGAACAGTTACACTCACACTAAAGCATCAAGAGGACATTTTAGTGCCTATTCAAATGATGTTGTTCTTTTGTTGCAGGATGATGATGAAAGAATCACCCCATTTCTCGGTACTTGGAAAGGTCGTTCTATAACAAAACGAAGCGGTGTCTATGGAGCCACACTATCTGAAGCCGATACCGTTGCTGTTCTTGAAATGGATGACAAAGGTCATATAGTCCAGGTATACAACAATATTCAACACTCCCACATAGAAACTGAAGCATTCCCTTTTTAGCCTTTTGTTTACATGAATGAGATGGTCTCTGACCTTACAATGTTTTGATATCAATCAGGATATTTCCTCAACATCCGATGTAAAGAACGTTACAACAAATGTGAACTGGGTTGGTAAAATGTCGAAGAACTTGGTTACATTCGAGGAAGGGTATCAAATGACTCTGTTACCAGGACGTATGTACATGGGATGTCCATGCGACGTATCAAAGAGTGTTGCTGAGTTAAAGTCTTTCCATTTGGAGTTCTGCTGGCTTGAATCGCCGGTCTCGAGACAGAGACTCGTTCGCACTTATGACCATGAAGGTATGGCTGTCTCATCAACTTATTTCTCTGAGGTGAAAGTGTGAGTTTCATTCTTTGTTAACCACAGTAAGATCAATGTATTGTGTTTTTGTATTATCTGAGATCTTTGTATAACAGCAAATATTTAGTGACTAGTTTTTCTCATCAGTTTTATAAGGCTAATTTAAAAGAGGAGACCGAAATGAAATTTTATAGTTATTACGTTAAGTTTATAGACGACTTTACAATGTGCTTAGCTGCACATTAAAGATGAGTGGTTGTCATGTCGAAACTAGCTGTCATAGTGTCATCATCATTATTATTGAAAATTTATCTAATACCACTAGTTTATATAAAAACAACTTTGAGATCATCAAAGAATAAGCTAGTAAAAGAAAATTAAGGCTATGAGGATACACAACCGATCTCCTCCGTTTAGTTGACATCCTTGTACTGCCATGAACAATTCGAAGCTGTTACTTCCAATCCACAAGAAACTTTTGACGCCTTGGAATGATCTCCGAAAAGGTGATTGCTGCGGCCGCAAATTCGAAGTTGTGAGTGATGGCTACTACTCTGAGGAAACTGATTTTTTCGCCCACAAGAAATGTGCTGAGTACAGCTTCGAAAGAGTTTCACACCCATATCACTCCATCCACCCTCTTTCCCTTGCTAGTGCTCCAGAGATATCTGTCAGATGTACCTTATGTGGAATGAGGATCTGGGATGTATATTATTCTTGTCAGCTCTGTGACGTCTACATGCATCTCTACTGCGCTAAGTACCCACCACCAGAGGTAGTTGACATTTCCGATAAGCATAGCCACAAACTAAAGCTCCTAAAGGCGTGGATCGAGTTCACCTGCGGTGCTAACTGTGGGGAGGAGGGTGATGGGTTTCCATACAGGTGCGGTGAATGCGAGTTAAGCTTCCATGTGGGTTGCGTAAGGCACACGTCAGAGGTAAACCACTCTTGCCACCCTTCACACCCTCTAAAACTCTTCAGGGGTGCACCACCTGATTACACTGGTGGTAAATGTACTCTGTGTGGGAAAGGGCTTGAGGAGTTGTTTTATCATTGCTCCACTTGTAACTTCAGCGTGGATCTAGATTGTATTCATCAGCCGCCACCAACCCATCTTCTTAACTTGAAAGGCCATGGTCACAAACTCACCCTTGTGCCTAGAGTCATGTCCTTTACTTGTAATGGATGTGGGTTGAAAGGAGACCGAAGCCCTTATGTCTGCGTTCAGTGTAACTTCGTGATTCACTTGGACTGTTTCTTATTTCCACGCCTCATAAACATCAACCGACATGACCATCGTGTTTCTTTCACTCCAGTTCTTGGTGTCTTGGATTTGGTATGTGGTGTTTGTCGTAAGAAAATGGACTGGAGTTGCGCGGGTTATTCCTGTGTGAGTTGCCCTAACTATGCCGTTCATTCAACTTGTGCTACAAGAGATGATGTATGGAATGGGAAAGAACTCGAAGGAGTAGCCGAAGAAGTTGAAGATACAGATCCATACAAGCTAATAGAGGAGGGCGTAATACAACATTTCAGCCACGAAGAACATCACTTAAGACTCAACAAAGATGGTGTTGTTCTATATGACGTTAACAAGCGGTGCAATGCATGCACACATCCTATCGTTCTACAATCCTTCTACAGCTGCACTGTTTGTGATTTCTTTTTGCATGAAAGCTGTGCTCAGTTGCCAAGAAAGAGGCGACATGTACTACACAACGACCAGCTAACTTTAGATACTGGCAATAGTCTATTTGAATGTGTTGCTTGTGGAGTGTTTTGCAATGGTTTCAGATACGTGGATGGCCATAAGATATTTGATCTACGTTGCGGTTCAATAGTGGAGCCGTTTAAACATCCAAGCCATCCTCAACATCCCTTGTTTCTCCTTACAGAAGAAGAAACAGCAATCTGCAGTGGCTGCAACGAGCTGGCGTCTCCGGTTCTCAAATGCATTGAAGATAACTGTGGATTCGTCTTGGACTTCAAGTGTGCTACTCTACCGCAAGTTGTAAAGCATAGAGTAAACGCTTATCCTCTCTCACTTTGCTACGGAGAAAAGGCAAAGGAGGCAAATGGTAAATATTGGTGTGAGATTTGTGAGAAAGAAACCAATGCAAAGACATGGTTCTATACGTGTAGAGATCACTGTGCTAGTCTGCATGTAAATTGTGTGGTAGGAGACTTGTCAGGTCTCGTTCTAGGAAGACCACTAAACCAAGACCGCATAACATATGAGGTGGTCCTCAGCACTAGTATGACTCGCCCAAGGTGCTCGGCATGCTTCCGCACTTGCTTGTACCCTAGCATAATGATAACCTTGCCAGGTGAATACTCTTGTTCTATTGCGTGCACTTTAAAAATTTGGAGGAAAATATTTATGTATTGGTGAGCAAAGATATCTCGCTTTCGGAGAGATTCATGACCAAGTAGGAATGGAGTGGAGTGCAAGGTAAGGCCAATAGCCTATATCGCTATAAAATATTCTTGTTTAATTTTTTTAAAATGTGAGTTGATTTCCTTTACGAATCCTTCACATTCCGATGTTGCAATTTGTTTTCATATCCCTCTGGCTGTTCTCATAATTCCAGCTGTATATTTTTTTCTACAAAGTATGACTCTTGTATCTGAAATACCAAGAATGTCACATTATCAGTCTTTGTTCCATTTTGAAATTTTCACGATCTTGATAGTAGTAAATCCAACAATTATCACTTTAGTTAGGTATTGTAAATTCAACAATTAACTAACTCACTTGTTTGAGGAAGCAAGTAGTGTTTAATTTTCATTAGTTGAGCAACAATACGTTCACTTTTGTCCAAATTCTAGATGTGCTGGTGGTTATGGAACGTTAAGTTCTGCCGAGTAATTTACATAGTTTAAGTGAATTAATGAGTACAAAGAACTACGATCGCAAGTGGGTGGCATTTATATGATTAACTGGAGTTTGAACTGTTTGTGATGTTGTTCAGGTTACAAAAAAACATATTTTATGGATTGCAAACGATTGATTTTAGAAGAGAAAGCAAACCGGGATTCAACCGGAATCGATCATAATTTCAACGGATTTGTAACTTTTTTTTGCCACAGCGACTGACGAACCGACAAAACCAGCGAGCTAAAAAAATGGAGGTCATTGTTCAAATCACTGAACCATAATAATATACCGAATGACTAGGTTGACCAAAACGAAATCTACAGAATTATCCAATTAGTTTGATTCATCCCTCCATGTTAACGAATAAAATGAGCTAACTATTTGCTAATCGAAAAACAAGATCTTGAGAATGTGTTTCCCACTACTGTGAAGATCTTTTCAAATACTCTTTAAGAACAAACACAAAGAAAACCAAATCCAATAGACAATATTAAATCTAAGGAAATGTAAGGCAGAACCGCTCTGCTTCGACAGCCTAAGGATAAGGAAACAGCGAAGCAGAGAAAGGCCCCGATTATATGATATGCGCCTACGCACTCTTTAAGAGTACGCCACAAAATCCCATGAAACTGAAACACCTTTTCTCGTGGGTATACCACGCCACCCCTCACTAAAGAGGGAAGCGCTCGGCCTCAGGCGCTCTCTTTTTCTCTTCTCCTCTCTAGGGTTCTTCCTCTTTTATACACCCCCTTTATCTTCTCCTTTTCCCATTTCGACCCCTCTACATACTTCTTCTTACATCATTGACCCCCCAATTTCTTTACATTGTTGATTTAGCACACACATTTGGGATATGGAGTTTTGGCCAACTTTACAATAAATTTGTGTTGGCACTTAGATTTTTCGGTGTAACTAAAAGGAGAAGCTCAAACGTATCATAAACCTTTGTTTTCCCCTAAAATTGATTACTTTGAGCAATGCAGGGCAAATAACACACACAACAACGCAGTATATAATTGAGGTAACAACAGAGTGCAAGTTACAACAACAAAAGGGCAAACTCAAGAAGATGATCACTCCGAGAGTTTTGCATTATGAACGTTTATATAAGTTTATAGCATATATATAGGTGTAATATACAATATTTTGATGATGAATCACACACTTTTCTTTTATTGGTTTCTTCATCCAACGGTTTGATGATGAGGAGGATACAAGATGACGTTTACACGTGATTTTCCCCGTCCTCCGGGATTAGAAGCATTGGGATTTGACCGTGGTCGACGAAGTCAATCTTGCTCAGCCTCAGACAGCATAGGACTTGTTCCGGCAGCTCTTCTGGTTTCTGAGCCTGTTTTCATAAATCAAAGTTTGAATCTTGTACTAAATACTTCAAGAACAAAAGATCCACACTAGTCCGGTTTTGCTCATTACCTGGATGGTTAAGCCGAGATCAAGAGTTCCATTCTTCAGTCGATCTCTGAATGCTTCAAGTCCTTTACGTGATATGTAGCTGAATCGATGCACATCCAAATCAATCTCAAAGTAGTTTGGACCCTGAGGAGAGGTTAAAAAAGCAAAACCGTAATTAGGAGCCATCAAAGACTTCTTTCTTTTTGTGTCTTTAAGAGGTAGTGAGGTGCTAAAACCTTAAAGAAGTTGTGTTGAGGACGAGAGAGGACAGGTTTTTCATTGTAACCCTGTATAAGCTTCTTTTCAGTTGCGCTCAGAGCTAAATCTTCCGGGTTAACAAGTCCAGCCACGATCTTAAGCCTTTCACGGAAAGCAACAGTGCTGTCTTTCGCAAACCCTTTCACCTTCTCCATTTCATCATTCACAAGTTTCTGTTTTCAAACAGTAACCAAAGAGAAAGCATTCATCAAGATCAATCACGAGGTTGTGAGAAGTGTAACTGAATGACTTTTAAAGCTACCTTGATGCTGTCCTGATACTGCTGAGAGGTCTCTTTCTCGAAATTCTCTCTTAGTTTGAAGTAAAGCACAATGCTCATGCCTTCTCCATCACTGTCGCCAAGGAACATTGCAGCAGGGTAGGTCGGTAGCTGCCAATGAGGCACAAAGGTCGTTATCATTTACACATATAGGCATATCAAAACGGTGGAACAAAATGATGAAGAAGCCATTGATGTTTGTTTGAGTGGTGGTTACCTGAATGTTGACAATGAGAAGAGCAGGGAGCTTTGCCTCGGCTTTGATGTTTGGAAGCTCGATGTGTTGAGCTATATGATCAATCTTCCTTGGACACACAAACAAGTCAACACCAATAGGAGTGTAGGGACACTGATTCGGAGCCGGAGATTTCTTTTTGTCTCTGCAAACACCATTCCTCAACAGTTAAGAGACTAAACGCTTTCTTTCTAAGCAAAAGATACATGACACAGAGAGTAAAAAGCTGTACTTGAAGTAGGTTTCTCCACGGAGTTTAAAGGTTGAAGGCGGGATCTCACACCAACTTCCAGTGGACTGCTTCTCCCTAGCTGAGCAAGGAATGGTGAATCCAGCTTTTGGACGGTACAACAACTTACGCTGCTCAGTAACTTCCTCACCATCGCAGGATCTCCTCTTGAACGAGAGCCGATACACTGCGGATTTCCGTTTCTGAGACGTAGGTGAGTTTAGAGTCTTCTCGTTGAAGCTAACCGTTGGCATCAACCGGCTCAAGCTGGTTCTCAAGGTTTTGTCTTGAGAGTTCCGTTTCTGATCCTTCAAGCCTTTAAAGCTCGCATGGTCCATTAGTTTCTTCTTGTTGTTCCCAGTGAGAACAGAGAGACCACTAGGCACTTTGCTCAAGAACTTCTCGGATTTACTCCCATCTATCTTCAAGTAAGTCTCATGGTACTCTTCGTACTTCCCTTTCCCATCAACAATGCATGAAGAAGATTCGAATTGAACTACTTGACCGTTTGGAATATTACCAGTTGTGGCACCACTTCCTGATGATACGTTATCCGCTGGGAGAGAGAGATGGCCAAAGAAAAGATCAGTAACATCTCAACATAACCAAAACTGTTCTTCTCCATGAATCCTCAAAAAGAATGTAGATTGACATTTACATTTACCTTCAGGTAGGCTGATGAAGTCCTCATCTTCATCAGAATCAAGAACACTGACAGAGTCGAACCATGCATCATCTTGCGAGATAGCTGCAACAAAATGAGTTATAAATTATCAAGAATAAAACTTACCACACTACAAGATTAAGTTAGGCAGGACATAAGAGTAACACTCACCAAAAGAAACACGGTTCCCAACATCACTGGGCCTTCTGATATTTGCATGAGGAACAATATCAGATACTTTGGAAAAGTGTTTGGAGGATCTGCGACGGCCTTTACCCCGAGGCCTTCTTATTCCTCTTGAATGGGTTGATACACATCCACCCATTTTTTTTAATATAGTTTTATTTAGATCCTGTTCCAAGGAAAAAAAATGTTAACCGGTGAGAAGGATGAAATCTCATGAAAAGGCCAACAATGCTTTTAACATGTTTGCAACATATACACAGCTAAAACAAATTCATCCCCACATACAGAGAGAAACTAGTTGTTACTTTCTGGCTTATTACTAGCATTGGGACCAAGTTTTTGAAGAATCAAATACTTAGTCAAGAGTCAAGACAAGATCTCTCAACTATAAATTATTGTAGCCAGCTCAACAGTGTAGGAAGTGGGACACAACAACATGTAGCAACAAATCTCATTATTTGAGTATAGTATATACTAAAATGAAAATCTCAGAACATAAACCAAAATTTCTTGTCATGGATCCACTAATTCGTTTGATCAAATGAGCCAAAGGGAAACACTAACACTGTTTATTTTGATGTGAAAAAAAACTCTTAATATCTTCTTCATTGGCTATGTTTGCATTGATATAAAAAAAATTAGCTTCACGGGAATTGGGAGTGAAATATGAAATTAAGAAAAAAATTTCCTCCAGAGAGTTGAAACATACAAATATGACTAAACAAACGTCAACATCAATCAGGAGGAAGCAGGAAATAGAATTGTCAGATTAAATAATCTCAAAACAATTTTTATTCATATAATTAGGACTGACCAAAAGAACATATCGCATGCAATGCAATCGCTGGGGAAAAAAGATCAAAAAGTACGAATGAACAAAAAAAAGGTGCTGAATCTGTGAAGATCATGATCGATCCACAGCTAAACTAAAACAGATCCGAACGAGAAAATTAAGCAAACGAGTGAGAAGATCATGCATGATCCATCCACACAATGTACATAATTTAACGAAGAATGTAAGATTTGAAAATCGATGAATAATCTAATTGACGATTTAAATACCTGACAAAAGGAGGCATGATAAAAAGGTAGTTCCTTTTTTGTTTGGTTTTGTCTGAAAGAAAAAAAAAAGGGAAGAATCTTCCCGTAGTTGCAGAGAGATTTCTAATCTCGGAGGAGGAAGAAGAAGAACCCAGGAAAGAAGATAAGCTGAATTAGATTTGAAAACCCCGAAAATCTCGGATCCGGGCACGGACACCAATAACACAGAAGAGAAGGATTTAGCTTCCCTTTTGCCCTTCTCTTCTCTTGCCTCTCTACTCTCTCTCTCTCTAAAGAAAGAGAAACGAGAACGAGATAGGGACTCAGGAGGAGAGAGAAATCTCCATTGGTTTTTATCGTAGTAATAATTACGAGAAGCTCTTTAAAATCTGAATTATTAATGGATAATTATAGGTTTTGACTGCCTAATTAGTGATTACAGACATAAGGAGTAAGTTAGTAACTATATACGATTCGGATATACGCATCTCCGTTAATATAAATTTACTAAACCACCCCGCGGGAAATAGATGAAATTGATTTTTGCTTGGAGTTCTAAAATGCAAAATAAAGTCTGAAGGTATAAAGATGTAGTTTAGTAAAAGTGAGGGTTTAATCTGTAAAATTTAAAAGAAATGAGAAGCACTTTCTCACAAAACGCGTCGTTACGATAGTGACGAAGAACAAATGCAAATTCTCTCGTCAAAGTAGATCCCGATTCTAGCTCGATCCTTATCTTCGCGACGGCATAGCCGGATTCCGGTGAGTTTCGCGGCACGCCGTTCTCTTCTTCGTAGTTTTATTAGGTTTCGAGTCGTTCTGCTTCTCAATTTCGGCGGCGATTAGTTTGGAATCGGTTAATTTTGCGTGGGAATTTCGGTCTAGATCTGCTTGATTGATCTTAGTTGGACTTTGCGTTGTTTAGGCTTTTAGTTACGGATTTCGAACTTGTGGTGTTTATGGCAATTCTGTGTTTACTCTGATTTGATGTTGAACTTGCCAATTTGCGGTTTTTTGAGTTTCAGCTTCTATCAGCTAATCCACTCTCAGGATTTTTCTTGAATGCTTAATGATAATCTGTGTTGTTGTGATAATGAAGGTCTCGAAAGGTATACTGATTAGTTAGTAATGGCGTCGAGGAGAAATGTACGGTATGCTCAGCTTCCAGGAGATGAAGATGATGAAGACTATGCAAATGTTGGTGGAAGGAGAGATTTCGATCCCCGCTTCGATTATACACCGAAATCATTTGATAGAGTGCCATGGAAATCGATAGCGCTCGCTGTGTTTCTTCTGTTCCTTGGTTGCTTGCTTCTCCTTTTGACTGTTTTCATCTTCACTGGTCACATGGAAGGAGATAGCTCTCAAGCTTATGCCCTTCTTGTCCTTGGGATCCTTACTTTCCTCCCTGGTAAGAGTTAGGAATCTTCTTACTCTATATGTTTCACTTATAGAATGCCTCAAGTCGCTGGATACTTAAATGTACAGGATTCTTGATTCGAAACCATTTGTTTGATGTGGAGATTATGTTCTTTTGTTGCTTCTCTTTGGCCATTTGTGTTATGAGTAAAACTGGATGTAACAGTGATTCTCATGGTCATTTCACAATTGTGGGTGCAGGGTTCTATGAGACACGGATTGCTTATTATTCATGGAGAGGAGCTGAAGGGTACCGTTTCGCAGCCATTCCCTCTTACTGAGAGAATTCAAGTAGCTGGAGAAGTAAAGAAACATCTGTGCATAGAATTTTTTTTCCTTTTTTTTATTTTCTGAAAGCAGAGTGTTATTAGAGGAATTGTAATCCAAGAGTGGTTTCATGAATTCACACAGATCCTCTTTATGCTGTGTAGAATCTCCTCCGGTTGAGTACTGACAGATAAGAAGCTTGGATATAGAAGATACCACATAGATTGTTGTTATGTTTTGTTGATCCAAGCTTGTGAATCTTATTGAATCTCGTTTGTTATATAAAAATGCGTGTGTCGTTTAGGACTTCAGGGTTTTCGACAGAGAAGACAAAAAGAGTCAAGTTGGTAACAAAGACATGTGTGGTACTAGTAGTATCACGTTTAAACTGAGGAGAGAATGGAAAAGGGAAAATATCTACCTTTTTTTTATTAGTTAAGGAGAAGGATGACTCTTAGGAAAGAGAAACAATTGACATAGCATAGAGATTCTTGTTTGTTGCAATGCAACCATCGATAATATGATTAGTAAAAAAATCAAATCTTTCGTTTATTTTGTGCAACATCTTAAACTTTCCTGGCTATTTTTTACTTTAAACCACCTTTGCATACAACGAAAACAAACCCTAGCTTGAAATCCGACATTAAAGACACTGATTCGGCATTGGGAAACGAACCACATCTTTCTACCAGCAATAGTCGTCCATTAGGTGAGTCATGAGTGTTTAAACATGATTTAAGTAAAAAGACCTTAGTTAGTGACACTGCTTTTTCTTTATGTCAAAGTTAGTGACTGTACTTTAGATACTAGTCATGTCAAGTTGAAAATCTGCACCAACAGAATCAAAAGGAAGAATTTTTTTTATTTTCAAGAAAAATGACGTAGTCCATAAAGTTATGAAGTATCATGTAAACAATAATAACTAATTTTGCTTTTTTCTTGATATTATCAATCCGTGTAAACATTACCAAGTTATTCATATTTCATATTTCTACAGTTCTCCTCACATATTTTCTTTTGTAATGTTTTTTTTATTATTTTTAGAAAAGTTACCAATTCTCCTCTGTAATCCATAGCAAGTAGCAACAAAAATAGAGAAATCATTAAAACCATAGTAAAGAAAAAATAACTATAGTAAAACAAAAAGAATCAAAATGATAGCGAGACTCTTTATTTGTATTTTTTCAAACTTTGTTCCGGTAACGATAAATCCACCAAAGTAGTCATGTTAAATCTAGGTTGCATGGAAACTCCATTGGAAGATCGTTTCATATTTTGGAAACATTTCCAAAACAGAAACTCTAGGAAACTTGTTTTTTCATGTTTCCTAAAAATATCAATTTTGGAAACTCAATGGACACTTGACGGAAATTTATTTTTGTTTTTGAAAACATAACCTAAATAATTACAAAAGTTAAAGAATAAGATTAAACCGCTAATTTAGTTCTTCAAAGTAAGTTAATGATTAATTTAACTCATTATATGAGATTAGTTTAGGCATTATAAAGTTTGAAGGTATTATTCTCCATGAAGACATGAACTAGAATGTGATATAGGTTTAGTTGATAGAGTACATAAAATGATAATGAAAAATATTTTTCACATTGAACTATGATTTTTATTTTAAGTTAAACTATTTAATATTTATGTAGATTTTAAACAATTATTTAATATAGTTTATATGTTTAATAAATAGATAATCTAAATATATATAGTTTACATTTTTCCATATTTATATTTTTCAAAATAGACGTTCACGTTTCTGAACACTTCCATGTTTCCGTTTCCATGCAACATAGCGTTAAATACATGGACACGCGATGGAACAGCCAAAACACACTAAAAAAAACAAAATGAAGACAATGACGATGACAATGACGGCTAAGATATAAGTATCCACCATTCTTCTTGTTTATTATCTTAAAATACAAGCGATTTTTCTGTAGAGAACTAACAAAATTTGAGTCAACTTTGTTTTAATGTTGTTTGTTTTCTTTGTAATTTGAATATTAACTTAAACATATATATATATATTTTTATAAAGGATTTATATTAACTTAAATATATCATTATTATTGTTAGATTTTTTTTAATTATTAGTAGATTTATATATATATTTAAAAGTCTAAAACATAAATATTTTTTCTAAATCATTTTATATATCTACCGAATTAATTTTTGCAAATACTATTATATATCTACCGAATTAATTTATAAACAAAAAAAAACGTCAAAATAAGATTTTTTACTACCCCACTATCAACATTTGTCTATGCTAAAAATATAAACATGTCTTTTCTTTCAAAAATATTAATTCGTATAAATAAAATATTTATTCAATATTAAGAGATATTTAACTTGATTCCTAAAGTACTAATCAAGGATTGCAATTGCATAAACTTATACGAATAGAGCTGTGTGTTTTTGTTTTTGTTTTCGTTTATTGATTCGCCATTTACTAATTGACTGAGAGAACACCCAATGAAGACTTCAAGGAACTGACTCAGCTCTGCGTCAGAGAGAGAGGACTCGGAATCTCATTTCCCAGGATTTCAGATTACACCACCGTTACTTACTTTTTTCATAGGGCTTATCAACTAAGTTCCACATATTCTTCTCTCTCTCTCTCTCCATCATCAGATTCTCTGTGTTTCTCTTCTATTGCTTCGCTCTCTCTTTGAGCAATTTCCGTCGGTTTTCTCTCCCATTTGCTTCCGGGATCTGCTCGCTAATCAGGTAAATTGACTTTTTGTTTTCAAAATTTATCAATTGCCTCTGGTAAAACCATTTCTGTCTGCTAAATTTTGGAAAATCCGAGAATATCTACTTTTCTCTGCCGAAAGCTGATCAGCGTGTGGATTATCGCTGATTGATTGTCGCTACTTGCCGATTTTGATCTGATAACAAGCGAGAATGTCGATTTTGTGTTTGCTTTGTAACTCTATGAGCTGTGCGCGATTACCATTACAAGTAGCGATGACGGTTTATGTTGTCAAGTAGATTCATAGTTTAGATTTAGCTATGGGAGCGATTGGATGAGTTTGAAATTGAGTTGAATATCTTTGACTGTGGCATTTGATAAACTTCCTTTGGTTGCCTGCTGCAACATATGAAGTTCTTTGTTTACAGAAGCTGCTAAGAGAGTTTCCTAATGATTTTCTACTTGCATTGGTACAGGAAATGGATCATTCATCAAATAGATTCGGCAATGGAGTTGAATCGATTTTACCAAACTACAAGCTTGGCAAAACTCTTGGAATTGGATCTTTCGGCAAGGTGAAGATAGCTGAGCATGTCGTCACAGGGCACAAGGTTGCTATCAAAATCCTCAATCGCCGTAAGATCAAGAACATGGAAATGGAAGAGAAAGGTACACATGCACTCTTACGCTCTCTAGCGTTAGAGGTTTCTGGAAATTAAATGACTTCCCTTTGATAATTGCATATTTCTGCATTTTTGTTCTCTTTTGCAGTCAATCTTGTGTAACCAATGCACAAGGTTAAAATTTATTTTTGCTGGTAAATTAGCTCTGTGATCCTTCTGTTCCTTTTAATCTGAATGTATGTCCATTTCTTCCTTGCAGTGAGGAGGGAGATAAAAATTCTCAGATTGTTTATGCATCCTCATATCATTCGGCAGTATGAGGTGATAGAGACCCCAAGTGACATTTATGTTGTAATGGAGTATGTCAAATCCGGAGAGCTCTTTGATTATATTGTAGAGAAAGGTAGATTACAAGAGGATGAGGCTCGTAACTTTTTCCAGCAGGTTTGTTTTCTCTCACCACAAAAACCAGTGTGTTTGTAGCTTATCATGTCCATCTCTGATTTTGAGTATTTGTTACTGTTTGACTCATATCCGAGCAGATAATATCTGGTGTGGAGTATTGCCACCGCAATATGGTTGTCCACAGAGACCTGAAGCCTGAGAATCTACTATTGGACTCGAGGTGCAATATTAAGATTGCGGACTTTGGGCTCAGTAATGTCATGCGGGATGGTCATTTTCTAAAGACGAGCTGTGGAAGTCCCAACTACGCTGCTCCAGAGGTATTCAGTTTATTAAAGTTTCAGTGTTCTTATTTGCTTATGTCTCGTTTCTCCTTTCATTGGATTATGAGTACCTATCTGAAACTTTAAATTTTAATGAATCATCTTTTACCACTTGTTGTAGGTTATATCAGGTAAACTATATGCTGGACCTGAAGTAGATGTATGGAGCTGTGGAGTGATACTGTATGCTCTATTATGTGGTACTCTTCCATTTGATGATGAAAACATTCCCAACCTTTTCAAGAAAATAAAGGTACTATACATTATACATTAATTCAGCTCAATGATTCGTTTCAATTGAACATTTTAGCTTAGATTCATCATAGGTCTTTTGTTGAAGTCATTAACCGAGGTGTTATTTTATCTCTAGGGTGGGATTTACACTCTTCCAAGTCATTTATCACCTGATGCTAGAGACCTGATCCCAAGGATGCTTATAGTTGACCCAGTGAAGCGAATCACCATTCCTGAGATCCGTCAACACCGTTGGTTCCAGACTCATCTTCCTCGTTACCTTGCTGTTTCTCCTCCAGATACAGTAGAGCAGGCCAAAAAGGTTGGTTTCAGCACCATTTGAAAATCAAAGGAGTCACATGTGGCGGTGATAGTAACATTTTCTCTTATATGTTTTACAGATCAATGAAGAGATAATTCAAGAAGTGCTTAACTTGGGATTTGACAGAAACCAGGTTATGGAGTCTCTTCGCAACAGAGTACAAAACGATGTATGTAGTTTTCTCTCTGCTATGCTTCTAATCCCCTAAACTAGTTTCCAATAGTCACTGATAAGCCACCTGCTGCTTGTTCCAGGCTACTGTTACATACTACCTGTTATTAGACAACCGGTTCCGTGTCCCAAGTGGCTATCTTGAATCCGAGTTTCAGGAGACAACAGTATGTGTTTCTCTTTTCTCTCAATGCATAGCTTTCCAACATCTAAATCTCATAAGTGTGTCTGGTCAAACCTGAGGCCTCCCTTTCATTTTCTACTAACATTTTCAACATTTGCAATTTTTACTCATATAGGACGGCGGCTCCAATCCAATGCGCCCAGCTGAAGCGGCTGCTTCACCTGTAGGCCACTGGGTTCCTACACAAATGGATCAGTACGGGCTGGGAGCAAGATCACAAGTCCCAGCTGACCGAAAATGGGCTCTTGGACTACAGGTTTGTTCCTCGTTGCTGAATCTTCTTTTTCCTCACCTTAAACATGTCTGAAATCTAAACGCAAGACACAAACATATATCTGTTTCTTCTCTTTAGCCACATACTTATATTGATAATCTGTTACTGCTACTGTGGTGTTTTGAACAGTCACATGCGCATCCTCGTGAAATCATGAATGAAGTTTTGAAAGCTCTTCAAGAACTCAACGTGTGTTGGAAGAAGATTGGTCACTACAACATGAAATGCAGATGGGTTCCTGGTTTTGCTGATGGTCAGAATACTATGGCCAACAATCAGCTGCACTTCAGAGATGAATCCAGCATCGTAGAGGATGACTGTGCCATGACCTCACCCACCATCGTCAAATTTGAGCTTCAGGTAACTGCAAACTCCTCAAAAACATATTAGGAACTATTGGCTCAATAAGATCTTTAGGAGAGAAAAAAAAACAAAATTCCCAAAACTTGAACCAACTGTTTGAAAACAACAGTGCTCACATCATATATCATTCATTACACACTTCTAACCATTTTTGTGATATACGTTTGAATTTGAAACAGCTATACAAAGCCCGCGAGGAAAAGTATTTGCTTGATATCCAGAGAGTTAATGGTCCTCAGTTTCTGTTCTTGGATCTATGCGCCGCTTTTCTTACCGAGCTCCGTGTGATCTGAAGCTTTTAGCCATTTGGTCAGACATTATTTTCATGGTTTGTAATACTAGAGAAGAGAATATCATCTGTGGCTGCAGTGTTTACTTTCCAGGGTTACTTTTATATACCTGGATTCTAAGCTAAACCCTCTACTGTAATAGTAACTCTATATTTTCTCCTTTTTGATGGTTTTTATGGTTTGATGCTGTGTGATGTAAATACATAAACTTAGCTGTTTCCAAGATACTCAGATTTTCAAAATCTTGGCTAAAAACTCGGATTTGTCTATTGTCTTTAATCTTTATGTCTTGATTTGGATTTTGTTAAGAGTGACAGACAAAAGGAAACTATAGCCCCAAACTCAACTCTATTAACACCATTATATTCAAATTATCAGAAAACAAAAAAAAAACGGACGGAAATTAGGTGATTCGGTTTGGTTCCGGTTCTACCGAATGAGTAATCACCATTGATGCAAATTATTTAGGTTAATCACAAAAAATCTATAATTAGTCAAAAGAAATCAGTAAGTCATAAGTTACGGATATGATATGATATGCACTTAAGTCTAAAAATCACCATGCAATCCAACCATTTATATCTTTATATGTCAATGTCTATATAATAGCTCTTACCATCGATAAAAACACCAAAATCAAAATCTCAAATATTCTTGAAAACCAAAAAACAAACACTAAATTGGAATCGGAGTGGTCATGAAGTTGACAACATTAGTTTTCCTTGTGCTTGGGACAATCATCCAACTGTCTCCGAGTTTGATCAGAGCATGCGAGATGAAAGACCTTGAGCCATGCCTCTTACCGATCATCGGTGGAATCCCACCGACTCCACACTGCTGCGGAAAACTGATAGATAACAAGGCGTGCATGTGCGGTTTCATCAACGACTATTGGTTGGGTACAGTTTGGAAAAGTCCCAATGGTCACAAACTTTTCGATGCTTGTAAAATTCCATATCCTACTTGTTGAACTTGAACTTTTATTATATTTTGTAAAATTAGTTAGTACTTATGTTCAGTGTTTGGGTTATATATATCATATCACAGTTTATGTAACACATCAAATAAAAAGGGTTATGTTAATGCAATGTAATTTTTTTGTTTTCCTGATATACAAAAACAAATCATATATTATTTCAAACTTGTACCAAAACGTTACTTCTTTGCGAATCCGCGAAGTCATCTTTCGCTTGTTCTGGTTAAACTGTTTTTTTTGCAGTCTTCCCACATACACGTAGCCTTGCATAGCATATAAAATCTCAGCTTTGACATTGTTTACATAGTCAAATGTACATTTAGTTCACATTACGATGATTCATTGTTAAATTATATTGTTGACAATCGTCTGACTTGTACGTATTAATACTTGCATGGTCCTAGTAAAATACAAGGCAACCATAGACCATAGTCGTAATTAATGTTTGAAGTGTGAACAAGTGTTTGAACAAGTGTTTGATAAGTCATCAGCCTGTTATCCCCGGCGTACCTTTGATCCGTTGAGCGAGAGCCCTTCCACACGGGGCCTTTGAGTCAGCGCCCAACCTTTCACTTTAATATAACATAAAGATAAGAGACTTTGATACCATATCACCAATAAACATGCTCTAAAAGGTTAACTAGAGTGTTTATAGAGTGGCTTGATGTAACTACTGTTGTTGTTCCCTTCTTATTTCGATTGTGAAACTTGTTTACAATGGAAAATGGAAACATGTGAGGTTCTACTTTCTAGTATAAATTTTGGTTGCATGTATTTCCCGATGGACTGTCACCCCTTTTTGTATGCGTAGTTTCGAATCATCCGGTTACAACTTCCCAATCTTAACATTATAATTAAATGTTCCAAACATGTATTCCTAAATTTATAGAGAATTGATTAACGTGAAATTCCGTAGACAAGTACATGTGCATCAATAGTTTCAATTTGCTTAGGATTAATAATCTATACTTATAACTGCAATCCAGTGTGACAACTTTTTTTAATTATATAAGGAATTAAGTAGAGTGTCAAAATAATGAATACAGCAAATGCCACATAAATATGAAATCCATAAAAATTTATTCAATAGCAAAACAAGACTATATGCTGTCTAAAATGTATGGACACTACAATTCAATTTAATTTTGTGTTTTGTTTTTCTAATTATGGTACGGTAGTAATTAAATGTAAAATATTTCTTTCTAAATGAAAATATGGAACAACAAAATGAATTGAAGTCTAAAAATCTAAACGGTCATAAATTATTGATATGGTATGCAATTAAGTAGCTGACCAAAAACAAAAGAAATAAAGATATGCAATTAAGTCTAAAGAATCACAATACAATAGAACCATATAAACTCCACATGTCCATCTATATATAATCAGCAAAAACACCAAAAATTAACATCTCAAACATTCTCGAAACAAACAAAGAAAAGAGGGATCAATTGGAATCGAAGAGATGATGAAGTCCACAACATTAGTTTTCGTTGCGCTCGTGACTATCTTCCAATTGTCTCCGACTATGATCAATGCATGCGACATGAAAGATATGCAGCCATGCCTCTTACCGATCATCGGTGGAATCCCACCGACTCCAAACTGCTGCGCCAAACTGGTAGAATACAAAGCATGTCTGTGTATTTTCATCAAAGACTATTGGTTTGGTACAATCTGGACAAGTCCCAATGGTCACAAAATGTTCGATGCTTGTAAAATTCCATATCCTTCTTGTTGATTCGAAACGTAACGATATTCTGTAAAATTTGGTTAGACAATCAATGATTGAGTTTTCAATATTATGGTTTATGTAGCAAAACATCGAAAAGAAAATCGTTTATGTTGATCAATTAAAAAAAAGTTCGTTTTCCTGAAGAAAAAAATCAAATCAAAGATACATGATTAGTGCCATTAAATAAAATGGTTTAAGTATGTTGTTTATGTATATGTCGTAAAAATCGATTAATAATGTTTAAACCAGTCCTAAACCGTTTATAGCCGAAGTCCGACTGAACCGACTAAACCAGCAAAAGCAATTGGTACAGAAACGAGCTCGAGATTTACAAGGCAATCGCGTCTCGCTCGCACTTCCTTGGATCCGTTCGCAGTCTAGAGGTAGAACAAGGTGGGCAGATTCTGGGTTTATAATTCGTTTGATCTGTGTACTCACTTGAATCATTAGCCTCTTCAATGCTGTCTCGATCGGTGTTTTTTATTTAGATCTCGTTATTTAATTTGAAGAAAAAATTCGCGATAGGTGATTTCGTTTTCGTTGCTGGAGACTTTGAATCTGTGTGACTGGAGAAATATTAATTTTGATGCTTTCTGGTTAATTTCGGTTAGTATGTATGAGCAATTTGAAGTTTCTGATTTTTGTTCGATTCAGGAGAGGAGGAGGAAGATGGAAGAAGCGATAAGAGCAGCAACACAACAAGTGTCTGAAGAATTCAAAACTCTCGTTAAGGCTGAAGATCTTAATTCTCTCAAACATCTGCAGCACCTCATGTATGTGTAGTCTCTTGATAATGTTGATGATTCTTAATTTGATGGTTATTGATCAAACGTTTCTGCGTTAATGATGAACTAGATTGGGGAGGTTACAGGATAGCAATGCAGTTCTCTCCCATTACAACGAATTCGCAGAGAATTGCTTCACCGACGTGTCATCGGAGTTCACTAGAAACACTCGTCTTTTGAAATCGATGAAAGCAGACCTCGATTACATTTTCTTGAAACTAAGGTATCTGTTTTTCTGTTTGTGTTCTTAAGGGACTTTCTCAATCTTCTTGTGTGTGGCTCATGAATTTTTTTTCTCATGTTTTGTCAGGAGCATCAAAGGTAAGATTCTGGCTACGTATCCAGACGCATTTCCAGATGAATCTACTAGCGATGCTTTTGATCGAAGACCTGACCTTGAGCTGCCTCAGTAAAGCATCGGATGTGAAATGCTTCTTGACGAAAGAAAACCAAATGGTTTGATCTGCAAACCGTTTTTTTGTTTATTTTTCTTGATGTTCAGAGAGAAATATTTGTAGGTTTTAATTTATCATGTAGATTTCTTTGATGTGTTTCAAAACACAATTCAAAACCAGCGTTAATGACAGAAGTATTGATCTTGTATATCTAGGTCTCTTGGCATATGTATAAGTATGTAACTATGCGATTTGGATTTTCTCACATTTATAACCAAGAAACTTCACCAAAACAAGTCCACTATTTATTTATTTATTTATTTTTCCAATAATTATAAGATTTTAAAGTATATTATATGTTTGAGTAAATAATTTTTCATCTTAATAAAAATCACATCAAATCTCAAATCTCAAAGTAAATACAGTAGAAACTCTATAAATTAATAACTCGATTGATCAATATAATTTTCCGGTCCCAAACTAAGTTTTTGATTCAAATTATCTCTCGATAAATTAATAATTCACTAAATTAATAAAATATCATGGTCCTAACATTATTAATTTATAGAATTTCTACTTTACCCCTTTTTTCATATTTAATTCCTTTCTAGTTAATCCACACGTTGCACAATCTGCACAAAGCTCCCAGATTTTATTTATTAAGAAAAGTGTTACACACGAACTTGTCGTGATGGCTAGATTTCACACTCGTCGTCACGCAACATGCAATAATGTCACCATCTCTAGTAAAAACGTACACTACTCAAATACTCTTTCATTAAACACAGAAAGAACAAAGAGAAAAAGAAAAAAAAAAGAGCATATCAAAAGATGAAATTTACAACATTGGTAACCATCGCGTTTGTTGTAGTCCTCTTGTCATCTTTCTCAGCTGCTCCGACCCAGTCAACGGTGTTCGTAAAACCTACGGGACCGCCATGCGACAATGTCGAGGTCGGGGAATGCATGTCAGCTTTACCTACTGGACAGAAACCAACGGCAAAGTGTTGCGGGCAACTGAAAGCACAAGTACCATCATGTTATTGTGCTTTCATTAAAAATCCAACTTTACGTAAATTCGTTACTTCTCCCGACGTTAATAGGGTTCTAGCGCAATGTGGTATTCGTACTCCTTCTACTTGTTGAACTCCAAGTTACTGATGATGATAAAGAAAAGAAAAAATGTTATGTGATGATGATGATTGTAAATTCATTATGTATTTATGTTGGATCGATCATGTTAATTCTGTATAATATGTTTTTCTACTTATTTTTATTTTTTTTTTTTATATATCACATTAAATAGTATATATCACATTATATAAAAATAAAAATAGTTGTGTCCTTTAAAAAGGAAAAAGTGTAAACAATGTGTGTTGACTACTAGGCCTCTCTCAATCCGAGTTTTTAGGGTTATTTCGGTTTGGTTTGGCTTCTTGGATGAGAATTGTTACCCAAAGAGTGAAACATGTTTCTTGAGGTAAACATGTGGGTTATATAATAACTTCATAACTCATAAGGTTTTCTTAGGTTATATATATAGCTACCAGCACCACTTTTAGTGCTGTGTACACATTTGCAAAGACGTTGGATACTCATATATGACAATGGATTCATGACATGACGTCCAAAAGCCAGGAAAGTGGCTTCCAGGAATCCAAATGATGATATGTTGGATTAATGTGAATCACAAATCAAGAGATATGAGTCCTTATATCGTTTGTGATAAACCATGCATGTAGACCGTGGCATACACGCTTCATACCAAGCAATATATAGCCTCACTGGCACAATTTTCATCCGGCGAACTCTTTTTAATTTCATTGCTCGACTGAGGTCTCCTCTTCTAAATTATTCGCCTTTTTCTCATTGATCATCCTCGATGTTCTTTTCTCCCCACTCTAGATTTATGCATTGTTTAAGAGTTTTCCATGATCTAGCTGAAAGGTAGACAAAATCATAATGTATTGGGTTGTTGACTTGTTTCAGAGATAAATATTTTTTGTTTTCTCGTGAGTTTGCTTCTTATATATGCTCCTTCTGTTTGTGTTCTGACTCCTAAAGGACTTTCTCTATCTTCTTCTGTGGCTCATGAGTCGTTCCCATGTTTCTCAGGAGCATCAAAGGTAAGATTCTGGCTACATATCCAGATGCATGTCCAGATGAATCTACTAGTGATGCTTTTGATCGAATGAAGACCTAATCTTGAGTTGCCTCAGTAAATCATCCAGAACACACCCGGATGTGTATGCTTCTTGACGAAAGAAAACCCAAATGGTTTGATCTGCAAACCGTTTTTTGTTTCTTTTTCTTGATGTTTGCTTCTTGGCAGAGAGAAATATTTTTGTAGGTTTTTAATTTATCATGTAGATTTCTTTGATGTGTTTCCAAACACAATTCAAAACCAGCGTTTAATAATAGAAGTACTGATCTTGTAAATCTTGTATCTAGGTCTCTTGGCATATGTATAAGTACTAGGTAGTGACCCGCGCAAGTGCGCGGGATTACGCTCCGGTTCCCTTTCTCTTCGTATGTGTGTGTGTGGGGTTTGTTTTGTGTTTGTAACACCTGTCTTTCTACAAATATAACAGCTGTGTCTGCCTTTTTTTTTACGAAAATATTAAATAAAATCATGTGGTCAATTATTTTCCAGTGAAGAACCGTATCTAATTCACTTTTCTTCTACCCCTTTCCCCTTTCTTGATTTGAAACTATTGGATTAATCTCATCCTCTGTAATTCTAAATCTTTGAGAAACAATAGTTGATTCGTCGATTGATCAATCTTTTGATTGGTTTCCATTCATTGATTATTTGAGTAAGAATATTCAAATTCTAGTTTAAGATCCTTGTTTGAGAATTTTATCGATGAAGCCCATAATATACTTCCAATTCTTTTTTTTTTGAGCTTTCTTAACCAACGGTGTTCTGGAAAATGATCTACTTTTGCTCCTCTGAGTTTTCTTTTGGATCTCGGTGGTTATCGTCGGCGGAGATGTCGGATTTCACTAAAAGTTTTGACTCCGGTGTCGCATGCAATTAATATCTGTGATTATTGGGTTAGTTTGCGATTTACTCATATCTTCAATTTAATGGTTCCTTAATTTGATTTTATAAGATAATATTTTTGAACAAAAAAAAAAGATAAGATTTTTGTGTTTGGATTGTTTAGACTCAAATCAATGTATGTTTTTTTTTGTTTTTCTACGGTCAAGGTTTATTCTGGAAAGCTCAAATCTTATTCTGGAAAGCTTAAATCGCGGTTTTGGTATAAGTTAAGTATATTACGATCTCCTATTGCTTTCTTGTTACATATCAGAGTGCATTCTTGTGATCTTATTATTTCTTTTTCTTGATACACAGAGTCGCAGGACTTGGCTTTATGTTTTCACCTAGTATAATCGGCTCCCTGGAATAAGGCAAGTTCTTTTCCAATAACAGTTATATTGTTGTTCAATTTCCATTAGCTCATGTGATTTCATTATTGGGTTTCTTCATAGATTGTGGTATGCTCTCTGCAAGGGTGAGAGCCAACCCATCATCTAGAAGTCTACACAATGAATAACATATTAGAGTATGAATAACATCATGTCATAGTAATAATCTATCATTCGAACTTACAGTTCCTTGAACTCTTCAATTTCAGGATGGTTTGGATTTATTTGCAGGAGGCTGGTTGAGAATGCGTTTGAAACACTTTTAACACCTACACCAAGAGCTAATAAAAAACAGTATAACGTAATGTATATTTAAAGTTATTTTCTACTTTAATATTTTTTGCAAAGCTCACACCTTTGAATTCCCTGATTTTGGAAAACCTTAGAAGGCATATGACACTTTCATCTCCAGCACTATGGTATGCTGCAGACGTCTCCTCAGCCATTGAATTCCATAAGGTACAGCCTAAACGCTCATCACTACAACCAATACAATTAAAAATAATTTTGAATTCATTATCTATGTTATTCAAGTTATATTTTCTTTACAGAGAATTTAGACTAACTTACTTTTCATCTAGGAGTTCAAATTCCTGCTTCTTTAATGGTTTTGTAGCCGTATCTAGAATCTCCAATTCCTTGACATTGATAACTTGTCCACGTAACTTACTTTTTCACGAACTCCTTTTTAACACCAGCATGAATCTTGGTACCCTGATTATGGAGCATAGTTTTGAACAATATTGAGAATTTTCTACAACAAAAAAGCTTTTCCAAATTTACCGAGAATGTTTTTATATGAAACATGAAATAACTGGAAATAATCTTCTTAAAATTTACCTCTTCATCGGCTAAGATCATCTCTATTGTCTCTCCGGAGACGGCAGTAAACTGCTTCCATGAGTGAAGAATTTTGACTTGGATCCTCCAAGAAGTTTTGAAAGGTTTTTTTTTGTTACTATTGACAACTTGTTTGGACTTATGGCTTATTGATCATCGGTTCACCTATTATATAGTAGTTGGGTTTTTCAAATAATGGAAATTTCGCATATATCATTCGATCATATTTGTATTATTAACAAATTTGTTTTTGAAGATTATCTTTTCTTTAATATCAAGATTCCTTTGATTTCTTATTATCGCTTCATATTTTTTAGAACATTTCCTTTTTGCAGATTTTACAACAGATATGGATTAAGCGTAAGTTTTCTTTCTTTTTTGCAGGTATTCAAGCGGATTGAACCGAGAATTTTGAAGAATAGATTTTCGGTTTAAGAAAACCATTAGAGATCGGTTTGATTTAAGTTTTCTAAAGGATCCGCGTCCCATATTGTGGATATCCGGGTCGGTTTTTTTCTTTCTTCTGAGTTGACTCAGTTGACTCGGCCATTTTTTTACTAAATTATCCCTTCTTATATTTGTTGCCAAACACTTTTTCTTCATAAAGGATTGGTTTTTTGGTCAAAAATTGTCAATGTACTTCTCAATTAATAATAAAGAGATATAACTATACGATTTGGATTTTGTCACATTTTTAACCAAGAAACTTTACCTCAAGAAATTTGTATATAATAATAATGTCACCATATCTTCTTTTTTTTGTTTATGGTGAATTCCCGGAAGCAAAGCTCCCAGATTGTATTTATTAAGAAAAGTGTTACACACGAACTTGTCGTGATCGTGAGATTCTTCCACACTCGTCGGTTACGCAACACCTGCAACAATGTCACCATCTCTAGTAAAAACGTACACTACTCAAATACTCTTTCATTAAACACAGAAAGAACAAAGAGAAAAGGAAAAAAGAGAGCATATCAAAAGATGAAGTTTACAACATTGGTAACCATCGCGTTTGTTGTAGTCCTCTTGCCATCTTTCTCAGCTGCTCCGACCCAGTCAACGGTGGTCGTAAAACCTAAGGGACCGCCATGCGACCATGTCGATCTCACGGAATGCGCGTCAGCCTTAGCTTCTAGACAGAAACCAACGGCAAAGTGTTGCGGGCGACTGAAAGCACAAGTACCTTGTTTTTGTGCTTTCCTTAAAAATGCAAATTTACGTAAATTCGTTACTTCTCCCACAGCTAAAAAGCTTCTAGCGGATTGTCGTATTCGTTATCCTACTTGTTGAACTCCAAGTTACTGATGATGATAAAGAACAAAAAAATGCTATGTGATCATGATGATTGGAAATTATTTATGTTTGATCGATCATGTTAATTCTGTATAATATTTTGTTTTTCTTAGAAATCATATATCACATTATATCAAAATAAAAATAGCTGTACATTCGCAATTCAAAACCAGCGTTTGTGATCCGAGGGTTTTGTTTCTTCTTCTTTTTCTCTAGTGATTTGTTCGTGTTTTGATTTCGAATGTACGTTGCCAAGGCTTTAAACAAAAAAAAAAGGACATTGCCAAGGATTAGACCGAGAAAAATTAAAACTGATAGTTAAATAATTTTAAGAGATGTTTTCAAGCAAAGTTCACACTAATAGAGAATTTTAAAATAAATTTAATATGTATATTATTAAAATAAAATAAAGGCTAAAGTTTAGTTTTGTTACTTTCTATAGTTTAAAGGTTAAACAGTAAATTTTAATTCTTGTTTTACTTTAAGGGAGGGGAAAGTGTGTATTCAATCTAGTATGATACTTGGAAGGATTTGATTTTTAGATGATTTTGAATATAAGTATGTAAAATACTCTAAAATCCCATATGTAAGTATGTAACCATGAGATTTTGATTTTTTTTCACATTTTTAACCAAAAAATTTCACCAAAACAAATCCACTATTTATTGATTTTCCAATAATATAAGATTATAAAGTATATATGTTTGAGTAAAGATTTTGTCATATTAATACAAATCACATCAAAACTCAAATCCCAAATTAAGTACCCCTTTATTTTTTTTTATTTAATTCCTTTCTAGTTAATTCTGGTGAGTTGAAAACATATTGAAACATAATTTCCAATCCACACATTCCACAGTCTGACACTCATCATTTACAAGTTCATATCTGTATATATAATAATGCCACCATCTCTAGTAAAATCACACTACTCTAATACTCTTTCATTAAACACAGAAAGAAAAAGAGAGAGAATAAAAAAGCATATCAAAAGGGTTTTCAAAAGATGAAGTTTACAACACTAGTAACCATCGCGTTTGTTGTAGTCCTCTTGTCATCTTTCTCAGCTCCGACCAAATCAACGGAGGTCGTAAAACCTATGGGACCGGCATGCGACCGTGTCGATATCACAGGATGCCAGAACACCATATTTCTTGGACAGAAACCAACGGCAGAGTGTTGCGGAAGCCTGAAAGCAGAAGAATCATGTTTTTGTGTTTTCATGAAAAATCGATCTTTAAGTCCATACCTTACTTCTCCGCAAGCTCGTTTTATTCTAGCGGCTTGTGGTATTCCTTTTCCTACTAATTGTTGAAGCCCAAGTTACTGATGATGATAAATAAATAATAAAATGTGATGGGGATGATTGGAAATTCATTATGTTGGATCATGTTAATTCTGTATAATGTTTTCTCTTCTTCTTGGAAATCATATATAACATTACATAAAACTAAATATATATGTGTTCTTTAGAAAGGAGAAAGTGTAAATTATGCGTTTTGACTACTAATCCAAGTTTTTATGGGGTTTTTCGATTTGGTTTGGCTTTTTGCGTGAGACTCGTTACCCAAAGAGTGACATGCATGCTTGTGAATTGTGATAAACCATGCATGTAGACCGTGACATGCATGCTTCTTACCAAGCAATATATAGCCTCAGTACACAAGCGCTTCTATCATTTAAATTTGATTTATTGAACATTAGTACTTGTTCAACTTTTTGACCAAAAACAAAAATACTTTTTTCAACTTTTTGGTTAGCATTTACTATGATGACACTTTGTTGATTTCCTTCGTTCATTAAGACGATTAATTTATTGAACTTCATATATTCAACTTTCTATTCATAACTCTTGGATTTATATGGAAAATAAAATTCATTGACTTCCATTACAGTACTGCTTTTTCGTATTTATAATATATATATGATTCCTTTCTAATTAATTTTGGTAAATTGAACAAAAACAATTGAAACAGGATCCACGCATTTCACAATCTGACACTCGTCGTCGGTTACAATTTCATATCTGTATATATATAATAATGTCACCATCTCTAGTAATAACACACTACTCATATACTCCTTCATAAACACAGAAAGAAAAAAGAGAAAGTAAAACAAAAGCATATCAAAAGATGAAGTTTACAACACTAGTAACCATGGCGTTTGTTGCAGTCCTCTTGTCATCCTTCCTAGGTCTGATCAAATCTGCGCCATGCGACCGTGTCGATATCACAGGATGCCAGAACGCCATACTTTATGGAGAGAAACCAACGGCAGAGTGTTGCGGGAATTTGAAAGCAGAAGAATCATGTTTTTGTGTCTTCATTAAAAATCCATCTTTACGTCAATACGTTACTTCTCCCACATCTAAAAGGATTCTAGGGGAATGTGGTATTCCTTATCCTACTTGTTGAACTCCAAGTTACTGATGGTTAAAAAACAAGGTTTATGTTGATGATGATAATTGGAAATTCATTATGACATGCTTTGATCATGCTGAATATGTAAAATGAGATATCATATATAACAAGAGATAAAAAAAGAAAAATAGTTGTGTTCTTTGGAAGGAAAAAAGTGTAAATAATGTATTCAGACACGGCTTTTCAGTCCGAGTTTTCCGGGTTTTTTTTTGCTAAGAATGTAAATATTCATTGAAAATGAAATGTTTAGGTTTTACAAATTGAGTTAATCAAAATTGCAAAAACTAGCTATAGACGGTCCCATGGCAAAAAAGTTTAAAAAACATGGAAGTGTAGAACAATCGGTACTCTCTGTCGCGTCAAACGCCGAAGCGTGAAGTCGACCAAGTAGCGATAAACCGCTTGGGAGCCTGTGAAACCAATAGAAACCCGAGTTTGAGTCGAGATTGGAAAGGCTACTCGGTCCAGGAGGAAAATCGACCTCAAAGCTAAAAGGAAGTTGTTTCACTCGATGCCCGAAGAGGGTGACAAAATTCTAAGCAGCTAAAAGAGACTCGAACAAGACCGTCCTCAGTATCTCTGAATCGACGCTCAGACAGCTGAAAACTTAGACGCCATCACTAAAACGGAACAACATGCACCAAAGAATCAGGATCCGCTTACTCACTCTACCAAGATCTCTCCCCGATGTCGGCTAGCTCAGAGACCAGCAATCACACGATCCTCTAGTGTTACTACCTCCTCTTGATGCAAAGATTTCGAGGAACACAACCTAGACCGAAACCATCCTCAAACAAGCCAAAACGATAGCAACTAAGCAGTACACTAGCATCGCAAGCCTAAGAGTTTTCCGGGTTATTCGGTTTGGTTTGGCTTTTTGACTGAGAATCGTTGCCCAGAGGCCAGAGAGTATTGTAACATGTTTCTTGACGTAATTATGTGGGTTAAATAATAACTTCATAATTTTGCGCAAAAAAAAGATAATAACTTCATAACATATATAGATTTAGATTTTGCCCTACGTACGTCTATTTGTGGGTACTTTTAGATTCATTGGTGAGTCACAGAAAATGAAGAGAGTGCCTGAAGCATTTCAGAGAGATGCTATGAGGTATATGAGCAATCACCATATATATTGATCATTGAAGATGTTTCCCTCTCGGCTCTTGCTATCATACTCGAGTATTATGTTGACAAGTGATCATCAAAAACAGAAAGAGAAGAAGTGTGAAGAACTGAAGACTTCGAAGAGTATACTAATCTTTAACAATGGGATTCAGATGACACAAAATCATCAGGAAAGTGGCTTCCAAGAATCGAAATGATGACATATTGTGTTTTGAGTATAATGTAATTCACAAATCAAACGTGACATGCTTCTTACCAAGCAATAGCATCACTAGCACAATTTTCAGAGATGCCCCTACAAACCAAACCAAAATAACATCTTGTAAACACAAACATATGGCGAAAGATTGCTTTGCTATACTAAAAACATATTCTCGTACGTTTGACCCCCCAAAAAACATTCCCGTACCACAAAGATTCTCAAAAGTCAACAAAACTAGTATAATTTTGCAACAAAGATTCTCAGCTTTTGCTTTTTTTTCTGTTTGTTTATCAAATCATTTAAAGCAGAGTATGTATCCTCACAATGAGACCATAATCTAGTAAGGAAATAACTGTATTATTCAAAATGTGACTAATCAATCATATCGCTTATGCAATCGAATCGCAATCGCAAGTGCGCCATTCGCGACCTTAATCTCGCAACCATTTGACTATTTTTAAACCTTTTCTTTTTTTTTTTTTTTCCCTCTGATGGTTCCTTTATTAACTTGACGAAAAAAAGTCATTGTGAAGTACATTCGACATAAATTCAGGAACATAAGAATGATAAACAAAGTTTGTATGATTTGGAAGATTTCTTGTCGCCAGCAAGTCAGCGGCCTGGTTTCCTTCTCTTGGGACCCAAGTAAATGCGATATCTTTAAATTTGGCCATCCAGCTCCAAACCTCCCTTATCCAATTGAATAAGACGAAGTTTAGTGATGAGTTGTTAACCAAATTCACCACATTCCTGCTATCACCTTCAAATATGATATGACGATAACCTTGACACCAACAATTCTGCATTGAGATAATTAACGCTTGAAACTCTGCCTCAATGGCACTCGATACCTTTTTTGCTTCAGCTTGACCTGATCCCAAATACGTCCCTCTATCATCTCGGACAATCCAACCCGCTTTGGCATTGTGATCCTCCCCTCTAAAAGATCCGTCGTAGTTGCATTTAACCCAACCCTGAATTGTGATCCAAAGTCGATGTCTAAACTCCCTCCCATCATTGTTGCTTTGATGTTGAGCTTCCTGTGTCATCTCTTGAGCTCTGATCCATTCACTTGCATCATTCATTGCATATCTTGTTAAGCTTCTCCAATGAATTGATTTTTGTTGAAAAATCAATACATTTCGACTTTTCCAGATTCTCCAAAGGACCCATAGGACTTGATGTTGTGTATACATAGAAGTATAAACTGTAGGGTTTAGAAGAAAAGATACCAGCTTCGTCTCCAACTCCATAAGGGGATCAAATAGTGCCGAGTGAAAGAGTCCTGAGGCTCGCCATACTTGCTGTGCATAAGGGCATTCAAAGAAAATATGATTTGCTGTCTCCTCTTGCTGGCAACATCGAAGACAAAGGGACGTTCTGATAATGTGTCTTCTTCTCAGAGTAGCCCTAGTTGGTAACGATTTTGAAGCTATCTTCCACAGAAAATGCTTGATCTTGTTTGCTGTATGTAGTTTCCAGATGGCTTGATTGAGCTCCCTATTAGCAGACGGTGTATGGATTCCTGGGTTTTCAGGCAGATGCATAGCTAACCAGTAACCAGACTTAACTGAATAGATGCCATTCTTGTTGTAGTGCCAACCAAGTTTGTCATTCACTGCTGTAGGGCACAGTTTTGTACCTAAAACGAAAGGTATGTCTTCCTCACGTACTTACTACTTCCCTAATAATAGCTTCATTCCAACCACTACGATCATCTTTGATCCATTCGTTAACCTGATAATGCCTGAGCTCTGCATCTCTCGGTCTTGGGGCTCTCGGTGGATCCATTATCAGCCAAGGGTCATCCCATGCACTAATTGTAGTTCCATTCCCCACCACAAATCGAAGACCTCTTTTTTTAAAAGGTCACATCCTTGGAGTATCGATTTCCAAGCAAAAGAAGATTTTCTTTTGACATTAGCTGTTAAAACGTTACCAGAACTATAGTATCTTCCTCTCATGACTCTAGCCATTAAACATTCTGGATTTTGAAGTAATCGCCAGGCTTGCTTCCCTAGCAGAGCCAGGTTAAATCTTTCAATATCTCTGAAACCAATCCCTCCTTCAGATTTAGGCAGACATAATCTATTCCAAGCAAACCAGTGCATATTCTTTTTCCCTTGATCCGATCCCCACCAAAAGTCTGCTAACACACTATTAATCTCTTCACATATACCTTTTGGCAATTTGAAGACATTCATAGAATAGACAGGCATCGCTGTAGCTATCGATTTGAGCAGAACCTCCTTCCCTCCTAATGATAGAAATCTCTTATGCCACCCTTGTGTCCTTTCTTTAACTTTATCTACAATATACTCAAACATCTCTGTTTTCTTGTGAGTAAATTGTTCTGGGATACCAAGATACTTCCCTCCACCACCTTCATTGTGTATTCCAAGAATCCTCCTCATTTGTCTCTTCACCTCTGGCTTAACCAATCTTCCAAAAGTGATTGCCGATTTTCTTAAGTTAACTGCTTGCCCTGAAGCTTGCTCGTAAATAGTTAGCACCTCCTTGATTCCTTTTGCCGATTTTTGGTTTGCAAGCGTGAAGAATAAAGAATCATCCGCAAAAAGCAGATGATTTATATTAGGGCAGCTCTGACTTAGTTTCATTCCTTGCACCTTCCGAGAAGCTCCCGCTTGATGCATCAAGTGTGACAGAACCTCTGCACAAAGAATAAACAGATAGGGAGACAAAGGATCTCCCTGTCTGATACCTCTCTCTGGTCTTATCAAACCCTTTGGCGACCCATTAATCAACACTTTGAAGTTCACTGAAGATACACACTTCATAATCCAAGATATCCATTGCTGACAAAATCCCATATGCCTCATAGTCTCCTCCAAAAATCTCCATTCAAGCCTATCGTATGCTTTTGTAATATCAGTCTTCAACGCCATATACGATTTTGCTTGTCGCTTCCGAGATTTGAGAGCATAATACATCTCATGTGCAACGATAACGTTATCCGTAATCATGCGACCAGGTATGAACGCTGCCTGATTCTCTGATATAACTCCGGAGAGATGCTCTTTTAATCGATTCACCAGAATTTTAGAGATAATTTTTGTAGCTTACATTGCATAAAGAGATTGGCCTGAAGTCAGTCATAGATGTAGGAGGATCCACCTTTGGTATTAGACAAATGTTTGTCTGGTTGTGTAGTGGATCTAATGTACCTTGACGGAAAAATAATTGAATCTCTTCAATATCTTCCCAGAAATGATGATAAAAGGCGCATGAGAATCCATCTGGTCCTGGTGCTCTGCTCGGTCCTATTGAGAAAACTGCAGCTTCAATCTCCTTTGCAGTAACAGGTTTAGTGATATCTCTGTTAATCTCATCAGAAACTCGCGTTTCAAAACCTTCAAAGACTTTGGCGTAGATATCATTACTCGGTTGATCAGAGCTGAATAGATTCTGGAAATACTTTTCTGAAACATCTCCTATGGCCTCATCTCCTCTCTGTATGGTACCATTTTCATCCAAAATGGTATTGAGGTTGTTTCGGATACGTCGTGCCTTCGTAACCGAGTGAAAAAACTTGGTGTTTTTATCCCCTGCTTGAGCCATTTGTTTCTACTTTTTTCCTTCCAGTAAACTTCCTCCTCTTGGTAAGCCTTGTGAAGCTCATCCCTCAGCTTTGTCCTTTCAAGGGTAGATGACATCGAAGAAGCCATTGCTTTGTCTAGCTTATACCGAAGTATAGTAATCTTCTCTTTCGAGTTTAGCCGATGATTCTTCTTCCACTTAGAAATTTCCTTTCTGCACATATTAATCCTTTCTGTCATTGTGTTTGCTTGAGATTGTCTTCTTCGATTACCCCACCCTTTCAAAACCGCTTCTTGGAAACCTTCTTTATCTCGCATTCGAGAATCATACATAAAGCTCCCTCTTCGCGTCTCTGCTCTGTCTGAAAATAAAAGTAACTAGGGGCCGATGATCAGATTCATCTAGTTCCAGGAAATGGGTTTCAGAAAAAGGAAACCTTGAATGCCATTCATTGTTGGCCATCGTCCTATCCAAGCAACACGACACATAATGGACACCTCTCTGTCCTGACCAAGAGAATTTTAAACCTTTTCTTAATATTTTGTTTTTTAACCAATCGCGTAATATCTGTTTTTTCAAACGTAAAAAAAAATCATATTAATTTTTACTATTCCGTTTCAGAATTCTCTTCGCCGGATCTCCGCCTCGATCCACATTCCGTCGCCGGCATTCCTCTTCTTATTCCGATCAACTCTGACCTTGTAAGTTTATTATCCTTCGTCGTCACCCCAAATTTTCTTCTGCGTGTAGTTTCCGTTCATGTTTCTCCTAATTTTGCGATTCATCGAATTTCTCTCCGGCGAACTATTTTTCATCTCATTGATCATCTTCATGTTCTGTTCCTTTCGCCCCTAAATCTGAGCGTTTCCACGATTCTAGCTCAAAGTAGACAAAATCATAAGGAATTGGTTTGTTTTCAGAGATCAATCATCGTTAATTCGTCTCTCTTTCGCCAATGTAGAATTTGCAAAGTAGTAATCCCTGGGAACGATGAGTCAGGTGTTCGATGGATATGAGCGGCAATACTGTGAGCTTTCTGCAAATCTCTCAAAAAAATCGACTTCTGCGTTTGCTCTTGATGGAGGTAAAAATCCATCAATCCCCATTATCTTTTTCCAAATTGCACTTAACAGAATCCAGAAATAGTGATTGGAGATTCAGATAAACTAGTTTCTTAGCTCATGAATGCAACTATAGAGTTGAGAAAATTAGCTGCAGTATTGCTTCTTGTAGATCGTTAACTAGTCCAAGCCAATTTTGGATCTTACGAATTTGCAGAACAAAAGAAGCAGAAGCTATCTGAAATCAAATCTGGAGTTGAGGATGCAGAAACATTGGTATGTCATCTAAATAGCTCCAATGGAATGTGAATGTGGATTGTTTGGCTGATTCCTCTACCTTTTTGTATTTCCAGATTAAGAAAATGGACCTGGAGGCGAGAAGCCTTCCACCGAACGTTAAATCCATCCTCCTTGTGAAATTGAGGGAATACAAATCCCATCTCAACAACTTCAAGAGTGAAGTGAAGAGAATCACTTCTGGAAACTTGAACGCTGCTGCTAGAGATGACTTGCTTGAAGCTGGTATGGCTGACACAAAGACGGTATGTATATAGCACTTGTTCATTCAGTGTCATCAATCTTGTTTTGTATTGAAACAGAACTTTGATCTTCTCTGTTAGGCTTCAGCTGATCAAAGATCAAGATTGATGATGTCAACAGACCGTTTAGGTCGAACCACAGACAGAATCAAGGACAGTAGGAGGACGATGCTGGAGACGGAAGATCTTGGTGTCTCGATCCTTCAGGATTTGCACGGACAGAGACAGTCTCTCCTGCGCGCTCACGAGACGCTTCATGGAGTCGATGATAACATCGGGAAGAGCAAGAAGATATTGACAGCAATGACGAGGAGGATGAATAGGAACAAATGGACTATTGGAGCGATCATCATAGTCCTTGTCTTGGCCATTATCCTGATCTTGTACTTCAAACTCACCAGGTGAAAAAAGAGTCTCTGTGCACCTCCTTCGCCAAAATCTATGTTACTGAAAACAAGTTGTGTTTGTGTCTCTTCTCCTTCTCTTGAGTGTATTTTGACCTTTTGTCTTTTGACTCTGCTAATCAAAGTGGTTAACTCTTGTCAATGGCATTGTTATAGTCTGTTGATGAAATTTCCTCTAATTCTGAAAAATATAATATTGAAATTCTAACTCGAAGTACTATTTGAACCTGTTGCGATTGATTGGTGAGGAAGGTCTTGTTAACCTTTTGCTTCATGTGTAAATTGATTGGTAAGAAAACAAAAAGTATTGAAAAGCTTACTAGTGGAAAAAAATAAGAGATGGGGCGTTCCGAGAATTGAACTCGGGACCTCTCGCACCCTAAGCGAGAATCATACCACTAGACCAAACGCCCTTTTTGTTTGTAATGATCGATGTGATGATAATTATAGAATTGAACAACATTGTCGATGACAATATTATTGCTACGCTTAACAAGACGAAATCATGAAGACAATCGAAGATTTTATTTTTATTTTCTTTCTTGTGTGCACTTATTAACTTGAACAAAGATAATATCCAAAGTATGATACTTGGTTTACAGTAGGCAGGCTCTTCAGAATCCTTGTTTATTCAACGCCAAGAGTGACTATTACAACACTTGTTTCCCTGTATTCTAGGCCGAATATGGTGTTTTCACTCCCATTCTCAGACACAACCAAGGCCTGTCCTGATCTGGATCCACAAAACTATGATGCAGAAACTGTCCAGCTTCTTCATCCATCAGTTCTCGCGACCACGTTACCCGTCCAGACGAACAGCTTCCCGGTCCAAAACACCTGCCGGTTTTACATCCATAAAAAAGTATCAGCAATTTATATTGACACTTTGTTTCTTGATTACCACTTGTTACAACAGTTCAGAGATCTCGGATGATGTACCTGTACTCATAAAAGCAAGCACTTCTCTCATTCTCTGCGTTTCCCCAGTTATGCCAACCCACATTTCTGATACACGCATCCATGTAAGTGTATGCGAGGACCACTCTCCCAAATGGTCCCCATGGCCTTCCCAGATACATATACCCACTCTGACCATTGCCTGTGATCACACATCTGCAACAAAGTATGTAGTACAAAGCTGAGTTTCCTTGTAAGAATCTAGTAGCTGTAAGAGTTTGTTGTAAGTGATTCTTGTCAACAGATACCTTAAGAACACGTAGCCAGTACATTCCTGAGACGATTTTCGGCTTTGTGCTGTTATAAAACCTTGAGATTTGCAGTTGATATGGCAGTGTTCCAAGAGCGCCGTGCTGTTTCCAAATATGAAATCCACGCTTCCCTCCACGTAACAGTCTTTGAGATATTGTTTCCCATGATGTAAATACAATGTATCCTGCATTTCCACAGTTTGCAATACTCTAAATGAAGATTAGATCAAACCTATCTGCAATATACCACACATCTAAACTAAACAAGTACATTCGATTCAAGGACAGATGAATAAAATTACCAAAAAACAAACCACAACAATACATTGAAAGAGACCTCAAGAACTAAGAACAACCAATTTATTGAGAAACATAGACATTTGAAGTTATGTGAGTAACGAACCTGCCAGCCGAGAAACCGACAGTTATAAAAGGCACAACGGTCTGCAGTTACTCTTATCGCCACAGCTTGTCCTGATCCCTACTTACATAAGAACTAAAACGGTCAAAAAAGCAAGCATTCAACACAATAAGCATTAATAGCAAGTATAGTACAAAATCCAGTTGATTATTTAGGCTCAACACTAATAGCAAGTTACTGTATGCTCCAAAATCCAATTTCACAAATGTGAGATAAAGTGAAAGACTTTATAACTTTACCTCAGGAGCAGAGTTCTCAAAAGTAATGTTTTCTGCGATAAAATCTTCTCCTTCGACGATAACAGTACCGCAACCAAACGTGCCCGTTCCTATGACTCTAGACGCCTGCAACAGAAAAACAATCCAACCAATCAGAGTGGTACATGAGCCAAGAATAGCAAGGTTTCATAAAAAAAAAAAAAATTCCCCCTAAACCTGGTGATGATCAATCTTCGAAGCCGTGTTGTTCCAAGAAAGAACGGTGATTTCCGGGGAGATTCCGGCGAAAGTGATGAAGTTTTTCCTCTTGGGAACGTAAACCGGCTGCCGGTAAATCCCAGGTGAGAGACGGATCACAGTCCGGCAAGTGTTTCCAAGAGGCACCGAGTCAATCGCATCTTGAACGGAGCAGTAATCGCCGGAGCCATCCTGCGAAACCCTCACCATTCGAGTCGTCGCCATTCGCTCTTAATTTGAAGAAAAAGAATATCCCTTTTTTCGATTTGGAGAGAAGAAGGAAGAGAGCGGTGGGGTTTATAGTTGTCGTATTGATTTATAGTCGTGGTATGGAGATGCTCACCATTTGTGTCTTTGAGTGTCACATATATTTATTGTGTTCGAAAACGCGGGCGTTTTGACCGATTACTCGTCGAGTAAACGCTCGGCGGAGCTCCACCGTGCAATTAAAAAAAAGTTAATAATACTAAGATTTTTTGCTTAGAATGTATTATATAGTTTTAGATCTATGATCTATCATATTTGGGTTAAATCTAGTTGAAAACGACTTTAAAACAGTCTGAACGAGTTGAAAGTTAAAAGCTTGACGGCCATGAATTAGGAAGACGATGGGTAATTACCATTTTGCCCTTCACTAAACAAATAATGAAAAAGTGGCACGAAAATATGCTCTAAGCCTCGAACCAGAGTTCACGTGGTAATAAAAGGCACAACTCAACCAATTAGACTAATAGATATTTTTGAAATATTGACGGTACTTTACAATTAACAACAAGTTCAATAATTTTAATATTAATTAAATAAAATATTTATTAAAAATTTAAAATTAAACTCCTAATCCACACAGCAAAAACCCATGTACTTCTTTAGATGATGACACATAGGATTTTTTAAGTTGCCTCAAACTGACACATGAGTTAAAACGACCAGCCAATAATAGAAACATTTCGATTAATACTAGTCAGAAAAAGAAAACATGTCATCTTAAGTTAAAGAATCCGTCTCTCTCGTTGAAGTGTTCTGGTTGCTACTTGCCAGCTGCTTCACAAGCATAAATCTAAGACCGGAGAAATCTTCGATCTCTGGTTCAGAAGGACGAGCTAATCCGGGTTCATTAGGTGCCAATCTCTCTGTCTCTCTCTCCAATTCGAATTTGGTTTGTCTTTAGTTTCTGATTCGAGTTGAGGCGACGGACGGTGGTGAGTGGCCGTCTCAACACAGCGTCATTGCTTGTCACGGCGTCTATTCAATGAACGAAACCGTCGTTGTTCATGAAATCACTTCAAAATTCGAAATTGATCTTTAGCTAAGTGACAACGATTTTTAGCTTAGTGGCAACAATTCAGGAAATAGTGATGATTTAGATGTCGAATTCACGAAAAGTATTTGTGTTCTGTGGACGTCAAGCTCATAATCTGAAACATGAAACAAGAGGTATTTTGCTGTCACTAAACAAGAAGGAAACCAGAGAGAGGATATCACTAAAAAAGCTATAATGGAGTTGCCTCCAGCAGCCGAGCTCTTTTACATGTGTAAGTCCTTCTCTTATTCATGCTGTAATGTTTTTCATTGTTGCCTTCTATTGTTGTCATAGAGTTCATGTGACTTATACACACACCATACAATCTTAGTTTGTTTGACTAGATTTCATGAATTGCTATTTCTGGGCTTTTGATTCTTTTGACTTAAACCAGAATAAAGTGGTGAATTTTAAAATGGGTCTCTTTGTTATATAGCAGGAATAATAACTTTGGATATTAAAGGGTTAGAAAGCATGGGAAGAAAATGTGAATTGCGTGATGCACTGGTCTTAAGACATTGGCGTAAGTATGTTTAGCTCAACATTATTTGAAATGAATAGGTTCACAAAAACGGTTCATGAATTGGTTAACAATGCTATGTTTTTCAGTTTAGATTAACAAAATTTTGGGGTTCTTGCAGCATACCATTGATATGAATTATCTCATTTTGTTGCAGATCTTGATTATGAGAATCACATATTATACACGGGAATCCAGTTCTAAAACTTTTGCTGCAGGTAACACAATCTTTGCTGCGTCTTTCCTGCAGTTTCTCCAATGCCATTGATCTCCTCGCTGTTTTATTGCTAACATGATCTCTCTTCATTGGCTACAGAATTTTCTGATCTCACAGGGAGACTACATAATATGCTGACCTTTATGTGTTGCCGTCTGATTTGTTTCATCATTGAATTGATTATGAAGAGGAGAGAGGGGGGGAGAGAAGAGTGAAACCATCTCATCATCATCAAATGTTTTGCCCCTTAATGATGGCCGTGAGATTAACAAGTATTAACAAAAAAAACTCATCTTAGATTCACCAAACAAATGTATAGAAAAATCCCCGCAGCAAAACACCCCTCAGAAGTGTCCAAATCATCAAATATGAGAATAATGTTTTGCAAATTATTTAGTGCCTATAAACCAAACTAGAGTTACTGCTTTGAAAGAGCAACCCTATACGTCGGAAGTATATTCAGATTTAAAAACGAATTGTAAGTTTTTGGGTTCAACTTTTCAGTCTTGGGGGTTTTTACAATGTTTTCCATGAAACATATCTAACAATTCTTCATCATCAAGTAATTATGTTAAAAGGAGAGAATATAAAACAGGAAACTCCGTTTACTTTGAGCTAACACGGTAGTTTCTTGCTGTATTATCGTCAGATTGTGTTCACTTCAAATTTGGTAAATAGCAGCATGTAATAAGAGGTATATGCTCTAATGTTGGGGTCAGCTAGGTTTTGCTTAAGCAAAGAGATGTTTTCAAGGTTTAACACAAATCCCGCAGCGTTAGTGCGGGTCACTAACCTAGTACTCCCCAATTATACTCCGATTTTTCAATAACTCGCTAGGTCCGGACCGACCGCCCGATTACCGAGTTTTTGAACACATATCCATCGATTATTTCACTAAAATATTATGTTAATACTTTCAATAAAAAAATTCCTGGTCCACGGCTAACATATGTCAAATAAAATATGTCTTTATATAAATACAAATTTCCTGGTCCATCGATCCATCGAGTTTTTGAACACATAACATATGTCAAATAAAATTTCTAATTTTTTAGGTGTATAGCCATTGTAAATAGAACATTATGACATAAATTTGAATTGAGTTTGAGTAACTCATCGAATACCTACGTTGAAAAATTACTACCAACATAAAAAATCATATGACAGCGAATAATTTGTTTGTAAGGATAATGATTAAGATTAAAAACGTACAAAAATTGAACAGAGAGGAGAGATCAACAAGTATATAGCTTTCGGATTCATTGATTCGAACAAATTTCATATGAAAAACGCCTCTCCGACCTTCTTGTGTACTCGTCGGAGTCCGATGATGATGAAGCTGGTGGTGAGCAAAACGCCTCTCCGGATTTTCTTGTCTTCTCCGACGATGTCAAAGCTGGATCCGGCGACGACAAGGTAAGTCTGAATCTGGAATTTATGATGGATTTTCATGGTCAAGGAAATTGCAAGATATTCATGTTTGATTCTTCATCGCGTTGACAAATTGCAAGATATTCATGATTGATTTTTCATTGCGTTTACAAATTGTAAGATATTCATGATTGATTCTTCATTGCGTTGATAAATGATAGCTGCAGATTATTCATAATTGAATTTAGGATGGATTTAGTATAGTGATGATCTGAAGGACTTGCGTGTTATTGTGATAAATGTAAAGGAAAAGGAGAAAAAGCTTCATGAGGAGAAGGACTTGAAGCGACTTGAAGCTCAAGCTTGATCTTGATAGCTTGATTGTTGATAGAGCTTCATGTAAGTTTCTATATTTTTGTTTTTATCACATTGCCATTGTTGGGATAAAAACAACTTAATGATCTTGTCTCTCTTGTTGTTGTTGTTGTAGATTAGTTGGCAAAGGAGAAGAAACTAAAGAAGCTGATTACGATTGTGAAGACTTCATCTACAATTCAAATTCCTTTTCCCTTTTCGTATGAACTTTTTTTTTTGTCAGCCCCTTTTTGTCAGCCCCTTTTCGTAACGGTTTGTAAAAAACAATTTAGGAGTACTTTTACGATGCATAGCAAAAAAAAAAAAACTTTTTTCTCCTTGACTTAAATTCAACAAACTTTTACTCCTTTTGCGTATGAACTATCAACTATGACACTGTGGTTTTAGGTTGACACGGTGTAACTTTAGTATGTCTTTGAGATTCATTCATAGCAACAAAAAAAACAATTTAGTATGGATCTGAAGAGCTTTCATTACCAGGACTAATTCGAATAAGAGAGCGTACTTTGACGCAATATTGGGCCTTTGGGGCCCATTTAAATTTTCACAATTAAATAATTCGAATTAATTATTTAAATCAAAAATTTAATTTCCGTCTCCTCCGGCGAATGCGTCCACACCGACTTGACCGGAGAGTGTCGGTGATGGAAGAGGACGAGCCAATGGGCGAGTCTGAGCCTGACCAGAGGAAATCTGGAACTCCGAGGCTATAACAACGTGTCGGACCTTTCCACAAGGTTAGGATTTTCCTTTCCTCTAATTCATTTTCACAAGTGCGAGCAAAATTAGGCTTTAGGGTTATGGGTAGGACGAATTGGAAGCTGATTGGTTTGGGTTTTATCGAATTTAAGCTGAGATTCCTCGTCCATTACAGTCTAGCTTTCCCAAAATCTGCTTGTGGGTACTTTTTTTTATTGCTGTTGCGAGTTACAGGAATTGCATTTCAATTTCTATGTCGTTATTTTTCCACCTTGGAGATGAATTGGAAAATTAGATTCATACTGAATTTCATTATCTCGGATTGACGTAATTTCAGAGTTTCTCTGCCGTGGTTGGACCTAATGGGAGTGGAAAGAGCAATCTGATAGATGCAATATTGTTTGTATTTGGGAAACGAGCTAAGCAGGTCACTACTCTTGAATTTTTAGCTGAGCATGTCGTAGTTACGCTTTTTGAATGAGCTCTGTTTGAGTAAACGTATGTTTCTTTGCTATCAGATGCGTCTCAACAAAGTGTCAGAGCTAATTCACAACTCAACCAATCACCAGAACTTGGACAGTGCTGGAGTTTCTGTACAGTTTGAAGAGATTATCGATTTGGTAAAGTTGTTAGCGATTTTTTTTTGTTTTGTTTCTTAAAAGGCGAACTCTTGGCTGCTTTTTTAACCAAGAACATTGTTGAATATCTTGCATTTTCTGTTTAATGAAGCTCTCAGAAAGATTCTGAAGTTACTACAACTTTTTCTGTCTCTGCAATTTTTCATCAACTTTGGAAAATCTTTCTAGTAACGTACACTGTTACTCTGAACTAACGCAGGAAGATGGCTCGTACGAAACTGTCCCTGGAAGTGATTTCATGATTACCCGTGTTGCATTCCGAGATAATTCTTCCAAGTATTATATCAATGAAAGGTCGAGCAATTTCACTGAAGTTACCAAAATTTTGAAGGGGAAAGGAGTAGATCTAGACAACAATCGTTTCTTGATTCTTCAGGTTCTCACTTTAGAGAAACTGTCTATATATTGTAGAATTCACATTTCACATGTGTCCCCTACTAATATAGTTTCTTGAATGTTGACAGGGGGAGGTAGAACAGATATCACTCATGAAGCCGAAAGCACAAGGTCCCCATGACGAAGGTTTTCTTGAATATCTCGAGGACATTATTGGAACGAATAAATACGTGGAGAAGATAGATGAATTAAATAAGCAGTAAGTGATCCGTGCATTCTACAATTTCTTTTAAATGACCAATGTCCAATGCCCAAGAACTGTATTTGAGGCACATTGCTTGACCTGAAAATCCATGCTCACCTGTTTTCTTCTTATTGCATATCCATGCTTGCTATTTTTAAATGGGTTAAGAATCACTAGGCAGATTTAGATGTAACTGGTTCCTTATGCTGGATGTTATTTTATAAGTTTTGAAAAGTAGCAAATCCTCCTTCCTATCTGCTTTTGGTCAAACCAGCCATGTTTATGAAAATCTTGAGAGCTTTTTCCATGGGAGCTTCGATCAGTAAATGCATAGTCAAAGAATTATCCTTTCTGTATAGAACTGAGTGGTGTTTCTTATTTTAGGCTTTGGAGCTGCAAGGCGAAGGTTGAGAAGGTTGAGAAGATTCAGACTGTAAGTTTGCCTTTGCTCTGAGCATGCTGTTAGTGAACGCACAGTTGAGTGTGTACTAATTTATGTTGCAAATGTTTAGGATATCGACAAAAATAGTACAGAGATCAGTCGGTGCAATGTTCAAATAGAAACAAATTAGAAAATGATAAAGAAGTTGACAAAGGGGATCGAAGAGGCGACTCGAGAGAAAGAAAGGCTTGAGGGTGAGAAGGAAAAGCTGATGAGCGTTTTTAAAGCTATAGAACAGAAAGCATTTGCGATCCAAGAGACGTATAAAGAAACGCAGAAGGTTTTAACTGTTCTTATCTCAGTTATCTAGATACTATATTTTAATAAGAGTCATAGAGCATTCCTTTCTTTTTGTTGTTTAGTTGATTGATGAACATAAAGACCTGCTGGCTGGAGCAAAGTCCAGTTTTGAGAAGCTGAAAAAGTCTGTGGACGAGTTGAAGGCATCTAGGGTAACAAACAACTGAATCCTTCTCTTTCTTGCTGGTTGCTGTTCTTTCTTTTCGGGGTTTTCATCATCTAACACTTTAGTCTTACACAGGTTGATGTAGAATTCAAAGTCGGAATGTGAAGTCGGTACTACTCTCCTCTATCTTCCATTTCATCGAGAAGACATTTTGTTATCAACGTAGGTGAATCTTCATCTCGATATTTGAATCAACAAAGCCAAGCAGCAGCAGGAGCTCCTCCGACGAGGACGAGACCACCACCTCTTGTTCCGCCGCCACAGTCTTTTGTTGTTCAAAACGATGTGAAAAAACCATCCCTTTCGGAGCTTCCTCCGAAACAGTCCGACAAGGTTCTTTCAAGTAAGCAAAATGTGAAAGTTATCTACTTTTTTTTCCTCTGCGTTTTGTTTTCTGGATAAGAGTTTGCTGAAGTTTTGTTTGTGTGACTGTGTGTGGCAGATTGAACAAAGAGATAGTGGAGACTCTGTTCATGTCAAACTCTACAGATCCAAACATCAAACAGAGAGGTCTAAGCTGTGATCTTCCGATTCAGAACCAAGAAAGCAAAGTTTTAGATCCGAGAAAGGCTCAGAAGATTGATACTCTGCTTCAACTACTTGCCTCAACTACAAAGGATGTTTGTGATAGGAGCGGTTAATATCTTTTTATTAACGATGGTAAAGTAACCACAGTTTATTGTGGTTACTCTCAAAGTAACCATGGTTATCTCTTAGACTTATCTATATATTAGCTTGGGGGGGTTGAGGGAGATCTTCATCACGAGATTGAGTGATCACAGGGGAGGTGAGAGATTCCATTAAATCTCTTAAGGGGTGATGAGAGACGCCATTAACTTCTCTCAAAGTTCTGTAATCGTTACTATCTATCAATAATAAGAGTTATCTCTTAGACTTATCTATATATTAGCTTGGGGGGGTTGAGGGAGATCTTCATCACGAGATTGAGTGATCACAGGGGAGGTGAGAGACTCCATTAAATTAAATCTCTTAAGGGGTGATGAGACTATCTATCAATAATAAGAGTTATCGTCACTTTCTATAAGCTACACGTAACAAATTGGTATTACGTGACTGGGAAAATCATGGGTCCGGAGGAGACAACGGGAGTTGGGGATCGGATCTCAGCGCTCAAACGGAAAGTGGAGAAGATTAAGAGCTTTCTAGTTAAGATGGAGAAATTCCTAGATGACAAAGATCGCCTAGAGAAACAGAATCTCGGTGGAAAAGAGAAGGAGGAGTCGAGTGTTCTAGATGAGCTGCAGCAGTACCTGCGAGACGCCAAGGTTACTAAGAACCAGAAGGAGGAAATTCAAGCCTCAAGAGCGATCGCGAGCCATGCCGGAGGATCTCCGGAGAGTAGTGATCCGATTCTGGAGCAGAATCAGTTGATGACTTTTCCTGAGGAGAAGAAGGTCCCTGTGTTTGTATCGGAGAAAGTAGCGGACGAAAGAGGTATGCCTATATCCGTAGAAAATCTGTTATCAGAAGAACAATTGGGTGACCAAAAAGAGGCAGATGCTGAGAGGACTAAACCTGCCTGCCAACTGTTTGATCAAATGATTGTGAGAGGAAAAGTGGTAACGAATAAGAGAAAGAAGAAGAGATGGAAGGCATCTCTGGAGATTCAGGAGGGATTAGAGAAACATTTGAGTTCTGAAGAGAAAGAGAGGACATCTCCTAGCTGGATAGAGGTCAGAAATAGGTTTGGCGCTAAGGGAAAAAAGAGAGTTGTCAACCAGGATATGTATGCCTGCCAGGTGCTCGATAAAACGTCCATGGTACAGAAAAGGGCAACGAGAAAGAAGAAGAAGAAGTTCACAAAGGTTAAGAGGTCTAAATACAAATGTGGAAAAGTGAATCAGGAGGAGTACAAGTTCAGAAGGCAAAACAACAAGGGTTTAATGAAACAATGTAAGCTAGTGAACTATCTTGTTTCTTACATCCACCAAATCTTTGGAACAAGGTTTAGGAGGAGGATTACAAAGAAAAGGAAGAAGAGAACAAGGCTGGAGGAGCATGAGAGAGAGGTAATCAAGCATGAGTTGGTGTTTGCAAAGCTGTTCTGGGGACATAAGGCAGTTTTGAAGAAGCTTGCAAGGTGGAAGAAGCATAAATTCAAACAGAAACACAACGAGCAGAAGGAAGAGATCAAGGCAACGTTGTTGAGACAACAGATTGTAAACCTTTGGAACCCTAAGCTTGAACCTGAACTTTATAGAAGGGGATTCAACGAATGGTTTAAGAAAAAGCATGGCTATGAGGGAGCTTACTTAAGGGATGATAGATTGCTGCAGCTAAGTGGTCTACTGATGCAGAAGAGTAAGTTGTTAGCTGCCAAGACGAGAAAGAGAACAAAGTCGAAGTATAAGCGTCTAGCTAAGAAGAAGATGTTTTGGACTAGTGGAAAGAGACACAGATTCAGACACAAGCACAAGAAAAAGGAGGGAATGAACGAGAAATTCCCTTGGCTCTGTGAGATGTGGCTGCTACGATTTACCCAAAGGAGAAAGAGGAAAAATAAATACGTGGAGTCACAGAAAAAGACAAGGAAAACACTCTGTGAAGTGGAGATTATCTGTAGCTGGGAGGGATTGGTGAAGCTTGAAAAGATTACAAAAAATGGTAATCCCTCTATCTGTCTGAAAAATGGTCTCTGGGTTAGTTTTGTGCTTAACAATACAGAAATTAGTCTGCTCAAGAGTATGGAACGCAAGCATTTTCAGTATTCAGAAAAAGAAGCTTCTCAAGGCAAAGAGTTGATTGAAAGGAGAGACTTCAAACGAGTCTCTGCCTTATCCCTTGGTAAAGGAGGTGGAGGAGTTCTCAAATTGCAACAGTTGACGCTAGGGAATGGGAAACAGTTGGTTGTCATGAAGGAATCATATGGGAGTCATGGAGATAGCTTTGTAATGAGTTTCCTCGTCTCTTATATATTCACTACGGTTGCAGTGGAGTGCAAAAACAAGAGTCTGGTTTGGGATGAGTTTGATATGGAGAGACATGAGCGGGAAAGTCTGGTGATAAACGTTGAAGCTATCGTGCACACCTGGAGAAGTCACGTCCACTCATATGATCTGCTTGCTTGGGTTTATACTTTGGAAGCGAAAAACAAGCATGAACAAGCTGAAGAACTACTGGATATTCGAACAGCTGCAGCACAAGAAGGAGGAAGGTTTTCCAAGACCAACGACATCTCAAAGAAGCTGTAACAGTTTGTCAGGCTCTTCTTGATGGTAATTCACTAGTCACCAGTTAAAAATCTTAATATTGTTATTTCCTTATGCAATGTTATTGATTTGTATTCTCTGAGTTATTGATTTAGGTGACCATGATGCACTTGGAGCTGAACTTCTCGAGTGTCTATCAAGATTGGCACCAAGTAGAGAAGAAGAGATAAAGTTGAAGCACTATCAGCGATCATCAAGCTTGTCCCAGCAGAGAGGTTTCTTAAAGAGTTGCTTCATGTGCCTTTGGTGTTCAAACGTGTTGATGCATTGCTCTCTGTCGCTAATTTCCACTCCAAGATCGAACACCTCAGAAGATCATTCGGTGTTGTACAGGTAAAATATTAACATTGAAGATAACGATGTCTCAAGGCTTTATCAAGGAATCAAGAACATCGAGGAGCTTCTGTTGCGGAGCGAGTCGAGTGGATCTAGTGGAGATAAGAAATGGATGGAGTTCAGGGAGAGGATGACAAGATTCTTGAAAACCGCTGGAGAGGAGATTCAGGCGATCAAAACACAGGAGATTTCAACGCTCTCTGCATTGGAAAAGGTGACAGAGCATTTCCATGGAGATTCTTACAAGGAAGGTCACACGTTGAGAAGTTTCATGGTTGTGAGAGACTTCCTGTCCATTCTAGACAAAGTGTGTAACGAAATGGGAGACCGGTTCTCATCGTAAGGTTTAAAAATGTAATGAAGTAGATCAACAATCTTGCTGATTAGGAAAGCCTTCATTTTTTTTCTGTTATCTCGAGAATGAGATAGGGATCTTGCAATCTGTAACCGGTGTTTTGTTTGAAGTAGCTTTAGATGTAATGATGTATGGATGGATTTTAAAACATTTCTTATTGTAGTTTCTCAACTTGAAATCCTTTTTCTCCTAAGGCATTAGCCTACATCTATGGTCAACTTTCTTCTTCTGGTAACTACCCATCTAGTCAACTTCTTGTCTTCTGTAGCATTCTTTCGTGTATCCAACTGTATTCTGTCAGTGGCGGCTACAGTTGAGCACCCAAAATGGTATAGTGTTTCCCATTCGACATTAATAAATGAGTGAGTAAATTCAAATCTTGGATTATATTAGCAATTCGTTTAGATACAGACATACAGTATAAATTATTCTACATTTCTGGTCAATTTGTGGTCAGAGAGGATAGGACCTGTCGACCTGATAAGCAAAGTCTATTTATAACACAGAAAGACCACAGCCAGAATTATGTCTATGCTTGTTGTTTGCTTGAGTTCAAAGCTTCTGCATCCATGCGCTCTAGGATATGACGAGCTTCTTCCTCTGTAGCAGGAACTACATTTCGAAGCTTAAACCCATTGTTTCTGGCCTTTGCCTCTGGTCGTACAGTGAACTTGAAGTAGAATGTATTTGAAACCTATATCATATGCAACAGAGAAAGAGACCTCAAGCAGACATATGAGTTCATCAAATTTGATATAGAACCAGAAAGCTGCTCTCATCAAGTTAGGATTTTACCTCACTGGAACGAATCTCCGGGCTTGTAACATGAGCAACAACTTCGATATTGATAAGCGGACAATCCAATTTATCAAGTTGAGTGTAAAGCACACAGGATTTGAAACGTAAGAAATCCCCAACGTCCACCTGTCATCATGCAAGTCCATTCAACATTCGCTTACATGCCAACCGCAGCAGACAGTAAGAAGTTGATTTGGATACAGAACTGGTCTTAGGAAATCGACGTGATCAACTTCTAAGAAGTAGGGCACTAGACCAGCATATGTATAAGTTGTGGAGAAGGCCAACTCAAATGCCCTGCGCATCAGAAACCCTCCAAAGATCCTGCCATGGATGTTCCACTGCTGCGGTTGGCATATACGCGAATTCTCGAGACGAGTATCTTTCAGAAGAATGCTGTTTCTGTCTGCAAGAGCTGGCATGTCAGAGAAGACCCTTCCTTCAGCCAACAAAGCCCCAAGCTTCTTATACTCCCCGTGATCGAATTCCCTTCTCTCAGCTTTTCGAGCTCGGTTTCTGGAGAAAGGCGGTTGATAGGGGCAGCCTGGCCAGTCTTAGATGAAGTTGGCAGTTAGAGCAACAGAATCCGAAGAAGCATTGAGATAAGAAGCAACATTTTTCACTTTTGAGTTTCAGGACATTGCTGCGGTTGAATTTCTAGACAATAATATGTGAGCGATGGTGACCGGCGAGTGGTACATACCAGGCCACAAACTCAGGGGCTTCCAGGTTGAGTCAGTGACGGAGGACGCCGGAGTTACGTCAAACGGCGAGGCAAAGGTGGAGACGACGGGGATGCATTTCGGGGAATTCGACTTTCATTTTTCCGTACGAGGAACAGCAGTTTCAGCAAAACATCCGCCACGTATATGTTTGCTAATTTGGTTATTCAATAGTTGTTCTCCTGATTATCCAATCCAATCTCCTGATTAACAGAGACGGAAAGGAAATAACAAGTGCAAGGGGAGTGGTTTGCAATAAAAAACTCAATGTTTTTTTCAGATGGATCTCCCTCCTCTGTACGAGGGATCCTCAGTGCTTCAGAAGAGTTTCAGATGATGTCAGGTCTTGCAGAGATCATGTTTCTTCTCCTCTGGCTTGTCACCTTCAGAGACTTGTGGTTATTCCCCAAGAGGCACCTCCCCATTAAAGTACCTGGGGATTCAAACACCTCACTTTACAAGTAGCGCGACATATATTGAATTTCTAAATTTAGAAGGAACGTTGAACAACACAAGCACATCCTTAGAGAGGGAGTGTCCAAATCAATTAAAAACGAAGAACATAACTTATCAAAAAAGCAGCAAACAAGGATGAAGTGTGAAAAGCGGTTGTGTATACATTTTTATCCGACTCGCAGCTCTTCTTACATCAGTTTCTCTAGCATGAACACACTTTATTAAAAGGAAACAAAATCAGATAAGCTCTGAAACCAAAAGGACAAGTTCCCAACTTAAATATTCCAAAGAGAAACAAGTTACAAAATAAAGGGAAAAAGAGTTCAGAGAGAGACAGAGACAGAATGCAAAACCTTGTAGTCGTGGCCTATGAACTGATCAACAGTCTTGAGAGCATTAGACCGCTCAACGCTGCCCCAAATCTCGCCTCCTTGACGCCTCTCCAAGGAGATGTCCGCAGACCAAATCTCGAGACGACGACGATCTCCCTCGATGAGGACATCCCAGAAGAGCACAATGTTGGAACCACCAGAGCTGCTGAGCCTGGCCCCTGGACGTAAATCGATGAGCTTTCTGCCACTCCCATTCTTCGACGCCCACGAAGCCTCGCGCGTCCTATTTAAGTGGACCAGCCTGGAGTTAGAGAGAGCCGTCTTCAGAGAGTCCAAAACATTGACCTCCCTCCAATACATGATCCCCTCCTCCTCTCCCTCTCCTTGTCGTTGTTCACCCTCCAACTCATCTGGCTCACACCACCACAACCTCCCATGACGATCAAGACAGTATATCAGTTTATCAACCACACACCAATCCCTTCTCTTTCCAGGCAAGGAATCATTATTCCCTCTTCCCCATTTGCCATCACTCGGCGAATAGTAGAAACTTCTATCCCTTGAATCCACTGCGTACACCTTTTCCTCCCTCACCACCACAGTGTTACGGAAACCTCCAGAGCGCAGTCTCTCATCCGGCATTGGAGCTAAAGTCTCCCAAGTTTGAGTCTTTGGGTCGAAAGCCTCCGCCCAGTGCGAGGAGTCCGGCTCTATGCATCCTCCGAAGACGTATATCTTCCCTGCTACGATTCCGGCAGCCGGCTTAGCTCGTTCCACTCGCATGGAAGGGGCTTGCCGCCACGTGTGAGTCCGGCAATCCAGGAGCCAGACCTCGTCAGTGAACTGCCCCTGTATCAATCCACCGATTACGTAGATCCCCCAATCCAGGGCCACCACGGTGGATCCTTCCGTAGGAAGAGCGTGAGTCATCATTCTTTCGTCTGTCTGCGGTAACGTCAGGATGCTCCTTTCGCAAAACGGGACCTGGATTCTCACAAGCCGATTCTCGGATTCACCTCGCCGGAGGATATACCATCGTGGGTTTTGGTCAAGACAGGATCGCATGCATACATACGTGTATGTTTCGGTGAGACCCATCCGAGATCTCGTCTTGTAGAGATCGGGAGAAGCCGCTAGAGACCGATAACCCCTGGAGACCAGAGACAAGGCCGCCCGATCCGATCTCGACGTTCGGGCCACGCAGCTCAGAACCACTTCATCTGGCAGCGACGATAAAGAAGGAGGAGAAGACGACGACGGAGACTTCTTCCCCCGTTTACGCGCTGGCTCTTCGGCGGCTGAAATCCACATCGTCATGTCTCTTTTCCGGTTTTTTTTTCGGTGGTCTTCTCTGTTTATGTTTCTGTTTCTCAGAGATGCGAAATCATGTTTTTATCTACCCTTCATTCTTCTTCTCCTTTTCCTTTTAGTAAATATAAATTATGTATATTTTCCTTCTCCGATTATATTAAGGTGGCCGACAGTTTATATATTTTATGTATAAGCAAGCAATGTTTATATTTTCCTTTTTCTAAAGAAAATACTTGTTTTATTATTTTCTCTCGAAATCTATATTATAATAAAAAAAGACGGAAGAACAAGATAAGATGTGCAAAAATAAAATAATAATTACCTAAAATTTAAACGAACAAGTTTATGTGTTGAAAAAGGAAAAAGTAATACTATCTACTATCTAGTACTCCTCGTTTTACCACACGTTTTCAATTTGACCAAAAACACACAGGTTTTCAAATTCGGTTTTTTGAAAAATCTAATATTAAAACTGAACCATGGACTAAATCATTATTCTTTGAGTAATACTAATATCTGCCGTTTATTTTCATTTTTTGTCAACTCAGTTCCACACTGTCGGAATGGAATCTAAACGATTCAAAGTTATATTTTTCCACGACTCGGGAAAACAGCCTGATTCTTTAAAAAATATATATATCCTTGCACTTCTCAAGGATTTCTAATGTACATGATAATATGACAAATTTAACGAATGCAATAATAATATAAGCTCAAAAATTGAAATCGTTACAAATCTAGAATTGGTGATGGTATTATTGAAGAACCAAGGAAAAAAAAAACACAAAATGTGGTATTTTTTTAGAATTGCACACATAAAACTAAATTAGAGAACGATAAATTATAAATATACGACTTGTTTGTAGCATTTGTATTTGCTACAACAACCTCATATCACTCATATCAACAATTGCTACAAAACCTTTCAAACGCTACCAACTATTTCTCTAATTGCAATATAGGTACCTAAAACTCCAATCGTATGAAAGTATGGTATATGGATTTGTAGGTTAGTAATTAATGATGGACATGCATGACTTACATTGTTGAATTGGTGTTTGCTTTTCATAGAAGAATACAAAGTGGGCAAAACCGGATGTGCACCATAGCAAAAAGCATACAAGCTCAAGGCCGTTGGGATTCCACTCCAATTAATCAACTTTCCCTTTTGATGAAACCCGATTCCATCAAATGCTCCGAACCAAGATATCGATCCAAGAGTCACGGCCGTAGCTAAAACGCCACTCATGGAAACATAAGACAAGACGCTTAGGTTGTCCCACCATAGTGTTGGCATGATGACGAGTGCCATAGTCGCCATGAAAGATTGTTTGCCATTCAATCATTATATATATAAAAAAAAAGTAATACTACTCCTCGTTTTACCACACGTTTTCAATTTGACCAAAAACACACAGGTTTTCAAATTTGGCTTTTTGAAAAATCTAATAATATTAAAACTGAATTATGGACTAAAACTGAACCATGGAGTAGTATGTAATATCTGCAGTTTATTTTCATTTTTCGTCAACTCAGAATAATATTGTTCGACACTGTCGGAATGGAATCTAAACGATTCAAAGTTATATCTTTCCACGACTCGGGAAAACAACCGAAAAATTAAAAGATACTATGAACATATTCAACGAATACATAAATAATAGAAGCTCAAAAAATGAAATCGTATTTTCTTCACACTCAAATCTCGAATTAAAGTATTAGAATTGCACACATAAAATTAAATTAGAGAACGATAAATATACGACTTGTCTGTATTTGCTACAACAACCTCATATCAATAATTGCTACAAAACCTTTCAAACGCTACCAACTATTTCTCTAATTGCAATATAAGTACCTAAAACTCCAATCGGTACACTCATTACCACCATACCAAACAACATCACAGTCTCACACCCAAGTTTCTTGTAAATCCCAGTGATCTTCAAGTAACATAAACAAGGCAGAAGAATAGAAACCGTCACGCTCAACAATGCTCCAACCAGAGACATCATATAACCGAAAAAGGGAAGTGTCTCGGCGACGACCACACTACTCGCTATGAAGAAGGTACTGATCAAGAGATGTAAGTATGTCTTCTTGGCGTACCGTGAAGGAAACCAATCTTTTATAGTGTTCACGGTTGGTGTGATCATCAACGCGTATTTGGCTATAGGGTTTACGAGTGTTGTGTATATTGCCACCTTTGAACTCGTCTTATGAATCGGTAGATTCAATGTTATTTGCGATAACGTATGTGATCCATACATTGAGTAGCCCAAAACCGCCATTGATGTGTAACCAATGGTGCATAATATAAAACATATAAGTAGAACCTGCCAAAAAACAAAAAAGAAAGGAGAATGTGATTAGCATAAATGTAATTAACAAAATTTTGTTATTTAGTCCCATATTCAAATATAAAACAAAACGTAACGTACAAATCGTATGCTGGTGAACAACGTGTCGGACCTTTCCACAAGGTTCGGGATTTTCCTCTCCTCTATATTCATTTTCACAAGTGAGAGCAAAATTAGGCTTTAGGGTTATGGGTAGGACGAATTGGAAGCTGATTGGGTTGGGTTTTATCGAATTTAACCTGAGATTCCTCGTCAATTACAGTCTAGCTTCCCCTCCGTCTAGGTTGCTTTTGGGTACTTTTAATTGCTGTTGCGAAAATTGCAGAATTTTCATTTCAATTTCTGTGTCGTGATTTTTCCACCTTGGCGATGAATTGGAAAATTAGATTACTGAATTTCATTATCTCGGATTGTCGTAATTCAGAGTTTTTCTGCGGTGGCTGGACCTAATGGGAGTGGAAAGAGCAACCTAGACGGAGGGGAAGCTATTGGGTACTTTTGGGTACTTTTCATTGCTGTTGCGAATTACAGGAATTTCATTTATATGTCGTGATTATTCCACCTTGGAGATGAATTGGAAAATTAGATTTATGCTGAATTTCATTATCTCGGATTGTCGTAATTTCAGTGTTTCTCTGCCGTAGTTGGACCTAATGGGAGTGGAAAAAGCAATGTGATAGATGCAATGCTGTTTGTATTTGGGAAAAGAGCTAAGCAGGTAAGTACTCTTGAATTTTAGCTGAGCATGTCTTAGTTACGCTTTTTGAATGCGCTCTGTTTGAGTAAACGTATGTTTCTTTGCTATCAGATGCGTCTCAACAAAGTGTCAGAACTAATTCACAACTCAACCAATCACCAGAACTTGGATAGTGCTGGAGTTTCTGTACAGTTTGAAGAGATTATCGATTTGGTAAAGTTGTTGTCAAAAACTCTTACTTAAGGCTGCACGATGTGGATTTTTTTTGTTTTGTTTCTTAAAAGGCGAACTCTTGGCTGCTTTTTTTTAACCAAGAACATTGTTGAATATCTTGCATTTTCTGTTTAGTGAAGCTCTCTGTAACATCCATAAACCAAAAATAAAAATTGGGAATTTTGTCGGTTCAATTTAAGTGAATTGGTTTGGGTCGGTTTAGTGGAGAAAGCCCTAAAATCAAGTTTAAAGAGTGCAGCCGTCTTCTCTTTGGAGAATTTTCGAGTTCAGATGCTGTAGAGGAGAAAAGTTGAGTTTTTGGAGAGATTTTCGAATTTTACTGTTCATCGGTACTGTTACGGGTACTGTTCATAGGTACTGTTCACGGGTTACTGTTCAGGTACTGTTCACGGGTTACTGTTCATCCGCGATTCGGCACTGTTCATCGTCCTTCCTTTTTCCTTCAGTTTCAGTCAATTGTCAAGGTGAGTGCATGACTGTGGGTCCGCGATTTGCTAGATTAGATTTGGTTTATGATTGTTCTTGATGATTTTTGTGTTTAATTGTTATTTCATGATATTTTGGTTGTTTATGTGGTGAATTGTGTGTTTGTGTGGTTAATCAGGTTCAATTGAATTTAATGGTTTATATTGGTTTAATTAAATTTAATTGATTTGATTCTGGTTTGTCTTGGTTCAATTGAATTTAATTGGTTTATATTGGTTTAATTAATTTAATTGATTTGATTCTGGTTTTTTGGTTCAATTGAATTTATATTGGTTTAATTGAATTTAATTGGTTTAATGAATTAAATAGATTTAATTCGATTTAATTAATTAAATAATATTTATTAATTAATTGGTATTATTTTAATTATTTTAAAATATGGAAAATTATTATTTAATTATGAGAATTATTTAATAATTGAGAAATTGAGTTTTAATTATTAAAAATTATTTAATAATTGGAAAATGGTATTTAATAATTATTGAAGTTTATAAATATTATTAAATATCTAGTAAATTGCGTAAATGGCTCGTAGGCAGAGTGATTGCCTCACTAAGTATTTATTAAATACTTACGCAACTCCATTCCAATGTGTTGCAGGTAAAAGATTTGTGTGATCGCGGAATCAAGGCTGAAGAGGGGGATGATAGGATGTTTACTGTTTTATTGTTTTGCATTATTTTGCTAGACTTGTTTAATTATTATTTGCTTCCGCTGAGCTGATTTATTTGTTATTGATATTTTATTTATTTAATTTATTTTTAAGACCTTCGCTAGAATTGATTAATATTTATTAAAAAAAAAAAAAATGTTGGTTGTTTCATTTTGGTATCAGAGCCTAGACGGTTTTAGGACTGTTAGAATTGCTAGGCTTTAGTATCATCCCCTTCAGCTACAAGAGATTCCGCGGTGAGTTTATGTTTGTTTTGAGTTTTGGTTGCGTGTTCTAGTGTGCTCTTTTCGGTTCCATGAGTGAGATGGACTGAGTAGCTAGAGGTTGTGGCGCGAGAGGGCGCAGAGCTAGAGGCCGTGGAGGCCGGGGCCGAGATTGTGGACTTCGGCGGATTCGGGAGAGAGTGTGGTGCCGAGTGTGGCGACTGCGTCGGTGACCCAGTCGGTATCCGTGGCGAGTGAGGCCAGTGTGGATGCGAGTGTTGGTTTGGGAGCGGGGGCTGCTCCGGGTGGGGTGGTGCTCCGGCTCAGGGTCTTGATGACTTAGTGGTGGGTTTGCTGACGCAGTTATTGGCTCGTTTTCCGCCAGTGGTTCCACAGGGGCTCCGGGAGTACCTCCAGTGGCAGAGGTGCAGCAGAGGGCTGCAGGGTTGTTCAGCCGCAGGCTGTGGGTTTGGGGTGCCGCCCTATTTGGATATGATGGGGCACATGCAGAGGATTGGTACGCCGTACTTTGAGGGCGGAGTTAGGGGCCGGAGAGACCGGCGAGTGTTGGAGCGGAATTTCCAGTCTATCAGTTGTCTGGTTTAGTATCAGGTGGAGTTAGGCAGTCCACTATCTGAGTGGTGATGCGCATTTTTGGTGTTGTACCTTGTTCTTTTTGTCTGTGATAGAAATTGTTGAGGTTCTCAGCGCATGTGTTTCGTAATGACCTTGTTAGTGGGCGGTTTTGAGTCCCACGTTTTATTCGACTCTGGAGCATCGAATTGCTTCATTACACCGGAGCGTGCCGAGAAGAGTGGCATCCGAGTAGCGCGGGCATGGTCAAGGTGGCGGGAGGTGGATTCTTGTCTACTTTGGGCCGTGCTAGAGGAGTCGAGATCGAGATTGCGGGGCAGTCAATGCCAGCAGACTTAGTCATCAGTCCGGTGGAGCTGTATGACGTTATTCTCGGGATGGACTGGTTGTCACACTACAGAGTTCATCTGGATTGCTACAGAGGTAGAGTGGTCTTCGAGCGAGATGCAGGGAGGTTGGTTTATCAGGGAGTGAGACCGACTTCCGGGAGTATTGTGATATCTGCTATTCAGGCCGAGCAGTTGTTAGAGCGGGGCTGTGAGGCGTATCTGGCGACGATTTCTATGTCTGAGTCAGGAGCTGGAGTTGTTATGGGAGATATTGAGGTTGTCCAGGATTTTGAGGATGTCTTTCAGTCACTGAAGGGATTACCACCATCTCGGTCTGATCCTTTCACGATTGAGTTAGAGCCGGGGACAGCACCGATATCGAAGACGCCTTACAGGATGGCGCCAGCTGAGTTGGCAGAGCTGAAGAAGCAGATAGAGGACCTTTTGTCTAAGGGGTTCATTCGACCGAGTGTTTCACCGTGGGGAGCACCGGTGTTGTTTGTGAAGAAGAAGGATGGAGTTTCAGACTTTGTATCGATTACAGAGGTCTTAACCGAGTCACTGTGAAGAACAGGTACCCACTCCCGAGGATTGATGAGTTGTTGGATCAGTTGAGGGGTGCTACTTGGTTCTCCAAGATTGACTTGGCATCGGGGTATCATCAGATCCCGATAGATGAGGCAGATGTCAGGAAGACTGCTTTCAGGACGCGTTATGGGCATTTTGAGTTTGTGGTTATGCCTTTCGGTTTGACTAACGCGCCGGCAGCCTTCATGAGATTGATGAACGACGTGTTCAGGGAGTATTTGGACGTGTTCGTCATCATTTTCATTGATGATATTCTGGTATACTCGAGGAGTCAGGAGGAGCATGCGACTCACTTGAGGTTGGTTCTGGAGAAGCTTCGGGAGCAGAAGCTTTTTGCTAAGTTGAGCAAGTGCAGTTTCTGGCAGCGAGAGATGGGATTTCTTGGCCACATTGTTTCTGCAGAGGGAGTTTCTGTGGATCCGGCTAAGATTGAGGCTATCAGAGATTGGCCTAGACCTAGTAGTGCCACCGAGATCAGGAGTTTTCTGGGTTTGGCAGGATACTACAGGAGGTTCGTCAAGGGGTTTGCTACCATGGCGCAGCCGATGACGAAGTTGACCGGGAAGGATGTCCCTTTTTTTGGTCAGCTGAGTGTGAGGAGAGCTTTAGTCAGCTCAAGGAGATGTTGACTACTACACCAGTGTTGGCGTTACCCGAGCCAGGGAAGCCTTACATGGTGTATACAGATGCTTCAGGCATTGGTCTTGGTTGTGTGCTGATGCAGGAGGGCAGAGTGATAGCATATGCTTCGAGACAGTGGCAGGGCAGTGAGCGTAACCGTCCTACACATGACTTAGAGTTGGGAGCAGTGATCTTCGCGTTGAAGATTTGGAGGTCTTACTTGCTAGGTGAGACAGTACAGGTCTTCACGGATCACAAGAGTTTGCAGCATATCTTCACTCAGCCGATGATGAACGCGAGACAGACGCGCTGGGTTGAGTTCTTGGCGGACTATCAGGTGAGCATTAACTACCATCCGGGCAAGGCTAACCTAGTGGCGGACGCGTTGAGTAGACGGAGGTATGATTCCGCAGTTGAGCGAGATGTGGAGTCTCTAGTTGGCGAGATCAGTACCTTGCGTTTGTGTGCCATTTCGCAGGAGCCTTTGGGTTTAGAGGCAGTGGATCAGGCGGATCTACTTAGCAGGATCAGAGTTGCTCAGCAGAGTGATCAGAGTTTGCTAGATGCGACGAGAGTGACTGGTTCTGAGTATGAGGTCTCTGCGAATGGGACTATCTTGGTTCGTGGGCGAGTTTGTGTGCCTAAGGATGTGGAGTTGAGACATCAGATTTTGGGAGAGGCTCATGCGAGCAAGTTTTCCATTCATCCGGGAGCGACCAAGATGTACCATGACCTCAAGAGGTACTATCATTGGGTCGGGATGAAGAGGGATGTAGCAGACTGGGTTGCGAAGTGCAACACTTGTGCCTTGGTGAAGGCAGAGCATCAGGTTCCGGGTGGTCTTTTGCAGAGTTTACCCATTCCAGAGTGGAAGTGGGATAGGATTACGATGGATTTCGTGGTTGGACTACCTGTTTCGAGGACTTTCGATGCTATCTGGGTGATTGTGGATCGGTTGACTAAGTCTGCACATTTCTTGGCCATCAAGAAGACAGATGGAGCTGCTGTCTTGGCTAGGAAGTTTGTGCGAGAGATTGTGAGGCTGCATGGAGTGCCAGCTAGTATTGTGTCAGACCGTGATCCCAGATTCACTTCAGAGTTTTGGAGGGCGTTTCAGGCAGAGATGGGCACTAAGGTGCATCTGAGTACAGCTTATCATCCGCAGACAGATGGTCAGTCAGAGAGGACTATTCAGACTTTGGAGGATTTGCTGAGGATGTGTGTGTTGGATTGGGGTGGCCATTGGGCAGATCACCTAAGCTTAGTTGAGTTTGCATACAACAACAGCTTTCAGGCGAGTATTGGCATGGCTCCATTTGAGGCTTTGTATGGGAGGCCATGTAGGACACCCCTATGCTGGACCCAAGTGGGGGAGCGCAGCATGTATGGAGCTACTTATGTTCAGGAGACGACAGAGAAGGTTCGTGTTGTGAGGCTGAACATGAAGGAGGCTCAGGATAGGCAGAAGAGTTATGCAGATAGACGCAGACGAGAGCTTGAGTTTCAGGTTGGAGATAGAGTTTATCTCAAGATGGCTATGTTGAGGGGTCCTAACAGATCCATAGCAGAGAACAAGCTGAGTCCGCGATTTATGGGTCCGTTTCCAGTAGTGGAGCGAGTTGGGCCATTGGCTTACAGGCTGGAGTTGCCTGAGATTATGAAAGCCTTTCACAAGGTTTTTCATGTGTCGATGCTGAGGAAGTGTCTTCACCTACAGAGGAGTTAGTGGCTAGGATTCCAGAGGATCTTCAGCCAGATTTGACAGTGCCGGCAGTGCCTATGAGGATTTTAGAGAGGAGGGAAAAGGTTCTGAGGAACAAGAGGATTCCCTTACTGAGGATTTTGTGGGATTGCAGTGGTTCTACAGAGGAGACTTGGGAGCCAGAGGCAAAGATGAAGTTGAAGTTCAGGAAGTGGTTCGACAAGCAGGTCGAGGAGTGAGCTTATTTCATCTTTGTAGCCTCAGTTGTTATTTTTGGCTTTGGTGTTATTGTATTTTCGTTTTCGTTGTAACGATATACATTTTGGAGTTTTAATGAGATGCAGTTTTTCCTCATTTTGCCTTGTGTTGTGAAAAGGTATTCGGATGTTACACATGTTTGACCAGTTTTTGGTTGTGAGACGGTCTAATCTTATGGTTATAGACATTTTCCGGAATTTTTACTCTAAGGATTGCGATCCTGAATAACTCATCATGTTTTTGGAGACTTCGTTCTCTGGCAGACTCTCTGGGTGCAAGTAGGCCTCAGTTGAGTGTAGCTTATATGGGTGCAAGTAGGCCTCAGTATAAGCAGTTTAGTTCATCTGGGTGCAAGTGGGCCTCAGTATGGACGTTTTCGGGTTCGTCTGGGTGCAAGTGGGCCTCAGTGCGGACCGGTGTGGACTTGTCTGGGTGCAAGTGGGCCTCAGTACAAGTTGTTTGGTGTGTTTGGATGATGAGTTAGGAGTGAAATTTTCTTGGAACGTGTTTATGACATAAGATATGACGTTTGTCTCGGGGATCAAGTGAGGATCTCCGGTGTTGCGGCCTTGCGAGGTTGGGTTTTGTGGTCTTTGTGACGTTTGCGTTGGGATTCGAGGACGAATCCAGTTTAGTGGGGAAGAGTTGTAACATCCATAAACCAAAAATAAAAATTGGGAATTTTGTCGGTTCAATTTAAGTGAATTGGTTTGGGTCGGTTTAGTGGAGAAAGCCCTAAAATCAAGTTTAAAGAGTGCAGCCGTCTTCTCTTTGGAGAATTTTCGAGTTCAGATGCTGTAGAGGAGAAAAGTTGAGTTTTTGGAGAGATTTTCGAATTTTACTGTTCATCGGACTGTTCATCGGTACTGTTCACGGGTTACTGTTCATCGGTACTGTTCACGGGTTACTGTTCATCGGTACTGTTCGGGTTCATCCGCGATTCGGCACTGTTCATCGTCCTTCCTTTTTCCTTCAGTTTCAATCAATTGTCAAGGTGAGTGCATGACTGTGGGTCCGTGATTTGCTAGATTAGATTTGGTTTGTGGTTGTTCTTGATGAGTTTATGTTTTAATTGTTATTTCATGATATTTTGGTTGTTTATGTGATGAATTGTGTGTTTGTGTGGTTAATCTGGTTTGAATTGGTTTAATTGAATTTAATTGATTTGATTCTGGTTTATCTTGGTTCAATTGAATTTAATTGGTTTAATTGGTTAATTAATTTAATTATTTGATTGGTTTAATTGAATTAATAATTGGTTTAATGGAATTAAATAGATTTAATTCGGATTTAATTAATTAAATAATATTTATTTAATTAATTGGTATTATTTTAATTATTTTAAAATATGGAAAATTATTATTTAATTATGAGAATTATTTAATAATTGAGAAATTGAGTTTTAATTATTAAAAATTATTTAATAATTGGAAAATGGTATTTAATAATTATTGAAGTTTATAAATATTATTAAATATCTAGTAAATTGCGTAAATGGCTCGTAGGCAGAGTGATTGCCTCACTAAGTATTTATTAAATACTTACGCAACTCCATTCCAATGTGTTGCAGGTAAAAGATTTGTGTGATCGCGGAATCAAGGCTGAAGAGGGGGATGATAGGATGTTTACTGTTTTATTGTTTTGCATTATTTTGCTAGACTTGTTTAATTATTATTTGCTTCCGCTGAGCTGATTTATTTGTTATTGATATTTTATTTATTTAATTTATTTTTAAGACCTTCGCTAGAACTGATTAATATTTATTAAAAAAAAAAAATGTTGGTTGTTTCACTCTCTCAGAAAGATTCTGAAGTTACTACAACTTTTTCTGTCTCTGCAATTTTTCATCAACTTTGGAAAATCTTTCTAGTAACGTACACTGTTATTCTTTATTCTGAACTAACGCAGGAAGATGGCTCGTACGAAACTGTCCCTGGAAGTGATTTCATGATTACCCGTGTTGCATTCCGAGATAATTCTTCCAAGTATTATATCAATGAAAGGTCGAGCAATTTCACTGAAGTTACCAAAATTTTGAAGGGGAAAGGAGTAGATCTCGACAACAATCGTTTCTTGATTCTTCAGGTTCTCACTTTAGATAAACTGTCTATATATCGTTGAATTCACATTTCACATGTGTCCCCTACTAATATTGTTTCTTGAATGTTGGCAGGGGGAGGTAGAACAGATATCACTCATGAAGCCGAAAGCACAAGGTCCCCATGACGAAGGTTTTCTTGAATATCTCGAGGATATTATTGGAACAAATAAAATACGTGGAGAAGATAGATGAATTAAATAAGCAGTAACTCAGTTATCCATGCATTCTACAATTTGTTTTAAATGACCATGTCCAATGCCTAAGAATTGTGTTTGAGGCTGTGTTAAAAAAAACGGCCGTTTTGGCATTTAATCGTACAATAAATCGTGCATCGGAGAGTTACCGAGGCATTTAATGTTAATCGGTGTACTATTGGGTCAACACACTTTTGACCAAGTAAACCTATTTTTTTAATAAAATACGGCGTATAATATAAACTAGGTGGATCGCCCGCGCGGGTCGCGGGCATGAGATTTTTTAAAATGGCAATTGTTTGTAATAATAATAATATTAGATCATTTTAAAAATATTATTTTCTGTTTTGAAATTATGTTTCATAATCTTGAATTTATGAAATCAAATTAACTCATATAAATATTATTAAAATGTCTATGAACACATTGACTATATTCATTGTGAATTTTAACAATGCTATAATTCTAGAAATTTTAGTTTGCAAACTATTAGACAAATATATATTTGTTAAATTCGTGCCACCTTATCAATATGTGCACATTTCACCATGTGCGCCTGTGCGGCCAAGAGATATTTAAGAACTTTAAATCCTTTCACTTAATATTACTTTTCATATGTTTGTAATTTGTTTATTTTCCAAGTAAGTAAGATCTTTTAGATTTTCACGGATTTGTGAAATACTTTTTATCTTTATATTGTCGAGATTTTTTAAAAAATATAATTAATTTGTGTTGTTATTTTTTGATTATGGTTATGCTTTCATTGTTTTAGTTTTTTTTTCTATTTATAACTGTATTTTAGAATGGTAGATATATATTTATAATCATTGATTTTTAATTTTAATATACTTTTATAATAATTCAAATTTTTAAAAATGCACCAAAAACGAAACCTACACCCATCAATATAAACCGTAAACCCAAACTCCACATTCTAAACCCCTCCTCCCCCTAATTAAATAACCTACACCCTAAAATCATAAACCCAAATCCACATTATAACTCCCACCTCAACTTCACACCTCTAACCTTATATTATAAATTAGTTTTAGATTTGCTTTTATTTTTATTTTATTTATATATATATATTTTTTAATGGCTGTTTTCTTCTCCTTTTTATTCTTCTCTAGTGATTCCATCTTCTTCTTTTTTCTTCCATTTTTTTATTCATTGTCATCATCTTCTTTTTTTCTGCTTCTTCTTCATCTTCCAATTTTTGTTCTTCAATCGGTTCTTGTGTCTTTATATCCTCCAACTCACTATTCTTCTTTTTCTTTCTAATTTTCTTTACATTTTATTTCCAATTTTTCTTTTCCCTCATTCCCCCTCTCTCTCTATCTTTATCAGCGTCGTTTGTAACATCATCTTCTTATAGTTTTTATTTATCTCCTCTTTGTCTTTTTTTTTGTTCACATTCCATTTTTTCTTCTTTTCCTCGTGTTAAATTTTTCTTCTTCCTCTCAAAGTTTCCCATCTTGTTTTCCATCGTCTTCTTTTCTCTTAATCTTGTTTTTGCGTTCTTGTCCACGTTTTGTATTTAACTTATCAATTCATTCAATACTTTAGATTTTGTTAATTCATGAATTCAACTAATATTAGATTAACACATTTTCTTTTTATTTAGTTTTTATATTTTTGTAATGTGTTTATTTTCCATGAAAGTAATAGCTTAACATTTTGTTAATTTGATAAGAACTTATAAATTGTAAAAGTACAAAAAATCAGTTAAATTTTGTAATGGTTGTTTTCTTCTCCCTCTTATTCTTTTTCATTGATCCCATCTTTTTTTTTCTTCCATTTATTTATTCATTGTCATATCTTTTTTTTTTCACGCTTCTTCTTTTTCAAATTTTCATTCTTCAGTCATTTCTTGTGTCTTCATATCTTCCAACTTACTATTCTTCTTTTACTTTCTAATTTTTTTTATAATCTTTTTACGTTTTTTTTATTATTCCTCATTCTCCTCACTCCCTATCTTAATCATCTTCGTCTTCTAAGACATCATATTATTCTAATTTTTATTTATCTCTTCTTTGTCTTTTTTCTCTTTACATTCAATTTTTTATTTTTTGGTTTATTTTTTCTCATATTCGAGTTTTCTTCTTTTTCCTCTCCATATTTTCCATCTTCTTTTCCATTGACTTCTTTTCTTTTACTCGTATTTTTATGTGTTCTTGTGTACGTCTTGTATTCCACCTATCAATTCATCTGATAGTTTAGATTTTCAAGGATTTATGAAATTTTTTTTTTTAATCTTTATCTAGTAGAGATCTTATAAAAATCTTTGTTAACTTTCGATTCTGGAATTGCTTTAATTGTTATAGTTTATATTACACGCCGTATTTTATTAAAAAAATAGGTTTACCTTGGTCAAAAGTATGTTGACCCAATAGTACACCGATTAACATTAAATGCCTCGGTAACTCTCCGATGCACGATTTATTGTACGATTAAATGCCAAAACGGCCGTTTTTTTTATCTTTATATTGTTTAAATCTTTAAAAAATCTTTGTTATCTTTTCATTCTTGATTTGCTTTAATTGGTATAGTCTTTTTTCTATTTGTGAATGTAATTTAGAAAGGTAGATATAAAGTTATAATCAATGATTTCTATAATAATTCAAATTTTTAAAAATGCACCAAAAACTAAACCCTACACCCACCAACATAAACCCTACACCCTAAAACCCAAATGCCACATTGTAACACCCCCCCCACCCCCAAACGACCCTAAACCCTAAACCTAAACTCCACGTTATTACTCTACCCCTCCCCTTAGAACGACCCTACACCCTAGACCGAAACCCCACGTTATACCTCTCCCCTAAACCGCACATCTGAACCCCACATTTTAAAAACTGGTGCTAGATTTGCTTTTATTTATTTTTTTCCTTAATTTTTTTTTGTTTTTAATCAGTAATGTAGTGTATTCAAATTTTTTAAAATGAAACAAAAATTAAACTTTGTGCCAATCTGTATAAACCGTACATCGTGTACCCCAACACCATTTTTATTTTTTTTTTACTTCTTTCATATTTTTTTCCTTCATTTTCTACCGTTTCTCTTTATTCTTATCAAATTTTATAATCTATTTTTCTTTTCCTCTCTCTTCATCGATATTTTTTTATTTCCTGGTTTTTATTCGTTTTCTTCCTTTTATTTACAGTTTGTTTTTCAAATGCCTTTGTGTTCTTATTCTTCATTTTTTATCTTTTTATTTTTTCACTTCTTTATTATTCACATATTCTTCAATTCTTTTCTTCTTTTGTTTTGTTTTTTTGTTTGTTTTTTTTTCTGTCTTCGTCTTCCAACTTTTTTCTTTCCTAATTTTTTTTCAGTATTTTTCTTCTTATTTCAACTTGTACTTCATCATTTTCTAGTATTAGTCTTTTTCTTTTTTGCAACATCTTATTTATCAGTTTCGTCTTCCTCTTTATTTTAATTTTTTTTGTCTCGTCTTCTCATATTTCTTTTTCTTCATCTCCTCATATCTTTTTGCTATTTTTTTTTTCAGTTGTAGTTCTTTCATCTTCTTTATTTTATTTGTGTAACATCTTAATTTTCTGGTTTTCTCTGTCTTTATCTTCTTATACTTTACTTTCGTCTTATTTAATCTATGCTTTTTTTTTTTGTCTTTTCTTTTATTTTACCATAACCCCACATTACACACTATTTCACCATGTGCGTGTACAATTTTTTAAAGATAAATAAATTAATTAAGGATTTTAATCACGCTTAATTAAAGATTGTTAACTCTTAAACTTATTTGCCGTGTATGAAATTAATATATTTTACACAAATTTATGTAGTTTTAATTTACTTTAAAAGTAAGGAATTGAAATTTTGTTATTATGATATATATGTAAACATAAAATATAAATGATTCTCAATTTTTTTCTGTAAATAACAAATTCTCCTAGATTGGCTCGGAGATATAAATCGGTAATATAAAGTTGTTGTAATTTGTAATATATTGGAATTTATTAATTTGTAAAAACAAAAATTATTCGATAGACATTATGTATTTTAAAAACTAAATTGTTTATTTATTATCCAAATACATTCACGCATAATTCAAAATATTACAATTAAATTTGAAAAATGAGACAATATAAACTATCAAAATTAATATAATAAAATTTTGAGTATTGATACGAAAATAAATATTTAAGAAGAACTATTTATATAGTATATATAGTATTAGTTAATCTCATAGTTTATTTTTATTTTTAAATCTTTTATGTTTTTCTACTTAGTTTAGTCCATTTTAAAATATTTTTAGTTATCTCGTCTTTATCTTTTACTCTTCACCTTCTATTTTTCTTCTTTGCTTTTTTTTCCTACTCTTTGAGTTTTCTTCTTCTTCTTCAAATTTCCATTTTCTTTTCCATTGTCTTTTTTCTTTTACTCATGTTTTTATTTGTTCTTGTCTATGTCTAGTATTTCATCTATCAATTCATTCAATAGTTTAGATTTTCAAGGATTTATGAAATAGTTTTTATCTTTATATAGTCGAGATCTTTTAAAATCTGTTGGTTTTTTTTTCTTTCGATTCTGGATTTGCTTTAATTATTTTAGTTTTTTTTTGTATTTGTGAATGTAATTGTTTTAATTTTTTTTAAATGCACCAAAAACTAAACCCTACACCCATCAATATAAACCCTACATCCTAAACCCAAACCCCACAGTGTAACACAGCCCCTCCTCCCCCCTCCCCCCAAACAACCCTACACCCTAACTCAAACCCCAATACCACCCCCCCCACCCAAAACAAACATACACAATAAACCCGAAACCCACATGTTCTGAACTTGCTTTTTATCTTTTATTTTTTTTCTTAAAATAAGTCTTTTTTTACCGGTAATGTAGTGTATTCAACATTTTCAAAACGCATCAAAAACTAAATCTTACACTCATCAATATAAACCGTACATCGTAAACCCCAACCCCATTTTATCTTCTTCTTTTAATTTGTATTTTATTTTATTTTTTCATATTTTTTCCTTCATTTTCTACCATTTTTTATTATTCTTATCAAATTTTCTATTCTTTTTTTCTTTTCCTCTCTTTTCATTGTCATCTTTTTATTTTCGGGTTTTTATTCGTTTTTCCCTTTTAGTTTTTCAATTGGCTATGTCTTCTTATTCTTCATTTTTTATCTTTGATTTTTCTAACTTCTTTATTGTTCACATATTCTTCAATTCTTTTTTTTTTCCATCTTAGTCTTCCAACTTTCATCTTTTTCTTATTTTTATACAGGTTTTTCTTCTTATTTCATATTGTATTCTTCATCATTTTGTATTATCAATCTTTTCTTTTTTTCAACATCTTATTTTTTATCAGTTTCTTTTTTTCTTTTTATTTTCTTTTATTTAGTTTTTAATACATACAAAACCAAGTTTCTTTAATATACTGAAATACTTTTCGACAACTATTTCATTCATAATCTCTACTTTCCAAGTAGTAGTTTACATGTTATTTTATTTCTTGCACCACATACAAACAAATCTCTTCATGCTATGGAATTCTTTGAGTGGAGCTCATTCTAGAGCTAACATATATGCCTTTTTTAAAATGGCACTTTACAAACAGTGTTCAGTGAATTAATTCTTCCAAACCATAGATTCGTTCTACTATTAACTTAGCTTAGAAGTTTAATAATGCTATACTTTAAGGATTTCCATTCTGCCATAAACTTAGCTTACACTAAGACTCCTTACTTTGTTGCTTGTATTCATGTAACTGTAGCTTTGGTTATTAAGTTTAAAGGCTGTTATGACTAAGTCGGGTATAAGTCGGGTATTTGTCTCCTTGTGCCTCCAAAATAAGAACCAAAATAATGAAAATCAGAGCAAAATAAGAGATCAAAGAATTGAATTTTCTAGGCTTTGAATTTTTTACTAAAGTTTTTTTTGTTTTTTGAAACATTCTAAGTCTCAATAGTTTCTGTGCGCTGCTTCAAAAACCAAAAGTATTCACTGCTCAGATAATAACACCATTAAGATGTCTTAACTTAACACATGCAAAAGAGCAAAACGATAACTTTTTTTTTGTAAACAAACGTCACTAACCGTAATTGAAGCCATACCAGTGAGATCTTGTATAGTTGTATGGGATCATATCAAAGCCAATGAAAATTAACATTAACATTTAAAATTTGATTTTGATCCAAAAAGATAAACCATAAGAAATATATTATTGGTTCCATGTGAGAACGTAAATAATAACCAACAAAATTAATGTATCTAATAATAAACAAAAGTGATACCAGTGCTTAAACAATTTACATCATCCTTACCAGTCACCACTGTAATCGTTACCTTTTTTCGAACTTCCGCTTCAACTTCCATCCAAAGAAAAATGTGTCTTTAAATTGTGAGCAATCATCAACATTGGAAAATCACCCAACAGACACATACTTTCGTATAGTCTGATACAACTTTCTTTATATTCTCCAACTTCTTTGATAGCTACAGCTGATCCAGTTTGATGGCCAGCTTTATCAATAAGAATCACAACCCAAGATAGCTACTTTCTTGCATCATCATGTGTATACGCTTAGCTGATGTAGTTGTAGAGGTGGTGGCAACCCATCTCGCCACCCGACGCAGCCTCACTGTCAAAACTTTCAAATCAAATCATTATGTAGTGTAGCGGATGCAGCTGTGGTATTGGAAGCAAAGAACATTGATAATGGATCATCGTTTGCACTTTAGGGTTTGCCTTTTTTTTTTTCACCTACAACAACTGAAGCTACTTCAGAAACATAAATTAATGATATTGGGACTTAAAGGCTAAAGACATCCAAGTTGTTCGAACAAATCTTTCTAAAGAAAAAAGAATTAAACCCTACAATAATCTAATATGATTAGGAGATTAGAAAATAGAGAATCAACCTCTTTTGTCTTAATTCTAACAAATTTAGGAATATTTCTGCCGATAGATCATTAGGCCGTGAATGAATATGATCCCACCACACATATTGTCTTACTAAAGAAGGCTTACTGCGCAAGTAAGAAAAAAAAAGCAAAAGGTTAAAGCATCTGTTATAGAGGTGGATGAAGGATTTTTGATGAGTTTTAGAATACTAACCGATTGATGATTTGTTTCTTCATGATTTTCTATCTTGTTTCTTCATGATCATTCTCTATCTCTGCAACAACAACAAAGACAATGAACCCAAAGCCACATGCGCATCATGTGGTACGGCTTTTCATGATCTCAAGATTCAACCAAATCTTTATACCTGCTAATATACTCCCGAAGTCATTCTTCTTTCCAGCCTCCGCCAACTCCGTTTCACCAGCTTCATTGAAGAAACCTCTACAACGTCTGTTTTGCTACCTATTTATATATTAGATTGTCGGTTAAAAAATCTAGGGTTTCTATGAATATATTTTTTCCAAAATTGTGGCGTTACCGTTTTGTACTTTGAATATTTTAATGAATTAATAAACTTGTGAATTTGAATAGGATAAATTCTATAATTTTTTGACCTTAATACACAAAACAAATAATTAATTAAAAAAAAGGAAATTACGAAGATTTAAAAAAGGATTTTCATTAAGGGTAGCTGAGTAATCAACCAGCTGAGAGTTAACATGGTGCCTCTAAACGAAATTTTTACTTCGCAAATAATATATTAGATTTGCCTAGCAGATTTGCCAAAAGTCAGTGGACCCCATTCTCCCACTATCCTTTATCCCATTCTCTTTCTATGGTTAAGAATTGTTTTTTTATTTAAATTATGAGTTTTACACTATTTTCAAGTTAAAAAGAATAAGATTAGATGAAATCCAACAAATTATAGAGGATTTGTTCGGTTTGTTACAATTTCTAGTTTTTTGGAATATGAATATCATACTAATATGTTATTTCTATAGTTATATATATAAATATTTAAATATATACAAAATGTGATTAAAATTCCGTCCCGATTAATCCCTGTTTTATTTCCGATTTTCAAAAAAATCGCTAATCCTGGCTCGACCGTCCGATTACCGATTAACTATTTTTTGAACACAGGTTTGAGGCATATTGCTTGAACTGGATTATAATTTAATTTCAAATCATTTCAAATACACCATCAAATAAGTTTATATATCCAAAATAAGTTTATATGGTTTGCTAACCGGTACAGCCACATCGGTAATTTTGGATTAGAATACGATACTTTTACTTAGACAACAAAGATAAAGCCACGTGGAAGCATTGACTTTCCCACGTAGATGTCGCCAAGTCAACAGGAGAAACAAATCGAGGAATGTGAAATGTTACAGGTTTCGATTTCGTGAAACTGAGAGAGATCCCAAAAGATAGAAGAAGAAGAAGGAGACTCTGAAAACGATGCCGTATTACACCAATGACGACGATGAGGTCGACGATTTCAAGGACTACGACCCGATGCCGTACAGCGGAGGCTACGACATCACCGTGACGTACGGCCGCTCACTCCCGCCGTCCGACGAGACTTGTTACCCTCTCTCGTCTCGCTCCGGTGACGCCTTCGAGTACCAGCGACCCGTCTTCTCCACCAACCACGAGCCTTCTGCTTATGACGACAAGGCTCTCAAGACCGAGTACAGTAGCTACTCCCAACCCAAACCCCGTCCCGGAGGTCACGGAGGCGCTCACGTCGAAGGTCAATACGGCGGAACGAAACCCGATTATGGAGGATCTGGATCCGGTGGATCCGATTTTGCCCGGAAACCTAATTCCGGCTCTGGCGGAAGAATTGAGAGCGATTACGGACATAAATCGAAGGAAGAAAGCCACGGCGACAAAAAATACGTAAGCTTGATCAATTTCATTTAGCATTCAGCAAGTAATTTCTAATTTTGCATCTAGATTGTGTGGAAGCTACAATGTTCTGAGAATTGAATCGCCATGGAATCTAGAATTATTGTTTCCATCTTTGGATTGAATTACATTTTGCCTCACATCTGACTGATTCTCTCACTGTTTTGAACAATCTTGTTGAAGTGGTACCTAAGGTTTTGGATGAATTTGAACAATCTCTGGCTCTGAAAAGTTGTTATGATATTGCAGAGTGGCAAGGACTATGATGATGATGAGAAGAGTTTGAAGAAGGAGAAGAAGAAGGATAAGAAAAAGGATGATTACAACTCTGGCGACGATGAGAAGAAGAAGAAGAGCAAGGACCAGTACAAGCACCATGATGCTGATGATTATGATGACAAGAAGAGTAAGAAGAAGGACCATCATGAGGATTATGATGAGAAGAAGAGTAAGAAGAAGGATTATCATGATGATGATGAGAAGAAGAAGAAGAAGGACCATCATGGTCATGATGATGACGAGAAGAAGAAGAAGAAGGAGTATCATGATTATGATGAGAAGAAGAAGAAGAAGGACCATCATGATGATGATGATGATAAGAAGAAGAAGAAGGATCACTACAAGCACCACAAGGGCCATGACGATGACTAAAAAGTAGTAGCCTTGTTCTTATCTCTGGGATTGCATCTCAAGCTTCTATCACTTAACTAAGTAACCCCAAAAACACCTATCTCTGCTTTTGTTTCAGTTGTTGTGTTTGTGTTTTTGCTTCGCGTTTGTGCGATTTTCGATAAGACTAAAACTAGTCATATGAAACTATGCTTAGTGAGTTTATTCCTAGTGATGTTGTTTGGTTTAACGAATCGCTATCTTCGATAAGACTTAGTCTCAATACTACACATTAAAGTTGGAAAATCAAAAGTCCACGGTCCTCCACTACTGAATTTTCATTATGAGAGATATAACATATAATTACAAATCAATGGAAATGTATGATCTAACTTTGGTCTAATTAAGTGAAAATGCAATTTTAATTTGTCAAAATCGAAGATCAAGAAACTGATTTGTTTTAGTAGAAGGAACTACATGGGAGAATCAGATTTTGGAAAATGTAAAAGAAACAACTTGTTAGATTAGAGAAGCTTCTTCCTCTCCAAAAACGACTTGAGATGCCATAGTTGTAAACCGGCGACTGACAACGCAACCACCAAAGACAATAAACTCATAGCCGCCATTCTCGAGTTAGTTGACCGGTTTAACTCCTGCATTTCCCGTTCCCTGTCACAATTTTTGAAAAATGATCATAAAATGTAAAAAAGTTAGTGTTAGTATTTTCAATACATTTATATTATATAGAAAATTCAGCTTTAAAAATATGAAATCGTGAAAATTTGATGAATACTCTAAGTGATAAAAGATAGTTGATTCATGCTTTCAGAACGTGATTGATTTAGATATCATTTTAGAAGAAAAAAAGTTCTTGACATAGCTAGAGTGAAAAAAAGAAGAAATAGTGACAAACTCCATGGCTAAATAGTACCTCTCCCGAAGTTGAAACATTTCGTCGTGTATAGATTCCGTCACGTCGAGTAATTTTCTCACCTCCACCTCCAACATCTACGCATTAACATAAGACATTATCAATATCAAGTTATAAATTAAATAGAGTTTAAGCAACAACAAATTAAAGGTATACATATAGAGAAATGTTGTTTAGATCGGGATGCGGTTAATAGAGCAGATAAAAGAAAAAACTATGCAGCTTGGTTTGAATATAAAGGTTTGTACGTTGATCTGGCCTCTCTTGGCGATGTTGGCCCAATCTTTAGCCTCGACGCCGCTTTTCCACTCGAAATCAACGGCAAACTTGGCCGGAGGCCTAAAACCGGGAGCCACAAAACATGTGGTGTAATCGCCGTTTTCATCCGCCGTGAACACGAATTTCCCGGACTCTACACTTTCTGCATGATGATGGCTGTGCCCTTTAGGTGATGTCACCTACGCATACAAAATTAATCGAGGAGCTCTCTTGGTCAAAAATTCTACGTAAAATGTGACATTTCATCGATCAAATTAATAATATTATTATTCAAAGCTTACAGTGACAAAGATTTTGTGAGAAGCAGGAAGATGGAGAGCTTCGTTTGGATTGACGATGGAGTAACTTCCAACAGTCATTGAATTTAATTTGATGTCATCGGAGATGCATTTGGTGACGCCTGATTCCAGATCCAATCTCATTGATTCTCCTATTCTCATCATAATCATCATTGTCGTCATTATGATCCATCTTGACCTTGTCATATGAATCTTACATCTTGATGATAGCAAACCCATGATCCAATTCCACAACAACATTTTTAACAAAAGCTGGAATTAAAACGAGAAGATAATATTTGTTTTGGTTACTGTGTCAAATGATTTTTAGATCAGCTTCCGTGTAACAAGGAACTGATGAATTTAAGTTTAGTTTGGAGTATAGAAACCGGCCGGTTTAGAAAAAAAAGGAAAATCAAAGGAACTAGCTAGCATACGTACTTGTGGTGGTTACAAAACACTAAAAGGACCTCGAACCTAAAAATAGAAGAAACCCCACGAATTTTGGGTAATTTGAGACTACTAATGCGAAGATTTACACACTTCCTTTTTAGTTTATACTATATGTTAAGTGGTATACATCTCACGACAAAAAAAAAAGGTTATGGTATTGGTAACCATTTTATACATAAGAACAAGTCTAAAATGAAATTTAGCATGAAGCCTTCATATTAGCATGAAGCCTTCTGTCTTCGATAAAACTTACATATCTGAGTATCGATCTAAAGCGTAATCAGAGTTGATTTCCATATTTTATTTATTTTTGGTCAAATCACAAATTGTAGTAGCAATTTGTTTCCCATGTGCTTTATTAACAGAAATGATGAAAATGTCTATTTGCAAATTAGATCGAGAATTAGGATCAACGTTTATGGGATCCGAACCTATCATATGACTTTTGAACACTCTGGAATTTGGATTTCACATGTGTATGGATTTACAACTTTATTTTTTCCCGTTTATAAATCTGTTATAATGGTTTTTTTTATATATTAATTAACTGCATGAGATTTGGAATATGAAAGAAGATGCACAAAATACCTCTGCTTTTTCTCCCATTCTGATTCCTCCCAATTTTCTTCTGACCAAATTTGGTAATCCTTGTATATAGTTTTTGATTACCAGAAAAAGAAACTCGATCAACCTCTTACACACATACACACACACAAATCCATAGCCATTTTTTTCTTCAAAAAAAAAACAAATTAACAAACAAAAAAAAAACAGGATTTGGTTGTTCTTGCTAGAAATTCCCGGGAAAATCCAATCTTCCTTGGGAGAAAAGAAAAAAAAAAGATGAAGTTCGGAAGAGAATACGAAGCGCAGATGATCCAAGAATGGCGAGAGGCCTACATGGATTATCGTGCTCTCAAATCCATCGTCAAACAGATCCTTCGTTATCGCCTTCAAAAACAACACCGTCCTCCTCCTCCTCCTCCTCCTCCACCTCCTTTCTCCTCCGGCAGCGGAGACACCGCACCGCTCAAATCACAAGATGGCGGAGGCGGAAGCGGAACCGGTTCGACAGGATTATCAAGGAGAGTCTCTCTCTACCGCGCATTCAGCGGTCTCACGAATCGAGCTTCTCGTTCCCCGAAGAAATCACACAGACAACACAATCCTCTCAGCAGCAAACGCCACCACCACCACCACCATTACCATCTATTCGACGACGACGAGGAGCAGATCATTCTCATCAACGAAGACGACAACGCCTACACCACGACGTTTCTCAGCTCGGCCGAGGAAGGCGGAGAGATGGACGTCCAGTTTTTCCGGCGGCTCGACGGAGAATTCAACAAAGTTTTGAGATTTTATAAGCAGAAAGTGGAGAGTGTGATGGAGGAAGCCGATGAGCTTAGTAGACAATTAAACGTGTTGATTGCTCTTAGGGTTAAGGTTGAGAATCCAAACGTTGATTTCCCTTCTGACATCAATAGTGTTCCTTCTTCTCCACATTCAACCACCTCCAGGGCTCCAGGTTTAGCTTCATTTCATCAAAAAGTTTACATTTTGAAAACATAACTCTGTTTTTGTTATTTTACCATTCATGAAAGTTTTCATCTTTTATTATTTTGTAATGTAAAGGTGGAAACTTTATGCAAATAGTGATGACTTTAACGTTAAGCTATGTTCTTTGAATGTTTTGATATTGTGTAGCAACTTCACCAATGGATGTGATTAAGGAGATGGAAAAGACAGAAGATAAGAAAGTCTTTAAACCTGCTCCAGTAGAGATGTTGGATCATATAAAGCTCAAGATCGAACCGGAAACGCCATTGACAACTCTTAAATGCATGATCCTTGGTCTTAATAATGAGCAAACCTTCACCAAGGCAGAGCTGAAGAGAGCCGAGGAGCTTATGAGCCGAGCCTTTGTTGAGTTCTACCAGAAACTTAGGTTCTTAAAGAGTTATTGGTAAGAAATTTTGTTTTCTATAGATCCTTTCTCTCTTGTTCTTTGATTTCCCTAAAAAAATCTGTTTCTCATCATCTCTCACTCTCTTTGCAGTTTCTTGAATCAATTGGCGTTTTCAAAGATACTAAAGAAGTATGACAAGGTTTGTAATCTTCTAATCAAGAACTTGTTTTTCTGTGTTTGTTCTTGATATGATATGATGTTGATATATTTGTGTAATGTTTCTCAGACTACTTTGAGGAATGCATCGAAGCCTTATCTAAATACAGTGGATCATTCTTATTTAGGCAGCTGCGATGAGGTTAATACTTGATACAAATAACCTATCTCTCTTTAATGTTAGCAAACCAGACTTAATCTTTTACATTTTCAGGTCTCAAGGCTCATGTCAAGAGTGGAGGCTACGTTTATAAAGCATTTCGCCAATGGAAATCACAGAGAAGGAATGAAATGCTTAAGGCCTAAAGCTAGGAGGGAGAAACACAGAGTCACATACTTCCTTGGTACTCAAGTCATCTCTTTTCTTCTAATCTCTCTGATGACTAAAGCCGGAAAAAAAAGAGACTAAAACCTCATGTCCATGTACAGGCTTCTTGTCGGGTTGCGCAGTGGCTCTCGCCATTGCGATAACAGTTCTTATACATATAAGAGGCCTAACAGAAAGCGAGGGTCGTCATCAGTACATGGAGAACATTTTCCCTCTTTACAGGTTTGTTATAACATTTTTGAATTCAATGCTGAAGTTATCTTATAACACTTTTGTTTCTTTTGTTCGCAGCTTGTTCGGGTTTGTTGCGGTGCATTTGTTTATGTTTGCAGGAGACATATTCTTCTGGAGTCGGTATAGAGTAAATTACAAGTTTATCTTCGGGTTTGAGCAAGGGAATGATCTCGGTTACAGAGAAGTTCTTCTGCTAGGCTCTGGTCTAGCTGTTCTAACGTTTGGAGGAGTCATCTCGAATCTTGACATGGAAATGGATCCGAGAACCAAAAGTTTTAGTGTCATCACCGAGCTCGTTCCTTTAGTTCTTCTCATCGTAAGTTCTTGAAAATTAGGTCATTGATATTCATATCCGCATAGTTTAGCTCTGAAATGTTTTCTTTGTTGGTTATGATCGCAGTGCTTGATGATGGTGCTGTTATGTCCATTCAATATAATATATCGGTCCAGCCGATATTTCTTCATCGGATGCTACTTCCGTTGTCTTTTGAGCCCTCTCTACAAGGTAACGTCCACCACAAGTAATCTATAATGTTTGTGTTCTTCTTTCTAAGAGTGTGAATTTTCTTTTGCCAGGTTATTCTCCCAGATTTCTTCCTCGCAGATCAGTTGACAAGTCAGGTAACGAGTTTATCTCTCGGTTATGCATCCGGTTATCAGTCTCTCTGTTTTTTCCTGTTGAGAAATCTTTTGGTTATAAGGTCCAAACGTTCAGAAGCATGGTGTTTTATTGTTGCTACTATGGATGGGGAGGAGATTTCAAAAGAAGAGAACACACTTGCTATGAGAGTGAAATTTACCACGAACTCTACCTCGCCGTTGCCATCATTCCTTACTGGTTCCGCTTCGCTCAGGTGGTAACTTGCAAAGAAAGAAAGATCAATACTTCATATAAAAATGTTTGAAACTAATTGTTTTTTTTTTTTGTTGGCAGTGTATAAGGAGGTTGGTTGAGGAAAAAGACAAAATGCATGGCATAAACGGGCTAAAGTATTTGTCGACAATATTGGCGGTTGTAGCTAGGACAGTCTTCGAGATGAAGAAAGGGACCTACTGGCTCACAGTGGCTGTAACCACATCGACCATTGCCACATTGTTCAATACTTATTGGGACATTTTCAAGGATTGGGGTCTTATGAACCGCAACTCGAAAAATCCGTGGCTCCGTGACAAACTCTTAATCCCTCACAAAAGCATATACTTCATTGTCATGGTACAAAAAAATTAAATGTTTTTGTTTTCGAGTTTATATTGTAGTCCTTTTTGGTGGATTTTTAACTGTTGGACTGGAACTGTAAAATGAAGGTGGTGAATGTGGTGCTGAGGTTGGCGTGGATGCAGACGGTACTTGGGATTAAAGAAGCTCCATTTTTACACAAAAGAGCTTTGGTTGCTGTTATTGGGAGTTTAGAGATTTTCCGTCGTGGCATTTGGAACTTCTTCAGGTTCACTTTCTTTCTTAAAACTCTATTCCGAGTAATTTGATCGAAGAAAAAGATTGCAAGATGAATCTTTTTATGGTAATTGTATATGTTATCAGGTTGGAGAATGAGCATTTGAACAATGTAGGGAAATACAGAGCCTTCAAGTCTGTACCTTTGCCATTTCAAGAACTTGGAGGAAGCAAGAACATGTAAATTAGTACGTTTTATTTCTCCAAAATCAAAACAAAACCAGCTAAGCTAAATTTGGATCGATTCTTTCCAATTTTCCAGCATATATATATATAAGTTAATATTTTTGTAAATGCAGCATTAACAGATGAGTACACTTAAACTGTTCAAAGAAGTTAAAATCATTTTTTTTAACTGACTGTAGTATCAAGTATGCATAAATAAAAAGCCAGGGAGCTAGCATCATAGTTTACATAACTTAGAGAACATAATCATTTAGTTTTATTTTTTTTGCTATCGAAGAGGCTTGTTACCTTTTGCACCTCAACAATGTTGTGTTGCACCTGGACAAAGTTGTGTTGGAACTCTTGTTTCGCTTTGGCTCTTTGGTAGATTCATCTGTCATCTTCTTCTCGGGTTCCTCCGATATGTTTCCTTGTCCATCTTTGACAGATAACACCTCGTCGATCTTTGTTAAAAGCTCTCCAACACGGAACCCGTACTCCTCTAGCACGACAATTGCCTCTTTGTAGAGCATTAACTTGCTTACGGGAGTTTCACTGTTCCAATATTCGGAATAACCCTTCATGAAACCTACCGCAATCGATTCACGAATAAACACAAGACTGTTGTCGTACGCCTTAAGCAATGGAAGGAAGTGAGGACCTTGTGGTGTAATTCTAAAAGCCTCCATCGACTCGAACTCTTTCCAATAGCGCATCGTCTTCGCAAAAGGTAAAACAACTTCCTCAAGTGATGATGATGCAGAAGACTCGTTGAGTTGTGAACTCCTATTCTCTTGTTCTACTCTTTTCCTCTTACCACTCATATCTTTCTCCATAGCCGACGACGACACAGACCTTAGAATTCCCTTTCACTTCTTTCTTCTTCCGCAGGTTCTTCCGGTAGCCTCTATATAAATAAACAAAACCTCCTTGTTTTTCTTTTTTTCATTAAGGAATCGAAAAAGCAAAAATGGAAATGTTTCAGAAGTTAATCATATTCTCTCTTTTTTTTTTTCTTCTAGTCTCTACAAAAAAATTAACTGATAAATAAGAATAATCCATGGGCTTAGGTTATTTTCAGTGAAAGTGAAATAATTAAGAAAAGCCCAAAAGAAGCCCACAAATAGATAAGTAGGGTTTACAAGGAGTTTATATATAAGCTTGTGTATCGCCTCTTCTTCAACGACGTAAAATACTTTGAATATGACTTTTCCGGTGACACCTTAAGTTCTCGTTTACTTTCTTCTTTATTATTTCGATTTCTGCTTCCAACTTTTCTTCTTGGTTTGGTGAATTATATTTTGTTCTTGATTTCGATGATCGAAGGCTTAACGATTGCACAAGTACTGGGACATCCCCTTGAAATATAATGGGGGAATCTGTCTAATTAATTTATGTGCATAGATCAAAATTTAGGGATCCGCTTTGCAGCTTATGACCCGACCCGATTCGATTTCGATTCGGGTTCTCTTTGTCTCTGCTGCCAGTATTCTCCTGAAATTCTCTCTCTGTCTCAGAATTTTTTTTTTCTTTTAATCTACTGGATTTTTTAATCACGAGGGTTTTCATTTAGTTTCATAGTTGTAAGACATACTAGATATAATATAACCAATCCAATTTACGATCACTGCAATTGGGACTGATTACAAAATTGTTTGGTGGTTTGTGAATCTTTATTGAATGAACAAGAATGCTAATTGAGTTTTCAATAAAGGGGAAAGAAAAGTTGAAAAAGACCTAATTGATTGATAAGAACATTATTCACTTAATTGAGGATGAGGATTGGCTGATTGCAAATCAGGAGAGGATGATCACCGTAAGAAACTGTATTCTGATTTAGTTTACGGCTGCTGTGTTCCAGATTCATTGGAACTCATAAATATTATTAATTCACCACCAACCTTTCACACTTGGAAGACATGACATAAGATCTCTTGTTTCTTGCGTCACATTTTCATCTCTTAGATAATCAGTAAGTGATGATGACTTGGCCGTTCTTCGACATTGTGTATAGAATCTTGAAATTGCAAAAATCAAACATGTCGTTGACCTCTCTGCAATCACTTAAATGTTTAACGACATGTTATATTATTTGATTTTTGCAATAGGTAAACCATCCCATCAAAAACATTGAAGTTCTGGTACATATATGTACCACAACTTATATGTTTTTGGTGGGATTGGTTACCTATTCTTTACTTGAGGCGCAAGTTGAAAATCTTGACACAGAAAAATAGAAGAGACAAGGAAAATCCCGACTCTTAACTGAATCCGGAACACTAGCTACGAGATTCGCGTTTTCCGCCACTTGAGAGAGTTGAGAATCTATTTTTAGACAAATTTGTACACTTATTTTTTGTTCTGACCATTCAAGTCATCAAGTGGATTACATTTTTTAAGTTTTCTTCTTTTTCTTAAAGAGTTTGGCCGATTGTTTAGTTTTCTTATAAATATTTCTGTTAGCTTACGTTTATAGAGTGCACATACAGTAAAATCTCATGAATGTTCAATCCTGATAAAAGAAAATAATGCCAAACTCAGGATTGTTGTTATTTTACTCTTGGTGGATATTTACTTACAGTTACTTTTTTCGGTTGGTCGCCCTAAGAATTGAATGACATCTAAAACTTCGTTCAGTGAACAGATTTTTGGTTTCTAACTAATCTCATCTTTAAAACAATATAATTCTGTTGCCAATCGATGATTGTTTGGCTTTAATGTATAATTAATATGGAATCCGACGAAATTCGAATCAGGACAAACTAAACAGAAACTAATCTTTGTTATGAGAATTTTAAAACCAGAGTTATATTCTCATAAAGTAAATTTTAACTGAAACTGAGTTCATTCAGTTTGACTCGTCTACTGAATTTGATTCCAAAAACGAGATTTTGAATTGCTTGCCAGGAGATCACAACTTCATCCACTACAAATTAAACTGTTATTATTTATTACGACAATTAGAAATGGATTCCAAATAGCAAGAGAAATTATTTTCACATGTTTGGTCCTTTTTTACAAAATGTTACAAGAATCTTTCAATATCTTTGGTCCTTTTTTACAAAATGTTACAAGAATCTTTCAATATCTTTGTATATCCTACAGTCTTAAGAGTCTAGAATCTAGAGCAAACACATAAAAACACAAACACTTTAAATCCCTAAAGCACCCCCTAATTGTTTCCCCATATATACCCCAGTTTTCTAATCAGCTCCAGTTTCCAAATTCAGAAATTCCAAAAGCAATCGACCTTAACCGGACCAGCAGAACCAGAAGAATCATGACCGTGCCAAGAACTCGCAGTTAATTCGTTTTTAAACTGGCTTTCTTCACTGTCAAGTAACATCTTCAATATGGAGGAATCATCATCATGCAGAAACAGAGGTTCAGAGTATAGCAGAGAGCCAATGTTCGGTAACAAGTGAGTCGATGAAGAGCCGAACATGGCACGGTCTTTGGACTCGGAAAGGAGACTCTTGTCCTCGGTCGTTTGGTCGGAGAAGCAGGTCACGTGAGACAACGATCCTGCGAACGAGTCTCCTTCTCCTCCTCCTCCGCTCTTGAGGTACGGAGAAGAGTCCATCAGCGGAGGCAAACCGATCGGTTCGAATTGGTTAACCCCTGAACTTGGCCTGATTAAACCGGATATATGAACCTTCTTACCATCTGCCCGTTTCTGAAAGACACGACTAATAACCCATTCGTTCTGCATTCACAACCAACTCACAAATCAAACTCCAACTTCACAACAAAACAAAAAACAGAGAATTCTTAAAAGACACACGAATTTGCAAATATGTTATATATACCTTAGCGGTTTTAGGGAGATTGTCGATGGAATATTTTCCATCTAAGCGATATTCGTGCATGACCCAATTACTTTTAAGTCCTTTAGGAGCTCTTCCTTTGTAAAAGACCAAAGTTTTCTTCATACCCACAAGAGCTTTGCCTTTGAAGATCTCTTTGTCTTTCCCTGTTGCTTTCCAATAACCAGCCTTTGTAGCTCGGTTCGTCCTTAAACCGGTCGGATATTTCCGATCTCTTACGCAGAAAAAGTACCACTCTTTTTCTCCTATCTTAGCCTTCCCTGCTCAATCACAACAAAAACAGAGTGATTGGAAGTTAAAAAAACAGAGAGATTTTTGAAAACCTAATAAAAATAAAAAGAAGATAAATTTAACTTACATGGCAAGTCCCAAGGCTCGACCTTGTTGAGATCAACTTCACCAATGGCTACAGCAGAGAAGAAGGTGTTTAAAACCTTCGGTCTCAGATAGCTGCTTATGAGTTCTTCATCTGTTGGGTGAAATCTGAAGCCAGGTGGCAAATCAATCTGCTCTGAGTCTTCTACTATCTCCCCTATTCTTGATACCTCGTGATCCATTTCCTACTATCAAATATGAAATTTTTGTTGGTTGGTGTGGAAGATGAAGAGAGAATATACAGGAATAGTTTTTACGTGAGAGAGGAAGAAGAAGAAGGTTGGTTTTTTTTTTTTTAAAGAGAGAATAGAATTTGGTTTGAGCAGCCAAGTTCTTTATACTAGTTTGTGATCAGATGAAGAACAAAAAAATATTATAGTTTTTATCCTTCAATAATTGGTCACTGTTAAAACTGTTTTAACTTGATTATCCGAATGAAAATATACACAGTTGAGAGATTAAAGTATAATATCTCAGTTATATAATAATAAAGTTTATATACAGTCCGATGTAGACCGGACCCAACCATAACATCATACCATAAAAAGATTATAAATTTGAATTTTGTTTAATGCTATTTTTAGTTTGGTATTACTGTAGTAAGATAGAGAAGGAGAAAGATGCGTACATCGGTAGGCAACTAAAGATGCTAATTTGGAAGATATTTTGTGTTTATTAACAAATAAATAACAATTAAATATTTCTGTTTCAGAAACTTTAATATCTGAAAGCTTCAATTTGACCAGGAACACTTCACCCATCCAATTCTGTTGATGCGATAAGAACAATCTTATCACATCACTGATGACGCTTTCGTCCATTCTTTGAACTAATTATATATTTATATTATTATTTTCTCGAATTTATTTTTCCTTTAAAAATTATTCTTTTTGAGTTCTATATTTGGCAAGATCTCAATCTTTCTAGCACAGGCTGAGTCTTAGAAATGAAGAAATTACTTAAATAGCAACATATTTTGTTTTGGCCCTATCATTGATCCAGAAGTAATTATAATTATATGTTAAGAGTTTGATTTGTATGTTCAACAGCAAAAAAAATTAAAAGAACTAAATTTTGGTTAGGTTTTGATTTTTCTTCATTTAGTAATGAGAACACCTAAAATAACTTCACATTTCTGATGTGTTGATGCTATAGCATTTCTATCACGCTTCTAAAATAAATAAAAAAGACAAATTTTCATCATCCTTACGAAATGATTTTCTCCAGAATCATGTTTTTACTATGCTTTCTCGCATTTATGAGAACTTATGATTCCGTTTCCAAAATAGAAATCACAGTTTCCACGACGCTTTTGTCCAACTTTAGTCATTATTATCAAATATTATAATGTGGTGTATAAGTTCAATTTCCTACTAGAGATTCACATGTCCTACTAAATTTTAGGGAATAGTGAACCAAGATATATACACTCTTGGAAAAATCTTTATCAAAATAGCATCTTACAACCAGGTGATCGTATCCCAGTGGTACTTGAGGGAAGTAAGTCTCAATACGGATCTGGGTTCGAAACCATTTGGCCACAACGGATTTAATATTCCTTCCGTTGGGGTCCTGACCCCTTTCGAGGGGATAGTCGGGTTTTCCGTTCGGGTTAGATCCTCGGAATAACTGGATACAGCTGGACAAAGCTCAGACCATCGATTTGGGTCCCAGAGCTGGTCGGTGACTGTTCGGTCGACTCCTCGAACCCAGATACCAGAGATATCAAAAAAAAAAAAAATAGCATCTTACCTCCATACTTTTACATCATATATGTGGAAGTATTAGTATTCCGAAAAATAGAGAGAGGTAACATGTTTACATGAATTTAGGTAATTAAGGCATGTCCGAAGATTTCACATTTTGCTTAGATAGTTGTACCCATGAATTATTTGCTTAGTCGACTAATGTAATGCTCATAATTCACCAATCATAAGACTATCAGCTGGAACTACCAAAGTAATCTAGAGCTGCGATTAAGAGTCAAATGTTACTCGACTAATCTTGAGCAAGGATTACAAACTGAGCCTAATTGAGATATTTTCTCCTAATCAGCTTTTTGGGAATTAATAATTTACTTTATTTGTTAAGGAATCAATATATGCCAAAACATTTCCTTTCATTTTCATGATATAAAGATAAAGAAAAGCATACAATTCTTGTTTTTTTATTTCTCGTGAGCTGTAGACCCAAAACCACGTGGCGTTTTTGTCTCTTTAAACGGCAAGAGTTTAAACCGTAGTGGCAACTCACGATCTTCTTCTGATTATCTGGTATTTACTGTAGACGATCAACGTCATGATCTCTATAAAGATGAAACCCGAGAGGACACGTGGTCTGTTCTGAATGGTCCTCAAAAGGTAAGCACTAACATTTGTTCTTAAATAGCTTTAACTAAGTACTTAAAAGGTGGGGTTTGACCAGCTTCCTGGCGCGAAACATGAGTAAACGATCCAGAACAAGATACGTGTCGACTCTCTAATGGATATTATGTCATCTTTAGACATGGTCCTATTTTATTGTTTGTGTTAGGCGACCCAATTTTGTTGATATATTAGTAATTATCAATTTATTTTATTTTCCTTTTTTTCTTCTAACGTCTCAATTAAGAGTTTGTGGGATACAAAATCAAATATCAATATATCTACAGTATTTGAAACCTGTTATATGACTATATCGAAGACCTTTGAATTATTTGCACAAAAGGTATATCAAAATGTTGGACTATGTCTGTGTCTAGTTCATCGGAATTTACGTCTATAAGTGTCATTGGGGCCATGCATAGATTCTTGGAGTTGGAATTATTTGAAGACTTGGTGGTCAAGAAGATAGACTAAGATTAGGAAAAGTATTTGTGGTGTACGATGCAATTAGAAGCCCAATTGTAGTTGGAGAGACTTGTTTTCACGTGGGCTTGGAGATTTTAGGGTTCGAGAAGAATTGAAAAGACAAAAATGTATCGTGTGAGATTAAGGCGAGCTTTTCGTTGATTGGTGCTTTAGTTTATCATGTGCGTTGTTGTGTTGGTGTTGCAAAGATTCGTAAAATTGAACCATAGGCTTATGTAGAGTTTAGTTTATGATTAGTCTATCTTGAAAAGTTCACGTTATAAAATGGAGTGGTAAATCAAGAAGCTTATGTATGATTTATCCATTTGCGAATTGGATATATAATTGTAAACATCATATAGTGAAGCTAGTACCTAAACTTCAATTCTCACCACTTGTTTTTTTTTTTTTTTTTTTATAGCAGAGTAGTAATTAATATAAGAATCTTGAATCTATACCCACCGGCCACCGATAACTCGTCTATTAAGAGTTGACTTTTTGTCTATGAAAAGGCCTCAAAGTAATCCCCAAAAGACCAAATGTTGTCTCCATCATTAACTTATAATACCAAATCAGAGCACACAATCAAACCCACCTCATAGAATCACTTTCATATTCTCTCCATTCATCAGAGAATCCTAAAAAATGGTGAGACAGAGAAGAAACACAGAGAAAGAAGAAGAGAAGCGAGAACAAGAAGATGTGGATCAAGAAGAGAAGGAGAAGCCAAGGCAGAGAAGCGTGAGCAGGAGAAACAAGCAATCTCTGGTGATCGGACTTGTTGGAGCTGCGTTGACTCTCGGTGCTTATTCTCAGACGTATGTGAAACCGGGCATATCTCTCGGCGCCGGCCTCTTTGTCCTCTTCTTTGGCCTCCTTGTCAGCGAAGGTTTCATCTCTCTTTAAAAACGGTGTATACATATAAGCCAACCAAACGATGCTTTTTTGTTTGTATGTTACAAATACACATATCTATGAGAGTATGAGTTATCTTATTTCATTTTTATTTTATTTCAAAACTGTTGAGAGTCTTGTAGCTCTTGAATTAATGTGATCCATTCCATATTGTTTTTGTACGGAACAGTATTTTTTCTTTCTTTTCTTGTAAGATGTGTTTTCATCTATATATTGTCCCGTCCAATTATTTAAGAAATGTATTCAACAAATGTGAATCATTGATGATACAGATATACGCAACATATGCAAAGTAATATGAACGGAAGATACTCTTTAACATGTTGGGCTAAAGTTGACTTTGACTAGTATCCGCTCTTAGCTGTAAATTAAGGGAAGCAAGACCCAAATTTAAATGTAAACATGCAATTAATTAAAAACAAATGAACTCTATGGTCGTGCTATATGATCTACAATACATATATTTATAAACAGAATTGTGCACTGCCTTAACTATTAATAAATCATCACCATTGTATCGAAATGAAACACGACAACACAGAACAAACGTGAAGAAAAGTAGGGGTTGTAAATCATTTTGCGTATAGACTCTCTATTGGGCCACTTAGAAATGAATTTATTGTTTTCATATGAACCCATATTGTTTTCAAACTAATATACAAATCCCCCATTAATATATATATATATATAGTCTCATAGCATGAAGGACTTTGTACACCTCATTTTTCGTATGCTGAATGCTGTGTTTGATCTTCAAATCATGATTGACAATAATGTCCGACTTTTTAGATGTTATTTGGATGAATCTGATCTTTTGATCATGATTTTACTCTGATCATAAAAACAAAAAGGTGTTAACTACTCTTGGTGGTATACATATATTTTTGTTAGAAGCTGAATCTAAATAAGGTACAGTATGCTGATATCTTGAAAGTTCAAACCATCTCTATTTTATCACCGACATTATTATAGTTGACACAGCGTCATGTCAAAGTCAATATATTACAACCACCACGCTTCATGCATGTGAGAACGGGTACCAGTGTTCTACCAAAATTGAGTATAGATTAAGACTTCGTTCGCATAGCGGTAAAACACTAAAACGTGCCAAAATATTCGAATGTCGTATGTTACGTGCTACTGTTTTTACATCAATTAAATCACTTCCAAAAAATTGTTTTCAGTTCATTACAGTTTTGTAGCTTAGCATGTGAACTGTAAAAACAAACTTTCAGATTTTCTTACGAAAAACTTTTAACTTTATATATATTTTAAAAACTTTTTATCACATGTGTTTCCTATATTCAATCAATTCACGTCCATCCGTTTTTTTTTGTTTTCTTAACACCACAATTTTCAGTCATAAAAACCGTCACAACGTATCTCTTGAACATCTATCCTATCATTTTCATTATGATCGTTGGAATCGTATGTATAATTTCCTATAATGAAAAACTCACTATGTCTATTGCACATGAAATTTGTTTAAGTAACTTGTTTGCTAATGCATTTTCCAACGCGTCATCTATGATTACATCTTAATATACTTTTCGTAACGTTGCCGGAAATAAAACTTGAAATAAATAATTATTACTTACAAACAGTTTCTTCTCCATCTAAGACTCAAACCCTTAACCATAGATTCAACTGCGTCCAACAAGTCATTACTCAACCAAACGAGATGGTCGAGACAACGAGACCACATTTTCTTAATTAAATGGGTCCAACAATTGAAGATTGGATATCTTTAACAGTATACCCAAAATATTTGTATAAACTTTTGATATGGTCTCACCATATTAGAGAGACAAGTTGTGAGTTTCGTGGATGGACGGTCCACACGCAAAATATTTCAAAACACATATCTTAAGCAATCAACCGCTTCATATTTGTACTTCCTCGATATGCACATGTTTGATAGTAAACGTATTTTCCCGAATTGAATCTATGGTTAGATGGAAATCACTATTATTGGTTTGTAATTTCTATATACGTTCTAGAGTATTTTAAATGCTCAAGTCTTCCACCAATAGAATACATTAGCTCGGTTTTATGAATATTACTTTAATTCGAATATAAACAAATGAGAACATTACAGTTAAGATTATCCAATCAAGAATTCAGGTAATGTAACTATTTTTTACAATTCATATCCGCGTTCGCGTATAAAGTTTTGTTACACACAACTTACACAAACACAGACATAAATTTATATATATAATATATATGTAGTTAAAAAAGTTGGGTTTTATAACAATTAAAATTACATAATCTAGAGGAACAAAATTGCCGTGCCAGGTCGATGACTTCAATACGTGGGCTTAATATTGTCTAGATAAATTGTTATCACCAATTTATTATAATATTACGCGTCCGTCTCCTATTTTCTTTCTCTTTTCGATTTATTGTGATTTTATTTTAATGTTCCTTATGAAAGCCAACTAAATATACTCCGCTTAATATTGGCACATATAAAGAGTTTTATTTCCGGAGTATATGTTGCTCATCAAATGTAAATGGGCATAACATATTGATTCCGCTTAATATTGGCACATATAAAGAGTTGTAAATTTATGTCTTCTCATATTTAATATATATTTTTTATCTTAGCCATAGGTTGAGAACTCAGCTGAAGCATAGTTTGCATTACATCTAAAATTAAAGAGCTAAAACCATATTCTTACAGATTTTTTTTTCAGTGTTAATAGGAGCTAAAACCATATTCTTACAATCGTATATCCCTCTTCAATAAATATGTAGAGTCAATAGTAGACGCATTATATTTCATAGACATATTTCTACCATTTGTACAATTGTACTTCAAATGTGTCTACCATTCCAAGTATATATAAACATTTGTAATTTATCTAGGTTGTCTGAAATCAGTATTTAGTACAAAAAAATTATTCCTAAAATGATTTGTCGTTTAGAGTACAGTTTCACATGCATGTATAGACAAATCTCTCAGCCATAAGCACTTGGAATGGTAGACACATTTGAAGTACAATTGTATACATAACATGCATGTCGAAAGACTGATATCATACACAAAATAAAAACCTAAAAAAGACAAATTTAACATCGCGTATACGGATTTTCACGACGGATTCGACTGATCTTGGAGAATTGGTAAAGAGTTTTCCACTATAAAGTACAAGTATATTGCTAAATAAAGAGCTTTCGACTATGGAATACTATTTTTCTAGCATTGACTAATTATGAAGTATATATAATTCATTAATTTTACAAACTTTTTTGATCTATGTGCTCAACAAAAACATCATATAACGTTACTGTCAATAGCAAAAGTCTTTCAAGCTGTAATATTCTGTATTTCTCTCATCTAGTTTCTTAGGCCGTTTACCTACCTTGTATTATTCCCTTAGACATTTTTCAACGAACGTACAAGGTAAATCAATTATTCTATTATAGATTGACTTTTAAGCGTCTCTTGATCTCTTCTATTTCACAGTTTATTTTTTAAAGAAAAGTCAACTCTTATAATAAACTTAACAACAAAAAAAAGACACTTGTAAGAAAACAAACTAGTAATAGTGTAAAACAACAATTTTTATCAAACAAAATGAAATAAACTTCAACAAGTTTTATCAAACAAAATAAAATAAAAAAACTTAAGAGTCGGCATATGAAAATAAAATTTCCCTTTGTGTTAAAATGTAATTATCAAACCATGGTGGAGTTTCCGTGTGCTTTCCTTTCTGTGAGTGTCTACGTGCTTGTATATGTGTATTTTGTTTCTTTCTCTAAACAGCTGTAACCATTTTTATCCAATGAAGTATCTACAGTTTTATAAAAAGTCACAACCTTTCTTCATCGCTTCTTCTGCTACCAATACAATGCAGCTCCAGTTTTCAACAAATTAAGAAGAAGAAGAAAATGATAACAACCCGACATAAAATACAACAAAATTTAATAAATACTGTATATAGATCGCAGTTAAACATGGACAAACAAATTATTGCTTATTGCAGTTAATTTCTCACTTTATTTTTCGGATAATATTATTTATTGAGTTCTATATTGTCTGTCTCAAACACTCATCAAACCCGCATAATTTATGAACTTAAATGCTATTTAAATCGTGTCTCCGTATGATTACTCTTTCTGACCTTTAAAATAACCAATACTCCACTTTTTTTATGACAACAATAAGTCAATAACCAATATAAAAAATATAAAAAAATAGAAAAGAAAATCTATAATGTTTACAGTATCACAATCACATCACTAATTTCTGATACGCATTTACTTCACATCTTGATTCACCTTTATGATAGATTCCAACTCATTTTAGCAATTTTGCTTTGATCGGCCTCTTAAATTAACACTTGCCTCTGCTTTTTCTTGTCCGTCGGTTCTAATATCCACGTTATGAAAATTAAACGCTTAAATATGAAATAAAATTAAATTAACAGAGTATAGTAAAGACCAATAAGCAGTTGCATGGACCCCGATTGATTCATTACAGCTCAAACTTTGTCTGATTCCTTCTTCCTATTTATACCACTCTCTTCTTCTTCCTTAGTTTTCATTACACCAAAAACCTCTTTACTTCTCCACATTCATATTTTTGACAAAACTACCCTTTTACTTCTCTTCCTTTTTTTTTCTCCCTTGCATGTTGTAATTGTACTTTTGCATCATCATGGGAGTTTTAGTTATATCGGCTCTCGTGCTGCATCTCCTAGCGTTTTCCGTTTGCGTTCAAGGCGTCTACCGTCGTGGCGGACACCATCCCGGAGGCCGCATGGGACCTTGGACCAACGCTCATGCCACTTTCTACGGCGGCGGGGATGCTTCCGGCACAATGGGTACACAACCTTATTGATGTCTCCATTAGAAACACTCTCATTTTCACTTGGATCACTCTAACTCAACTGATAAAAGGGTAGTTTAGTCCTTTCAACTTAGCTTCATCTCATGTTTTCAGAGCTAGCCCTCCTAACATGCAAACAGTTTCACCGGCTGATCATAAAAATATCAAAAAGTTATAAGAATTTTATTAGACAAAACAAAAAGAAATCGAGTTTAATAACGTAATTAGCAAAACAATTGTAGCATAGTTTTTTATGATGATTATAAACATTTTCCTTGATGAACTAAAATTAGGTGGAGCTTGCGGGTACGGGAATCTGTACAGCCAAGGTTACGGAACGGAGACGGCGGCGCTGAGCGCGGCGTTATTTGATGGCGGGCTTACTTGTGGTGCCTGCTTCGAGCTGATGTGTGTCAATGATCCTCAGTGGTGCATACGAGGCCGGTCCATTGTGGTCACTGCCACTAACTTTTGTCCTCCTGGTGGCGCTTGCGATCCTCCTAACCACCATTTCGATCTTTCTCAGCCCATCTACGAGCATATCGCACTATACAAGTCCGGTATCATTCCGGTCATGTACAGAAGGTACGTACTACTAATTTATTAGTCCGGTTTAGACCCTCGTGGGGCTATATATTTATATTTAATGTCATGAAATTGCATAGTACCGAACTATAAAAAGTGTAGTTTGTGAATATCACACGTTGCAAACTTTTTATTTTGGTCGAAACGTTGCAATATAAAACAAGATATTATTATTACACAGTACTTTTGTTTGTCTTTAAGGGCAAATATTAATCGTATATTTGATTTTTTAAAAAAACTTTTCAGTAAGTTTCATATAGTCAAACTTTCAAGTCGAATATTTCAACGAAACTATTCGTAAAAGCAAGTAAATCCAAAGTTGTACAAATTGGCTAAAACCATGTTCTGTATTCACATATGTGGAAAAACTTAAAAGACGCGTTATAATGAAACATCCATCTTCTGCCTACACTGCCTATAGATACGCATTTAATACTTTAGGACCAGTTGATAAATGTAGTAGAAATTGGGTACCAAATTATTAATATACCCAAAACTGTATAGTAGTGACCAGTATAATTATAATCAACACAGAATTTGTGGTGCCTTTTTTATTCTTAAGCCTTCTACTGAACCCTATTATACATACTTAAACAAGCTTAGCTAGTATTTAAACTAACATAATAGGACTAATTCAAAATTTCTTTATAATGGTGGATTATGAATAGGGTTCGGTGCAAGAGAAGCGGCGGGATAAGGTTCACGATCAACGGCCACTCATACTTTAACTTGGTGCTGGTCACAAACGTGGGTGGAGCCGGGGACGTACACTCTGTGTCAATGAGAGGGTCAAGGTCAAGATGGCAATTAATGTCAAGAAACTGGGGGCAAAACTGGCAAAGCAACTCCTATCTGAACGGTCAAAGTCTGTCGTTTGTTGTCACTACAAGTGATCGTCGAAGTGTCGTCTCGTACAACGTCGCGCCTCCCAGTTGGTCCTTTGGCCAGACCTACGTCGGAGGGCAGTTTCGGTATTAACTTATTATTTATATCAAAGTGATGATAAATTGATAATCATATATAGACCACCGGCTTGGTCTGTCTGGTCTGGTTTGCTTCCGATTTTGTAATTTGTGTTTTCTTCTTTTCCGGTTTTGAGTTGGGGACTTTTTTTTGGAAACCAATTTAAAATTTGGACTGATAGTGATATGTAGCGAATGTGTGAGAACGAGAGAAATAAAGAGAGACAATTCTCCTTTTTTATAAGAAAATGAAAGTGATATTTTAAACTCATGTTTTACTTTAACCAAGAAAATAAAAATGTATCATGATTCAGATTCATTTCGCTTCTCTAAAGGCTTATTTGAAATAGGTTACAAATAAACAAATATATACATTATATATGAATTGCATCTAAAAATGGATATGCATAATTTTGGTCTCATACGCCTACATTTATACATATACAAGGAAATGGTATATTATAGAGAAGACTAAAGCGTGGGGGAAAAGAATAAAAGGTGACAAAATATTCAAACAAGTTTTTGAAAAAGTGATGTCAGAGAACTGAAACTGTTCTTAACAGAGCAACCATGAAACATGTATGCGTGGGGTTTCTTTCTATTTCCATTTATACTCTCTCTCATCACACCCTTGTTCTTCTCTCTCCTCAGGTTTCCATTTTTGGCAATCAAACAGATTACATACGATAACATAGCCATCACCGAATCCAAACATCACATGCTTATCTCTTATATTGTATATAATGTCTCTGTGTGTATATATGAGACATGGTTCTACTACTTCTAGGAGAGAGTCTACCAAAGAGAAGAGAGTTAGATGGATTTCTCATGTTTCCAAGAATACCCTTTTGATCTCCATTGCAGAGGAGCATTTAATGGGTTTGTAGAAAACAATGCAATGGAAAGAAAGATGCAGAAAGAGAGTGATGAGTTGACGAAGAAGAAGAGAAAGAAGAGCGGCTCTAGGGCTTGTAGTAAAGGACATTGGAGATTTTCTGAGGATTCTCAGCTCATGGAGCTTGTTAAAGTTTATGGTCCTCAGAACTGGAACTGCATTGCAGAGAAGATGCAAGGAAGAACAGGTAAAAAAACCCTTATTTTAAACAAAATATTTCCTCTGCTATTTTTCCGGAGAAAGTGAGCTTAAAAATGTGTTTTTTCTTGCTTTGTTTGGGTTGTTAAAAGGAAAGAGTTGCAGATTGAGGTGGTTTAACCAGTTAGATCCGAGGATCAACAAGAAAGCTTTCAGTGTTGAGGAAGAAGAGAGGCTACTTGCAGCTCACAGAGCATTTGGTAACAAATGGTCTATGATTGCTAAGATTTTCAATGGAAGAACAGACAATGCCTTGAAGAATCACTGGCATGTCCTCATGGCAAGAAAGCTGAGGCAGCAATCAACTTCTTACATCAGGAGATTCAATGATTCTGCTCATGAACTCAACACAGATCACAAAATCTTCAATCTTTCTCCTGGTTTGTGTCTTCTTACTCTATCTAGAACTTGATATTGTACTGAATCTCTTGCCATTTCCTATTGTAATGATTTTTAAGTTTTAAGTTTGGTGAGTTAAAATTAGTTTCATGGTTCTGTGTGTATTTGTTTTCAGGTATTGTAGATGATGAAGATATGAATCTGGAAAAGTACAGCTGGAAAATGCTAAAAGAAGGAAGAACGAAACTGAAAGCTGAGTATCTCCAAGAAGAGTATTGTTCTTCGCGCATGCCAATGCAGGGCCCGCACCATCACTACTCAACCTCCCCTGCAGATTCCTTGGCACTGACACTGCATGTCTCCATCCCAGAACCATCATCATCATCATTGTCATCATCACCATCGTCGTCGTCATTATCACTGCCATTATCATCTACAGGTAATAATACAACGGTGAGCAGATACTTTGAGACAATCAAAGCTCCAGCATTTATAGATTTTCTTGGAGTAGGCCACCAAAGCCCCAACATTTAGAGAGTGGTAAGTAACTAATCAAAGACCTTGATTACTCCTGTCATTGTTATCAAAGTCCCTGTCTTTTGTTAGCCATTAACATGACAAGCTAAGAAATTTATTGTATGTCCTCTTTTCTCTTTCTCCATGTGCCATTTATCTAATTTCTGATTCAATAATTTGAAACATTATTACAAAATGAAACACCAGCACATATTTATCTTAAGAATTCCGAGTTAAGACCATGAATTGAATTCTAAGAATGGAAACAAATGTTGTGGGTAAAGAATCAAAGACCAAGTAAAGCTATAATCAGTTTTTGCATTCCACATAGAGTAAAACTTAACTAGCATTCTGAGTTGTGCCTGCCATTGCTTCTTCGAGTTCCTCCATTGTAAGAAGCCTCGTGCTCTTCAAAGATTCTCCTTTTACGTAGGAATCGATATCCTCAAGGTTCACTTGCTTCAAAGTGAATTGGTTTCCCACAGCCATTACTGTCTTCTCAACAAAATCCGATCTTTCAATGTAATCCTTCATTTTACACACGAAATCTGTGTGATCTCTTTCCTGCAACGTACCAAACCGTTGGAACATATAACGTATTAGATCATGTAATCAATTCGAAAACAGGATCATACCAACCGGTACTGTGGCACTCTCGAAGGAAGCTTAAGGTAAGCCATGTTTCTCACATCGTAGTCCCATAGAAATGACGTATGGTGTATCCATCTATTCCTAATTATCGACTGAGCATTTCCACCAAATTTCCGATCACCAAAAACGTAATCTGAGCAATCTCAAATACACAAGAAAGAAAAAGCATTAAACCTTTTTCATTGTAGATGAAGAAGAAGCCAGAGTAATTAACAGAGTTTCACGCACCGTTCTCACGTAGTTGGAAACCATTAATACCCTTAAACACTTCACCATACAAGGCACCACTCCATGCCATGACAGAACGAGGATAAGGCTGGACATTTGGAACATCGTCCTTGTTGCAAATCAAACTCACAAACACGGTACTCTTGTCCACAATCACCGTTCCTCCTCCCGTGAATCTTTTGATCACCGGTATTCGATCCTCTATCACAGGTCTAAGCTCAAGAAGTTGACAAGGCTTCCTGTAAACGAGAGAAAACAACCAAAATGCTCAAAGTTTTTAACTTTTTGTTTTCGCAAGGATTTCATCACAAAAGGCAGAGGAAAGGATGGAAATTTACCCAGACATTCCCATGACAATGGTAGGGACATTGGTTCCATCATTAACGATGCACCAATTATCAGAAGATGTTCTGAGAAGTCTTTCTTCCAAATGCAGCTGCTCCAGAATCGGTGTGCCTTTAAGCCTAACGAGATTCATCAATGGAAGCCTTAAACCCTTGGCTCTGTTTACACTCATCTTAGCTCTTTCAGCTTTACCTGAGAAGCTTCTATGCTACAAGAGCAATGATCAATACAAAAAGGGCCTTTAAATCTCCAGGAAACTTTCGATTTCTTCAAATTAGCAAAACGTCAATCTCGGAATTTCGATTGATTGGTTTTCCAATGTAAGATTTTGAATTATAATCTCGATTTCAGTAAGAAGGAAGCTTACCCAAATATCAGATTCCGGCGAGGGTCGTCGCTCGGCGATCTCGGACTCGAATCGAGACGGAAGAATCTTCAACGCGCTTTCTCAACGCTCGTTAGAAGCTTCGAAGGTTAGATTGTGCCCTTACGATATATCATTTCAGGCCCACACCTCTGAGCAACACGCTTTTTCGTCAACGCGTTTCTCTTGGATACCGAAAGTCAGCGTTTTGGCGCCACCCGTTGTCCGCTTTGTCCCGGAGGTGAAGTCGGAACCAGTTCCCGCGCTTTTCTTACTCGAGCGTTAACAAGAGAGCGAAGTGAATAGATTCAAGTTATAATGCACGCAAGGTATTCGATCTAATGCCGTACAGAGATGTGATTTATTTGGAGTTCGTTAATGGCGGATTATTGGAAGTTTTTGAAATTACTCAAAAGCCCTCAAGATATATGAAGTCTGATTAATTAATAATCGATTGTGTTAGAAGAACAAAAGAAAAAATTGTATTACTAATGTCATTCAAAAAAAGAAAATCATATGAATTTAGCAGAAGCTATTCTCCATGAACTTCACAAATTCGTTAAAATCGATTCTTCCGTCTTTGTTTCCATCTAATGATCTGATCATAACCGAGCAATTCTCCAGGTAAGATCCTTCTTTGAAACCTAAGCTCGTCAAAACTCTCTGTAACTCTGTAGCATCGATGAAGCCATCTCTGTTTTCATCAAACACGTCAAAAGCTTGCTTCACTTCCTCCAAACTCGCTTCTTTCTCTTCGAACAAACTCGAGATCTCTTTGGAACTGTATCGCTCTTGAAGCTCGTCGCTTTCTCTGTCCGGAAAAAGCCCTAAGCTTCTCATAACCGTCTCTGCGTCTTCTCTGGAGAGATAATCATCATTATCTTTTACTTCTTCTTGTTCTACGTGTTTGATTAGACTCTGTTTTTCGTCTGAGAACTCGAGACCTTTGTTGTTTTTGTCTGAAACACGTTGGTGGCGATGATGTAGAAGGAAGAATCTGGATAAGAAGATGCGAGCAGACGAAACCCATCTGCAAAATCCGATGAGTAACAAGTTGAACAGAGCAAATAAAGGGAGAGAAGAAGATTGTTCCGAGATGAAACTCTTCTCCATGATTATGTGTTACTGGTTGGTTTGAATGAAAGAATTACAAGAACTAATTGATGAGAAGGTATAGAATCTGTGTGTATTGATGATGTATATATACTAATGGAGTTTTCAAGTGTTGGTGCTAAGTTTTCTTTTTCTAAATAGGCAAAAGCGAGGAAAGTCCGTTTTGGAAAAGGAAACTTCTTTCAATTTCTTGAAACCATCCTTGGAGTGGTTAAAATTTTGGTCTTACGAGGAGGAAAGTTTGGTCGGCTTGACTCGTTTTTAAATAAGAAAGGAAGAAGTATACATGGACTAGAATTTTTGTAAAGAAACTGAAAGTATCTATTATTGACCAGGATATTTGTATGTTTTCATTGGTTGAAAACTTGAATACAAGGTTTTGTTAAGTATCTTAAACTTTGTGTACATATTTCGAATCAACAACTATCACATACAAAACATCAAGACTAGAAATACCAAAGACTTGAATTTACTTAGACTTCTATCTTAAATTTAGTTTCATTTGCATCCTACATTGACTCGCATATGAATGAAATTATACATGTGCATTTCGGGATGGGAATCTTGTTCCTTCTTTACCTATTTAAAATTTCTATAATTTTTTTAGAATGTAAAAATTGCAATTTCCCGTTTGGGAACATTTTCTTTTATTCAAACGGGTATGGGAAGAATTTGGAAAGGTTACGAAATTTCCCGTTTTCTCTTTTCTAGAAAAAATTTCTTCCAAAATTTCCCAAATATATTTATTTTTTCTCCATTTATTAAGATATTGGGAAATTTTTTTTAACATGTCTTTTGAGTTCGGGTTTGATTGAAGGCAAAGTGTTATGTTTGGATTTTTTAATTTTTCAGTCCCATATTTTCCGTTCTCATCTCATTCCCGTTATTTTCTATCTGTTGTAATAAGGGTATATTTCGGTTAGCATATTCAGTTTCCTGAACTTTTTATTCTCATTCCATTCCCGCCAATTCCTGTCGTAAAACCCGAATTATATAAGGCACAAGGCAAAATAAAATCGCCAGATGATGAAAAATATAATGTTGGCAACAAAAATCATGTTTTTTTAACAATTTAAGTCCAATGATACTATAGTTGCTTTGATTTGACTTTTAATGGGCCTTTGAGTTTGGATCTGATTGAAGGCTAAGTATTTATCATTCTAGTTATTCTTGTTATGTTCCCGCCAATTCCTTTCTCAAAATCTGAAATAAATAAGCTAAATTAAATCATTATCGGAATACTTCAAAGAGCATATTTAATTTCCTAAACTTCTAATTCCCGTTATTCTCGTTATGTTCCTGCCAATCTTTTTCCTAAAATCTGAAATAAACAAGCTAAATTAAATCATCGGAATACTTCAAAGAGCATATTTAGTTTTCCAAACTTCTCATTCCCGTTATTCTTGTTATATTCCCGCCAATTCTTTTCCCAAAATCCAAAATACACAACCTAAATTAAATCGTTATGGGAATATTTCAAAGAGCATATTTAGTTTTCCAAACTTCTCATTCCCATTATTCTCGTTATATTCCTGCCAATTCTTTTCCCAAAACTCGAAATACACAAGCTAAATTAAATTGTCATATGCTGAAGAAAAAAAATGTTGGCAACAAACAAAATCATATTTTTTACAATTTATGTTCCATTGATAACCTGCTTCGATTTGACTTTTAATGGGCTTTTGAGTTAGTTTGGGTCTGATTGAAGGCAAAGTGTTTATGTTCCGAAGATATGCAAAAATCTCAGACAGCCTCTTCTTCAAATCTATTTTTGCGATAAAATCAAGTGAATTAACTCTAAAAAGATTTTGCCTTTTCATCTTCGTAATTTACTCTTTGCGTTTGGGATTTTGCCTCATCGATTTCTGGTTGTGGCTCTCCTGATCTATTCTTATTGGCTCCGATTTCATCACGACGATCCTTTCGAGCTTCGATCGCCATCGAGCTCGAGAGAATCCATGGATTCTTCGCCGGTTTCGGGTCGATTCGATATCTTCGAGATATATCGAAGATTTTGCGGTAAAGTCCTATACTTTTGCTTTCTTCCTCGATCTGTCAATTCTTGCCCATAAAGTTGTGTTCTTTTTCGTTTGCGTGTATGAAAAATTGGTTTTTTAAGTTGAAAGTTTAGCTCCTTTTGCTTGAAGATCTCTGCTTTATTGTAGCCATCTCTGACATTGCTAAGGAAAAGTGGATGCTCGTGTCTTGAGTTGTACGGTTTGGTGCTTACGTAGGGCTCTTGCTAATGAAAAATCTGATACATTGTCTCTCTCTCAAGATGAAGTTTCTTGCTTTTGCTTAAATGATGTTGAAATTAGTTAAAGAATGTCTATACATAATGGAGAGAGAGAGAGACAGAGACTAATGGATTTTCTTATATTTTCTTGCAGACATTCGATCAGGTCAACAGTTAATTAACTATAAACCAGGCGAGGAATCACAAAGAGCTAACAACTCTTCAAAAGAAGCATTAACACAGCTCTTACTTCTAGTTGAGAAGAATTTTCAAGCAAGGTGAATTTCTCACCTATCTTTGTGGCTATCGTCTGAAGCAAAACATACTTGCTAATCCGTTCGCTTATTATCCGTTGCATCCCATTGCAGGAACTCCATTTTTGATGAATTATTCAAGTTGATGTCACGGCTGGACTTGATGGCAAGTTCCATAATTCTTACAGGTTAATTATTTTCTTGTCCCATTTGGATTTTGTGATCTGATCTTTGGTGTTTTCTCTTTGTAGGTGGACTTTGCCGAGTTTACCCGCTTTTATGATTTTGTTTTCTTTATGTGCCGAGAGAAAGGACAGAAGAATTTAGGTAAAAGCTTCTATAGACTCACTATATGTCTCCAAATAGCCAATGGAGATAATAATACTAAAACTCCATTGAATGTTGTGTCCACTTCAGCTGTAGGTAGAGCTATAACCGCATGGAAACTAGTTTTGGCTGGGAGATTTAGGCTACTTAACCGCTGGTGTGACTTCATCGAGGTACTTTTTCAGAACTATAGACGTATCTTAACAAAAGGGTCTTGTGTTTGTATATCTAACAAGAAGATTAACTTGTAGGAAAACCAACGGCACAATATTTCAGAGGATACTTGGCAACAAGTCTTGGCTTTTAGTCGTTGTGTACATGAGAATCTTGAAGGTTATGATTCTGAAGGTACAAACTTCTTTAGACTTTTCACCAAAACAAGTGTGTGTATATGTTTATGTTTTTGATTCATCTTATGGTTTTTGATTTGCCTCAGGTGCTTGGCCTGTCCTCATTGATGACTTTGTCGAGCATATGTACAGGTCTGGGAGAAATAAAATAGCTTCTTTTTCTCTTACACAGTTAACAACGTAAGCTCAATCCCTTTTGTTGGTGATTTGCAGCGTTTTAGGACCGAATAAGACGGACACTAGCTCGTCCTGTAACTGTGGCGACACAGAATCTGAATCATGCCTCTATGAAGATCCACTTTCAGGTATGTGCGGTTTATATATAACCTGAGGTTTTGAAATTTCTTGACATATAATGATGATCTTCTTCGTCTTAATCTGGTGTTAAGATGGGCATCACAAAGTTTATCCTCGCTGCCACACTGGTTTAAGAAGTGTTCCAGGTTTAAAGAGAAAAATGTCTCATGACGATGACGAAGAAGAAGAAGAAGAAGAAGAAGATGAACAAGTATCAGAAGCTCAAAACTCATATTCGTCGCCATACTTGAAAAGATTCAGATGCGACGACAGTCCAAAATGTTCATCCAAGTCGGCTTGTGCTATTGAGCGAAGTCTCTCGCAAGGTTTTGCGAGTCTTTTATCGACTGGAGATAAGGCGTGATGATGAAAACACAAAACATCATCGCACATAAGTTATAAGATTTATACAAATCAGAAGAGGTCTAAAAAGTTGGTTTCTCATTTTTTTTCAGTTTAAAAAAAAAACTCACTTTCTTAAGTGACTGTGAGTTCTTCTTTGTTGTAAGCTATATAAACATTTGTTACCCATTCGATTTTATAAATTGATCTGTTTCCATTTTACATATTAGAGCAAAAGTTTTATGGTCATTTACTCGTTTTCACTAGTTTCAAGAAAATGTTTAAATTTCTTGAGAAATCACATAATTATTAGGGTTAACACAAGTCGCTACAAAACAGGACTAATAAAGAAAGAGTTGTTAATAGACAGCACTAAACCCAAATTAATTACAATCCAAAATGATTATTTAATGGAGAGAGTATTAAACTATTTTTAATTCACCAAGCATTTGTGATTCCTTGGTTTCAAAGTGCAACACGTTAATACGTTATGCTATAAAACAAAAATATGAAATTTCTCCTTTTTCAGTTTATGTTGATTTAAGATGCTAATTAGATAAATTACAAGTATATTCTGATATTACACTTTTTCATGCTTTTAATTGCTTAGCATATTCTGACATTACATGGAATAGAAATTTTATGTAAAAAAAAGTTATAACAAAATGCCAAGTATATCGTGCATATTCAATAACAAACTGTTGAATCTTTAATTACCAAAAAATAAGGTGGCTCTTGATCTCCTTTAACCCAAAAAAAAATAAAAACGTAAGACTGTTCAACCACCAATCTCCCCTTTAATGATTGACTGATTTGTGACTTAAGCAACTACACAAATCAGTGCCAGATCGTCTGATTCCTCGACTTCATCAGGCTCATCGGCTCTCCTCATTTTTTTCGGTTCGACTCTTTTACTTTCAATATTTTCTCTCAAACCACATTGGCGATCGTGTGATTTCTCGATATTTCTATTATTTTCTTAGCTTTCATCATATACTTTGTTTCTGCGGTGACGTACATTTGCGATCGTGTGATTTCTCGATATTTCTATTATTTTTTTAGCTTTCATCATATACTTTGTTTCTGCGGTGACGTACATTTGCGATCGTGTGATTTCTCGATATTTCTATTATTTTCTTAGCTCTCATTATATACTTTGTTTCTGCGGTAACATTTTTTTTCTTTCTAGGATATAATCAGGGAAAAGAAAAAGAAAATCTGAATAAGAAGCTGAATGATGTGTTAAAGATTTTGGTGGTTAGAGTCTATGGCATACGTTAAACGTCTGTAATTTAGAATTTAGTGAGTTTTGAGAAAAAAATAAAATCTAATATTGCTGGCATGTGTGACCATTAATTCATTCCTTTATCGTATAGGAAATCTATTCATTCATCACTTTAAAACTAAACACACCTAATAATGTTTCCACTTACTTCCATATTATGTGTGACTCTGTTCATTCTTTTTTCGTGTTCATAAAGCTTAATTAGTTCTCAGGAACTCCTCATTAACAGAACTTGATTTTGTTTTGTTTTTCAGGTTTCATAAGAGTTCCTAAGCTCTTTAGAGATAGAGATACTCTTCCCATTGATTTTCCAGGTAAGTTCACACGTAACTCCTAATTAGTCACAATCAATAGCCACGGCTCTCTTGCTTTCGCCTTTATAAACTCAACCGTATTGTTTTCTTTCTTTTCTTCAAAATCTACTATAAATACATATCACTAACTTATGCAAGAAAGTGTATTTGTATGTTTTCAATACTTTTCTCTTAAGAAGTTAAATTTCACACGTTGAAGAAAAATTTAACACATATGCACTTTCTTGCATACGTTTGCAAAAGTATATTTACATTTCTCTACTTTTCTCTTAAATGTTATCAGCAATGGAAGAAGATAACCACGAAAAACAACTTGACAATGGTGGATCTTCCTCTTTCTTCAAGACTTGTTTCAACGCCCTCAATGCTCTTTCAGGTTGATTTTTCCGGCTTGGTTCTATGCATTTGTCTATAATCTATTTAGTCGTCTTTGTAACATCATAATTTATATCATTTGAATTGTATTAGGAATTGGGATATTATCGGTACCATATTCACTAGCTCGTGGAGGATGGTTGAGTCTTTCACTTCTGCTTCTCCTAGCCGCAACCGCGTTCTACACATCTCTACTCATCACAAAATGCATGAACGCGGATCGTAGCATCAAAACGTATCCGGACATTGGAGAACGCGCGTTTGGCAAACAAGGAAGACTCATTGTCTCACTCTTCATGCACTTGGAGCTCTATCTAGTCACCACCGGTTTCTTGATCCTTGAAGGAGACAACCTTCACAATATCTTCCCTGGTTTCAACATCAAAATGATCGGATTGAGATTGAATGGCAAACAATCTTTCATGGCCACTGTGGCACTCGTCATCATGCCAACACTATGGTGGGACAACCTAAGCGTCTTGTCTTATGTTTCAATGAGTGGCGTTTTAGCCACGGCCGTGACTCTTGGATCGATATCTTGGGTCGGAGCATTCGATGGAATCGGGTTTCATCAAAAGGGAAAGTTGATTAATTGGAGTGGGATCCCTACGGCTTTGAGCTTGTATGCTTTTTGCTATGGTGCACATCCGGTTTTGCCCACTTTGTATTCTTCTATGAAAAGCAAACACCAATTCAACAATGTAAGTCATGCATGTCCATCATTAATTACTAACCTACAAATCCATTAATTACCATACTTTCATATGTCCAATATTCTTGTACGTTACATTTTGTTTTATATTTGAATATATTGAACTAAACAACAAATTTTGTTAATTACATTTATGCCTAATCACATTCTCCTTTCTTTTTTGTTTTTTGGCAGGTTCTACTTATATGTTTTATATTATGCACCATTGGTTACACATCAATGGCGGTTTTGGGCTACTCAATGTATGGATCACATACGTTATCGCAAATAACACTGAATCTACCGATCCATAAGACGAGTTCGAAGGTGGCAATATACACAACACTCGTAAACCCTATAGCCAAATACGCGTTGATGATCACACCAACCGTGAACACTATAAAAGATTGGTTTCCTTCACGGTACGCCAAGAAGACATACTTACATCTCTTGATCAGTACCTTCTTCATAGCGAGTAGTGTGGTCGTCGCCGAGACACTTCCCTTTTTCGGTTATATGATGTCTCTGGTTGGAGCATTGTTGAGCGTGACGGTTTCTATTCTTCTGCCTTGTTTATGTTACTTGAAAATCACTGGAAACTACAAGAAGTTTGGGTGTGAGACTGTGATGTTGTTTGGTATGGTTGCGATGAGTGTTCCGATTGGAGTTTTAGGTACTTATATTGCAATTAGAGAAATAATTGGCAGTGTTTAAAAGGTTTTGTAGCAAATAAGCTTTGATTAATATGAATGAGGGTGTTGTAGCAAATACAAATGTTACAACAATTCATGTATTTAACTTTGTCTAAGCTTATGAGTTCAATTCTCAAATAATACCACATTTTGTGTGTGTGTTTTTTTGTGCTTCAATAATAGTACACCATCAACAGTTTAAATTTGTAACTATGGTATTTTTAATTTAAAAGAAAATAATGACATAATTTAAATTTAAAACGTAAATAAAAGAAAGAATAAATAATTTAAATGACGTCATTATATTACCGGCAATAACGAAGAAAGGAAGTAGATGGAGGAGAGGATAGGAGTGAATGATTGAAGCTTAAACAGTTAAAAAAGAAATCAGAATTGAGAAATTGCAATTGTCAAATCAAATCAGCGGAAGAAGATGAGTAGCTCTGATGCTCCGTCGCATAACGTCTTCGTTTACGGTAGTATTCTGGAACCTGCCGTCGCCGCCGTGATCCTTGACCGCACCCCCGATACCGTTCCCGCCATTCTCCATGGCTAGTACGTTTTCTTTCTTCACTCTCTCTCTCTCTATCTCTCCTAGAGATTAACCCGATTTATGGATTCTTGCAGTCACAGGTACAAACTCAAAGGACGTTCTCATCCTTGTATTGTCCCTCTGGAGTCGGGAAAAGTGAACGGATTGGTTTGATTCTCCATGTCTTTTCTTCTGAATTGATATCATAGTGTCTTCAATCGAATTGGGATTTCGTAAAGTTTTGGTTTTTATGTGTTTGGTGAAGGTTATTACAGGAGTATCAGATGCTGAACTCAACAAGTTCGATGTGAGTGAAGGTAATCTTTACGAGAGAGTCACTGTTGAAGTTGTACGGACGGTATGTGTGGAGGAGGAATCATCAGATCTTTGTCTCTCTCTCATCACAATCTTGACCCCAGTTTTGACTGTAAGTGGTGTTTTTGGTGACGCAGGACAATTCTGAGAAGATGAAAGCGGAAACTTATGTGTGGGTGAATAAAGATGATCCTGCTTTGTATGGAGAATGGGATTTTGAGGTTGGTTCTTGTTAATGGATGATCAAATGTTACCTTTTTTATCTTTTCAGCGATAGTTAAAATGTAGGAGTGGAGAGTGATTACAGATGATCATTGTGTGTGTGTGTGTGTGTGTGTGTGTGTGTAGGAATGGAGAGTGAAATATGCGGATAAATTCGTGGAGACGTTTAGGAAAATTCTGGAATGGCAGAAGAATCCAAATGGGCAGAGATTAGAAGATGTTGTAGATCCATCTATATTTTTTGAGGATGGTGATTCTTGAACATACATTAAATTTGTTCAACACGAAATGGAGTATGCAAGTAAAGTGTGTTTTGAATAATGTGTTTGTGTGTTGTGTGTTGTTGGAACTTGAAAGCTGAGAGTCTTTTTATAAGATCATGTTTGTGTAATATTATGGAATCTTGTTTGGCACACTCAAGAATTATACTAATAAAGTCAAATTTATATGTAGTTTAAGAGGTTATTGTGATCGAGGCCTTAAACCAAAGAGAAAGAGAATCAGAAGTACACTGGTTCATAGATCAATCAACAGAGAATCGAAAAATGATATAATACTATAAATAATACTCTCCCTGATTATAATGTAAATGTACATCAATCTTATATACATATATATTATGATTAGTGAAATTAATCAACTAAGCAGAGTTAACTAACTACTAGTTTAATAGACACATTCAAATCACAAGGACCTACAATCAATGACCATGTGCTTATGATATTGTTTTTTCTTTCTCTTGGCGGCCTATGTTTATCGTAATTACTTTTGAATGGCCCTACGTGTATTAATTTTAGATGTGAGGACAGTGACAACAATTCACATCTTTGTTATCTTTTCTTCATGCACTACTGCAAAGATAAAATTGACAATATTTTATTTGTTAGAAAGAAAGGATATTTCATTTTGACCTACTGCTACATAAGTTGGTCACTCCAAACTAAGAATCAACAATGGTATATGCATGTATTATTAATTTAACTAAAAACTATGATTGTATATTATCTAGTCTACTAAGGTAGAAAGATTCAAAGAAAGTAGGCTACGATATACAATTACAAGTTTAATATAAATAGAGCACTACTAAAACTCATCTCTCTCCCACACAATCTCAATCACATTATCAAAAATTCAAAACTATATTAAAAGAACTTTCAGAGGGGGAGGGAAGATGACTAGTTCTGATCAATCTCCGTCGCACAACGTATTCGTCTACGGCAGTTTTCAAGAGCCAGCCGTCAGCGGTTTGATTCTCGAATGTACTCCGGTCATCGTCTCCGCCAAACTCCACGGCTTGTACGTCTGTCTTTCTTTACATGATCCGATCTTTCTTTTACCTTAGATTTCTAGGGGATTATTTAAAGGTCAATTCTGCTTTTTGTTGCAGTCATCTGTATAGACTCAAAGGGCGTTTGCATCCTTGTATTTCTCCTTCTGATAATGGAATAATCAACGGCAAGGTTTTGTTTTAGCTCTTCTCTTCTTCTTTTTTGGGTTTTGGGGATATACTTGAAACTAAGAGCAAATACAACTTTAGTATTACAAAATTCTAGCAAGTTGGTGATATATATGATTGATGTTTGGTGCAGGTACTGACTGGATTAACAGATGCTCAGCTAGAGAATTTAGATATGATTGAAGGAGCTGATTACATGAGGAAGACTGTTGAAGTTATATTAACTGTAAGTTTCACTTTCACTTCATCATCTCTAATGATCATTGTTGGTCCTGAGATTGCTTAATGATTTCCATTTTTAAATATTTCAGAACACTTCGGAGAAGATGAAAGTGGAAACCTATGTATGGGCCAACAAGGATGATCCTGACATGTATGGAGAATGGGATTTCGAGGTTGATATAACCAAATATCATTCACAAGTTACATAACTTCTTGATTTGATCAAAAAATTAATAATTCTTTTTGAGTTGTGTTTGCTTAATGGTTTTGGTAGGAATGGAAGCGGCTTCATATGGAGAAGTTCATAGAGGCATCGAAGAAATTCATCGAATGGAAGAAGAATCCCAATGGGAAAACAAGGGAAGAGTTTGAGAAATTTGTACACGAAGAGTGAAGAATCTTTGTCTGCCTTTATATCTTTTAATCTATGTTTATGTCTTGTTGTTTTCCAATATCAAGATTTGTAGAAATCACTCTCTTACTGCAAAATAAAAGGGTCTCACTCTCACTTTACACGCAACAAGAGGCCTTGTGAGTTGGGAGCACAAATAAGAGTGTCGTATCTAATATCGTCTGTGTTATATTAATAAGATGTTGTATGCATTTTGTGTTGTGTATTATTAAGGGTGTGTCATACACTAATGATCATCATAACAAATCTGGTCCGAATCCAAAAAAAAGTCACATTGCTTTGATTCCTTTGAGAGAATAGAAGAAAATGCAAATGGTTTGACTTTGACCGATAGTCTAAAAAGGTAATTTAATTTAAGAGATTTAAATTACATAGGAAGACAATAATTTATAGTTGACTCTTTGACTAAGTGACACAGTGTGATTATTGAATTGGAGAGATTATGATAATTGATAAGACCGAATTATAATTCTCAATCTGGTGTCAAAAAAGAAATTCTCAATCAGAGCAATAATAAGCTCATCACTCTGATTCAGACACGATTTCAAACTTTATCAAATCACTTTCAGAGTGGGGGAAAGATGGCTACTTCTGATCAATCTCCGCCGCACAACGTCTTCGTCTACGGCAGTTTCCAAGAACCAGCCATCGCCGGTTTGATCCTCGAATGCACTCCGGTCATCGTCTCCGCCAAACTCCACGGCTTGTACGTCTTTTCTTTCTTTACATACACCTCCAATCTTCTTCCATTTTGATTAGATTTCGTCGAGATTGATCCAAATCGATTTCTTGTTGTTGTTTCAGTCATCTGTATAGACTCAAAGGACGTTTGCATCCTTGTATTGCTCCTTCTGATAATGGAATCGTCAAGGGCAAGGTTTGATTTCAGCTCTTTCTTCTGTTTCTAAAATTTTTGTTTGCTCCTCTATTAGGGGTTTGAATCAAAAATTGGGGCTTTCTTCTATGGGTTTTGTAAGATTAAATCTTGTTTAATTGATTTCAGTTTCTGAAGTTTGTGGATGTTTGTTTGATTTGGTGCAGATATTAACTGGGTTAACAGATGCTCAGCTTGAGAATTTAGACATGATTGAAGGAACTGAATACGTGAGGAAGACTGTTGAAGTTGTATTGACTGTAAGTCTCAGTTTCATTTTATCATCTCTAAATGATCCTCAGATTGGTGGTTAAAGATTGATGAAACTTTTTTAATACTTCATTTTATGCAGGACACTTCGGAGAAGAAGAAAGTGGAGACATATGTATGGGCCAAAGAGGATGATCCTAACATGTATGGAGAATGGGATTTTGAGGTTGATAACCAAATATCATTCACAAGTTTTCTCTTTTCTATTTCTTTCCCTTAACTTTCTTGATTTGTCAAAAAAAAAAAGCTGTTGGAGAAACACTTTGTGTGGGGTTTGATTTGATTCTGTAGGAGTGGAAGCCTCTTCATATGGAGGCATTCTTAGAGGGGTTCAAGCAATTCATGGAATGGAAGAAGAATCCTGATGGGAAACCAATGGCTAAGTTTGATAAATATGTACTCGAAGATCCTCCTGCTGAGTGAAGCAGAAACCGCTGTATCTTTATCTCTCTCTCTTTTTACTGCAAATAAAAGTGACTCACTTTCAATGGCCATAAGAGAGACCCTTGTGAGTGAGTTGAGAAGAGTTTCACAAAGAATGAAGTTTGTATTTGTACTGTTTGTTTGTATTGAGAGTTGTGTGCAAGTGTGTCATCATCTTCTACTGCAACAGTTGCTTTTTTTTTTTTTTTAAGAACAGAAGAATTCATATAATACTTTTGAATTCATAGGATAACAAGTTAACAACATCAATTTGTCAACAAGAACAAATAAAACCTCTACATATTAAATATAAAGAGATCAGTGAGATCTAAAAGTGACGACTTTCTTCAGTAATGAAAGCAACAGCACATCGTTCTGATTTCGAATACTTCTTGAACACAGCTCCTAGCTTGCTCTCCCCAGCTCTCGAGTGAATGAAAGCTAAACGCTTTGCGCACTCCATGAGCTCAAATCCAGAGTAGCCAGTGTGGAATCTCAGAGTATCAGTCCAAGCAGGGACCTTGTGCAAGAAGCATCTTGCAGTGTAGACTGCTGAAGCAGCGAGCAGAGAAGGAGGAAACTTCAAAGTCTCGTAATGCGTCAAACCCAACTCAGCTAGATAGTGAACCATGTTCTCCACTTCCGCGTCAGAAACCGCAGCTTTGGTGAATCTCACGAGGAACACGTACTGTGTTGGAACTGTCAAGTGCCACTCCAGACTCGCCAAGATGGTTTCCTCCATCACTAGTATCTGCTTGTTGCTGTAAGTGCCGTCTGTCAAACATGCCAAATCATCGACCTGAGGAGGCCACATGTCTTCGTACTTGGAAGCTATGAGCAAAGCAGTAACACCTAGAAGCTGTAGTTGTCCTCCTTGTACAGTTTTCAGAGACAGGAAACGATCAATCAGGTTGAGTGCGAGGTAGAGAGTCTCAGGGGACAGATCAAACATGAAGTGAACGTCAACAAGCCAGTCAATAAGAATTGATCTCATCTTCTCGTTAATCTCAGGCTGTGTTTGCATATACATTAGAGGCTTGCTCTCGTTCTCAACTTGTTTGTAGAACGTGTACATGTCCTCAACATACTCCACAGCAGCAAGGTCATTGTCTTTGTCGATGGAGTCAATATCCAGAGCCTTGGATGCAACAGCCTTGACAACCGACGACGAGTGTGTCACTTTCTTCTCCTCTTTAACAAACATAACTGGTTTTTAGCAAATCCGAATTTTTCTTAGACCCACAAATTGTCAAACCCTAAATCGTAGTTGTTTGAGAAAGAAAATAAATATCTCCCACGTGCCAACAAAAAAATTATCAGAAAATTAAGTAATAAACGGTCAACTTTTGGTCGAGAACAGTTTTGATGACTTGAACTCTTGAAGATTTGTTTTAGCAAAATAATCATGTTGACTGTTTATAATAATAACCCCAAAAAGTTTTGAGTGTAAAATAAGAGAATGATAAGAATATTTGAGTTGCACTAATCAGACCATAAGGTCGAGTATTTATACAAGAGATTAAGCCGACTTAAGTCCTAACTAGGAAAGGAAATAGAGAAGAGAAAAGCTAAGCACAAAGAGGGAAAAAAGGTAACTAATAGATGAATCTAGAATATGTCCTAATATTGAGGTTTTAGTTGGGAACAGAAAATTACTTCATGACCATGATGAACTCATGCCAAGGCAATCTGGTCCGAATCCAAAACAAAAAAAAGTCACATTGCTTTGAATCCTTTGAAAATAGCAGATAATGCAAATGGTTTGACTTTGAACGATATTCTAAAAAAGTAGGCCCGCAATGTTACCTGTACTGTACTTAATTTAAGAGATTTAAATTGCTTAATGAAGCCAATAATTTATAGTTGACTCTTTGACTAAAGTGACACAGTAACAGTTAATTATTTGAGAGATTATGATAAGACCGAATTAGTTCTCAAACTCATCACTCTGATTCAGACACGATTTCGAACTCATCGATCGATTTCAGAGGAGGAAGATGACTAGTTCTGATCAATTTCCGCCGCACAACGTCTTCGTCTACGGTAGTTTCCAAGAACCAGCCGTCGTCGGTTTGATCCTAGAATGCACTCCGGCCACCGTCTCCGCCCAACTCCACGGCTTGTACGTCTTTTCTTTCTTTACATACTCCGATCTTCTTCCTTCTTGCTTAGACTTCCTCGAGACTGATCAAAATCGATTTGTGGATTTGTGTTGTTGCAGTCATCTGTATAGACTCAAAGGGCGTTTGCATCCTTGTATTTCTCCTTCTGGTAACGGAATTGTCACCGGCAAGGTTTGATTTTACCTCTTTCTTCTTTTTGTTTCTAAATTTCTTGTGCATGGGTTTTACAAGAATCCGATTTGCTTCGATAATTGATTTCAGTTTCTGAAGTTTGTGGATATTTGTTTGATTTGGTGCAGATACTAACTGGATTAACAGATGCTCAGCTTGAGAATTTAGACATGATTGAAGGAGCTGAATACGTGAGGAAGACTGTTGAAGTTGTATTGACTGTAAGTCTCAGTTTCACTTCATCGTCTCTAAATGATCTTTGATGATCCTGAGATTGGTGCTTAAAGATTGATGAAACTTTTTTAATGCAGGACACTTCGGAGAAGATGAAAGTGGAAACCTTTGTATGGGCCAACAAGGATGATCCTGACATGTATGGAGAATGGGATTTTGAGGTTGATAACCAAATTTCATTCACAAGTTTTTTTTTAAAACTAACTTCTTGATTTATCTAAAAGCTTAAGTTGTTGGCGAAACACTTTGTGTGTGGATTTGATTTGATTTGGTAGGAATGGAAGCGGCTTCATATGGAGAAATTCATAGAGGCGTCGAAGAAATTCATGGAATGGAAGAAGAATCCTAATGGGAAAACGAGGGAAGAGTTTGAGAAATTTGTACACGAAGATCCTCACGCTGAGTGAAGATGTGTGAAATGTGATATCACTCTCTCTTTATCTGCGTCTTTATTACTGCAAATAAATGTGACTCACTTCAATGGGAATAAGAGAGAGCTTTGTGAGTGAGTTGAGAAGAGTTTCACAAAAAAAATGAAGTTTGTATTTGTATCGTACTGTTTATTTATATTGAGTTGTGTGTTATCATTGTGCTAGTATTCATCATCTTCTACTACAACATTTTTTAATCATTACTCACGATTAATAAAGCATTTAGAGAGCATGCATTATCCCCAAAAAAAGTGTAGGCCACTAATCTGATGACTTTGTTTAGTGTCAGTATCAACAGGATCAAGGATTTGACAATATCTGTCAAGTTCGTGTCGACACCACTGAATAAGCAAGTCTCTATCTTGCAGCTTGGGGTTGATGTGTCGGTAGCAATGAAGTTAATGATTTATATATACAAGGAAGTATTAAAGGCAACTTAATTTTTATTACGAACATCTTTGACATTAGCATTTTCGTTTTTTGGTTCACTCTGGCGTCTGATTAATCGGACAAATTTTGTCTGAATCCGAAAAACGTCATATTTCTTAGAAAATACAAATAATTATGCAAATCGTTTCACCAACCAATAGTAGATTGATCTACAAGTAGGATTATTATAAACATTCCTCAGGTTATAACTTGTAACATGGTTAATGTTAATCCCAGCATAAACAAAACGAAATTCAAAGTCACTAAAACAGTAGAAAACTCACACAAGGGAACCATTACAATACAATGAGCTTATAATACTTGCAGACACCAAAACGACGAAGTGGTTATTGTAGAGAGATGTTCATTTGGTAGACTTACGCAGGAGTTTTCTGGCAAACCGAAAAGCTTCCAGGGTTGATTGTAATGCTCTTTGTACAGTTATCTGTTTTATAGATTCCCACCAATCTGTCTGCTAGCTCAAACATGTTGTTCCTCAGACTGCACCATTTCACCATTTTCACATATAAGTTAGACCTCAAAACCCTCTACTTAAAACAGTTTAATACACAAACCATTACAAGACAAATCAGGTATCCAGAGAGTGTCCTGAACTGATTTGACTCATTGTTAACAAATTAGGAGACTGAACTGACCTGATGATAATGAACTGAGCATCTTTAGTACGGTCCTTCACGTAATGTCCAACGATTGATACGTTTTTGAAGTCTGGTGACAAAAAAAAATAGTGAAACTTTTCAGGGACCAAGTGAGTTTTGCAGATGAAATTACAATGGAGGAATAGGGAGTGTTACCGAGAGCAGCGTCGATTTCGTCCATGACGTAAAGCGGAGTAGGCTTGTAGTGATGGAGTGCGAAGACTAGTGCGAGTGAGCTAAGTGTCTGTAAGTTAGAGATAGAGAAGTCTTTTTAGCGAGTTGAGAGACGAGACTGGTGAAATAAAGTGTAAAAGATGTTTGTTTTGTGAGAGACCTTTTCACCACCCGACAAGTTTGCAATGTTCTTCCAGCTCTTCTTGGGAGGTCTCACACTGAAAACCACTCCTTCTGAGAAAGGGTCAAGCGAGTCTACCAGCTCGAGCTCTGCATCGCCTCCGAGAGTGATCATCTGCACAGTCATATTGGTAAAATTTATCAGGGAAAGAGATAAACGGATAAGATAGGCGAAGAAAATTAGGATTATGCTCAAGTTGTAAGATTTGCAAAGCAGCTCAGCATTCATATAAAGACATCATATGTCATGGACTCATGGCCTTGTCTTCAGAAGGTAAACTAACCTGATACATTTCTTTCAGTTTTAACGAGATTGTGTTAAATCCTGCCATAAACTCATCCAACCTGAAATGAGTTCATAGTTATCCAAGTTAGCTTTATGAGACCGAGAACAAAAGGGAAACAGATATAAATAAGGAGAAAATTATAAGTGTGGAATACCTTCTCTTTCTCAATTCATCATAATGCTTCCTTATGTCATCACGTTCTTGAGTCACAGAGTTGAGTTCAGTTACCCGTCCATTGTAAAGTTCCACTTTGCTCCGATACCTTTAAGTAATTAGAGCAAACAATCAAGAAAGCAAGAGAAACATGTCTCGATTGGATTACAGGAGATAGAGTAGCTAAATTCTTACTCGGCGATTGAGTCAAGATTTGGATTCAACTCTTTCAGCTGAGCCTCCAGTAAGGCAGCCATTTCAAGAGCCCTTTTTAGATCACAGGCTTCGTTCAAATTATTATCCATCAATGTTGCTTGAAGCTTCTCTGGATCAACAAGATCTTTCTGGATTCTGCAATGGAGAAAAGATGAAAATGAGATGCAAATGAGGTATGTGTCATTGAATGGGCTGTTCACACTACGTACTGTTCCATATGCTTTGTGAGTGCAGTCTGCAAGTCGTTGAGTTTCTTCTTGTACCCCTTCTCTTTCAATTCTAGTTCATTGTATTTCTTTTTCATATCTTCGACTTTGAATTCTGCATCAACCTGTGTTCGACTAAAGTGTTAGATGATGAAAACCACGCAAAGAAAGAACAACAACCAGCAAGAAAGAGAAGGATTCAGTTGTTTGTTACCCTAGATGCCTTCAACTCGTCCACAGACTTTTTCAGCTTCTCAAAACTGGACTTTGATCCAGCCAGCACGTCTTTATGTTCATCAATCAACTAAAGAACAAAAAGAAAGGACTGCTCTATGACTCTTATCAAAATATAGTATCTAGATAACTGAGATAAGAACAGTTAAAACCTTCTGCGTTTCTTTATACGTCTCTTGGATCGCAAATGCTTTCTGTTCTATAGCTTTAAAAACGCTCATCAGCTTTTCCTTCTCACCCTCAAGCCTTTCTTTCTCTCGAGTCGCCTCTTCGATCCCCTTTGTCAACTTCTTTATCATTTTCTAATTTGTTTCTATTTGAACATTGCACCGACTGATCTCTGTACTATTTTTGTCGATATCCTAAACATTTGCAACATAAATTAGTACACACTCAACTGTGCGTTCACTAACAGCATGCTCAGAGCAAAGGCAAACTTACAGTCTGAATCTTCTCAACCTTCTCAACCTTCGCCTTGCAGCTCCAAAGCCTAAAATAAGAAACACCACTCAGTTCTATACAGAAAGGATAATTCTTTGACTATGCATTTACTGATCGAAGCTCCCATGGAAAAAGCTCTCAAGATTTTCATAAACATGGCTGGTTTGACCAAAAGCAGATAGGAAGGAGGATTTGCTACTTTTAAAAAATAACTACTGATGCTACACACCTTATCCTTCAGCTGCTTAGAACCCTTCTCAAGTTTCTCAATCTCTTTTTCTTCTTTGGAGATGATTTTCTTGAGCTCTTTAATCCTGTCTATCTCATCCGGCTTTGGCTGAGAAGCAGCTTCCAGGGATGCTAGTTGTTTCTCGAGGTAATTATGCTCTGAGTTGAGACTTTCGATCTAAGAGATGGAAGAAAGAAACATTTAAGGCAACTTGATCATATATATCGCAAGAAGGAGGGTTACACAGATCAAATCACACAAGACAATACCTCTCTTTGGCTTTTCGCCAGTTCCATATCCAGGCGAGAGACTTCGTTTTCTGCAGCTCGATATTGTCTCACAGCATTGCCAATCTTTTCACGGATGTTGTTTAACATGTCAACAATACTGGAGAGCTCTTTTTCTGCATTAGCAACAACTTCGCCAGACACACCAGTGGCTCGAATTGAGGATCCCATTCTTCCGCCGCGTGGCTTGCCTCCCCCTCCACTCATGGTACCAGATTTTTCAAAGAGAGCGCCTTCAAGAGTCACAACTCTTCGAAATTCTGTGTTCCCACCATATGCAATACGTGTTGCCTAATAGGAAAACAAAATGTATATTATAATTGAATCCACATAAAAATTGTACTTTCAGAGGTATTACTCATCTTGGGTTTCATTAACTTAGTTGAGAAAGCATAATATACCTGCTCAAGATCCTTCGCCACAACAGTGTTTCCCAAGGCTGCATAGAATGCAAGTTTCATCCTTTCATCCTTAACTCTGATCAGATCAAAGAGGCGCGGAACATCCTCAGGTGTCTTCACTTTCTCCTTCAATCTTTGTAAATGGTTGGTTTGTTTCTCCTACAAAAACGAAGACATATTCACGCTCCTAACTTCATAATTAAATATAACAATATACTAAGACCAACACAGTATCACAGATCTAAAGATCTCTGCATAACACTTCATTTGTTTTAAGTTAGCATTTTTAATAACAATGACCATTATGGTAAGATCCAAAGCATATAAACAGAAATTGGATAAATACCAATATCATAAACGTTGCAACGCCAAGATTCCCCTTCCGCAGCAGCTCAACACATGCCTGTGCTGCAGAAGTTGTTTCCACAACAATGTAATCAAGGCCACCGCAAGCAGTTGATACAGCAACATCGTATTTTGCTGCAAAGGATAACCAGTGTCAGTGATTGAGAGCTTTGTTGTATTACATCTAAAAATCAATCAGCATAAACTATTGTCAATTAAACTTTCACATCTCATACTATAGGGAGAAAATAACAATATGCAATACTGGATTACAGAATAATGTTTCTACTAGAAGATAGACTAATATACTCACCATCAATGGCACCTAAGTCCCCCATCCTACCATATATTCCTTCAATTTGATTGTTCTCCTTCGCTCGTAAAACTGCCCTCAAAACATCACCCTGACTCTGCTCAGAATTCATTGCTGACTTTAGCTCAGCAACTTTTTCTCTGGCTGCCTGCTCTTGTGGAATAAGTGCTTCTTGTTCTCTAAGTGATTCCTGCAGAAGTTAAGAAGCAAACTCTCAGTTTCAAAATCCAAGCTGCAAATAAGACAATCCTGAGAAAAGTACCTCCTCCACTTTCCGAGCTTCCATTGCTTCAAGTTTCTTCTTCTTTATATCAGCTTTCATAGAGGTAGTTGCTGCAGCTTTTTCTTCTTTTCTCGTTGATATATCAGAGAGCTGTTTCTGAGCATCTGTGAAGGCTTTCAGAGCAGCTTCGTGCTAGAATAACAAAGTAATAATGTTCAAACGGATACAAAAAATAGTTGTCCAACATAATTTTGAAATAGTCAGATAAAACGCAGCTCCAGCAAGCATAGAAAGATTTGAATATGGCAAACAGATTCTTTAACAAAGCAACTGAAGTTAACTAATTAAAAGCTTTCAGGAAAATCTTTTGCAGATGAGCCAAATTATCTTGACAAGTGAAATTCGTGACTCCAAGCAATTTGTTATTACTAAGTGGATGTACCTTCTTGCTCAAGAGTTCACTTTCAGATGATGCAACATCAAGCTTTCCCCTGTGCACAATTAGATCTTTTTCCCAAGGTTCTAATTCAGCACGAATTTTTGTAAGCTCAGACCGGTAACCTTCAGTTTCAACTGTAACAACAATGACAGAAATAATCAGCTGAACTAGCTTATCCTGAGCACCTAGCTAGTCATTATAGATAGGTACTAGCATGTTTAACAATTTGCCAATTCCAAGTCCTGTTTACTGCAATATTGTTAAAGAAGCTCCCAGGAATTAGGTAAAAAGGACATCAGTATTGGGCATAAGATCCTAAAGCAAACACACCTTTAGCTTTCTCTTTGATTTCCTCCAATGCCTTCTCCTCTTCTACCAAGACTTTCTGAAGCTTTGGTATATTTTCCTGAAGTTTAGGTATTAGATTTCTCGAGTCTTCACACTCCTTCGTTAAATCACTGATTTTGGATGAATCCTGCATAAAAACACAGGTAAGATATATGTATATAGCGATAAGTTTATTCTTTTATAACTACCAACCTTTTCAAGTTTATCCTCGAGTTTCTTTATTTTTTGCTTCATATGCTTCAAATCCTCTCTATGCTTTACATCCTGCCTTTCAAACTCTTTGAACTTCTCCTTACAGTCTTTAAGTTCATTATCAAGAACCTAATCATTGCAAATGAAGAGAAAATAATGATTTTAGGCACGTTACCATAAGCATGAGAGCATAACGCATTTGGATTTTAGACAAACCTCTTGTCTCTTCTTATGTTTCTCATGCACAGAATCTAGTTCCTTCAACTCTTTATTACTCTCATCCATCTTCTCTCTGAAACAGCAATGTTATGATATTTGTTATAAATGACTTTCTAAACTTTCTTTGATATTTCAAAGAACATTTACTAGCGCTTACCGCTCATTTTTTAGACTACTTTCCAAACTCTGTAAGCACTCTTTCTGTTCAGTAATTTTAGCTAAGGTATCCTCATATGCCATTTTTGTAGCCTTTTCTTGCCATTTAAGATATGATAGCTCTTTCAGCATGTAAGTCTCCGCCTCATCCTTCACACCCTGTTCCAAAAAACACTTTAACAACAGGTACAACCAAAACTAAGTCACATACAAGAAGGGATAGCATAACTACAAACCTCTAAGTTGTCTCTTTCTTTCTCAGCTAGTTTCACCATTTGTACAACTCCAGACCGCTTATCATTGAGGGTTTCAAGCCTAAATTTCAGATAGGCAATTGCAGTTATAAAAATAACATCCAGCATAAGGAACCAGTTGTACGTCTAAATCTGCCTAGCGACTGTTAACCCATTTAAAAATAGCAAGCATGGATATGCAATAAGAAGAAAGCAGGTGAGCATGGATTTTCAGTTCAAGCAATGTGCCTCAAACACAGTTCTTGGGCATAGGACATTGGTCATCTAAAACAAATTGTAGAATACATGGATAACTTACTGCTTATTTAATTCATCTATCTTCTCCACGTATTTATTTGTTCCAATAATATCCTCGAGATATTCAAGAAAACCTTCGTCATGGGGACCTTGTGCTTTCGGCTTCATGAGTGATATCTGTTCTACCTCCCCCTGTCAACATTCAAGAAACTATATTAGGAGGGGACACATGTGAAATGTGAATTCAACGATATATAGACAGTTTCTCTAGAGTGAGAACCTGAAGAATCAAGAAACGATTGTTGTCGAGATCTACTCCTTTCCCCTTTAATTTTTTGGTAACTTCAGTGAAATTACTCGACCTTTCATTGATATAATACTTGGAAGAATTATCTCGGAATGCAACACGAGTAATCATGAAATCACTTCCAGGAACAGTTTCGTACGAGCCATCTTCCTGCGTTAGTTCAGAATAACAGTGTACGTTACTAGAAAGATTTTCCAAAGTTAATGAAAATTGCAGAGACAGAAAAAGTTGTAACTTCAAAATCTTTCTTAGAGAGCTTCATTAAACAGAGATGAAAGATATTCACCAATGTTCTTGGTTAACAAAACAGTCAAGAGTTAGTCTTTTAAGAAACAAAACAAAAAAAATCCTCATCATGAAGCCTTAAGTAAGAGTTTTTGACAACAACTTTACCAAATCGATAATCTCTTCAAACTGTACAGAAACTCCAGCACTATCCAAGTTCTGGTGATTGGTTGAGTTGTGAATTAGTTCTGAAACTTTGTTGAGCCGCATCTGATAGCAAAGAAACATAAGGTTACTCAAACAGAGCTCATTCAAAAAGCGTAACTAAGACATGCTCAGCTAAAATTCAAGAGTACTTACCTGCTTAGCTCTTTTCCCAAATACAAACAGCATTGCATCTATCACATTGCTTTTTCCACTCCCATTAGGTCCAACCACGGCAGAGAAACACTGAAATTACGACAATCCGAGATAATGAAATTCAGCATAAATCTAATTTTCCAATTCATCTCCAAGGTGGAATAATCACGACATATAAATGAAATTCCTGTAATTCGCAACAGCAATGAAAAGTACCCAAAAGCAGATTTTGGGAAATATATACAGAGGGAAAGCTAGACTGTAATTGACGAGGAATCTCAGGTTAAATTCGATAAAACCCAACCCAATCAGCTTCCAATTCGTCCTACCCATAACCCTAAAGCCTAATTTTGCTCTCACTTGTGAAAATGAATATAGAGGAAAGGAAAATCCCTAACCTTGTGGAAAGGTCCGACACGTTGTTCACCGGCATACGATTTGAAGTTTCTCATAATAAGCTCTTTGATGTATAGCCTCGGAGTTCCAGATTTCCGCTGGTCAGGCTCCGACTCGCCACGAAACTCACCCATTGGCTCATCCTCTTCCATCACCGACATTCTCTGGTCAATTCGGTGTTGACACCTGATTCAGGCTGCGAAATTTCCAGCGGCTTTCACTTCTCTCGTCGGTCCGCTTCCAGTGACTCGCTCGATTCGCCGGAGGGAGACGGAAATTAATTATTTGATTTTTTCTTTTTCGAGGAGTAAGGGATTTAGAGAGGTTAACAAATTGAGCGGGAAACCAAATAATTCGAATGAAAAAGGGAAGAAAAGGTAAATGGGCCCCAAAGGCCCATATTGCGTCAACTACGCTCTCTTATTTTATTTGTACCATTTTCAAGCCGATTTCATAAGTCGATAACAGTAACAGTCACGTTATGCAATTACGGTAAGTTCGAGCTACAACATGACCATGTCCATAACCAAATTGTTTATAAATAAATTGAAGAAGAAATAATAATCAATGAAATTATGAAATCTAAAAAAAATGAAAGAATAAAAAATCGACACGCGAGTATAACATCAGTCTCATACTCAATAATGAAGATCTCTAGTATTATTAGACACATCAAGGACCGTTCAAACCAAAATTTTCATGATATGATAAAAATAAAAATAAAGAGTATATAACTCAAGATTGTGAGTGGACTGATGATAGAGGTACGAATGTCTACAATAGATCATTTTGGAGGGTAAATATTAGGACATGATAATTTTGAGTAAAGTTGTCTATGAGATGAGTTTTTTTTTTTGGTTTTAAATGGGATGAGTTTTGATTACACCTAACATAGGGCACATTGGTGCCCTACATAACAGACCATTATTTGAAGTGGTTTAAAGCCCAAACGACTCGGCATGTGTTCTTCGGTTCTTCCTAACAACTCATCAGATCCCACCCCTAAACTTTACTATATTTTCAATTTTTCCCAATTTAAACTCAAGATTATTGATCAGACCCCTAAATCTGGCCATGCCACAAGAATAATAGCATATTCCGTTTCTCTTTTTTTCAGATAAAGCTCAATTCGAATGAATGAACACGTTTTGAATTAGGCATGGGCGTTCGGGTTTTGGGTCGGTTCTATTCGGGTTCGGGTCTTTTCGGGTTGCTAAATTTTAGATCCGTTCGGGTTTAGGAAAATTTCGGTTCGGTTTCGGTTCGGTTCCTATCGGGTTCGGGTCGGTTCGGGGCTAAATTTTATGGACCCATTCGGGTTTATACAAATTTTGGTTCTTATTCGGGTCTCATTCGATTCTGATTCGGGTCGGTTTTTATCGGTTTTTTTAACCGAATATCCAAAATCCTACAAAATAACCAAAAAACTTGTCTTTACTCCATCTTCTACTAAATGTTTTTGGACTTTTCGAATATTTTGGTTATTTTGTTCTAAATATAACTATTATATTAGATTTATAATTGTAATTTTAGTTATTTTTTATTATTATAAATCTAAAAAATAACTAATATTTTGGATATATAATTATATTTTGGATATTTCGGGTACCCATTCGGTTCGGGTTCGATTTTCTGGGTATAAATTTTTTGGACCCATCGGGTATTTATCTTGATTCCGGTTCGGTTCGGTTCCATCTTTTTCGGGTCGGGTTCGGTTCGGGTCTTCGGGTCCGGGTAAAATGCCCAGGCCTATTTTGAATAGTACGATACTTTGGTGTATTATATTCTCAAATTTGTGGGATGTGACTGGAAATTAATAAGAGTAGCAATTTTCAAAGAGAGAAAACTGAGGATTTGTGGGATTTTCCTTTCCAAAATTGGAGAAATTAGTTTTATTGATAAATTAAAATTTTTACTTTCTAGATTTTATATGCATCGTAAAATAAACTTAAGAAAAGTGTAGTATGTAAGTTATGCCTCAAAATAATATGGTATAACGTATAAGTAGTAACAGACTAACAGCAAACATGAAATTGGTGGTGTGATGAACAATTATTGGACCCACACAAGATTTTGTAGTCCAATTCTTGGGTGATAGGGTCACTGATATTTGTTCTTTAAAAGGTGCCACATATGATTCCATAACTTTGTACAAATCACTCATATCATCTCTCAAATCACTCATAATTCAACATGAATGATTAAATTAAACGAAAATTTGGGTAACTTTAGCCAAATCAGATAGAAAAACGTACAAAGATATGGATGAAATTTAGCATTAAGAACTAAACAATCGAGTTTAGTGTTCTAAATTATTGTGGCATGAACAAGACTTCATAAATTTAATACTCGGTATATGTTTACGTAAGAACAGGACTACGCAAAATAACAGTGCTTAATTAACGTAAGAAGAATACAATCAGTGGTAAAAAATGTTTTTATCTCGTACTACTATACAGTAAACTTAGTGTTAGGGGTTATTCTTTACGCATTAATCCCATTGATTGTTAGTTCTTGTATCTTTAGGACCACATGGTTATATGCAAGCAAAAAAAAGCCAACAAAACTTTATCTTTATTATGGACCAACCATGCAATTCATGATTCTGTGCCCGAGAAAATAAAAGAGGATACTAGTTTTTATGTTCCGTCTTTATCATCTATCCAACACATAAAAATTTAAACTAAACATCTTTGGTGCTGATAATTGAAAATACACCAGTTGGTCAACTTGTGAGCTGTAATAGCATTAATTGATTGCTTATCAACCAGGTTCTGATTTATATTTTTCCCCGTAAAGAAAGATTATGTATTTTGTTGGATCTCACTTGCAATAGTAGTTACTGCAAGATGACTTAGTTTGTAGTATTTGCCAGAAAATGTTCGGACAATTAGAAGAAAATTCGGGGTTTTGACTATTCGAATGATGGTTCTCCCAAGACCATCTTAACTAATTACGTGGCAAACTCCTAAATTATAAACGTGGAAATTTTTCAGGACGTGTCGGTCTTAATTCTTTGCGTGTTAATTATGATTACGTAGTATGTTGACAAGTATTTATAAAGAGGATAACCATATTTATTGTCATTAATTATCATCATTTCAACCACACACAGAAAAAAAAAAGGAAATAAAACTTTGGTCGTGTCTGGTGGATTAGTGACAAGAAGCGCACAGAAGGTTAAAGCCTAGCAACACGGCTTCTGGAGTTGATCGTAAATATGGCTCATCTGTTGAGGGTAGATTAGTCAGCTAATAATAATTTTCGTGGAAATCAATGTACGGTTTTGGAGAGTTTGCCTCGTTGCGAGTTGCGACATGAACCTGTGTCGTCCAGATTTGTTTTTTTTTTTTTTTTTTAGGCTCAGTTAAAATGCACCATTACATATTACATACATTGATTAAGTTAATGAACACACACAGAAACCTATTACGAAGAAAACATACACCATAAGGTCCATAACATCTGATCTAAGCAACTTAACAAGCGACATGAATGATCATATTCTCCCTATAGAAGTTTTTATCTGGATTAACTAATAAATCAAAAGTAGTATCGGTTTATCCTTTCAGCCTGTATTTTGCATACAATTTTATTTTCTGCTATAATTTATATATACAAATATTGTAAGATTTATGAGTATTTCCCTATTTATTGTTTACCACGTATATCATAATTTGAATATTACAATAAATAATACGTAGTCCCCAAGACCCCAACGTTGACATACAACATACATCTCATTCTCCTGCACCATTCTTCGAGTCCGTGTATATAAAATAAAAAAACGTATTTTATATATGCATGCACCGAATATATGTAATATCACACATAGCTGTTTAATTATTATTTTGACAAAGAAAAAAAAAAGATGTTTCTATCATCGACGTGGTATCTAATATGGTTAATATCTCACGTACCAATTAGACTAAAGTTTGATGCACGGTGTGAGGAACCGGTTATTCGGAAAACCGAAAGAGGTGTTCTGTTTATGTTCCACTATCAATAGGTTGGGTTTCTCAATCCAATGGTGCAATCATTTCGTTGGAAACAATTGGCGATCTCAATATCTCATAATCCAACCTTAATGAATTGGATTTTTCATCGGATTGTATGTGTGGCATAGTTGCATTAGTAATAGTTTCGCTCCACTCTTTATCAAAAAATAGTTTCGCTCCACTATTTAATTATAGTCCTATAAATCTGCATAAGCTGAACTCCTTGAGTTCGTTTCAAATTCTCAAGAAACGCTCAAACAACTTTTTTCCAGCAAATATCTGTAAAGCCCTTGTTGAAAACTAATCAAGACTCAAAACCTTAAGTTTCTTTTTTTTTCCAAAAACAATTGTCATCACAAGTTAAACTTCTTGTCTCAGATTTATTGTATTGGTGACCTATGCTTGCATGTGGTCTCTATCTTCTTCTTCTTCCTTTGAATCTTTGCCATTTTCTATTCAGAAATTTCAGTTTAGTAATCCCATACTACACTAAAAACTATAAGATTTATCGACCAATCATATACTACATATTACTACGAGTCATGTATTTTCTCTACGTTCCGTTATCATCACACATTTGCGTTTTTTTATTGTTGTTATATATATCATTCATCGTAGAAACATACTAGATTAATAAGCAACGTTTTACCACCAAATATTTGTTAAAATAAGACCTAAAAGTATTTATCATTTATTTGGACTCTATCAAAATAGTACTTTCATATTTTTGATTTCAAACATATTTTGAGTATTTTTTTCAGTAGAATATCATAAAGCAATAGCTTTGAAATTATAAAAGCTAAATTAAGATTAAACTTTCCAAACATGGTTTGGTAATTTGGTAATTAATTTTTTGAATGTAATCTTAAAAGGGAAAAGTTTTCACAGAAGGAACAAATGTTAAAGGAAAAGAAAAATAAAAAATGTTAAAAAGACAATTTAAAACAAGAAGTATCACAATGCATGAGAAAATTTATAATTGGACTGTCTTTAGGTTTAAGACATTTATTACTCTATGTATTTCCCACTCCCTATTGTGGGTCCCAGATTCCAGGTTTTAACCATACTCCTCTATTAACCATAGTTAAATCATCAATCCATTTATTTTCTTTCTTCTGTCGACTTAATCATCAATCCTTAAGCCTTGACCTTTGATTTTTGTTTATATATATATATATATATATATGTCAATGTAGTATTTACTTATTTATTAATTTTTTATTTCTCCTAAATTTTATTATTCTGTCTTAGCAACATTCATCGCCAGATTCACTATCATCTTATAACATCTTCTTCCTCTTCCAAAAGTTATCTCCTTAAAACATATATTTAAATAAACGATCAAATGATCCTCTAAAGTTGATTAGCTCTTTTTTATCCATCTTCATCGTTTCCATGGTTTTATCTTGAGTTTCTGTATATCAAATCTTCCTTTTGAGCTTAAACTAAACCCTAATTCTGGTTATTATCATTTTGAAAAAGAACCATAGATGCTTTGAATGCTGAGAGAAATGGATATGACTCCTAAATCTCCTGAACCCGAAACCGAAACTCCGACCAGGATCCAACCAGCGAAACCCATCTCCTTCAGCAACGGAATCATCAAGCGCCACCACCACCACCACCACCCAATCGCCGTCACCTACAAAGAATGCCTCAAGAACCACGCGGCGGCGATTGGCGGTCATGCCCTCGACGGTTGCGGCGAATTCATGCCTTCTCCTTCTTCCTTACCTTCTGATCCAACTTCCCTCAAGTGTGCCGCCTGCGGTTGCCACCGTAACTTCCACCGCCGTGACCCCGACGATTCCTCCCTCACCTCCGCCGTACCTCCGCCGACTCTCCCTCCATCGTCCACCACCGCCGCCATCGAGTACCAGCCTCACCACCGTCACCACCCGCCTCCACCAGCTCCTCCTCTCCCTCGCAGTCCCAATTCCTCTTCTCCGCCGCCAATCTCCTCCTCTTACATGCTCCTCGCTCTCTCCGGTACCAATAAAACCGCCGGAAACACCTTGCCGTTCTCAGATCTCAACTTCGCCGCCAACAATCTCTCCGCTCACCACCTTACGCCAGGTTCTCGGAAGCGATTCAGGACGAAATTCAGCCAGAATCAGAAGGAGAAGATGCACGAATTCGCCGATCGAATCGGATGGAAGATTCAGAAGCGCGACGAGGACGAGGTGCGCGATTTCTGCCGCGAGATCGGAGTCGATAAAGGCGTCCTCAAGGTCTGGATGCACAACAACAAAAACACCTTCAATAACAACCGCCGCGACCACCAATTCTCCGGCGACACCACCGTTCAGAGGATCGATAACGGCGTCGCGGTTTCCGGCGGGGAGAACAATAATAATAACAACGCCGACGATGATGTCGCTCGCGGTGGAAACGGTTTAGAACACGATCTCCACAACGGCGGTGGTGGGAGATTTGAGAGTGACAGCGGCGGAGCTGACGGCGGAAACGCAAACGGCTCGTCGTCTTCGTCGTGAGGAAGAGAAAATGTTGTCATTTTGCAGGGAAAGAGTAATAAGGAAAGCTTAAGCATTTTTAGCTTAGATCATAGAGTGTAAGCACTGCTACTATCATCGTTAATACGTTTATTAATATTAATTAATTACTCTTCTTAGTAGTTCATTTTCCGATTTTAAATTGATAAGGTAATAATAATATAACTTTCGGAATTTGAGTTCATTAAATCTTTCTATTAAAGTGAAGTTAATATCGACTAATCAACCGAATTAGTCACTACAATATAACTCGATTTTTGGTAATCAGATAAACCCTAAAATGTGAGTGGGTTCTAGTTCCAAATTATGTACTTGATCAGATCAGATGAAGAAAGTACGGGTTTCCAAAAGTAAATAAATTAGTTTTTTTTTTAAATAATGTATTTTGGTTTCTTATCTTGAAAGTACTTAATTTAATATGCGATCGAAGTAAGATCTAGGTGTCCTTTTCGCAAATCTCTCTTTATTCTTTGAGAAAAGAGACAGGTTTTTTCTTTATATAATAAGATTATTCTGATATAATAATTTCCAATGATCAGTCTTCTTTTGTTGATTGGCATCTGATAAACCCAAGATTCATTGAATAATCCAGTTTAATTTCCTCATTAATCCATTTTCCTCTCATCCTTACATTCCCACTATCCGTTTTTGGTATATATGCTCAACTCAAGTTTTCATTATTCTTAAAGTACAAACAAACAAGCATATATTATATAATTGGGATCTAACTGCTATTATTAAAGTGCTATATAGGGTTTAGGGAGTCGAACTAATCATTAGCTTTACGAATACTTTAAACAACTTTCCATTTAGGAAACGTAGAGATGCAACCGTGATTATGCGATAGGCCTAAGACAGTTAGAAACTAGTCGTGATTAACAAATGTCGGCTTACCGAACAAATATTAAATTAAAACTGTAATTATTTTTATTACTTAACTCGGAGTATGATTTTTGTTTCTGATCACTTAATACTAATAACAAGGGTGACCAAAAAATATTACGTATATTTTTTTGATTAAATAGTTGATTGAAAGGTTTTGTATATGTCGATTTTTCATCAGATTGGCTCGTCTTTGATATTAGTTAGATGATTAAATTGGTTGTAATTGGATCATGTTTTAGTCTTCGATCATTAGTTTTTTAATTGACACGGTGTGTACGTTTAGGTGGAGTTATTTGTCATGGAATGTCTATGAACAAGGTGTATTCGATGTGGAAGCAATTAACCGAAATTTGATTTATTCATGGTGAATGATATTCTCATCAACTAATATTTGTATATGACCCAACAAAGTAGAAATTAAAACTGCATTATCTACGAACGGGATTAATCTGCTAAAACTAATAGTGATAAATCAATAATTTATTGTCATTATTTTACACATTTCGTGAAGTCACAAATCTCTTTGTCGTGGTGGGGACAAAACTTTAAAACAGGCTGAGGTTATGGCCCTAACTGCCATGTACCATGTGCACAGTGCACCACTTACTAATTTGAAATTTTCCTGACGTAACTAATGCTAACAAAATCGTACATTTTATTTTATTGCATATAAGTTTTCTGAAAAGTACAGTATCTTAATTTTTAATATATTTAAAATAACATAGTCGACCGAAAATCCAACAAATTTAGTTTTAGTGGGATATATATTTCATTGCTAAGGTCAAAATGCTGAATTGCATAAAATGTATGAAAATTTAATAAACCTCTCAACTCTTAATACTGCAAACAAAACAAAAAAATTATTGTTTTCACATTCTTACCACTACGTTAAAGTAAGTCTAGCAGAAAGGGAAGTTTGTATTTTATATATGTAGAAAAACAAAAACTAATTTATGCTGATGCATGAAGTGGGATAACAATATAAACTGGAACATGCTTATTCGAAGAAGAAAGTCGAGATTTGGAGAATCAAAGACCAAATTGTGTGTATCTTTTTTCCCCACTCCTTTTGTATCATAAATAAAATGACTGTTATATCAATGCTTATACAAAAGAACCTATGAATATTATCTTGATAACATACCCTAGTTGAATATCAATTAGAGGACCACATAATTATACAAAACAATCTCTTATATATACAACAAAAGGTCATCTATAATTTGTACTTCACTATTTTCTGGTACGTTTATTAAATTTTAAAATTCTACAAAAATGCAAGAACTATTTATCTAAGTACAAATTTGTGCTGTGGCATTATAAATAGCTAGCTAGTAATTTTGTGTTGAAGTAATGAAAACAACGAACTATTTATCAATGTCTATAGTCAACGGTATTTTTAAAGGTATAACATGCATGTATTTGTTTATATATCATATGTTATATTTGAAGACATTTCTCGAGATGTCTTTTGGAATAAAGATTATTTCACTTTTATGTGGTCCTTTCTCTTAAGCCACTAGTACCTTTGTTCTCTTCTCAAGATTTGAGTCTTCGGTGCCGATACATTTACATACGGTAGATGTAAACTTGAAACGTAGTGTGTTTCTTCAGTTCATGGGCTATGAGATTTAGTTGGGCCATAAAATAATATTCATGGCTTAGTAACTACATCAACTTCCATCTTCGAACCCTTTTTAAATTATATCCCCGACTTTAATATACCAAAACAATTTGTTACGAAAATAAGTTGTTCAAATAAAACTTCAAATTCTACACTTATTTCCTTGGGTTAATTTGATAGATGGCTTAATTTCTAGTTTTGATGAAAAAAGTAGCTACAACAGCCGATTTTTAGTAATGAAATGGTTTGCAAGCGTAAATACATAAATGGTCATGTTAGGAAGGGCATGTTAAGTTAGTATATTTTGTTGACATCGAAGTTATCATCTTACAAATCAGGAAAATACATAGTCAAAACTCTAGGGCATGTTAAGTTAGTATATTGGACGTCCTATCAAGGTGACGCAACAAGAGCTGATCCTAATTCACAAGGACCGAATATCATAGCACTCAAGCTTAATCCTTGAAAGCAAGGGCATATCTAAAACTAATTAAACATTTCATCCGTATGCGTTCGGGTTGTTTTCAGCGTCGCGCATAAGAAGAAATAACTGATAATGCACTTTTAAATGTTCTCTTGTCTAGAAAAATAAAAATGTTCTCCTGTTTTATAAATTTGAGCTCTCTGGGACACTAGGTGTAAATCCAGTTTCATTGGTCTTTTACAAATCTCGATTCTTGTTTTTTTGGAGAATTGCTAGTAATGCTTGTCCAGAACCAGAAGCAATGAAAAGCTCATTCATGTGGATCCTGTGGTTTATTTGAAAGTGACAAAGTTTTCCTAGGTTTATATTGGGCTTATCCGTATATTATGAATCATGCAAGAAGTGAGGCCTCAACATGGTCCGAAACTAATTTGATATCGTTTTGGATAGTACGCAGTTCTCTTAGCTTTCATATATATACGAGATTTTTCAAAGAAACAAATCCCAAATAGTTAGTTCATAGAAAGAGAATAGTCTATTCACAGGACTTGGTTGGTTATTGCTCACAGAAATGACGAGCCGACAGTTTGATTTGTAGTGCATGTTATAATTCTTCAGTTTAGTTCCTTTGTTTTTGTAGGCCATGTTTGTCCGATTTGGATTACTAAATGATAGAGATGAGAAAAGGAAAGTTAGAGACAAGAAATAGTTATAGTGAATGTAATTACATTAATCTAATATAAATACAAATTATCTGGTAGGAATAACATAGTATCGAGTGAATAGCGAGTTTGACCATAATTGAATGTCATGAGTAAAATACAAACTAACGTCTTTAAACCATTTTATTAAATGGAGTACAAAATCTTCTTGCTGTTTTTTAATTGTTGGTCTGTTCCTACTTACTCTATATTTTATTTTATGCAAAATATATAGAAGTTTAGGGAAATTAAAATCGACATTGGCCTGCCAAGTTCGGTACAATGTTACTAACATATGCAGAAGGAATTGTTTCTCTCCATACTCAAATACCTAACAATGTACGTCCATGATGATACATTTCACATGTCATTTCAAATATATTAACCAGCCAAAATTATCTAACTTTTTCGTATGAAAATATCCAACTTACTCATTTCTTTTTAATTTCGGATTGTATCAACAAACTAAATTTGATATAGAAATTTTTATTTTACAGCAGTAGTAACAGCATAGATGTATTTTCTAATTAAAAGTTTTTGTTTTTTGGCAGTCCATTCTGTTTATCGTTTGCTGTAATTTGAGGGCATGCAGTTCTTAGTATTAATTTTCACCTGATTCTCATTTTATAAAAGACTACACATCAGAAAATCAGAAGCCATTATCATGAATGATCATTAGTTTTAACTTTTAACACATTTTAATAAATCAATTAGAAAACTAATTTCTTCCATCATAGCAAGTTACGTTAGCAACCAACAAGGATTAGATTTGTGGGCCTTGGCTCCATTTTAAATTCAAAGTTATTTTCCCTTTTTATAATGTTATATAAATTTTTTAAATCTTATATTTAAATTTATGTTATTTTCAAAATTAAAAAAGTGAAGGCATGTCGATGACGGAAGTTAATCTTATCATAGCACAATCAAGAAATGATGAACTTAATATATTTAATCGGTTTCGAGTTAAACATGTACTTAAAAATTACAATAATACTATAGTATAAATTACTGCTTTAAACCTTTAGGATAATCATGGGAATTAGTGTGAAGCTTCTTTTTGATAAATTACTAGTCTGAAGCTTAACTCTACACTTTCCATTAAAAAAAGGTTAAAGGACTGTCTTAAAAGAATAGAAACTTAACCTTTTTTTATTCCCTCCGAAAGTATCATTTAAATAATTTATCACTATTCAAATATATCTAAATAATTTAGTAACTGAGAGAACCAATAATTGCATTACTATATTCATATAACCTTATCACAGGAGAAGAACCTTCCATATATGTTAAGGAACAATCAATATCATTCCATTATCTTTTATCTATATATTTTTTTTAAACATTAAATCTCATTCATTCATCAATATATTCAAATATATATTTTTTTTTACAAATTCGTTTCACAATATAAACTGAAACAATATACGTTTCCACGACATAATCAAAGTACATTAATTTGAACCAGAAAAAAAAACATTAGAAAACATAAAAACACCAGTAGCCTTAATAATTCACATAAGAACCCTAACCATTTCCAAAAGATTATTAGTACCCTCAAAAGCATCCAATTACTATAAATTTCCCACCCTTGCTAATCTATAAACCTCTTAAATTCTCAAAGAAACACAAACCCTGGACAATAAGAAAGTTAAAACAACCAATATAATATTTTCAGTTTCTTTATGTAAAAAAAAAAAAATAACACACAAAGATACAAACAACTCTTAGCTAGCTCTAGATTTTTATTTTATTTCGTTTAATTCCCAGTCGAAGGAGGTGAACTGCAGTCGCAAACAACCTCGGTTTCCATTTCTCTCCGGTGGAAACTTCGGTGGCAGCCACAGGCGGCACACGTTAGCGCTGCCACCGTACCTTCCTCGCCGTTGCTTGCCATGAACTCACGGCAGCCGTCGACGGCGTAACCTCCAACTGCTGCCGCGTGGTTCTTTTGACACTCGCCGTATCTCACACCTCTCACCGTCAGAGACGAAGCGGTCGACGAGCTTCTAGAAGGTTCCTCCGGCGAGGCTCTCCTCAACACCACTTGACGCTTCCTCATGATTTTCTCCCTTTCAATTCCCCTTTCAGCTTATTCTTCTCGACTCTTGTGGAATCTAAACTTGTAATAATGTAACAATGTGATATATCTATATATATTCGAGAATAGGATGAAAATATATAGATAAACTTTTGTTTTTATTTATTTTTAATTTCTATGGTGGGAGTGAAAGATCCAGACAATTATAAGAGGACCTCAGTTCTTAACCCTAACCCTAGATAACATATTTATAGCATTTCGGATAGCAATCGACAACCAACCATTGATATTTTTTATATGCATATATGTATGCGTATATATATATATATGTGTACGTATATATCCCCATGGCACCGTTTATATTGATGCATCATCACAACCAATCAAACCTACCTAGCTAATCTACCAAAGATAAAAAAAACTTTACATGGTATGTGCGCATATATGTTTTCTTTTATAATTTAAGTTCCTTTTGACGTCCACAACTACGCGTTAATATATATGCGTTCACATGTGTTTGAATGGTATCACTTATAGTTACATGTTTTGTTTTTTGTAACGAACCTAATATAGTGGAATTTTCTGTCTTATCTTATTGTAGACGATTGAGTAAGTTATGCTGAAAGCCTGAAACGAATTCGAATCTAAGCTACGCTTAAGAGAGAGAGAGACTTTTTTTTTTGTCATTAAGCCGTTCTGAATCGATCCGAATGTCTGGACCAAAATGTCCATAACTCCGGATATACAAAAACAAAATATTTACTTGCAATTATAAGCCACGCGTACGAGACATGGAGCCACCACTATGTGAGTTAGGCACCCGTCTTTAGTTGACAGTCAGATCGGCGTTGTAGATGACAATATCACCTTTTAAAAATTGTATTTGGATCTTCCAAAACATCTACTATATGCATCTTTCTCAAAATAGATTTTTACATGCATTCAAACAATATAATTGGGTGCTAAGTGCTAACTACTAATTAATCATTAGAATAAAATAATATTAACGAAAGTGGATGCATAACTACAAGTTGTAGTCTACCACTAACAACAATAAAATATTGTGGAAACTAAAATTTAATAATGTGTGCAAGTGTATGGATGCAATGCAACTTTTGTTCAATCTTGTGAGAAAACCCTAAAATGATGAGAAAGCTTTTCTTTAAGACCAAACAAAGTGATTGGTTTTAAAAGGAAGGGAACAGCTAAGCTTGTCTTTTTAAGACCTAATATGTACTGTGGTGGCCCCTTAAGATTCATCCCCTTTACTCCTTTTTTTTGTTCTTCCATGTATTCTATTTGGTTTAATGTTCATAATTAAACTTGCGTTTACCACAATTATTTCTTTATCGTATCATGAAGTCTGACTAAGTATCGAGTTCGAGTATAATACTATGCATATAGACAAGCAAAATAATGTTTATTTCGTAAAGACAAGTTTGCTTGGTTGGCTAAGTGATATTGTAAACCACTTTAGTTTTACCCGATAAAATGTACGCACTTGAAGTCTAGAGTTTTTGTTGTAAATTAAGCACCAAAAATTATAATTAGATTGTATGATGAAACTGCATGCACAAAAATAGAAGTGTGTGTATAAATGTATATACATTTGGACCTAAAAACGTGGGACTGATAAGTTGGGCTACCAAACCTATTTTGTACATCATGAAGACAACGCAATCCTTCACGATCTTTTGCTCCTTTGCAATTACGTCTTGATTTTTTTCAATTACACGTGCATACATTCATTCGTATTTCGGTTAGACATCAACGTTCTTATGCATGTGTCCCATCAATCTCGGATAATTATATAAGAAACATTTTCATATTTTCTCCTACACAAATCATGATATATTGTCCAAAGATTAGTCTGTTGTTTAATGGTAAAATCGATTTCCAATCGTTGTATTTTTAAGGAATCCACATCTGAACTAAGATAGGATTTACATGATGTATATATGTACGGAGCATTGCTTAATGATCAATTGGGATTGGGCGGGAAGATCATCAAAATTATAACATGGTATCAATATCCGAGTTTGAGCTAAGTTACTCCTAGTAGGATAAATTGTCGAGGAACGTAGGTGACATGTAACAATCCACATGTTGCCAATTAATTTTGATTATCATCTCAGTGTTTCATCCTATTGTTTAATGGGGTGATTGATATATTTCTAGCTAGTAGACGCACTCAATATAATGTTCACATAACATCTGCAAGTTCTGAGATTGATCTACATTTAGGAGACACGATTAGAAAAAAACAATCTCATTTTATTTTGTTTATTTTATTTTAAGACGTATAGAGGCGTATATAAATGTATAAAGCTCAGACAATGTACAACACAATGTTCTTTTGATTTGATAAGATTGTTTCTGTCTAACGACAATTAGGAGTCGTACCAAACATATATGCGCCATAAGTTAGTAATGTAATTATAGGCCAAACAACCTTTTTGGTAGTTTTATTGAATGATTTATACATAAATTCATGGCAAATGTAACATTCCTTTTTACCATTTTTGGCGTGGGTTAAGATTTAATCAATACACAAGAATTCTTATAGTCGGACCACCCGGATGAAAGGGATCAGATATAAATAATCAATGTTAAAAAGCATTTCCGCATTTGTAATATAGCTATATAGGTAAGAGGAAATAGCTAAACCTTCTGATCTGAAAGTATTCAAAAATTTCACTTTTTCGACATGTTTTTTCTTGTCAAAAATAAACTTGAATTGAATATTTTTCGACATGTCATGTTGTATAAATTAGGATATTTTATATCTGTCATGTTGAACTTTTTTTCTCATTTTTAATACCAAATTTATTAATTTTTTTATACTTCACGACAGTTTGTATTACTGAACTTTTTTAATTGGGTGAATTGATTTTATTTAGACAATAAGTGACGCTTTAGTAAAAAGTAACTCTTGTATAGTTTCTTAAATTATACTCCTATGTCAATAACTTTATACATCACATATAAATATGTAACACAGAGAGTATCAAATAAGATTATAAGTTTGTTAATGACAAAGACCAAAGTGGTTAGTGAAATAATGATGGTTATGATTTGTGATAAGGCAAGAGATTTAATATAACAAAAGTAAAGATAGTTTGTGTTTCTCAACAACCCAACTTTTATTCCCCAGCTTCCATTAGTGATGTAATCTCTGACTACTCAACGGTCAATCTTCGGTATTCAATTAGACAAGGAATCTTAGGTTTCACAGTTCAATTAACAGTATTATACATGAAGGTAGCTAGCCAAAAAAATTATAAGTGTCAAATTGATATTTTACCATATGTTATAAGAGTAACAAGCTAATTTTATACTCATTCCGTTTCATAATAAGTGTCATTTGGAGAAAATGTATTTGGACAATAATTGGATGTATCTGAACAATAATAAGTGTTATTTTGAGTTTAATACATCCAAATACATTGAATTCTCATTTTGCTTAAATAACACTTATTATGAAACGGAAGGAGTAATATTTTATCCTACTTTCTATATAAAATACAGGCCAATAAGCTATTTTTATACTAACATTTTATCTGATTTTCTTTTAACCTATTGATTGGTATACATTTAACTGTAATTTTTTAAAAAACTTATCGGTAATAATTTTATAATTTTAAATCCATTCATAATTATTTGATTATGGCGTAAATCGCTAAATTCATTTTTATAAATTATAAACTACATGTACGTGATTTTTAAAACGTCAAAATTTTACTATATCATATGTTTTAAAATTCCCAAAAAATTTGGAATGACACCTAGTGGAACTTCCATATATATATATATATATATTTTTTTTCATTCTAGTATGGAATGTTACAGTTTCCATATAAATCTAAGATCTCTTTTTCGTTTTCAACCAAAAGTTGAAAATGGGCAACGTAACAAAGTTATAATTTAAATGATAGGTTCAAGCTTCCAAGGACATGTTTAAAGTGTGACACGTATAGGAGAATTGATGCGAATGAGACTATGTAACTGACGATATTTGATGATCATTGTCTCGTCCTGATTATTTAACTGAGTTCTAAAATTCACGTTTCGATGTTTCTTGCAGATAATCCGGACAGTGACTCGTCTGAATGTGGATTGTATTAGGGGTATGCAAAGACAAAGTTCAGCCGAGTTAAAAAACCGCCTTTTTTGGATTTTTTTGTGAAGGGACATTTTTCTTTATTTTTTTAAGTTTTAGATGGTAGTTTTAGGTTTTCATTATTCGGAGTATTTTGTATTCGTCTTCATAACTAGTTTTCAAGACTAAACAATAACCAACGGGATGAAATGTTACATATATATTTAATTCAAAACAATAAACACTTCGCCTCTAATCCTTTAGATCCCCCTATACGTGTGGTTATGGTCGAGGGGAAACAGTCAAAACTCAGGAGCCCAAAAAGGTTGTCAAGGACTTATAGTACCATTTTTGATCGTCGAAAGGTCCGTGGAAGGCATCCCTTATTGTCTCGAAGGACCATGATTGTTCTTTTTGTGATACAAGTTTATTTACTTTTTAATATTTATTTGTTTCACTTTTTAACATTTATTTGTTCCCCTTAGTGGTTTTATTTTACATTTTTTATTTACAAAAGCCTTTATTTTACAATGAGCTCTTCAAATTTAGATTTAGATGATCATGAGAAGAGAAGTGAGAACGATGGAATAAAAGAAAAGACAAATAAGCTGAACAGAGTCACGAGTCATGGCTTTCAAAGGTACAATTAAAATTGGAAAAGTTCCAAAACATTTGAAGAACATTTGGAGTTTTTTTTTTTACGCAGTTTGGAATTAACTACAAGAGAATCTAAAGAATTTTGTATGATAAGAAATGCTCTCATTTGGGAAAAAAGCGAGAAAGAAAGGCTCTCATTTAAAACCCTGTCAACTTCTCTTACTTAATGCCCCTCTGCGTATTGTATAACTAGGGTTTTGGACCACACCCGAACCTTTAATAAAAATAACAATTAAAAACAACAAAAAAAGGTGTAAACAATCTTTGATCATACCAATAATCATGAATATCAAGATATACATTATTAAGAACTAAAATAAATCAATTAGAAAGAAAGTTTGTTGTGGTCAAGTTGTTGAAAACTAATTAGTTATTGGGTTACAATTAAGACTCGAGTACTCTTATTGCGATATCGTAATCACGGTCTAGTTATTGTAGATGTCTTAAATTATTAAAATATCAAGTTAATACATATATAATCAGGAGAGTAGTGTACTAGTGTGAGCTTGCGATGTGGAATCTCGATTATGATGATGAAAAAACTCAATAAAAAGGGTATATATAATATATTCATTGCAAAAGGTTGGGCTTTGAGACCTCATGCATGAACCGCACATGATTCTCCACTCCTTTTTTCCTTTTCTCTTTCCTCTTTGGGCTTATGTATTACATGGGTGATGGGCCCAACACCAAGCTCAAATTCACAAGTCACAACACTCGGAACCAAATTACCTACGAACTACTTGATGTCTCGATTAATCGATTTATGTGGATGACTGAAATCCAAATCCTCAAAAATGTTCGGTCTCGGATACTGGTAATAACATGGATTACTCGTTCGGATATACGAGTCATATGGTATTCTTAGGGTTTTAGAATACCCGACTTGAAATCTTGATTATGTAAAAGTAAGCGTACTAGTTAACTTTAAATGAATTTTGTAGCGTCAGATACTCAGATGTATACTATTCTTTTTGGCAGAATTTGACGCGTCGTGTATAATGCAGTGTAGTTTTGGATTTGAAAATCTAAGAATTTGGTATTGGTGAGTTTATATGTAAGTGAAAGAAATGATGACAAAAAATAAGAAGTCCAAACACGCGTACGCTAGCACAAAATGTGTCTATGTGACATCAAGCAGATTTTTCAACATAATAAACTTTTCATCTTTCATTTTGATATGATATATATATATATATATGGTTATTATTGAGAAAAAAGTTATTAAAATATAACGGCTGACAAGTGACAATAACTAAATGAAAAGCCAAGAAGTTACATACGGTTCTTGCCGTACGTAGCTTTACAGCAAACTAAAAGGATAAGCTGTTATCTTTTCTCTTTATTTGGATTTTTTTCTCTTAATTATAAATTTTATCATGATAAAACTTTCTCTTAGATCGGTGGGACAAATACTATATCTAACGTTAGGCTGATTGAACCATAATCCAAACTATGATGACAGTAGTTCTCTATACTGATTTTTTTTTTTTTTACCATATCAAACGACAACTGGCATTATCGTAAAACCAAAGGAGAAGCTAAATTAATGGTGACATTGACTTTTTCATACTTAGTAGTTATGTGATGTAAGTCACAACTCACAAGGTCACAAGAAAGAAAGTCAAACTTTAATTCTTCATCACTTTCAATATCAATAGTGTCAACACATCCCGTTGCTCTATTTTTTTTGTCACATTTAGTTTTTGTTAAACCTTGTCGGCCCCATTTAATTCGTGCAATAACTATTTCGTTTAATTTTCTTTACTAGTACTATTATCTTTATAGTAGGTCTTTCAAATTCACCAATAGTAAGGCTCTCTCTAAATCTACGTTTACTTGTATTGAGCGGCGCCATTAGACACTCTAAATGTAGTGTTTTACTCCCTCCATTCCTATGTTTTAGATTTTGTTGGTGTTCCTTATTATTTGATGTTTTAGACCATTAAATGTACTTTTTGATAATAAATGTTACAAAAATACAAACTTCAAAAGAATTCTATAATGTTGATTGGTTAGTAGTTATTTAAAATGAAAAAGTAATACATCAAAAGGTAAGCATTTATTGTTTCTTAATCTATGTGAAAACTCTAAAACATCAAGTAATAAGAAACAGAGGGAGTATACATAGTGAGTTATTATAGGTTAATTAAAGGGCAAGTTGTAAGTCTTGATTGTTTAGTAATCGGGTTATTTGTCTATAACAATAGTTTTTGTCCATTACACATAGAGCGCAACTTGTATTTACAATTTACAATTATACAATATATCAGTGTTTTAACAACAGCAAAAAGATACTATAAGCAACCATTTTCAGTAACTAACAAGAGGCTAACTTCGACAAGGAATGACAAACAAAAAAAATTAAACTTAGACCTAAACGATTTTTTCGTTTGTCATTCCTCTATGTTAGACACTCAAACATTAATATACTTAAAAATAAAAAATAAACAAGAGTAACCTTTTGATAAATGAATACATTAAAACAAATAAAAATAAAATAATGAATAAAAAATATATTGATATAGGATTTTACACCAATACTAAAATCATTGGGTGGACATATTTCAGGCACCTTTAGAAATCACAGGGCCATTTGTAAAACAACCCCATAATTAATTGTAATTAACGAGGAAAGTAAATAAAATTATCAATGATTTAGCTCATCATGATAATCTAAGCGAGTTAATTCGGAAAACCCAAAAAAAAAATATTAAAAAAATAAATAGACATGAAGATCCTATAATTAGAACCATCTGATTAACCAAACTTCAGAAGAAATTAGGGTTTTCATCCAATAGAATATCGCCAATCTGTCCACCAGAATCCTCAAAAAGCCATTTCTCGAACAAAGACCATTGACTTTGGTTACTGGAACCAGTTATGTCTGGTTTGGTCTCATGATCAGGTGAAAGTCCAGCCTGATGATGTGATGGGTCACAATCTTTCAAGTGATCAAACCCCGAAAATGACTGAAATGCCCCTTCACAGTCCTTTCCATCATCATCACTCTTGATCACTTCCTTTAACTCAGAATCTGGAGTAACCATTTGATCCGCAGAGTTCTGGATCTTTGGAGAGCTCTTCACCCACCCTTTGAGCAATTTCGCTATATTCTCGGTGCTCGATGCATAAGTGGCAGATGTTTCTTGCGTCCTAAGCAACCCACAAGCTGAGGAAGTAGAACGTCTTGATTCAGCAGAAGAAGATGTTGTTGTCGTCGTAGCCAATGTTGAGGTAATGATCGGTGCTGCGGCAGGAGACAAAGCCTCAGATAGAGCCTTTTTCGCCAAGTGGATATCGGTTTGAAGCCTTCTTTCCCATTGGCCTCTTGAGATGTTTGAATTAGAATTAGCAGAAGAAGACGATGGCGAAGATGAGAGCGAGGAATGGTCTCTTGATTGATCAAGTTCTTTATGAGAATCTTGACTGGCTTTGTTAAGTTTCTTCTTCAAATGAGTGTTCCAATAGTTCTTGATGTCATTGTCTGTCCTTTGTGGAAGATAAGACGCAATTGCAGCCCATCTACACCAAATATTAAATGCCCTGTATTAGTTTTTTTTCATTATAATTTGAAAAAAGTTGTGTGAGATAAAATTAGTGAAGGGTTTGATTAATTTTTACCTGTTGCCTAAGAGGGCTTGGAGATGGACAATCATCTTTTCCTCATGTTCTGTGAAGTTTCCTCTTTTGATTCCTGGCCTTAAATAGTTTGTCCATCTAAGCCTACAACTCTTGCTGCATCTAAGCAACCCTGAAATTGAAAACCGATGAGTTAAGATCTAAGCTTTAAATATAAATAAAACAAGATCTCATGCATTAAATCTTTATCCTAAGGTCGATAATTATAAACAAAGCCCTAATTTCAAAGTATGGTTTTGATGAAGCTAAATATATATCAGTCTCAAATACACAAAGACGAACGATATGAAAATCAAAACCCATTTGGAGAACACACTGCATAAATCAACAAATTAAGTCTAAACCATTATGATTCCTTATTTATTTCTCAGTCTCGTAAACAATCCAAAAATTATCTCCATACAAATCTTAAGAGAGAGAGAGTGAGACTGACGATTAAACATACCCGTATTGGTGGGAACAGCTCTCCAGTTACCAGGACCATGTTCCTGGATGTAAGTAACTAAAATGATATCTTCTTCAGGAGTCCATGGCCCTTTCTTCACTCCTCCTTTGTCGCAACAAGGAGGCCTCACCATCGTCTTGATCTCTCTTGATTAATCAACTATCTAATCACTCACTATTCTTTTCTTTGGCCTCTCTTAATTTCCCACTACGACTCTTTGCCAAGAAAACCGAGGAAAATTGAAACAACTTTGGTTGGTGATGAGTCACAGTACCCTTAGTTCACTAATTAGTACTCTTAGCTTTGGATGGATCTAATGGTTAAGCTTGGCGACAAAGGTCTATGTCCACTTCTTCTTCTATATATATATATAAAAAAGAGAGAAATTTGCTGACCCCTCTTGGTCTTGGAGTCTTGGGTCTCTCATAAATTGAATATTTAATAAATAAACAAATAAAAAATAAAAAAATGTGTAAAGCATTAACTACAAAAGTGGAGGTAAAGCCTCCAAAGTCAGCTGTGTGGCAAAAGGAAAAGTCTCTACCCTCCACACAAAACCGCGTGGCATTCAATGTGGGCTTGCTTCTTTCAAAAAGAACCCTAATATTAAAAAATACTTATTTATTTGGTTTATATTTTTTTTAACAAGTCATTAAAAATTAAGAATAATTGGGGACATGCATGTTAACATGATAATGATATATGATATGATATCTCCCTCTCTCACTTTTAATTTATTGCTACGATAATTTTAAGAATTGAATAGTGGCTATTGCATTTATGCGTAATGCATAGGCCTTGTTAATAATAGAAATTGATGAAAGGGTCTATTGACGAACGAGATTTTCTCTGCGTCATGATTTGCTGTTTCGGTTCTCCATCAAACGATTTTTTAAACAAAGATATTGGATAAAAGAAAGAAATTGCTGTTTCGGATTGAACCAGTGGGTCTTTGGCCTTTGTCAAATTACATGATGGTCTACGTCATTCATGATGTTTTATTTGTCTTTGTAGACGCATCTATATATACATCAAAATATATATGATTTGGTATGTTTTATTCGGGTATGGTTCGCGATTAGTGTTAATGGACCACATCTGGATTTTTTGGTAAACATAGTTTTAGATGAAATTAATTGTACGTTACATATGTCATTATCGTAGGTGGTGAAAGGAAATTAAGAGATATTTGTATGAGAATTTGGCGTAGGATAATGGAGATTTTTTGGATTTGATAGACACAAGTCATACAACCATATCTATTTTTGTGTACATGTGTACGTATGTGTATATGTCAACAAGTAATTAAAAAGATGAAATCAATTTGGTTTTCACGAGGCCGGAAGAAAAGGAAGAAGAAGAGACACGGGGCTACTTTAATTTCTTCTCTTTTGTCAATGTTGTGCTATAGGAGTATTAATTTATGTAGGTAGGTTTTTTGTTGATAGTTTGTAGTACAAGTGTGAAATTTCATTTTGTGGAAAATTATTTACCGATCACGTTAGACCATTATAAAATGTGTTAACAGGCTGTTTAATTATCAATCATTTGGATTGAAATTGATTTATTGCGTCTCAAAGACGCAAACGTTGTAAATAAAGTTTTTGTTTACATATAGCCAAAAAGAACATTGTAGAAATATAACTCTTGCATGGAAAGAAAATTGAATTCCATTCCAAATTTTGAATTTCTTTGCAATTTTTTATTCTTTTCCACGAATTCATCATTTCACTGAATTATCACTCGTTCCATAATGTTACAATAAGTTACGAATCCGGAAACAAAATTAAACTAATACTAAAATTCGACGGCCACAAAAATGGGAGATATAGTTTATAGTATATTGTAGATTTGGTGGTTTACTATATAATACAAGATATGCATCACATAACGCATTCAAGTGTTGGGATGAGATCATAATAAGTATGGAGGTGGAATATAAGAGTCATAATATTCTTATAAATACATATATATACATGATTTGCTATTACTATTAAATGACGACTTAATAACATGGAATGCATGTGTGATGTATGGATGGTGCTTGTGATGTAGGGACGGGACAAGCACATTTTCCAGCGTAAATACCTATCTTTAATTTGTAGATCAAACTAAAATGAAAAAGAGAAAACAAAAACATTAAATAAAATATTAGTGCGAACAAAGAAAAACTAAAACATTATTTTTCGTCAATGAAGAGAAATAAAAGCACTGCAAGCGCACATGCCGTTGATGCATAAGAACAAATGCAGAGTTCAGTGCATATTTATTATCCGCAAGTGACAGTGCATGCGTTCGAAATGATTTTGTTAACCAACCCGAACTTAAGATAACCGGAATTGACCGGGCTGTTTGGTTTGGTTATTATGAGGCTGTTAAATACTCTTATTTAAGGCTATTGAATCTTGGGCCTCATGATTAAAAAATGGGCCTAGTTTCCTGAAGCGGGCCCCAATGATTAACTTTAGAAGTCAACTTCTCTCAGCTGTTTGTCTTCTAATTTATGCTTAGCATTTTAGCTTTCCATAGTGAGAAATTTCTTCTGCCCTTGAAAACTTCAATCATGGTGTTGGACATTTCTATGCGAAACTAATTGCATCAAAAATTATACGTATAATCATGAATCGCACAAGGCACAATCATTCAAGCTTGATATGTTAATCACAAAGTACACGAAATAGAGAATTGGAAAAAAGATTAAGAAAAACTCACGTTTACGAGTGAGTCCACGTTTGGTAGATGATAAACTCTATGTTTTGGCCTTATTCGTCTAACCAATCCCCTATAAGCTCTCTACAAGTCAACGTACGTGAGAATTTCAAGAAAGAAGATGAAGAAAGTTTGTTAGTTTTTTTTTGTGCACAGAAGAAAGTTTGTTACTACTTAAATAGCTCGAAATAACCAATACACTTTTAGAAATAAACCAACATTTTCAGCGTTTTATATGTTTCAAAATCATATAAAATAAATTAATCGAATGTTTAAAATAATATTTAAAAACATGTTGTAAATAATTTATTTCTAAACGCAATTAAACGAATTTTGTTTGACAATGAAAATTCTGTATGTATGAGTTTTTCGGGCCGAGCATGGGCCATGTCCAATCTCTGCCGATTATACAATAGAAAAAAGCAAAATTATTACGATCTAATCGGAGCCGTTGGATCTAGGGCTCAGTAATCCCCATATATAAACGTTTCACCAAGTCTCTTTGGCCGTCCCTCCACCGTTTATTCTTCATCACTACTGAACTCAGAGCTCGCGAAAATGGTTCAAAGGCTTATTTACCGGTCACGCCACTCTTACGCCACCAAGTCCAACCAACAACGCATCGTCAAAACTCCCGGTACGTACGTGTGTGATGTTGTAGTAATGATTCGTGAAAGATCGATCGAAATTGGGGATCTAAGATTTATTTTGTTGAATTTTTGGTGTTTGAAGGTGGGAAATTGACTTACCAGACGGCGAAGAAGACAGGTAGTGGACCTAAATGCCCTGTCACTGGCAAGAGAATCCAAGGGGTATGCTTTTTTCTTTGCTGAATCTTACCTTTTTTTCAATTTAAATTTCATTTTGACTATCGAATTGGGTTCATGTCTTTCATTGCCTTAAAAAGTTTGTGAATTTTGGTGCTAGTGTTGGTGTTTAACTGCTGAAAAGAATAAGTAGTGAACAATGTAGCTCAGTTTGGCCATCTGTGAACAATTTGTTTTGGCATTGAAACAAAATCTGGAACTTAAATCAATACGTAGACTCGGAATTTAGACATTGTAAAGGTTGAATTTAAGAATTTTTTTTGTTGCAGGAGTGAAAGTGTTTGCTAAGTTTTGGTACAAACAGTGTTTGACATTGTGACTCGTCTTAGTAGATTAGACTTCATTCCATTTAAGCTGTCTCTTACCTTCAACTTGATATAATGCACTTAAGAGAAGCATCATTGGGCTTTCTCTTTCTGTTTGTCTTAGGTCGGTAGATTTTCAAAATGTCTTTCATTTGCTAATGCTACTTTGTCAAGCCAGAAGTAGAACTAGTACATGGTACAAAATGAATTGTTAGTGACCTTACCTGGATCCGGTCCCTGGTTCTAGTTGAATATAATAATCAGATGAATCTCTAAAGTCTAAATCAGTATCACTAATCTTCTTTCTTGCATTATACTTGTATGTTTTCTTAGGCTTACTTTTGATGTTTGTTTTTGCAGATTCCGCATTTGAGACCCACTGAGTACAAAAGGTCGAGGTTGTCAAGGAACCGGAGGACAGTAAACCGTGCCTATGGTGGTACTCTTTCTGGAGTCGCTGTTAGGGAGAGGTACGTGTGTTTTATTACCACAAATGTTGAAATGTGTTTTCTTAGAGCTTTGCAACAAATGCTCAATTCTTTTGCACCTTCCTCTGTTGCAGGATTGTGAGGGCCTTCTTGGTTGAAGAGCAGAAGATTGTGAAGAAGGTTTTGAAGCTTCAGAAAGCAAAGGAGAAGGCTGCACCAAAGAATTAGAAGAATTCTTTGTGGAGTTTACATTACATTATTATATCTTTTAGTGATCGATAGACACAAGTTTGATCCAGTTTTTGTTACGGAATAAAGACGAGTTTGGTTTTTATGATTTTTGAGTCCAGTTTTGCTCTCAGTTCAGATTTACTTGTGGATTTGTCTCGGTTTGTGTTCGTTGGTTTATTGATATAAATCGTACCGATAGTTGACAATAAATTCAGAATCAGACCAATTCATTCTTCTTCACTTGTCAAATAACAGTTCGAGATTTAAGTAAAGCAATGCCTATAAGAAGAGAAACTGGGAATGACTTTTGGTCGTAAGCTATGGTTTTGGTGCAGGGACCTGTAGAGATTGTGAAACAACCATACATACATAATATTCGAAGTTAGGAAGGAATTGAGTGTTGAGTTGAATCTTGGAAGGCAAAACGGATTTAGTTTCTGAGAGAGCATAATTGGTATTTACTCTCGATGAGGAGTTCGTTATTAGTTAGTTGGGATTTGGAAGAAGAAGATAGAGAGAGCACCAGAAATGTTCCATATATATGTACTATGTTGTTAACAAAAGGCTTCCATCTGTTCTCATTGTACTTTTATTTGGTAAGCAAAAGGTAATATAGTCAAATCCACTTACCCACACAAGATTGGTTCGGTAAGTTTCTCTTCATTCTCTATGCCCCATATGATGTATCCGAGCAATGAATGGTCCCTTGCTTATTCATGGAGCTGCAAAAGAAAGGCAATTATAACAAAACGTTGCTTAGAGAAGATGTTTTGAAGAGAGAGGGGTTTATCATGGTTTTGTGAATAAGAGAAAGTGGAAAGAAACATTACTTTCTTAAACTCAGAAACTGAAGGAACGAAGTTGCTAATTCAACGTCGTTAGGGAGACCACTTGAAAGCCTCTGATGATCGAACCCAAATGGTGGGGACAAGATGAAACGTTCGACTTTGGCGTCACAGACCACACATCTGTGGTGGTCTTCGTCAAGCCACCCTCCTGCAAATTGGGTCACCTTTTGTTTACAAGAGCTGCACCAGAGTTTGTGCCGGCATGGGAAGTTTGCCCATAGAAGCATGCCCTCGTTGCACCAGAAACACATTCCATGCTTTAAACATTTCTCATAGCTCTGCAAATTATGCTCCCCATGTAAGAAAAACAATGACATAATTCAAGATATTGTAGGAAACAAACAGAGCAGAGAGTGGGATTGCTTTACTTGATAAAAGTCGAATTCACGGAGAAAGAACATGGAAGTGCTGTTTCTGATCTTTGCAAGTATCTCCAAAACCGGATGTTTAAGTTGTTGATGGTTTCTGTAAGATGCAGCCAAAGGAGGTTGGGGTTCTGGTTCTGGCTCTGGCTTCAAGGTTTTAGAGTCATGTGCTTGTTGTATGAAGCTGCCACTGCATACAAGATCATGGGTTGATGAGGCTATCGGTTTGTTGGGAGAGAGAGAGTCACTGTTGAGAAATGGCTTCATGGTTTTAGAATCATGTGCTTGTTGTATGAAGCTGCCACTGCATACAAGATCTGGTGTTGATGAGGCTATCGGTTTGTTGGGAGAGAGAGAGTCACTGTTTAGAAATGGCTTCAAGGTTTTAGAGTCATGTGGCTGCGGAATCAATTTAAGAGCTGGGGTTGATGAGACTTTCGGTCTGCTGGGAGAGAGAGAGTCATTGCTGTTGATAATGAGTGGCTCAGGAGGTTTTCCTTTGAGCTTCGAAACCTTGCAGGGAAACATCACCAAATGGGTTGCAGATCCAGATTTCCCTATGGGGACGGCTTTCACTTGACAGAGATTTGGAAAATACTTGATGAAGTCGATGAGCTTGGAGAAACCAAGAGAGGCGTGATCGAGATCCTTGCCAAAAATAGTGCGGAAATCGGCTTTGAGTGATGAGAGGGGATATCGACCTTTCCAGTTGCGTGCTGTTGATGTATCTTGGAGGTACCCAGGAAGCCAGTTTACAAACGTTTTGAGCCATGGTGGCACGGAATTTCCGAGGAAACTGGTTTCTTCATCATCTGCTTTTGTTGGAATTGCACTATGCAACTGCGCAGCAAGTTCTGCTTCTTTGCTAACTGCATTTCACGGTTGTTTATGTGAGAATAAAAGCACAATACTAGTAGGGCGTTTATATAGAGGAACAAATACTTACAGCCACTGATTTTTGTTGGGTTAAGGAGGAATCGTATATCTTGCGACTGTGTCAGCTCTATTGGTCTCTGTTTTCTGCACAAGATGTTTGAAACATGTAGACCATCAGATTAAGGTGATCACAAGAGAGATCCATAGAACATGTGGAAATGTGTTCGAATATTGCATCACCGTATATTATGAATTTCTGTACTTGCTCCACATTTAAGAAGCAGCTCAACGCAGTCAAGATGGTTATTCCTCACTGCAAAGAATAGTGGCGTCTCTTTGATTACTGTCTTGACGTGAACCAACTCAGGGTTGGCCGCTAGTAGAATCTGTATGCTCAAATTCATCAATCGAAAGTGTCATAATCTTGTTTCAGCTTAGGATGAGAGACGCAAACAGTAAAGAGAAGGAAACTATACCTTAAGTGCAGATAAATTTCCATTTGCAGCAGCAAAATGTACTGCAGATAAACCCAACTTGTTCTTTTGGGTAATTCGGGCACCATGTGCAATAAGTAGGTTCATGATACTGGATACGCAAGCATACTATTCTCAAGTTGGGAAGTAATCATCATGGGACCTTATATAACGTATCAGAGAGATTATTCATACCTGGTTTGCTGTTTATGTGGCACAGATGATCCCTTCAGGCTGCATTGAAGAACAGTATTCCCTTCTGCATCTGTTTCGTTGACATCGATGTTGGTGTTAATAAGCAGTTCAAGAACAGCTTCATCTCCTGCCTACAAAATTAATAGAATCATCGAGAATTACATATGTGATTCATATAATAATGGAGATAAGCGGTGAAGCAACCAAGTCCCACCTGTACAATGGAGATAAGCGGTGAGGTTTGCTTATTCACAACTTCACTAAAAACTGCAGCACCAAAGAGCTGAAGGAGTTCAATCTCCCGAAGCAAGAGCATTCTTTTCTGGCTACATATACTTTGCGTCGAGCTGTTACTACGCAGCGCTTCTTGAATAACAGACTCATAGATCGTTGTTTTCCGCTTTTTCGACACAGAATCATCAATATCCTGAAATGCCACAGTTGCCTCTCTGATCTTGTCAATTGCTACTATCAGCAATGCAGTGAGAGGAACTATCGCACCAGCCCTCGCATATGCATGTGCCACGGCGTCCACTTCCTTTGTCTTTTCAGCAAGTAGTTTCACCACCGTGAAGTCCTATACATATATAAAAGGCTCAAAATTTACAAGACAAGCTTGCAAAGTCTCTTGATTTCTTTCTACAGCTACCTAAATAGTTCCCTTACATTTCATAATCAAACATAGTTTCTCCTAGCAACCAAATTACTCGTAAAGGGCACTAGTGATTAACCTTGTCACCAAGCAGAAGGATCAAGTCTCCAAGAGAGTCACCACTTGGATTCCAGGGCACTTCCAAGCTGCCAAAAATGGAAAAATACATAATTATCACTGACAAATGATAAGAATTACCATAAAAGAGGTACGAGACCAGATGCAGTGTAATTAGTAGGTACGACTAAAAGAAACGAAAGAGGTTTCCAGATTTTCCAGATTAAGGTAGAGTTACACATAGTCAAGCTTTATGATTAAGAGGCGATAAAGCTTTATTCCCCAATTGATCAATGGTGCGAAAAATTAATCAATGCTTGACTCTACCTGCCGTTGCAGAGACATAGCTCCAGAGGAAGCAAAGCGCGTTCGTCTTTGCTTCTCATATCCGTACGAGCGCGTCGTTTAAGCAGCATCTCCACACACCGTGGCGAGTTAGCCTCAGCCGCCGTGTGCAGCGGCGAGAGCCCCGTCTCGGCAACCACGTCGTTGATGTACGGAACCGATCCGATATCGCCGTTGATGATGGAGGAAGCGCAGATGAGAGCATCGTAACCGCAGCAAGCGCTGAGAAGCTTCAAAGCCTCGCTTCTCTCGGACTCTTCGTCTTCTCCGACGAAGAGGCGTTTCACGAGGGAAACAAACTCAGATTTGTCGTCTTTCAGTACGGAATCTACGAAGGCGTAGGTCTCAGCCACGCCGGCGTCGGAAGAATCATCAGGAGACACTTTTCCGGCGGGATAAAGTTTCTGGGGGATTTTCGGCCAGGAGTCAAAGATCTCAGTGAAATCGAGGTTCAGAGATGCCTGCAAATGAGAGAAATCATGAAAAAAGAAGATTAAAACAATTTCTGCAGAGAACTCCACTTTTTCCCCTTGAAATTTCTAACGCTACTAGAAAAAAGTTCCACAGAACAACACCGACGAACAGGTTCTATGACGAATACTCTGAGAAAAATGCTTCGATCACAGATTTTTTCACAGAAAGTTAAAAAGCAGAGCTCAAGCATCATCGGTGAAGCGAAAACAAGCTCGAAAGTTAGAGAATCTCGCACCAGTTCCATATCTGAACCCTAGCTTCCGCTTTCTTAAGAAATCTCCACGCGGAAAAGCCAAATTTCTCCGAAATCCAGAAATGGAGTAGCAAAATCAAGTAATTTTTTGCAGTTATCTCTGGAAAAACTGCTGAATTTGTTCAAGAGATGTCGATCGGAGAAGACAAAGGGAACAGCATTCTGACGAACTGATTTCTTCAGATGACAGAGAGGAGAGAAAAAGAGAACGGAGAGGGAAAATTGCTGCGATTTGTTGTGACATTTATAGCCGTGACGTGGAATGTAGCAGTCTCCACTAGAAAGACCCAGTGTGTAAAATTCGTCTCTTTAAATTACACGATTACCCTCCGTCCCGTGGACAAAGGGGAAACTATTTATTTATTTGGCTAAGCGAAGGAGGGCAAAAACGAGAATATATAACTTCCTCCACCTTTTCTCTGCAGAGCGTAACCAAAAATCACAAATTCGAAATATTTCCAATTTCGTACTCTTTTGTCTGTTGTGAGCACAACCTCGAAAATAGCAAAAAAAAAAAAGGTAGTATTGTTTTTCAAACGTAAGATCCAGCGTTTGCGTTTCAGAAAATGTACAACTTTCCAAACGTGATGAAATATGTTACAACAACAGAGAGACCAAAACTTCATAATCATTATCTATCTGAGAAGAAAATACGGATCAAAACCTTCCCAGATCTCTCCACCAAGAACAATAGATAAATCCACCAACGACTTCTCATGTAATTCAACAACTACTCGGAACATATTAGCCACCAGAGGATTCCTCAAAAACGGTTTCAAGGCTTCCCCGAGATCAACCATATCAGAAAACAGAGTTTTCTTGACATTTCCATCAAGAGGCAACCTGAAAATGCAGTCGGAGAAGACGTAGAGACCGAGGAGATTACCATACAGTGGCAAAAACACATCCTTGTGGTTCCCAACACCGCCTACCCAGCTCTCTCTTTGTTTCCCTACATGGTCTTTAGCAAAAGAAAGCAGCTGATTCTGGAATTTACTCCTCCATTCGAGTAGTTGCGCTTGGGACAAGTCTCTGTTTGGTAGCTTCTGTATATGGTAACAGCATAACTGCAAGATCAGAAGCTTCTCTTCGTGGTGGTTATCGATCTCCTTGTCGAAAACCCGTCTCACTAGATCACTACTTCCCTTTGGTGGGGGTGTGTAATCTGCAGTGTTGAAGACCCATCTCGAGAGGTACTCGAAATACTCGTTCCAGTGCCCAAAGACTGAAGATAGATGGTTGAAGCTCAGTTCCAAGACTTTCTCTACTTGAGTAGGAACTTCCATGGCAGTGGGGAAACACTTCTGGACATCCCTGGCGAGTTTTGACCTGATGAGATCATCTTCGTCTTCCAACAGTTTGATGCAAGTGACCCACATCTCCAGAATTTGATACGCGTATACATCACAAGCGTTTTGATATTTGCTTGGTGTGGTTTCAGAGGTAGTTTGGTGGTTTGAGACGAGAGGACAGATGAGATTCGCTTGTTCCAGTATACCGGATGCTACAATAGCCTCTGCAGATGCATTGCGAACATTCACTTGCTCGGATGCTGAGCTTTTCTGTTTGATCAAGTTAACAAAGTAGGAGACACAGTCAATCACACAAACCAATCTTGGTTCCTCTTCCTTTGTAGATTCGTTTTTGTTGAAGAACAAACCAGTGAGATGCTTCACGCAAATTGCCAGGCAACACATGAGTGTACCTCTCGTTTTAGCACGTCTTGTTCTCTCATATAAAGAAGTGAGCTTGCCCCAAAGTTCAAACACTGAATCATAATCCAAAGAACCAACATAGATGCCTTCAACAGATACCCCATTGGATGATTTTTTGAACATGAGAAGATTCCACTGGCAAAGAATCCTTAGAATGTAGTTCTCACATTTATGGTTTTTCTCCTTGTCCAAGAGCTCCAATAATATCACCTGGAGACTGTTTTTAGCCCAGTTCCAAATACTGCTCGTCTCTGAGAAACTGGAATCTTCTGACTTCAGAAACTGCAGAAACCACTTCAGTGTTGCAAGACGAACTTCATATAATTGATCAGATATACAACGGAGGAGCCTTTCGTTAAGGTCAGGAAACTCTAATGCTTCAGGAACTTTCTGTGATCGCAAAGATGGACTTTGAGTAATCTGGAAAACTTCAGTGGCTTCATCAGATGGCTGAAATACACAACCGAAATAAGACACAGCTGCTTGTTCCCTAAGCTCAGCGATTGTAGGGTCATAATAGGAGAAACCATAGGATGCGTCTGCATCCAAGCAAATTGTAGATAGATCCAAATGCAATTTGTAAATGTCCCTTAGGCTTTTGCTTTCAGAGCATGTCCGTCCAATAACTCGCATATGATCAAGCACTCTCAAGAACGATGTACTAAGGATCGGGCAAGGACACAACACCGGAGAAGCCATCCATGTGCATTTTGCAAGGACATCGATCAATTGTCCAGTAATCTGATCCTTCTTAGACTCATCAGTAAGGTCTCTACAGTTTGTATCTAGGAGATTACCTAGTTGCAACAAAATTCCATGAAGATAATTGAAGGACCCACCTTGGGCTCCATTAAAAGGTAATGCTGAGGCAATGCGGAGAAGAACGCCTTGGAGTTTCTCATTGGAAACAAGACCTACTAAAGCTCGAGATGCCAAAACACGAACACGGAGATTGTTTTGAGTAGAGCATTTCATAATGAATGGCATGAAGACGAATGGGTCCAGGTCATCTCCAGATTCACTTGCAATGGGTGAAGGCTTAAGCCTGGATAAAAGAATGAGAATGGGCCATAAACTCGGATGGACATGATTTGCGAGGCTTGAATCTAATGGACCAGATGTGTCAAGCAAATCGGTTGCTGCCTTTAGTTCACTGTATATGAAAGGGTGCAACAAGGGATACCTTCAAGAAAACCAACAAAATATTAACTAGTCAATAAATTGTCAAACGTGGAGACAAATACGAAGCTATTTTTACTTGGGAGGATCTTATAGACATACCTGTGAAAAAATTCAAGTCCAGTCAAAGAGCGGCGAGCAGATCCACGTGTTTGAACATTAAGGAATCCAATCATTCGACGGACCAAGGCAGTGTATGCGAGTGTGGCACTGTTTCTGACCTCCCAATATGGTGAAGAGAAGGATCTTATCGAAACAATCATAGCCTCAGCCGAAAACCCAGAAGTATCAGTGCCCAAGTTAGTATCGTTGAAAGCAGCTTTGAGAACATTGAATGCATGCACCGTTGGAACAACACCTTCATCACGGACCTTTGAAAGTTTCTCACTTGGATGCATATCAGAAGGATTGGCCTCCTCATCCATATGTTTAGAATCTTTCTGTTCTACGGGATCCATGAGAGGCTTCTCTGCAAGACTTATTAGCCACCTAAGCGCCTGTGGTAGAAGCTTCTTTGGTGAACCTTCTGGTTCTGAGAGAAAAAGAGCAATGAATGCAGCGGGAATTCCTGCACTTCTTCTTAACACATCGTCCACTGTTTGTCCTTTGGCCATAGTTCTTTCCATAAGCTGCTCCATCCAGGATTCTGTCAACCTACAAAGTCTATGAAAAGAATAAACAGACACTATATCAGTCAACAGAAAAACAAGTTACATGGACTTGCAAGAAGCTTAAAAGCATACCTTGGATCATTAGAACATAGTAAACGGTGGCACAAAGCTGAAAATCCAGCTCTTGTCTTATCGATTGCACCATTGTGCTTCATTTTCATAAGTACTTCTAAGAAGTGGTCTCCAATCTTTTCAAGTTGCTTCAGGTCAAGCAGTGATCCAGAATTTCTTATCACTGAACCATTAGAGACTGCAGATGCCAGATCGCCATTTTCTAAAGATGTAAGGCTGCTGGTAGGTAATGGAATCTTTCTTATGATGGTGCCCAAAAGAAGACTCACCTGAAGAAAGAAAATAGTTTATCTTAGGAATTATAAATGCAGCGTTCTGTGTTCCAGAATGAAAAGAGCAGATAGTCGAGAAAAGCATTAAGAAAAATGAAAACACAAAAAGTGATGTCTAACTAAGGATGATTATCAGACAAATGACAGAATCAATACCTCCTTCATAGCGAGCCAGCAACCAACCATAACGATTTGTTCTGATTGTATTGTTTCATGCATAGATGTATCCTTGTTTTCCTCTGAGAGAACAGCGGCAGAATCATCTTGAACATTTTCAAAGAAACTATCATCATCTATTATGTCATCCATATCCTCAGGCAAACACAAAGCATCTGCAGAAACCACCCATAGTGCTAATGTAGTTATTCGCGTCACCAGTTTAAGAAGCTTTTCCAGTTCATTTTTCATATCTGACATACTAGATAACACTGCATCAGAATTCCAGTCCAACTCCTCAAAAGTATAACGCAAAGCCAGTAAAACCCCATGAACAAAACTGTTTTTGCATGCTTCAGAGAGATCACGCTCTCCCTCCTTAACAGAAGCATCAAGCCAATGAATAACTGATTTGATATACTCAATCACCGGATACTTGGGTTCAGAGTTCTGATAAAAACCATTCGTGCTTTCACACTCTCTTGGACAACAAACGACATTGGTGGAAACCTTGACTATCCATCCAAGGTCCAATACGTACTTTCTAAAGATAAGCCTTAGAGTCAAAGCGCCTGCATCACTCTCTCTTACACGTGGACTGCAGACTAAATGCTTGGCCCACGGAATAATGTTTTGGACCATGTATTCACTTGAAACGCCAGTAAATGGAGTTGGATAATGAAGCAGAATACGGAAAGCATTTTCTCTAAGCTTGTCCCAACTATCAACAATCGATCCAACCAGCAATAACGTTGAATCATGCGAAGTGACAATATCACAGTACGGGTAAAGCTGGCCTTGTTGAGAACTGGGGTCCTTGGAAGGCACAATAGGCCAGACTTCAATCATGATCTGTATAAGTTCCGTCGCCATTATTTTTCTCCTGTAAGGGGCAGAAGGGTAGCAAGATAAACACAAAAAGGAAC